AAGAGGTGGCTTTTTGGCGCCTCTGCCTCTTGGACAGCTGTGAATTGCTTGTTGACCATTTGTTCCACAAACGGGTTCTGCATTAGCCCTGTGCTCCAGACAACTAAACCAGCTTCAACCTCTTTATCGCCATATTCTTTGATCTTGATGCTCAGGCCGCCATGTGCACTTCCGAGTGTTCCGTCGGCTACTCTGATCCCCTCAAGGTGATGCTCAGTACGGACTTGGATGCCCTGACGTGCAAATACTTCCATTGCATACTGCGCCAGGGCTTTGTCAAACATGGGCAGTACTTTGGGCGCAACATCGTAAACGGTAATCCGCACGAGGGGCATCAACTCTGGGTAGATCTTCTTCAAATCTTCGTGAATCAGATCATGCAGTTCCGCTGCAAACTCAATTCCTGTCGGTCCGCCGCCAACAATGACGAAATGAAGCAGCGATTTCTTTTCGTCTTCGGTGAGAGGCCTTCCCGCTGTTTTGCTATCTTTGCCGCCTGGTGAAGCGGGATACGAACACTGCTCGAACAGAGAGAGCACCCGCAACCGGATACGCCGTGCATCGCCAATATCTCGCAGAAAATGCGCGTGTTCTCGCACACCTGCTATGCCAAACGTCTGACTGTAAGCACCAACAGCGATGACGAGCTTGTCGTACTCTACATCGAAAATCTCTCCCTTGGGTGGCCGGGTTTCCGTCGCTACTTGACTCGCAGCTGTAGATGCTGAGATTGGTGATAGGTCATGCTGGAGCTTATCAATGGCATTGGCCTCGACACGGATAACCTTGCGAGAAAAATCGACATCGTCGGCCCAGCCCTGATAGAAGCGCAAGCCTCCTGGCGCACGGCGGACAGGCTCTAAGATGGCGCGGAATTCAAGAGTGCCGACTGATGTTGAAGCCAGTAGTGGCGTGAAAACAAAGTAACTGCGAGGTGAGATGACGACTCGTTCGTACTTTGCTGGGTCGAGGGTGCGAGCAAAGCTATATCCCGCCCATCCGGAGCCCAGAATCACAACACGCTTTCTTTTGGTGTCTTCAGAAAGCTTGTGTTAGCAAGCTCTTTTTGAAGCATGGGACTGATTCGATGAAGAAACTGATGTTGTTTTAAAGAGAAGTATAATACCTTTCTTTGACTTTGGCTCAATACTGTAAGACCTCTTGGTTGAGTGAGAAAACGTTAGGGCTTTAAAGAGTTTGGCCTGCTCTGTCGAAGATGTGAATTGGCGAGCGTTTTGGCGTATGCACCCTCGAGCTATCATTTTGGAGTTTGTCTGTACAAAACAAAGTAACTGCCAAGTTGCCGAAGCAAAGCGCTTGTTATAAGAGAAGCTTTCAGGAGCGCTGACTCGGGCTTTCCGATGATGTGTCAGAGGGATCAAGTGACGTCACTTGGACCATTCCAGACAAATAAGCTTAGGAATTTATTTAAGAGGGAAAATGAGCATAAGAGTCGTGTATATAGCGATTCTAATCAAGTTGAGCCTGCATTGCAGCAGTATTACTGCTTTATACCACGATCGCGAGTCATCCTGCCAAGGGTCACTACGCTCCTATAACCACCAAATTCTTCTAATAAAGCAATTGTCAATCTTGTTTTTTTAAACAGCCCCCTTTCTCGGTGTTCTTCATTTCTCCGTCTTTAAAATTGATATGGTTAGGGGCAGCTGGACCGTTCCGAGTCTCGGGCGTTTTCGAGATTCTAGAATCCGAAGAGCTGCGCCGTAAAAGTGGAACACGGACCGCTATGGTCAACGAAAACGTTTCGGAGTAAAAGCTTGACAGAGGATGAGATTCCATCGAGTACCAAAAAGAATCCTCTTGAATCCAAATTTTTTTGTTTAAAATATTTTGGACATGCTGCGTGCAATATGTGGCAATTTGAGTATTACTGATCATCGGCGGCCCTCCGCTCGCTGTAATATGTAATATAGAGAGTTCTGGCATTATCGGGAACTATGGGTCAAATCTGCATGGCCACTTAATCTCCTGGCTTCGTCCGGGTGCACCCGATATTTGGGAGCCTCCTGACAGATGCACAATTTTTGACAATTCAATTAAATAAGGAGTAAAATATTGCCTGCGTGTGATTGATGATTTTTCTTCTTCTTTTTTTTTGTCTTTCTCTTCGCTTATAGAGGAATACTAACAGTTTGTTGTTTCCGTAAGAAAAAAAAAATGGCACCCAGAGCTATATTTCTCATTAACTAGTGCGACGATGCTTATAGACCATGAGCTATATATAAGTGTATAGTTTGAGTGATATACTAAAATTTCTCGTGGCATGAATTGTCAGCATCTTCTAACATCTAAACCAGAATATACTTCCTTGTCAAAGGATACCCTGGATAAGAAACTGCTTTCCCGTGACTATGAATTATGATAGGTTATGTCACCCCGCCAGGTATACGCTATACACGCGGAGAGGAATCTAGACAACAAACAATCATCAAACAACTAACGCTATGTGCCAGCACATGTTGGTTTTGTCTTGCTTAATCGTTCTCCGGCTCATATTTTGAGACTAGATTTCTTCTCTTACAGATATGATATTCTCATAACACATCTATAGAAACATCAGGTTGTAATTCGATGAAAAGGATGACCAATTCATCTCAACTGAGTCGTCTCTTGACAAAAATTAGAGGGTCACTGCATTATAAGCCCATCGCTTAGAAAAATTAGAACTGTTATATGACACATGTATCAATGTAAGTTCAAAGTATTGGATGATATCAGCGATAGCCAAGCGTGGGGCACTTTAATCCCAGCCGAGGCTTTCCTTCTCTTACCGCGCAGTCCATCCAACGATGGGGACTAGCATTGGATGAGTCGAAACACAATCACCTCAAACTAGAATTGCACAAGGAAGCTGCCCAATGTTCATCAACAGCCAGCACGATGCCCAAGCCGAATAGGGAAAAAGTTCATTCGCTGGATATCCAATGCAGACTTGAGAGAATGAATGACTGACTCAAACAGGGCGAAGCGAAACCTGCCAAAACGGCCGCAGTGAGTTTCTTGGTTGCGATTGTGGTGTTAGTTGTTATATATTTCACGCATTTCGGCCAATAGAAAGCTCCCTTCACCCCGCGGCACCAACACTTTACAGGCACATACCCACTGTGGCCTTGCCGAATCGCCGAAGGCTGTTAGGCGATAAGAGGCCGAGAGGCTCTCGGGCCGCCGATTAAATTCTGACCACTGAATAATCCATGATTTGATAATACAGCTGCTGCTCTCTCATTTGTAATGTGGCATTCCCCGCTATCCGCCCGGATCTACCCTCCGAACTGAAGAATGTCAGCATTTTCTTACAGCAACATGTAGAGAATCAGAGATTCAGCCCAAGAAGAGGGGCTCTAGTTAATTTTAGCCACGGCAAATATCCATGGATTCTTGATGCCAGCATTCAATGTTCCTAGCAACACTAGTATAGATGTGTACGGCCGCGTATTGCAGCTACCTAGTGCAACCTCTCAAACAGTCATTAATTGCCAGATCTAGACAATGATGGAGGATCAATAATGAGGTTTAAAAGTGCTATAAAAAAACCACTCACGATGATTCTTTTCATTTTCCTCTTAGCTGACCTGACCACGAATAACTAAACACATAATTCAATCTGAAACTCATGTTCCCTAATCCAGATCGCCTCGGCAATTGCTTAGAAATATAGCGTCATCTCCTCCATCTTGTGGCGGGCCGTCACGCAACCAGCAGCGCCCAGCCATCATTCGAGGAAGCGGTTAGATCCACCACACGAAAATCGGCGTTATGAGTTGTTACTCCGCACGCAGAAAATGTATAAGATGAATCAAGTCGCAAGCTCTCTTCGCAGACCACTCACCTCATTGATTAAACCGATCAATTCACCGTTTCACACAAGACCGTACTCTACTACTAGAAAGCATATCATCATGGGAGCCCCTCAGACAAGCAAGGCCATCATCAAGGTTGCCCCGGGCAAGGGAGCTATCCAAGAGCTGCCGACTCCAAAAGTTCGCGATGGACACGTAATTGTCAAGACAAAGGCGGTTTCTATCAATCCTACCGACTGGAAGAGCCTTCACAACGACAAGGAAGACACATTTGGCACAAAGATTGGGTGCGATTTTGCCGGCGAGGTGGTTGAGGTTGGTGCGGGAGTGACCAACTTTAAAGTTGGCGATCGAATTGCCGGTCTCAGCCCTGGAGCGTAAGTCTTGTGCTCTGGCCTCTGCTTGTCACTGCAATTTCATCGGCAACTAACGTGAGAATTGCAGAGACATGTTTGAGAAAGAGAATGGCTCATATGGAGAGTACTTGCTCACCCAGGCAGACGTCCAATTCCACAACCCACTGAGCGATGAAGAGGGAGCGACCCTCGGAGTTTCAGTCTTCACAGTTGTAAGTTGATATATATATGCCCATCAGACATTCACAACTTTAACTTCTCTGTTTGCTAATATTACGTCCGTCTTCACCATTCAGGGCCAAGGTCTATACCAAAACCTCAAGCTGCAGCTACCCACAAACCCCATCACCACACCCACCCCAGTTCTCATCTACGGCGGAAGCACCGCATCCGGTCTCTGGGGCATCCAATTCGCCAAGCTCTCCGGATACAAAGTCATCACCACCGCCAGCCCTCGCAACTTTGACTACCTAAAGTCTCTGGGAGCCGACGCCGTCTTCGACTACAACTCGCCCACCGTTGTCGGAGACATCATTGCCGCTGCCGGCGGCGAGCTGGCCCTCGTCTGGGACTGCATCTCCGAAGGAGAGTCGTACAAAATCGGCGCCGCCTCCATCTCGCCAAAGGGCGGAAAACTAGGCGTGCTGCTCCCCGTCAATCTCGACGAGGTCCACGCCATCAACCCCAACATTGAAACCGCCGTGACCATGGCCTACAGCGTCTTTGGAAAGCCCTTCTCCAGAGGTCTTTCCAGCGAAGGGAGCCCTGAAGACAACGAGTTTGCAAAGAAGTTTAGGGACGTTGCGGAGCCGCTGCTCCGAGAGGGCAAGCTCAAGGCTCCCAGGATCGAGGTCAATCGCGGCGGCAGCGGCCTCGAGGGCGTGTTGGTGGGCTTGGAGGAGCTGCGCCAGGGCAAGGTCAGCGCGTCAAAGCTCATTTACACAATCTAGGTGATGGAAAGGATGCGGCTGAAATTTATGAATTGGTACATGTATGTCTATGGATGCAACAAAAATAAATAGTGCGATGCAATATCAAATTGGAAATGCTCTAAATAGATCAAGTCCCAAATCCTAGAACCAATATATGTGGAAGGTGATATTCAATCCAAGTCCTTCTCCCTTTTGGTACAGCAGTTTTGCATGCTCGTGTGCATGCATTCTCTAATCCTCGCCATGGGTATATCTATCTTACTCTCTTCCTATAGCCATTTTTTTCCACCGCATGCTTCATGCTCTCATCCGCCTTTAAGCCCACTTTCCAAGCAGCGCCATGATTGCGATGCCGAGATACAGAGAAAAGAGCATGAATGCCAGACGCTTCTTGTCCTGCGTGCGATACGGGTTGAAGAGGAAGTCGCGCGCAATCATCTCGACGAAGCCGGTGTAGATGAGGATACCAGCAGAAATCGAATCAAGAACGCCAGACACAACGTTGGCGGTAAAGGAACCACTGTTGTATGTAGTCCGCACGCCGAGGCCGATGGCAATGGCAATAGGAGTCGTCAATCCATAGGCAGCGCAGAGAAACCAAGGCATCCACTTAAAGCGCCTGGGGAATGGGATGACACTCAAACGGGCGCCAATACCCAGGCCCTCAAAGGACTGGTGGAAGACGATGACTGCATACAGAGTGCTAAACTCATCGCCAGCAACACCGAGGTTGAGGCCGATGATGACGCTGTGGAAGAGAACGCCAAACTCCAGAATCAAAAAGGCCGCAATCTGAGACTGAAAGCCAAAGGCCACTTTCTCGGAGTCGCCTTCAAGATCCTTGAGTTCCTCGACGTCGAAGTCATCGCTTGGCTTGTCGCTAGGAGCACGATCCATCACTTGTTCGTTGCCCTTTGCATTGAGAGGAGGAATAGCGCCATCCTGGTCAGCCGAGTGCAGTCCCTGGTGGGTGTGAGTGTGACGGCCGTCAGTGATGGTGTCTTCGACCTCAACATGGGCCAGTTTGAATTTCCTGTCGACGTAGTACTCGGCCAAGAAGTCCAGCAGGAAGATCAGCATGGCCGAGGTCAGGGCCAGGGCAGGGGGCCAGCTGTATTGAGCCCAGCCGCCAGTCATGCCGACGCAGCTCGCCGGTCCAATCTCCTCATAGGCCGGGTCGAGGAGGTGGATGAAGGCTGTGGCGATGATAACGCCAGCGCCAAAGTAGCGGGCAAAGAGGTAGACATAGAGGGGGATGCGCAGGCGTCGAACGCGGGTGGCCAGGACGGGGAAGAAGGTCACGGCCGTCGAGACAATCATGATGACAAACAGCGCCGAAACACGCACGCCGAGACGTCCATTGTACTCGTTGCCGCCGGCGTTGAGGTAGCAGATGATGTCTCGGGGGTCCGCCGAGTCGAGGTCGACGGCCTGGGGGTTGAAGTCTGCGTCCGCCATGGCTGCTCAGATCAACAGCAAGAGATGTTGGCAAGCAAATGAGATGAGATGATGGCTCGACTGAAGAAATGAAAAAGAAGAGGGTGGGATGGGACAGTATTTGAAGCTGCAGCCACGGTGGATCTCGTTCTATAGTTTCACCCAAAGAATGGCCTAGGGGCGCCCGCACCAACATGCCAGAGACGAGGCTGGCCAACAAACGGGCCACGGCTCAAAGCCCCCAGCAAGCATCCGTGCAGTGGAGATGCTTTTTGGCCTCTTTGGCTTGTTATTGGAGCACGCGGATGGCCTGGTGCCGGGTCTGCGCTGATAATTTCACGTAGCTTGAGCACCGTGATGGCCCAGCTTGGACACCGAAGAGCAGCTTCTCACGGCTCCCTGCGACGAGGCCTTGGGGGTGGCAACATGTCGTGTTGTACAGAGTCAAGCAAGGGGTTCGGGGCGTCAAGTTTTTGTTTCGGAAAGACATCTAGCCACTGTTGGCTCGGCGCTCGAGCTGAAGCATCACGCGCGAGCCAACTGAGACTATTTTTTTATATTTAGACTGACGGGCTACACTTTGGTTTTCACCACGTGCAAACAACAGGAAGGTTGTGGCACGCACAAAACGAGGGAAGAGGGCTATGTTTTGATATTTCCCCACCACACAAATTGCGTGATGCGATATCGAGACGTGAGTTATCATGGAATCTTTGTTTCTCCTCTTCTTGTCGGCCACTACGGCTGAGAACCTTGATGGTCACACAAAGTCCCATTTGTGGTGGTGAGAACCCTGATGGCCACGCAGCCCCGCCAATCAGAGCGCAGCAAAATAAACGTCAGAGCTAGCATTCAACTGAAGGCATTCTGGTGCGAGAGCCCAAATTTTGTATGCGCGGTTACTAATTGAATTTGTGCGTGCTATCGGGAGCTGAGGTCGGCGAGTGGCTTGGGCCTTGTCGCCTCGTGCGCATCAGGGCTGATGTTGGCCCTGGCGGCGTAGTTTCCTGGCGGTTGGCGAGTGATGATGATTTTTCCATCGCATATGTAGATGGCTGAACAAGAAGAGTTGCTCTGATTTTATTGGAAACCAGAGAGAACGAAAGCTCAAGTGTAACTCAGACGACCTTGTTTGACATGACAAATTCCCGAATTGGTCTTTCTGTGGCTAGTTGGTCGCAGAGCGCCAAGTTGGTGTACGGCCACAATGTTGTTGGGTACATGCACGTAGCGGATAATAGCAGGAGGATCCGAGCAAGTGGAAATAAAGCGGGATACGCAATTTTTTTAGATTGCAGTGTATAGAAACAGACAAGTGCCTTTTGTGGTCAGTAATCATGCAGGTTTCTAGTAATGCTAAAGATTTTGTACACGTATGTTGCCTAACAGCTACAATCGCCTCCAACACTCTCATTCTAATTATTAAATAAAACATTTTTTTTTCTCACAAATCATATTCATAGTGTGCTATTCTCTACATAAGTTAAATCTTTCAGATTCACTGAGGTAGGGGCAGGGTCACGCCTAATCCTCTCGTGCCTGTACACTATGTGCTTCGGCACTCTTGTACAACAGCTCTGCCCCTTGTATTTCTTGTACCATTGTCTTGTTTTTCCTTCTTATTATGCATCATCACGAGCCCTGTAGTACCAAACATATACAGAGTACAGCTACACAACAGACTTGGCCAAATCAAAGGGCGCACATGACATTCGTTTACACAGGCACTCAGAGCCTCGTCGTCCTGGTTGACACTTGTTTGTATTCTTTTCTAATCCTTCATGAAAGCATTTTTAAGAAGCCCCTTCTTATTTTCCATCCACCATAAAGTCATGTTCTGCATCCTTTTGAACATTCGTGTGGATCCTCGGCCTCCAGCTTCATCTCGTGGGGCCAGGCCCCGGTAGTTGCGGCAGCCACCCGCGCGGGCCATTTGGACGCTATTCCGAAATTCAGCCAATCTTTGCATCGCGCTAAGCATCACGTCTTTTGTCTCAATCGCCAGGGTCAGATCAAAGGGCGTTGTCAAGAGGTTAAACCAACGTCAATCCGTCTTTTGATATGTAACTGTTCTACGGTCTATATACATGCTAAGTATGAGCCGGCAAAGGCTGCACACTATCAGCACTTGCCCTAATATTTTGCACTGCTTGCCTGTAGCAGTAGCATCTTACATCGTATCACACTGACCGATAATATGTTTCCGAAAGGGCGTCCTGTCAAATACGTGTAAATAAGAAAACATTTAGCGCAAAAATTTCTCCACGTCCATTTACTTCATCTATAGTGACTATGTATCCGTGTACAAGTCTCAAACAGTCTCGGATAACTCTAGGCTTCATCTCTATCATTGTAATACTCCCGAAACATACTCGGCTTAAAACCTCCAAACGACATATATATCGAAGTAAGCTAAAAGATTAAAAAAAATAGAGCAATCCCATGTAAGCTTGTTACAATTGCCAAATGACTCCCATCTACAAGAAAGACCATGGCTATTCGACACACTCTCAGACAGCTAGTACAGCAATTATGCGTCTCCTAAAATTGCACCAGGTTTCACTATCAAATCATATAAATCGAGTGATAGGGTAAGTGTTGTATTATTGCCGAGAAAAAAAAATGTGACATATATCATCCAGGCTCTTAACATCTGATCAAATTGGTTAACGCCAAGCAAAAATGGCGGGGACCTAAAATTTCTTCTCGGTATAGGTTTGACGAAAAAGGAATTCGTATAGAATGTCACTATGGCTTCACTGCTGTGTCTATAGAGGCATCATAACGCAAAACTATGTCTATTTGTCTCAGCGGCATGCACATATACACGGCGATTTCGATACAGATCAAGAAAGGGTAGCGAAACATGTGTGGCAACCTGGAACTTTATTTCTACCAGTAATATGACTGACGCTCGATATGCCACCAAGTCATGGTAATAAATCGACTGTGCTTCTTCTCCTATTTGTTAGTCGCCTTCCAGCCTTTATTTAGCACAGACCGCGACTTCACCGACGGGCATATGCGAAGTGGGACTTGTCTCGAGAGCTACGGCTCTGAAACGCTCAGTGCAATGCTAGGAAGAATGTCAAAGAAGAGATTATAGAACTGCCTTTGAGATGCTATGAGCGTCACATTCACGGCCAGTGTCCAGCAAAAAAGCCTTTTGGTCTCTATTTATGCAATCACAGTAACTTCGTGCGTGAGCTTACGAGAATAACGTATATGCCTGGATAGTGAATGAGGCTATACGATGCTGCTTATCTCAGCACACAACATACAAGGATTCTTCCAAAACCTCTCCCGCAACGCCTTCGCATCCATGACTCGAGGATTATTGAAATACGCGCGCTGGGCGATTGCACATACCTGTTACACACGTAATCCCCGACTACGGAGCGCTGCGATGAGATCTAGCGTTTGCGTCTCCACAACGACTCGGGGATTTCGTGGAGTCAGGTAAACGGCTTCATCTCCCAAACACGCCAGATTAAACTCCAAATGTAAGATTTCGATAAGTTGCCGGCTCGGACCTGCGCAAAAAAACGAACCAGGTTCCCAGAAGCCAATCAGCCCACTAAAATCAGGTCGGTTCCCTTCGGGTTACCAAAGCACAAGCATTCAGAATGATGTGCAGATGCGGCGCAAACAGGGTAGCGAGAGGGCGTCAGTCGCCTCACGAGATCAACGCCGCATGTAAATCCAGGCATCTCCTCAACGACGACGACGTTTCTCTTGGTAACAAATATCCACCAAAGCCCGATGCATCGCAGCAGTGTGGAGAGAAACGTATCCTTAATCCCCAACTCTATCACCGCCTGCAAGACGCAAGACCTGGGGAAGCGGCATGGCCTGCCCATGGGGGAGTTGCGCTGCCGACGTAATACGTAATAGCTGCAGCCAGATTTGGAGGTTGGGCTGCACATCGGCCGTATCGTTGCTGCTTGCTTTTGGTCTCCAGACGCGGGAGCTGAGTGGACCTGGGTGAGTGGAGTTTGCCGTTCTGATTCATACGCAAACAAGTGGCTGATGAGGATTCACTGGCCGTGTCTCTTTGTAAACCACCAGACTAATACTATCAACTGGACTAGCCACTTCATTATCTTCCAGAGCAGTGCCTTTCCCCCGTAATACGACACGAGCAGAGTATAGCGTAAAACAGAGCAGCCGGGGTCAAGCAGACCCAAAGGCTTTTGCCATGCTTATCACCTGTTGTTCATGCTGCCGTCCATGGGTTGCGTCGGCGCAGAGGCAGAGTCTGGAGAAACACCCGCAGCTACAGCGTCACATCGCCCGTACTAGGAGCCGACGATGCTTGTTAGCTGTTCCTGATGCTGCTAGGCCCAGCACTCGCGTGGTCAGGCTCTGCATTAGGTTTCTATTAGAGACAGAAAGTAAAGTTGTTGCCATCGCCGTCGCCAGCGCCTTCAAACCACCACAAGGAACGCCGAGATCCATCCCGCACACACGACTCTCACGCCGAACCCTTTTCAGCGGTGGCCAAAAATGAAGGTTCTAAAAAGGGCATCAGGGCACACCAAGGAAGGGGAGAGAAAAAAAAAATTCAATTCCCATTTTTGCCTCCAAGACCCAGTTTTGCAAGTCAATGATTGGCCTTGGCGGCAATGCCGATGGCGCTCTTTTAGCACCATCACAACGCGCGCGCAGTTTTTTTTTTTTCCTTCCGCAGCCACCAAAGAAAAGAGAAAAAGAACAGCCAAGCGCTAGAGAACGCCGCTAGAAGATGCAGAGAAGCTGTACCTGGTTTGTATTCTTCCGCTGCCACGCCCTTAAAACTACATGTTCAGATCGTTAGTTGGTTGGTGAGTCTGCCGTACTTGGCGCATGTCCGGATCTGGAAAGTGGCTTCAAGCCGGGGAACGACTGGTATGAATCAACGCCTTCACAATGACGCAGATCAGAAAAAAGAGAGAGAAACAGAACAAAAAGTAGGTAAAAAATAGGATCTACGTAGGGTCGGATCCGACCTCCTCGACTCGCTATCACGGCGTTGCTGTGCCGAGACTGGGCTAGCTCCATCAAACTCTTCATCAGTTGATGGGGCTTATATGGGGCGAAAGTGAGGGTCTCGCCAGGCCAGCCAAGCTGATAAGCTGGACCGCCGCGTAGTGTAGCAGTAGTAACGTTGATGTAGGTAGTCAAGCATTGAAAGGGCCGAGCCAGCGAGCAAGACGTCGCAAACCATAAAGTTGTGCCCGTCTGCCGCCGACGCGTTTCCTGCTTCTTCTTGGCTCTCTTGTTCTCCAGCTTTTCGTCCCGCGTATGGTGTTTTGATATCGATTTGGGTGACCTCCTCTCTCACCCTCCGTCATCATACTCAACTTCCTTAATACTACCTGCTGCTCTCGTGCTCGCCGCCGACCCTCCGGACCGATCTCGTCTCCCCCCCTTTGACTCATCCTTTTCGAGTCCGATTTTTTTCTTCTTAAATCTTGCTCTCTGTTTTCTTCGAGAGTAAAGACACAAAATGGCCTTTGAATCATCTTCCCCCGTGGGAGGACCGCTGGTGTCTGACGAGAAGTACGTCCAAGGCATCAGCGACAAGCCCGTAGGCGATGGCCCGAACCACGACATCGCAGCGGGCCAGGCCGGCGAGGAGGGCCTGAAGCGCGAGCTCAACTCCCGCCACTTGCAATTCATCGCCATCGGTGCTGCGCTCGGCACCGGCCTGTTCCTGGGCATTGGCGGTGCTCTGTCCAAGGCCGGGCCTGGCTCTCTCTTCATCTCCTTCCTGTTCCTCGGCAGCGTCGTCTACTCCATCATGGTGGCGCTGGGCGAGATGGCGTCATACATTCCCGTCACGGGAGCCTTTACCGTCTATGCGTCGCGGTTCATGGATCCCACGCTTGGTTTTGCCATGGGCTGGATCTATTGGTTCAGCTGGGTCATCACCATCGGTCTGGAGTTGACCGCCAGCGGCCTCATTATCCAGTACTGGACCGAGTCTATCAGCATTGGAGTCTGGATTGCCATTTTCTGGGTGGTCTTCACAGCTGCGCAGTTCCTGCCGACCTTCATTTTTGGCGAAATGGAGGCCTACCTCTCCAGCATCAAGGTCATTACCATCTTCGGCTTCGTCATCTTCGGCATCTGTGTCAACGCCGGTGTCGGTGACCAGGGCTACATTGGCTTCAAGTACTGGAGAGATCCTGGTGCTTTTGCCGAGTACATGGTCGACGGCGCAATTGGCAAGTTTGTCGGTTTCTGGACCGTGCTCATCACTGCCGGCTTCAGTTTCCAGGGAACAGAGCTGGTCGTCATCGGTGCTGGTGAGACAGCCAACCCTCGCAAGACCATCCCAACTGCCATCCGATGGACATTCTGGTCCGTCTTCCTGCTCTTCAACTGCACCGTCTTCTTCGTCGGCATCAACGTGCCCTACGACAACCCCGACCTCCAGAGCGGATCGACCAACGCCTCGGCCTCGCCTCTCGTCATCGTCGCCAAGCTCGCCGGCATCCAGGCCCTTCCCTCCATCATCAACGCCGTCCTGCTGACCGCCGTCCTGTCCGCCGCCAACTCGGACATCTTCTCCAGCAGCCGCATCTTGGTTGCCATGGCCGGCGAGGGCCACGCGCCCGCCTTCTTCAAGAAGGCCAACCGATACGGAACTCCGTACTACGCCGTCGCCGCCTGCTCGGCCTTTGGTCTGCTGGCCTTCCTCAACCTGTCCAACAACGGAACGACCGTCTTCAACTGGCTGCTAAACATCACGGCCGTAGCCGGCTTCATCAGCTGGTCGCTCATCAACCTGTGCCACATCCGGTTCATGAATGTCCTCAAGTACCAAAACATCCCCCGTGACGAGCTCCCATACAAGGCCCCCTTCCAGCCCTACCTCTCGTGGTTCGGCTTCTTCTTCAACCTCCTGATCCTCATCACAAACGGCTTCACAGTCTTCATCGAGTGGAACACGAGCGACTTTTTCGCGTGCTATGTCAGCGTTCTGCTCTTCATTGTCCTTTATGTCGGCCACAAGATTGTCTACAGGACCTCGTGGAAGTGGATTCCCCTTGCAGAGGTGGACATTTCCAAGGGCCGATCCGATGCGTGAGCGAAGAGCAGCGAGGGATGATTGATGATTCGGAGTAAATCTTTGTATGCGGTCATAGCGGTTAATAATTGTATTTTTATGTTTTATGAGTGTCATGATCTACAGGTCGTAATTGATACCCCATTTGAAGAGGAATCTTGCTGTGCTTATTGTCTCGTGTCGAATGCCGTCTCGTCCGCATAATTGGATGCTCTCTTCTGTCGCCTCCTATTGAATCCGGGGATATCATGTTGCCAAGCAATGGTGGGGTTTTAGAAGAACAAGTCTCCAGAGAAGAGGAGAACTTTGGGGTTAAATATCTCGCGTCTCAATGGCAGTACAGTATGTATTTGCAAAGGTTCTTGGTATTTCCCCACAAGACCTCTTTCACATGTCAGAGACTAGCAACTGTGCAACTCCAAATCGCGCGTTCGTATTGTTTTTTGTTGGGCAGTCATTCAATCTGTTGAAAATCTCCGGTAACGCTGGTTCACAATGCGCTAAACTCAGGGGGGCAGAGATATTCCCGTAATAACCGTCTTCCGCAACTCGTGCTGTCAAAAAGAAACAAGAGTGTGAATAGGCGAATAAGGTTTAAAAATTACAGTTGTGACAGTGATTCGAATATTAATCAAAGTGACAATGCGACAAGAGGCTGAAGTGAAGGCTTTTCCCCCACCGTTCCCCCAAATGCCAGATAAACCAAAGAATAAAAGAGATTGATTGCCTGCAAGCTGCAAAAGGCACGCGACCTCGAGCCGTCTGTGGAGTTCGCCTTGCCAGCAGAGAGGGCTAAGCTTGATATGGAACCGAATCTCTGAAGCAACGTTGGCCTTTTCACGTGTAAACAGAGGCCAATCAGAGCCAACAGCGGCCGATTATCAGAACAACAAGCCCCAAGGAGACCCACGACAGCGGATCTAGCACTTTTCAGTTGATACTGTACTGTAGAGGCAATGCCTAGCATGCAGGGACCGCATCAGGTACATGCACAGTAAGCACAGACTTCAATTGCCGGCTATAGCCTCAACCAAATTTTATACAACCTCCCTGCTTTTCGCCCTCTTCACATGGTTTCTTCTCTTCTCCCCGCCTGTTTGCCCATTTTCCTTCTTCAACCGCAACTCCCCTCCACGGCTTATCGTACTCTTGTAATACTTAATCTTCCAACGGCGAGAACAGGCGGCTAGACCAGGTAACACTCGCCACGCTAGAATATCAAGTGGGCCGAAAGCCCAAATCCTACCACACCAGCGATTGAGCCCAATTTCGAGCTGCAGGGCGCCAGGAAAAGACCAATTGGCGCTCAGGAGAATATCAGAGCATCACAGCAGGGTGGTCGATAGACAGAAAGGCTCACCAGCTCTTCTTCCGCTGCTGCCCATCACTGAGACACCAATAGCCATTGCGCTATCCGCTCTTCTCCTCTTTGCTGCGACTGACTCGCCAAACTCCCAAGATGAGCGTCATTGATATCACCAAGGATCTGGCGGCTTTGTTCGAGCAACAGGCACAAGCTACGCCAGATGCCATCGCCTTGGAGGACGAAAAACGGACTCTCACCTATGCAGAACTCGACAGCCTCACCTGGTCCTTGGCTGATCGTCTTCGGCAGTATGGCGTCGGCCGTGATGATCTGGTGGGAGTGCTGATGGGACGGAGTGCAGACAATGTCATTGCATCTCTTGCGGCTCTGCGAGCGGGAGGCGCTTTTCTCGTGCTGGAGCTGGCGTATCCCACAGGCCTCCTTCAGGATGTCATTGACGATGCGAAGCCGACGGTCATTATCACGCAAAAGGCTCATGCGGCCAATATCAAGGCTGATATTCCCACCATCATCATCGACCAGCCGGAGCCATCCACCAACGGACATGCCGCCCCTATTGTTGTTGAGACGAGAGAGCCTCTCCCTGCAAGTGACGACTTGGACCGCCTGGCATTCGTGTCCTACTCATCAGGCACCACCGGCAAGCCAAAGGGCATTGCAAACCCTCACAGAGCGCCTGTTCTCAGCTACGACTTGAGATTCCGCACGAGCGACCTTGGCCCCGGTGATCGTGTCGCCTGCAACGTCTTTTTCGTCTGGGAAATGCTGCGTCCCTTGATCCGCGGAGCCACCACAGTTGCTGTTCCCGACGGCGCAAGCTACGATCCCATCGGGCTTGTTGAGTTCCTCGCTTCCAGGCGCATTACTGATACTCTCATGACCCCCACTCTGCTGACCACCGTGCTCTCACGGCATCCGAACCTTGGTGAGAAACTCCCGGAGCTGAGGTCATTGTGGCTGAATGGCGAGGTCGTCACAACAGATCTTGTACGACGGGCTTGTAGTGCCCTCCCCAACACCCGCCTCCTCAACGTTTACAGCGCCAGTGAAACCCACGAAATTGCCGTGGGTGATATCAAGACGTTTGTGGATTACGAGGCCCGCGTCTGCCCGGTTGGACCGCCTGTCGATCCTGAGCACATTTATATCTTAGACGAGGCAGGAAACAGGCTGGATGCAGGTGTAAGCGGCGAGCTTTTCGTCGGCGGCGACCTACTAGCGAGAGAGTACCTCAACCTCCCGGAAACAACGGCCATGGCTTTCCAGGTTGATCCTTTTGAGAAGAAGGAGGATGCTCGAATGTATCGAACTGGGGACATGGCGAGGATGCTTCCGTCGGGCCTTCTCGAAATTACAGGCCGAGTCGGTGGCATGATCAAGACTCGTGGATACACCGTGCAGCCAGGTGCAGTTGAGACGACTATTGTGAAGCATTTGGCAGTGCGGGATTGTGCCGTGGTGGCCCACGGAGAGGGCTTGCAGAAGCAATTGGTGGCTTACATCGTCCCCGACAGCGACAATCTCCAAGGCCGCACCATTGTGGTTATCGATGAGGCTGGCCATAGTCCAGTTGCCCGGCGAGCTCTGTCTGCCCATCTAGCACATTACATGATTCCACCCCTTTGGGTTGAGCTCAAGGAGCTGCCTACACACGAGGTCTCTGGCAAGACCAACCTCAAAGCTCTCCCGCCCCCTCCAAGACCAAAGACCCCAGTGCAAACAGCGAAGCTGGAGAAGAATGTGACTATCAAGATGGACACCATTATTAAAATGTGGTCTGCAGCTCTGAATGTCCCCATCCCAATCATCACGCCAAAGCACGATTTCTTTGACCTGGGAGGACACTCTCTGATTCTCGCTGATCTTGCCAGTCGATTGACCAAGGCGTTTGGCTTTCCCGTTCCGCTGGCCCCCCTGGCTGGCAATCCCACGCTGGATGGACACCTTGAAGCCGTCAAGGCGGCTCGCGATGGCCACACCGAGGAGGTGCAGGCAGATCTCCCAGCCGTCCTGCGAGCTGATGCCGTCCTGCCGGAGGACATTAGTGCCGCAGGCGTGCAGATGAAACGCCTCAGCGATGCGGAAACGGTCTTGCTTACGGGAGCCACTGGTTACTTGGGAGCTTTCCTTTTGAAATACCTCCTCGAAAACACCTCGGCGCATATTCTGTGCATGGTTCGATTCACGGATCCTTCAGGAGATTGCCGCCCTGCCGGAATGGCCCGAATCCGCAAGAACTTGATCGACCTGGGCATCTGGAGCGACTCGATGCTGGAGCGTATGGAGATTGTACCGGGCAACCTGGCCAGGAGCCGGCTGGGTCTATCTCCAGAGGCTTTCGAAGAGCTTGCATCTCGTGTTGAAGTCATTGTCCACTCAGCCGCCACTGTCAACCTTGTCTATCCCTATGCCGCCCTGAGAAACGCAAACGTGAACGGAACAAGGGAGATTATTCGTCTTGCCTCGCGTGGCGGAGCAACACTGCACCACATCTCTACCAACGGCGTTCTCCCACCTTCACTTGAGGGCTGGTCCGAGGATACCACAATTGATTTTGACGATGTCCCCAATAAACTGCAAGATGGCTATGGACAAACCAAATGGGTTGCAGAGAAACTGGTGGTTGAGGCAAGCAAGAGAGGCATCCCGGTCAAGATTTACCGACCAGGCACCATCAGCGGCCACAGCGTCACTGGTGCTGCGAATACCTATGATCTTCTCAATGCCCTGGTTGTTGAATCGCTCCATCTCGGTCAGGCTCCCGATGTTGCCGACTGGGTCATGGAAATGACCCCCGTTGATTTCGTCAGCAGAGCCATCATCACACTGGCTGACCACACTCAAGGCCAGCAGTTGGTATACCACCTCGGAGATCCTAGCCCGATCAAGGCATCATCTTTGTTTGACTCTCTAGCCGAGCTAGGCTACGAAACGGGACGCCTGGAGTGGGATGAATGGGTAGACTTATGGAGGGAGAAGCGAGAGTCTCGTGGAGGAGACGAGCCGTTTACCGTCGACATCCTGCGTGGAGGAATGCCCACTGTCGACTTACTAAAGGGCTCTATTGTTCTCAAAGACGGTGCCACCCAGCCAACTCTCGACTTGTATGGCTTGAAGCGCGTCAACATCGACAATGCCCTGCTTGAAACATATATGCGGCACTTTTACGCCCGAGGATGGCTTCCCAAGCCGCCTCGTCGACTTACAGCCAACGGAACAGTCGCAGCTATCGGCGCAAAGAAGGGACGCCTAGCCGGCAAAGTCGCCATCATCACAGGTGCTTCTTCTGGCATCGGCGCTGCAGTCGCCGCAGGCCTCGCCAAGGAGGGAGCATCTGTAGCTCTCGCAGCACGCCGAACCGACGCCCTCGAGGGCATCAAGGCCAAGATCAACAGCAGCATCAGCGGGAGCAAGGTCCTCATCCACAAGACCGACGTTTCAAACAAAGCCCAGGTCGACGCCCTCGTAGCAGAGGCCGCGGAGAAGCTCGGCCCCGTCGACATCATCGTCTGCTGCGCCGGCGTCATGTACTACACCATGATGGCCAACGTCCAGACCGACGAGTGGGAGCGCACCGTCGACGTCAACTGCAAGGGCGTGCTCAACTGCATCGCCGCCACCGTCCCCGGCATGCTCGCCCGCAAGACGGGCCACGTCGTCGCCATCTCCTCCGACGCCGGCCGCAAAGTGTTCCCCGGCCTGGGCGTCTACTCGGCCAGCAAGTTCTTCGTCGAGGCGACACTGCAGGCCCTGCGCGTGGAGAATGCGGGCTCGGGCCTTCGCGTGACTGCCATTCAGCCGGGCAACACGGCGACGGATCTGCTCGGCATGTCTACGGACGCCGAGGCCGTCAAGAAGTATGGCGAGCCGTCGGGGGCCAAGATTCTGGATCCGGAAGACGTGGCGCGGTCGATTGTGTATGCCGTGTGCCAGCCGGAGCATGTTGCGGTGAATGAGATTTTGATTGAGCCACGGGATGAACCCATTTAGATGAGCTGGATATATAGCATTACATACACGTTTTACTCGCTTCCATCTTTTGAATAGTCCCCTTTCTATAGTATCGTCCTAATCAAACTGCTCAAGAAATACATGCTCCATCCCAATTCTTGTTTCACACCTTATCAATCATCCCTCAATCATTAGCATCATAAAGTACACGTAACTGACAAGTTGAAATTATACAACATACCGCCCGGAACATCGCTACGGATCGTCGGCCTCAGCAGAAATTGCCTGCAATGTCCACGCAAGCAGGACCCACTGCGGAGCCGAGCTCCGGTTTTTCGGGATGCCGGTCCTCTTGCTTCTATGCTCTAAAGTTGGACAAGAGTAGAGTCCATGGGGATTTATTGGCCGTATGGGCTGAATTGATAGTTCTAAGCTGGGATAATACCAAAAACTTGTAGAGGCCTCATTCTTCTGTTCACACCTAGTCATGCTCAGCAATTTGATAGACGGTTGACCATCAACCATCTCCATACCCTTGCGGACCCTGCATTTCCACAAGATATCTTCATCTTGTAAATATAGTCTTATGTATAGGTATACAACTCGGTCAATCAATCTGAATATAAAATGCAAATCATCTCATTTACAATCGCCCTTTCAAATACTACATTCTCATCAACTCTGCCTCTCTATCCAGTCCCGGCTCACCGGCACCTCGCCAACCACGACTTGTTTCAGACCAAGAAGATCGCCAACGCCCATCGTCTTGGCATTTTCCCTTCATCCAACAAGTCTCATCAAATCATGCCCATTTCCTCATCCAGCCTCAAAACAATACTCCTGCTCCCCTATTCCTCTTGGCGAACCAAATCTCCAAAAGCTCACCACGCCAAAGATCAGCGCTCTGCCAAGCCAATTCGATCATCCGCATCCTAAAATTCCATCCCCATAGGACTGATCCACGCACGGGAGTAGAATCTCCCTATCAAGTGCCGCTACGTAGAGCTTACATCTTCTTTAAAAGTCTAGCTTTACCTTTTACTCACGAAAATTTGGAACGCTTTTGGCGCCGTTACTGTCGATCATCAAACTTGGGCAGCCCACAAAGTCGTAAGTGGGTATGGAAAAAAGGGGAAAGGGCCGCGTATGACGATGTGCGAGAGGATTCTGTTTTAAGAACATGGCTATGCGCCCACTTGGAGATTTCTCTGTGAAGTAGTCGACTTTTTAATTCTTAGTTTTCTTCATTGTACTTGTTTGACTGTCTTTTTGCTTAATTCATTCATTTAATACACTTCGAGTTGTTGAGCCCGTCTTAAAGGCTACTTCACACAATCGCAACTACCGCCAGCATCTATTGCGATGATTCCCATTTCAGATACCCATCTTGTACTTTATTCTTGAAAGCGTCCATATCCGTTCTCGTTATACTTTCCTTCATTTACACATTTTTTAACTTTTATAAACCTCCACGCAATGCGCTCTTCTCTCATCAGCGCAGCCGCGCTTCTCTTCACACACTCTGCTCTAGCCGACGTCCCGCTCATCACCAATGCAACCGAATACATCGACCTAGCCAACTCTCAAGGCGGCTTTCCCAGTCAAACGTTCCGCTCTTCAGCCATTGTTGCTCCCATATTCTTGGTAAACAAGTGGGAAAAGGACAAAGTCGACAATGCATCATACGTCTTTCTGGGCACAGTCTACGGAGAATGGAAAGCAGGTCCCATGATATTTGACGCTCGCGACATGAGTCTCATATACGCAGATCAGAGATATGAAAATACATATACATCAAACGTACATACCATCAACGGCTCACGCTACTTTGCCTTCTGGGAGGGCGGCCACACCCGCGGCCACGCCAATGGAAACTGCCTCTTCTTCGACGAGGACTACAACCTCAGATACACCGTGACAGCGCAAGGGCTCGGCGATGCCGAGGCCGACATGCACGAGCTTAGTGTTACGAAAGACGGCAGCGTCATCTTCTCGACGTATTTTAATATCCCTTACGACTGCACCTCTGTGGGAGGGCCGGAAAACGCCCTCCTCATGGATAGCGGCTTCCAGGAAGTCGACGCAGCAACTAATCAGTTAATCTTTGACTGGCATGCTTCTAGATTTTTCGACATTAACGACTCATTCGCCATATATAATGGGGATTACGGTGTAAGCCCAGACTCTGGCTTTGACTTTTTCCACATCAACTCTATACAAAAGGTGAGCTTTGCAACAAGAACTAAGACACAGCAGTCATTGTCGCTAATATTTCATCTTCACTTACAGACTGACGACGGCAACTACCTCGTCTCCAGTCGCCACCTCTCCCTCCTCACCCTCGTAGACGGCAAAGACGGCCACCCAATCTGGATCCTCGGCGGCCGCAAAAACCAATTCACAGACCTCTCCAACGGCGAAGCCACCAACATCGGCTGGCAGCACGACGCCCGCATCCTGCCCTCCAACAACTCAAGCGAGACACACATCACCCTCTTCGACAACCACGGCGAATACAGCGGCGTCTGCCAGGAAAAATGCCAAACCCGCGCTCTCCACATCGCCATTGACCCCGTCGCCCTCACCGCCCGCGTGGTCAGCCAGTTCTTCCACCCGGAGAACATCGACTCCGGCGCCATGGGAGGATACCAGACGCTTGGCAGCGGGAATGTCATGACAGGATGGGGACACAACCCCGGCTTTGTAGAGTATACGAGTGACGGAGCGCCCGTGATGGACTTTCAGAGAGGAATTATTGGCAGCGACGTTTTGGCAGACATGTTCGCCTACAGAGTGAACAAGGGAGACTGGACCGGGAGGCCGCCGTGGCCACCGACTATGGCTGCTGATGCACCTAATGCCAGCACAGTAGATGCCACCGTTTACGTTTCATGGAACGGTGCAACCGACGTAGCCTCATGGGCCATAGTAAGCTACTCCATCTCTTCCATGTCTCATAGCACAGATTACTGACCTCGAGATAGTTTGCCTCTGACAATCACAAGACCATAAACAACTATACAAACCTCATTGCCGAATCTCCTCGTCAGGGATTCGAGACCGTTATCCCTCTCACAACAAAAGATATTACTCGCCGGTACCTCGCCGCAGCAGCCGTATCAGCCTCGGGCGACGCCCTCGGTTCAACGGTCGTCCTCGATCTTGAAAACGATGGCCAGCCTGCCATCGTCACAAGCGATATAGTAAGCTTGAAGCCGCCATCCCCTCCTCCTCCTCCTCCTCCGCCACCATCATCTCCGCCGCCGGAATCATCTCCAGTACCACCGACGCCTCCATCACCGCCGTCACCACCATCTCCGTCAGCCTCAATCTCCTCAGACGAACAGAGTCTCAGCACTGGCACGTTAGGAGTAATGGGCGGGTCAGTATTCAGCGTTGTGGGTGTTTTCTACGCCGCAGCATTTTACTGGAGAAGAAAAGCAAGATTAAGGGGTGGCCATGGAGAAGAAGGATACAGAATGGTTGATAGGGAAGACTAAGAGGTAGGATGAGGTATTTGACAGCACATCAATGTAATAGATCAATAAGTATTTCATTTTAGATGAAGGAAAATAGAAGAAAACATCATACAGTTCGTAAAAAGCATTAATCATATGCAGCAAAGATAGGGTATCCTGAACAGTTTACAAGAAACTGAATCATCTCTCGTCATTCGTATCATGCCGTCCGAACTCTTTCCAACTTCCATACCAATGACTCACACATATAACAAGAAAAAAGAAGTCATCAAGTCATCCATGCAGAACTCACACATCCAAACAAAATCGCAACCAGTATTTCCAATGACTGTTGCACAGGCTTTGCAGAATCAGGCATCGTCAATAACGGTACCATTATCGTCAAACTCAAACACCTCTTCAAGAGCCAGTGCACTCTCCGAATCCCGAGCCGCCTCTCGCTGCACCGAAAGAGACATGATGAGTTTCTTGTCCGGCCGCAAGACACCCCACATTTCCGGTATCATCAACACCTTGGACGTCTCTCCTGGAGCGCGGTGCGCCATCGCTTTGAGATAGGCTAGCTGCTTTCCAGCCATCATCCAAGCAAATGGAGAGTTGTCATGTCTTTTGAAAGTAGTTGAAGCTTTAAGGAGCTCCCAGTTACTTGTTGCAGAGTCTCTGGTAGGGTCGGGGAGTAGCTCTGGAAAGCGGCCGCTTGCGAGTAGCTCTTGTGGAGGTTTGATATCGAGCCATTTCTGATATAAAGCCTCGACTTTATTAGCATAATTGGAGATTTCTTCTCCTTTGCCCTTCTTCTTCATACTGATACGCCACTCGGTCCGAAGTCCGTCAATCTCATCTCGGAGATGCGTTCGCAGCTGTCTGCAGTATGAAGCGTCCTCGTCTTTCCCGCTCGCTCTTTCGTCATACTTGTTGTACAGCTTGGTAAGGTCTTCGTCAAAGTTGATTGCGCCATAAGTATTGGTTTTTTGGGTCAGCTCTACCAAGACTTCTTCAATCACCTTTTTAGCAACGTCAAACCTAAGGTAATCAAGAATATGCAACCGGCCTTTAACACGAGGCCTTTCCCCATCTTCTTTCGAATATTCAGGGTCGTCCAGAAACATACCCTTCATTCCAAGCTGGTTTTTAACAAATCGCTTCCAGTCGTCGTCGGTAAACTCAATGCCCTGTTTGCTCTGATCTACCAAGTAGCCAAGCAATTGGCTTAAACGAATAGCACCTTCATCTTGAACCGAATTCCGCATATAGCAGAGCCTTTCTTTAAACTTTGTACATCGGCCCAAAAACGAAGGCTGTAGATTGAACAAAAACGCCTGAGACATGAATTCTGTACAAGCATCTTCGAGGTGTTTAGATACGTTGTCTGCATTCTGGTTGAACTCGCCACTTGTAACACCGTCCAATATATCCGTAAATTTGGTCGTGTTTTTGCGCAGATAGCCACCTTTGATGAAATCCATCTGCTCTGGTACGGAAGCGTTTTGGAAATTCTGCACAATGCTTTGGTCCCAGCATACCCACGCTATGTCGCCATCGTAATCGCCGCCCGACAATTTGTCGGCAAGAGGAACAGATCCCTTTGTTGAGAATATAATGACATCCTTCAGTCTCCGAAGCTCAGGTCGAGATACTACTCTGACTCGCTGGATATCACTGGGTAAATGGGCTGGGGCTCTTGCTACCAAAATATCCATCTGCTCCAGCAGCGTGTCCGAGAACCCTTCAACCTGAAATTTTGTGGAAAAGGAAAGATGTACTTCTCCTTCCTCGAGAGTAGATGAGAAGTCAGCAGCCATGTAGACGTACGCCGAACATGGAACGGTGATGTTCATCTTGGTCTTTAGAGTATCAGCCTTCTTCTGGTAGATGTCCAAAACAGCATCCTTCAGGTACTTCAGCCTCTTCTGATCGAACCCAGAGTCTAGCAAAAAGGCCACTTTATCGGCACTATTATTGGGCAGACCAGCTAGAAATTCTGCAGACCCATCCAACAGCCGATCGTTCCTTGATGGTCCGGATTGATGAATCCACAGTCGAAGACTCATAGTGTCTTTCATCGCGTCCGTTTGTTCTCCAAGGTCGGCGTGCAGGGCTCTCTGTAAGTGCGAAGACATTACCCGCCGCATTAACCCCGAGTCCTTTGACCGCGCTTCCAGCACCGGGATAAATTGCTGATTTAAAGAAGCCGATTTCAGCTCTGCAGGCCAGTTACGTATTTCGAGAGTTCGGTGGTGCACATCTTTGAAATCGCATTCCCATTTCCTTTGTGACGGATATATTTCGACCCAGTCTTTTTCGAAGTCTTCCTCAAAATCACCTTCGCTGTCAACATCAATCAACCACATGCCTTTTGCACTTCCCAGTCGCCCTTGGAAGCAGCTCGGGCAATCTGTCAGCCCAAGCAACTCGGCGACTTTCTTAGCTAAGCTTGCAGAAATGCGGCCAATGCCATCATTCATCACCATCTTACCGGTCCCCAAGTCTTTGGTTCGGATGCGAATCTGATGTCGTTCGAGTTGAACAGTGGGCCAAGTTCGACTCAGGCCTGGTATAGTTTTGTCAGTGCAATCTTCCTCAGTGCAGAGGGATGATATCATGGCTCACTTAATGCTAAACGAGAAAACAGTTTAGTAACAGGCTGTTCAGCATTCCGTTTGTTATCGATGCTAATCGCCCATCGCAGCAGATCACTGATCTTCATCTTTTTGCGGTTATCCATCTCATGTGCTTCCTGCAGCAGCGGAATACCGTCTGGAGTGTTGGGGGGACGAAAAAAATCACCGTCATAAGCAAAAAGATATAGTCTCTCGGGAGGGGGGCCTTTACTCGCCCCCAAACCTTTCTTTCCTTTCACGGAGCGAACAAAGTAAGGTTTCCAGAATCGTCCAAGGAAATAATGGCAAGATCCAATGAGCCAGCCTACAATCTTCTTGAGGCTGTCTCTGTCGTCATCGATGATCTTTGGTTTGCCATCTGTTGATGCAGACGGCGGTGGAAAAATTATCTCGAGGAAGCGGTCGGCACCGAATCGACGCGCCAGGCGATGGCCTAGCTCGAGCTTTAAAGGATTCAGGCGAAGATTATACAGCGGCCCAGTAAGATCCTGGTTGTAAACCAATTCTGCCGAGAGCGCTATCGTCTTCGCTTTGGTTTGGAATTTGCCTAATGCCGTCTCCCACGCAGCTGAGTCGCTAGGTGGAGGTAAACTTTTACCCTGGAAGAGAGGGTGCTTAGAGATTGTATCTCTCAGATTATGCTGATCATGCCATTTGTCGCTCGGTTGATACAATATATCGAATCGATCCAGTGAAACGTTGCAATGAAGAGCAGCTCTGGTAATCTCCCAGATGACAGCGAGGGGTGCTTCTGTTAATTCAGGATGAGGTAATTTGGCTATCTCACAATATTATTAGCTACAATCCGCGAGACTACTAGTAAACGCGAAGACATACGCCAAATTTTGGCAAACCTTTCTTCCAGGGGCTTGCCTACGCAATCACTACCATCTTGGCGTGATTGACTCGATGAAGATGCAGGAACCTGAGATTGCGAATTGTTCGGGTACTTGGATCGGCCACTGAGATCTTCTTTCTCACGAAGAGAGAAATCAGAAAATCTTTTCGGTATAATTTCATCTTCACTTGATCCAGTCGCTTCTGAGAAAGAATCGGCTACTGTGGTTTGCGAGTATGGGTAGTTATTCGAACGACTTGGTAATTCAGAGCCAACAGATGTTTGACTAATGAAAGACACATTTTGCGCTTGCGTTGAAAACACCTCGGAATGAAATGACGTTCGAGTCGAGAGAAATGTCCGATCAAAGGATCTTTGCTGAGGAGATGGGCGAACAGCCTCTCCTTGAGAGCGACTCACAGAGCGACTCCCAGAGGCAATCACCGTACTAATATTCGCAAACGACTCTCTAGAGCGAACTGGAAGGGCATCCACGGCATCATGGTGCTCGTATAGATGGCCTTTGGCCCGTTTCGGAGAAGCATCCTGTATTTCCTCGGATTCTCTCTTACTCCACGGCCTCGATTCTGGATCATCTACTTCGCAGAGGATATCTAGCAGGCATTTTTGAAGAAGAGCTCGATTTGCCGCAGGTGTGGGGTTACCGGGACTCCGTGACGCAGACTCAGACAAAATGATGCGCCCACGCTGTTCAAAATGCCCGATGTATGCGGCTAGCCGATCATCTCCTGTGTAGTACAATTGTTGGATTTTCCGGTATATATCCTCAACTCGAGCCTCTTCATCGCTTCGATAACGCTCTCGGGACTTGCGAGGCGAGAGCGTAACATCGGGCTTGCTGAGCTCCAGAGCAAAGGTATCATTGAGCCTTCGAATGATACGGTCCAGCTCTTGGGCAGATTTCTTGTGCGGACGAGACCCCAAAGGGCCTGACGCCATTGTATATCAAGCGCCCTGAAGCCACTACGATTAGCATCAGTCGTATCAGCAGTTAGCAAAAAGCTTACCAGCTTAGCTTCTGACTCGCCTGCTCTGTCGTATCGCATTTAGCTGGTGGCACTCGGCGATACCCCGCCATCGCGGGAACGGCTTGGCTAGAATCCCAGCTCCCAAAGTGCCTTCACGTGCTGCAATATCACGTGCATCTCAGCTTGGCGTGAGGCAAAATCGCGGACCGCCAGATGATCCGCCCTCAGCTCAGGCATTCTCTATCCTCCGCCCTTTGCTTTCGTGGAGATGCTCGGAGTTCGGCGTTGATGAACTGCACCAGACTGAGGGACGACTCACAAACTCATTGGACAATCGACTCCACTGCATGCAATTGAGATTGATCTTGTATTAAGATTCTTACATCAACCCCAATCATGACTGAAAGTGCCGACGCGGACGAGCAGGTGCCGCTCGAAGATCTGACACCTGAGGAGGCGAGCCGCATCATCCACTCGCATCGGAAAGTTCGGTATGGTAAGGAAATCTCCCACGCAGCTGCGCAGCTCAATACTGTGCAAATTTTCTCCCATCAGACTCGCCCAAGCTCTCGTATAGTTGCCGCGCGGCTAATGCAACTGCAGGGACCGCGTGCTGGCCGTGCCGCCAGCGCAAGGTGAAGTGTGACAACCAGCAGCCTTGCGAGAACTGCGTCAAGCGCGAACACCCTCAGCTCTGCTCATACAAGCCGAACCGATCATCGGCGGGCAAGCACGCCGCCACTGCTTCTCACAGCCGCAAGAGGGCGCGCTCACTCTCTGATGGCGATGACAATGTGAAGGCCGAGCGCGGGGACAGCTGGCCACCGGCAATTGGTAAGTCAACGGCGTCGTGGCATGCGCCCGGTTCACGGCACGTATTCATGATTGACCATGTTATAGGCATCTCCACCAACCAAGAGGATGCCGAATCAGTACCTGATCGCTATGTCGGACAAAACAGCATACCGGCTCTACTCGGGGAGCAATCGCCAAATGACAAGGACGATGGAACCAGCATCCGCCGGGACATGCGCTCCATCCTCGGGCTTGATACCTCGGCGCCCTTTCCTCTCATGTCATCTCAGCATCTTCAACGGATTGCTCGAGACATCGCGACCGAATTGCCGTCGGATAGAGAGGTCATGAAGTATGTCACTGCATTGCGTTGATCACGTCTGTGGATATGTGAATGAAAGCATACTAATATCGTTGAATAGGTTGTTCCGTACATACAAAGAGATTCCGCAACCTTTCTGGGGCTTCGTTATTGATATCGATGAACTTGAATCCGATCTCATGATTTACTTGGAGGATCGATCTCGAAATGCTTCCAAGACTGGCAGAGCATCAAAACCGGTGACGGCCTCCTGGCTTGCTATTCTCTTCGCAGTCTTGGCGGTTGGTTCCCAGTACCATGAATCGCCGTACCATATTCGCACAAAGGATTCGCAAAAGTACATACAGATCTCATTCCATCTGCTCCGGCTAGCAAACTTTTTGTTAAGGTGAGTCATTATACTATCGCACGTTTTCGTACCCTCAGCTTGTCTCACTAACAATTACCTCTGCAGACCATCGTTTGACTCGATCCAGGCGTTACTGTTGACCAACTTTGTTCTTCTCAATGACATGAAAGCTGAGGCATCGTGGGCTCTCACGGGCCTTACATGCCGTCTCGCCCAGTCTCTGGGGCTGCATCGCCCAGCCATTCGCGGCAGCCGCGAAAGCTCACCCCTCGCCGTCAAGTCCAAGGAAATGATTCGACGTAGGCTATGGTGGACATGCGTCTGGCATGATACCTTGACATCTCTATCATTCGACCGGTAAATCTGCCCCTTTTCATCGACGAGATGTAGAATGCAATGCTAATACCGACCATGCATAGGAGCTCAATGACGAATATTCCGAGCTGTCCAATTCCTCAGATCGGGGACGCAGCCATTGGAAACTACAACTACTTGGAAATGATGTACAACCTCGTCGAGATCATCTCGCGCCGACTCAACCCCGATGTGATGGCCATCTCCAGTTACGAACAGATTATTGGAAACTGCGAGGCAGTCGAAGAGCTTCGTAAACGTGCGGCCCCCCATATGCAGGACAAGGAAAAATGCAAGACAGCGCTGGACCGCCTCCAATTCTTCGCCATCCACCTCCATACGTCGTTTGTCATATCTGTGGCGTGCCGGCCGGCGCTTCGAAGGGACTGTCCCTTTGAGCCAGCTCAAAAAGCGGCTCTGTCGGAGAAGTGCAGGGTCAACTTGACCGACACGGTCAAGATGTTCCTCGCCATGCATCAGCTTTCGGTGATTCCGACGCGAAGCTGGGCCTTTACTTACCACGGTCTCTCGTCAGCTTTGCTGCTTGGTCTGCTTTCCGATACCAAGTCTGACCCTGAAGTGCGACAGCTCCAGGGAGATTTGATTGAAGCTCTCTCCGCAACCGCAGCCAAGGATGTTAGCTCCCCAGAGGCTCATGTTGCCAAGACAGATAAGGACATTGAGCTCTCCGGTCCCCTGTGGAGAGCACTTACCGCGCTCAAGAACATATACGACCATGGACAAGTCAACATGTCGAGCCTTAAGCGAGATGGCGACATGTCTGCAGCGGCCAGCGGAAATCGTACTCCCTTGCTACACCTTGGACTGAATGGCCAGGGCAATTATAATGCCATGATTTCGAATCCTTCATTCCGCCCCTTGCCGCCGGGTGCGGATCCCCGCGAAGACGCAGCGATGGCCATGGCCGAGATGCAGAACGGTTCATCCATACAGGACATGTCTGCGTAAGCAAAAGAGCGAATTTGTTTTACCCTAGGATCCCATTTGAAGCTAACTTTGGTGTACTAGAATGAGCTATCCTCAGCAAATGCCTGGCAATCTTGCTATGGACGGCATCCCGCCTATTGTCGACCCGATGCAGTTCAATGCTCCCATGGAACTCTACGATTCTATCTGGGTTGGTAAGTCATGATTGCTACCGCACCAGTCTGCCATTTATAGAGAAACGTAGGCTAACTGATGTATTAGAATCTCCCCCTGACCCGTGGAACACCGGCATGGATGCCTTCAATTTCGACTTCCTGGCACAGCCGCCACCCGGTCAAAATCACCAGCAACAGTACTACTTTTAATTTCTGGACAGCAGATTGTACGACTTTGTGTTTGTTTTCTCCTCTTTGTCTTTTCTTTTATTTTTCCGAATGCTGGTGTATGTAAACGTAGAAAGTAGGTTGTAACTATGGATGACGATGATGATGGATACCCCATAGTACGACAAAAGACTGAAAAAGGAGTTTGCTTTTTGTTTTCGCTCGTTCTCTGTACAAGGGAGTGGTGGGTTGTTGGATTAGTGGATTCGCACGCATATAGACTACAAAATGATTATAATGATATCTCTACGAGTAAAACTTCTCCATCATGCACGGCACGAAGTGATGGTAGCCAGGAGACAGTTGTCAGCGCTCTCTTTGATCATCCAGGTATGAGAGACAAAAGCTCTCATATTCAGATCGCAACTAGAGCCCGAAAAGGGGTTACACACTAGTGATAAACCGCCATTCCAGAACTGCAGTTTGCGACGATCGGTGCTCATCACTCAACGTGTCTCCTGTCTCACCATGCATCTCCATCATCACCCAAGGCAATTAGTATCAGCAACACCAACACCACAATAAGAACCAAAAGAAAAAGAGTAGTCAAACGTCATTTCTATACATCATTTTTTCCAAATCTACCATTTTGACTTTTTCCATTTTTCTTTTTTTCTTTTTTAATTTTTCTTTTTTTTTTTCTAGTCTTCCCGTTTATTTCTTCGTTTTTCTCGACGTGCTAGAAACGAGCTTCTTCTTCAGATGCTTGGGAATCTTCTCCTGTCGTTTCTCGCGCTTCGCCTCCTTGACAGCCTGTTTATGTAGCTATAAAAATATGTCAGCCAACAAATTCATCTTCATGTTACTTCAAGATGGAAACTTACCTTCTTCTCGTCCTTGTCCTCAAACTTGCGCCCTCTCGGCCTTCCTTTGTCAAACCGGCTCTCATCATCCCCAGACTCATCATCATCACCGCCAAGAGAAGCTCCCTCTCCAGACTCATCCTCTGACTCCTCTTCATCTACCTTGTTCTTTTCACCACCATTGGGGGCAGCAACAACCTGGTCAGCCAGCAACTTGCTATACACCAACTCATTGCCCTCTCCCAGCCCCAATCTCTTGACATCCTTTTCAATATCATACACCTGCTCCAGCGTCTGCGGGATGTACTGGTTTCGAAAGACCTCCGTGTCGACTTCCTCCGCAGCAGCCTCCTCCTCATTTGTAGCAGCCTGCCGTGTCTCGTACAGCTTCGCAATGGCCTCGCCCATGGCGGGCTCCTCGACCGGCCCCGCCGGCACGGTGATGAAGTTGAAAATGGCCCGATCCGGCAGCGTGTCGACGCCCTTGCGGCGGAAGAAGTCGCCCACGTTCTTGATGTCCATGCGCAGAAACTCGAGCGATCGGGGATGGTCCGGCTCCACGCTCTGCGACACATCAATAATGTACAGCTTGCCGTTGTGGTAGAGGATATTGTATTCGCTCAAATCAGCGTGGACGAGTCTGCAGATCTGGTACATCCGTCGCATCGTGCCCAGGAGCTGCACATACAGATTCTGCCACTGCTGGTCCACATCGTCGCCCTTTAGATTCGCATCTCGCAGCCGCGGGTACGCCCATCCCTTCCTATCGCCCAAGAATCCCATCACCAGCACATGCAGCTTCAGCGCCAGCGGCTCCGGACAGGGAATCCCGGCATTGTATATCCTCCTCAGGTTGCGATACTCCTTCTCAGCCCACAACTTGACCATCTTGCGACTATTGCCCTTGTCGAAGCCGCCCTTGAAGCGGTGCTCGCCCGTAATGTAGCGCTCGCGATCCTTGAAGACCAAAATGGCCGTCTTGTACACCTTGATGGCCCGCTGCGTCGCCACGCCCGTCTCGTCATCATGCGACACGGCGCCGTAGACATTCGCCTCCTTGCCCGTGCTGATGGCGCCGTGGACCTCGCTGACGACGCCGCGGTTGATCATCTGCAGCAGAATCATGCGCGTGCGCTGGTCCAGCACCTGCTCGCTGGTGGCGCGGTCGGCCTTGTCCTTGTCGCGGTCGTCATCCTGCTTGACCGAGTCGAGGCGGATCTTGACGGCGTGCTTGGACAGCGCCGAGACCTGGTCGTCGACGCTGGCAAAGGTGTTTGCCTTTGGCTTCTGCGCATTGGACCGCGGCACGGCGGCACCAGCATCCGTGGCCTGTCGCTGGCGGTTATAGCTCTTAGTCAGGTCGCCGTCGGCGGCCCATTCCTCGTCGTCGTCAATCTGGTCGTCGTCGTCGAAAATGTCCTCGAGGTCGTCGTCGTCGCCGTCCACGGGGAGCGGGGCATCGGCCTGTTGCCTCAGCAATTCGCGGGGCACTTCCTCGGTCTGCTCGTAACCCTGGCTCGCCGTGTACTGGTATGGTGGCTGGTGAGGCGCCGCTGGAGAGGCTGCGGCAGCGTCTGCAGCGTCCATTTTTGCTGTTGTTTCTGCTTGGTGTTGTCTTTGTTTCCGTCTTGTCGTCTTTCTCTATCAAGGTAATCGCGAAAATGCAGAGTCGTGGCAGCGCTGTCAAGTTTGAGCGGTCGATGCTCCAGAAATTATGTTGGACCGTTTTCGATTTTTATCTTATCTCGAAATTTTGGAGTTTCCGTGTGGTGGCGCATAAAAAATTCGGGTACTTTGCGCCAAGTCACTCCATGCACTGACGTAGCAGCGCAATAGCGGGGTTTTCCACTGACTCACAGGGCACTAGCAGCAAAATGAGTACATGCTGTGGATGTATTTCTGCACGCACTTCTCATCGTCGACCACTACGCCTCTGCTTCTATCCTCATGAGCCTCATATCCTTGTCCAATTTCTCAGCAGCGGTTGTGAATAGTCATTTTGTGAGTCAAGCCGCATCTGACTCACGTTTACTTCAAGTCAGACCTTCACGCCGTCAAGCTGGTCGGGTCGGCTTCTCCAGAAAATCCATCTTGATGCCGTATATGCCAAAAAGCCCATCCATGTGATGTGATTCAAGTGAGACATGGAATATGCACTCAACGCCAGCACCGCCATCCATGCAGAATATCATAGGTAAGCCAATATCGATGCCGTCACCTTGTCAATATCCGTTGCGTAAATCCATCAGTCTCGGCAAGAAAATCTGGCCGTCGAAATGCAGCCGTGACCATTGAATAGTAGCGTGGCCGTTGTGAGGGGCTTACACGCACGCGTCTGCCTCTCCAATGTCTCGGTCGTTCCCTCAATGATCACCATGAAAGAGATGAAAATGTGTCTCAGAAAATTTGTCGTGTCACCCGTAGAATTGCAGCATTTCCCCCAAGCCATCGAGCTGGAGCAAAGTTTTCCCCATGCACATGCTCTTGGTAGCATTCCTGGACAAGTCTTTGGGCGTATCATCACGGGGGTTGGCCAAGATATCGACATGTCAGAAGGCGGGCTGCAGCATTCTGTAAGTCGGCAGAAGGGCGCTGGAATCTGCAGGATGGAGAGCCGTTTCATGCCGGTATGCTCTTGAGATTATTATATAACAGACGCAGACGAGTCGCCAATATCCATTGCCTCGTCTCATCTCAGCCCCAGGGGAAAGCAACAGGCTGGTTGTTTACTACTGTTGAATATCATCTTCTCCTTCTTGTGTAATAGTTTCATCAGATTGCAACAGCACTTAATCTCATCATGAAGTTCCACGCAACGTCCCTCGCCATCGCGTGTCTAGCAAGCTCTGCTTCCGCAGCAGTCGCCCAGCCAAAGGGCACCGCAGAGACCACCCCCCAAGGAGAGGAATTCTCCATCACCCAGATCAGAAACGAGCGATGGAAGGGGCCCAATGCGCCGGCTGCCTATATTGCGGCTTTGGCAAAGTATAGCCCTACGATTCCCGATAGTATCAAGCACGCGATAAGGGTCAATCCCGGGCTTCGCCAGAAGTTTGGTAAATTGATCAATGCTGGTGAGTAATGCTTGCCTCGACACAAATCCTTTGGAGAAGTCGTAAAAACTGAATCGATGATAAGGAAATCAAACGGGCACTGGTGTCGCGACGCCCTCTCCTGGAGGAGACGCAGAATATGTGCTCCCAGTCCAGATCGGCACACCTCCTCAGACGCTCCCCCTAAACCTGGACACTGGCTCATCAGACCTGTAAGCACCCTCCAACAGTCCGAGAAAGTTGAAAATCCAGAACCAAGGCCGTTTAAACCATCTCTCGTCTGCATGTCACTAACTCTCTCGTCTCCAGCTGGGTCCTTTCAACAGACACATATCCGTCCCAAGTCGAGGGCCAGCCGCTGTATAAGCCAAACAACTCCACCACATCCAAGCGCCTGCCCGGAGAATCCTGGGTCATCCAATACGGCGACGGCTCCAGCGCCAACGGCATCGTCTACACCGACCGCGTGCAGATCGGAAACACCTTCTTCAACACGCAGGCTATCGAGTCGGCCATCAACGTCTCGGACGAAATCAGCGACGACACCTTCTCGTCCGGCCTCCTCGGCGCGGCCTTTAGCACCGCCAACACGGTCCGCCCCGACCAGCAGAAGACGTATCTCGACAACATCAAGGACCAGCTGGTCAAGCCCGTCTTCACGGCCAACCTGAAAAAGGGCAAGCCCGGCAACTACAACTTTGGCTACATCAACGCCTCCGAGTACACGGGCAACATCCAGTACGCCGCCATCAAACCAAGGTCCCCCCTGTGGGAGATTTCCGTCAGCGGCTACCGCGTCGGCAGCAACGACACCAACTACGTCGCGCGGGTCTGGAACGCCATTGCCGACACGGGCACTTCGCTGCTTCTTGCTCCCGTCGACATTGTCAACGCCTATTACAAGCAAATCGCCGGCTCCAAGTTGGACAGTGGCTATGGGATGATGGTGTTCCCTTGCAACACAACGCTGCCTGACTTTGTCTTTGGCCTGGGCACTTACAGAGGCGTCATCCCGGGATCGTACATCAATTACGGAAAGATTAACAGGACGTATTGCTTTGGAGGAATCCAGTCGTCCGAGGACGCACCCTTTGCCGTGCTGGGAGATATTCTTTTGAAGGCCCAGTTTGCCGTCTTTGATATGGGGAATAAAGTTGTTGGATTCGCAAACAAGCCTGTCTAGACGGCGAATACGAAGCTCTGCTCCTCATGAGTGGATGACATGATGATATAATGCTAGGTAATCTGATTTTCTTTCCTTATGTGGCAATGATGCCAAGGTTCTAGAATACTCTATTCAAGGCATTATCTGGTTGGTTTAGCTATTTTTTAAAGTTGTTTGTCTAATCTAATGAAATAATCTCCGATGAATCCGTCAAGTCTTTCGGCCCCTAGCGCCGCTCTTTGTAGTATTTTTTGATGACACGCCTCTCACTTACACGAAGATTAGCTTAAATCCGCTGGCGAGCACGGCTTGGCAGCAAGAAAATGCGAATTGACAATATACTAAAAAATGATTTCAATGCAAATACTGCTCTATATAGGAAAAATTCATTCATTCACATGGATACAGGGTAGGCAGCTTATTTGTCAGAAGCCATCGCCAAGAAGGGCAATTTCTAAGCACGCATGGTGGCATGTAAGTCGGACGAGTTGCTGCTGATCCGAGGACTGGAGTCTAATTCCCGCTTAGCCAGCATGAAGGCTCCCGTCTTCTGAGGTCATTATGAGAACCAAAAAGATAGTCATCACTACAGTATTTATGAGACGTCAAAAAAAGCTAAATAAGAGCCCTCCGCCTCACTGCTAAATGATTGTCGAGGCCCCTCGCCTGCAGCTCACCTTTGCCAATCTCCAGGCCCTCAACCGCCAACTCAACCCCCGCAAACACACGATGGCCTCCAACATGCTGGTCCTGGGCGCCGGCGAGCTGGGCCTGGCCGTGCTGGAAGCGCTCGCCAAGCACCCCAAACGCAGCAGCAGCCACAGCATCACCGTCGCGCTGCGCCAGGCCACGCTGGACTCTGCGGCGCCGGACAAGAAGCGGCTGGTGCAGCAGCTGCGCGCGCTGGCCGTGGGCTTCGAGGCCGTCGACGTGGTGCAGGCGTCGGTGTCGGAACTCGCCGCCGTCTTTGGCAGATACGACACGGTCATCTCCTGCACGGGCATGGGGCTGCCGGCGGGCACGCAGACCAAACTGGCCCGGGCCGCGCTCGAGGCCAATGACGGGACCAAAGCGAACAAGGTGCGATTCCTGCCGTGGCAGTTTGGCATGGACTACGACGCCATCGGCCTGGGCTCCTCGCAGGACCTGTTTGACGAGCAGCTGGGCGTGCGGGCTCTGCTGCGCGGCCAGACCGCCACGGAATGGCTCATCGTGTCGACGGGCCTCTTCATGAGCTTCCTCTTCGTGCCGGCCTTTGGCGTCGTCGACCTCGCGGCCAGGACGGTGCGCGGCCTCGGCTCGTGGCACAACCGCATCACGCTGACCACGCCCGAGGACATTGGCCGGGCGACGGCAGAAGTCGTGCTGGACCCCCGCGGGCTTGTGAATGAGTGCGTCTACGTGGCCGGCGACACGCTCTCGTACGCGCAGCTGGGCGACTTGCTGGATGATCGCTTTGCAACGCCCTTCCGGCGCGAGCTGTGGGATCTCGACGAGCTGGCGAGGCAGATGCGCGAGCAGCCGGACAGCGTCATGGTCAAGTACCGGGACACGTTTGCGCAGGGCAGGGGGGTTGCCTGGGGGCAGGAGAAGACGCTGAACCGGGCGCGGGGGATGGAGATGACGGGTGTGAGGGCCTATCTGGAGGCCATGGACGCATCCGTGGGAGAGTGATGGAGGTGGTGGCTGTCGTGTAAGCGGTGATGCTTATCTACGAGGAGGGTCTGTTCTGGGCTTATCAGATAATACATGTAGACACTAATAGAAACGCATCAATAAACGCATTAGGTTATTAACATCTTGATCGGCGTTATCTGCCTTATCAGATGGAAACGCGGGCAGAATGCGTTCTGCGGTGGTATTACGGCTTTGAGGGCCTGCTGCAAGTCGGAAGATGCATGGGGAAACGCATTTGAGATGGATGGCCGGCTGCATGATAGGTACTATTGTTCAACATACAACAGCGGAGTAGTATTCCATACCGCTGAGAATTAGAAATAGCCAAGCAACAGCTGCATTGTGAATAAGAATGCAATGTACACGGTACTGCCGCATTCCACGCGATACCAACCTCCCTCTTGCGGCACCTCTGCATGCTCTATCCATCAAAGACACGAGAATCCGGCAATCCTGCCACAGCATCTCCTCGGATACTCGCTCTTTTGTCCCGTCTCCATTTCTTCCCCCTGAAATAAGCCCGCGGGTAAGACCGTTTTGGCTTACTAGATATTTGAGCACTTTCAAAAGGCCATTGATGCTTGTACAATTGGAGCCTGCCTGCTGCATTACTCGTATGATGGACCGCGGGCTAACAGCACTCTCCAGGAGGAACAAAGGCGGTCTCAAGCGCCGCCTCCTGACCCTCAACGGCGCACATTAGCCTTCCCCGCATTGTGTGCTGTCCTTGTCCCGTGCTAGTGTAGGACCTTTGTACATGATGCTGTGTTTGTCTGCTTGTCTGCTTGTCTGCTCGTCTCTTTGTTGCTGCCCGTCTGCCTCTCCCTTCTTCACATGGTGGGCGGACTGGCTCAGAGCCTCGGGAGCAAAGCTGAAGCGTGACCCAATGACTGGACTCTCATTGCAGCCTAGAGAGGCCAACCACTGGAACCAGGTTAGTAGCACCACCACAAGAGACATTTCAAGCCACAGATAACACAGCGCTGCCATGTGAGTTGCCTTGCCCGCCTATCAGCTTGCAACGTGAGCCTCTGCCGGTACTGTGCGCTTATCTCCGTACCCTGTACTCGGTATCTGCTGCATGCCTCCATACTCCGTCACAGTACAGGTACTTGTCCAGCGCTTACGGACTCGAGACAAAACCCGGGGCAGCAGGATGCCTCATCCCCGGAAGCCTAAAATGGGCTCTCGGAAGCGCGTGGCCGGAGTTTGCACTTGTACTCTGTACAGCTACTCGACCTTTGGCCAACAGAGTCTCCTCGTCTGTATTGAGGTAGCCCTCCGTACAGGCAACTCTATTCTGCCATCTGCGTATAAAATACAGTATGAGCTCTTGAATGCTATTGATGCCTATCCCACCGAGTTTGTTCACATCCATATTCCATGTCATCAAGTCATCATCAGCAACCCCCTTTCCCTACCGTGTGACCCTCTCGTACTGTATACCGCTGCTGATACCAGCCCTCGGTCGGTTCCTGGCCGTATCCACCACGTTCCCTGTACTCCGCACTCTCTGCACGCAGGCGGGTCTTGGGTCTCGCCGCTTTCCTCTTCCGGCGCGGCCTCCTATTCTGCCCTCGTCCTCTGCCCGGTGACACACCAGCACACCTTACCTCATACTGTACCCGTGGCTATCTGCACACCTTCATTTCAGCCTGCAACACCGCCCAAACAATGGCTCGCACTGCTTCCTCCGTACTGTATCCTGCCCGTCAGCCTCGCCATGGCGCCCTTCCGCTTCCGGCCAACAAGCCCCCCCTTTCCCGAGCCCAGCCGCCAACGCGCTCTGCGTGTCTTGCTATCCTCGGTGACTGAGCTGCGCCACCAGCCCGGCCGCTTCCTTGGACGAGAGTGAGTCACGTCATGCGCTCGCCGCCAGCACGGCCAGATGACTCCCCCCAGGCCAATCAGCACGCCATGCAAGTGACGGCGAGATAGGCGTCTCAGGCCTGATGGACAAGTGGTATAAGAGCATCGCTGGCTGGGCCGCGGGACATGGGCATCCAAAAGGCCCCTCTGTCCTCCTCCTCGCTGCTGCTTCTTTGTTCTTCTACACGGCTCTTTGAGCTTCTTCTTCTATTACTACTACGTTCTGCTACTTGCCACAAAACGGCCATTAGCATTCCGGCTTCCTTCTGGGACACGCCTTAATACTATCACGAACGCGCCTTCTGTAATTGGAGTGCGTTACTGTTCGTCTTCTGCGCCTTGGTTGTAATCTGTACTCTAGCAGCGCTCCTTTGTCCTTTGTAAGTGAATCCGCCCATTAAGCGAGAGCCCCTGTGCTAGTAGCCATGACATCCTTGACTGACATGTCATCCCTTATCCTTCGCGACAGTTCATCTCTTCTTCCTACGCCCTACTCCAGTCGACTTTGACATCTTCATCTTCGACCTTCTTCCATCGTCCACCCGTATCTGATCGACCACGAGGCATCTTTCTCTTATCTGTCCACAACAACTATACACACACCTATATATAACTTCATCATGGAGGCCATCGTGGATCGCAGCGCCTTTACATCCCCGGCTGTCAAGCGCCATATCCAGTCCAAGCGCGGAGCCATTCGACGCCGCGGTGCCAACTATTTCATCAGGTCTACCGCGAAGCGCTTGGCCGAGTCTCCAAACCTCGCCTATCATCAGCTCGCCTACCCGTCCAGCTATCCCTGCCTCACCGGTGCCAAGAAGGCCTGCCGAAAGGACGGAGGCCCCGTCGAGGGACCTCGTCCTCTCCGATCACAGATTGAGAATGATCTCCGTCAGGTCGTCTTCTCCCATGCTTCGGCAACCAGGCGGGAGCACCGTGTGCCGAGGGTATCACCTCGCAAAGAGGCAGACGAGGGCCGGGAGCTCGCCCGCAGCGCCGTTGCACTCCCAAGTGATGCGCATCGGCTTGTAAGACGGCCCAGCTTGGAGCGCGAGGAGGCTTTCCGCGTTGCAAGCACCGCCAAGGGCAAAGTTCACACTCGCGCGTCTCCCGAGAGCGACGATGCGCAGGTTGCTGAGCTCTACAACCAGGGCCTGCTCTACGACGACGAGGAACAGCGCCCTGAGCAAGTCTTCAACCTCAACAGCATCCAGCACGAGGACCCTGTGTATACTATTCGACCTGCAAAGCGTGGTCGCAGGTCAAAGAAGGGCGGCAAACCTGCTGCTCTCACACTCTCCTTTACCGACCTTGGCGACTACAGCGCCAAGGCCTCAACATCTCACCTTTCAACCGCTGATGACTCAACCATCAGCGAGGCATTCCCTCCTTTGAGGGTAGTCTACGAAGCCGACGCGTCAAATCCATCATTTGATGTGGAGACATCTCAGCCTCCAGACTTGATGATGGACGACAGTCTCTCTGACTATGACTGCTTCTCTGACGGCGAGCTTGACGACGACGTTCCTTCTCAGACGGAGGTTTTGGAAAACGCAAACAACCCGTCCGCAGAAACTTGGATCATGCTAGGTTGATCGGCTCGTAGCAGGTCTGCTTAGGATCCCCCCGTGCCCCGCCGGGATTTGGAAACTGGACAGGTGGGAGAGCCTCACCTCAGACTGGTCCATCACATAATCTAGCATGATTGCTTGTTTTCTGCGGGCGTTTTTTATTGTCTTCTTTTTTTCTTACTAGGGGGATAGAAATGGAACGGATTTTTCCGGGGATTGGGATAGATAAGATGTCTGTATACTACAGCCTGCATAGCGACTGGTGTACCGACAGAATCCGTGATGACACTTTATACTCCTATATGGATGGGCGGCGACGCGTTTCTTTCTTAGCTTCTTGTTTGGATGATTACGGACTTTGTCTAGCTAGGTGTTTTAGTCACTGATACGAGTGTTGCCATGGCGCGCACTGGAATACTATTACGATTCTATTCTCTTGCAATTGATTGTAAGCCCTGCTTAGTGACAATGAGACATGGAAAGGGTCTACTACAGTGTTTGTAGGGATTTCATGCACTTGGATATCTGACAGTATTTGTTTCAAATTAACCAATGAACTGTGCGAATTCTGCGGGTTGAAGCTTGCAATTACAGTGAAAGGTGACACGTCTTACTGCTGTTTGAGAGCCATCAGGATCTATTCATCTGGCGCTGTGGATTCTAATCTCTTGACCAAAGTAAGAGTGATACAAAAGTATTCCTATTGTCGTGGCTGCATTCTTACCAAGTGCTGCGACAGCATTAAACGGTGACTTCATCAACACTACAATGACGTAATAAGCCGTTCGCATGTGACAGTTACACAACGCGCTTTTGCTGCTCATCATATAGGACGCGTTGTATGCCCGATTGGGGTTAACATGGTCACTAAGGAAACGGAACACTGGCTCCGGTTGTAAACTTTCCGAAATTCTTGTACGTCAGAATACGCAATTGGTGAATATCCGATGAGCAGCGGATGAGAATGATGTTCCGGCTGGTGGCGCTGGGCCGATGTTAGCCTTTGTTCCGTGAGCTGGGGCTGGACAATGGCGATCTGGTGCGGGCCTTGGAAAAGAAGCTTAATTTTTGTTTTACGATTCTTGAAAGGAGATGTTGTATTTATATACGGGGCACAAGACTCGTTATATGATCACAATGTCGTAGTATTGGGGCGGGATCGTTGTATACGCGTCGGTCTTACAAGAGACGGGTGCCCTGTGCTGGCTATGTCTCATTTGTTGTGTAACTGGGCGCAGTCGAGCCCCGATAATGGTCCAGACAGTGGTTGAGAAGGCACATTAGAATATGTCATGTTAGTAATCTAGATATGGCCAGGACGACTTGGTCTCTACAAGGTATTTGTACTGAATGTCCAGTATTGTGCATTCTATCCGCGCTTGCCTGTATTGAACAGCCAATCGAAATATATTCAAATCTATATAGAATTCTCTTAAAGAGTGGTTTGTAGAATATAGGTACATGTAGTTATTATACACAAGTAGGTGCTACATAAGTAGTCCACGTAATACGCGATGCAAGATATGTTTTGCAGAGCTCAACCCAAATTCAGGCCATTTTATGACAGTGGCGATTAAAGTTGGATTTTATATCGACCAAATTTCAAGGATATTTACCATAATATTACTCCTATAGAATATAAAATGAGATGGTGACTGGTCTCTTCAACATGTCAAATCTTGGCTGTATTGACAAATGACGTGATCAAGGGAAGTTCTATTGTTAAAAGTTTCTCATGGTCAAAAGTTTCCCACGATCGTGGGCCACGATTGAAATTCTCCCTTTAAAAAAAAAAAGCATGTAGTTCTTGCAATTCTGATAAACCAATGCCTCACATATCTGGCTCAATCAAAGCTTGCTGCGAGTGATAACGGTAGGTGGAGCGATGAAATTATGATTATCAGCACTGATAATGAACATTCTTGAGAAAAGAGAGCTACTGTCTTCAGTTTGCCTCACCTGCCCAGTAACTAGTCCACCTCTATCTGCATGTGACCTCAACACTGAGATTAATGATTTTTGGCCCTCACCCCCCTCGGAGAAAAAATAACAAGCGTGGCAAGTAATATTAACCGGATCAAAACAGTTTGATGGTGTACTCCCCGCTGCCTTATCTACATCCCCTGATATTTAAGATGCAGAAGACCTTACATACTACAAAGGTCGCAATAATGGTTGGGACGGTAGACGTCGAAGACAGCAAGTTAGATGCAGTTTTACAGGCTTCAGAAGCCCCCAGGATAAAATTCCTGCCAAGGATTTGAGAAGAAACTGGCATTTCTATCCACTAAATGACCTGATATACGTGATTATGTCCGAAACCTTCCACTATAGTGGCTTGTGGCTGAAAGTGCAAAGTGTAGCCATTCTACTTGTAGCCATATCTTGCGCATGCTTTTGAAGTTTATCAAGTAAGCCCTGATAAGCTTTCGAATCATTGTTGCCTTTGCTATTCACTTCATCAATCACTTTCAAGTGTTGAGTGGTCAGGCAGACCCACCCCCTTTGCCAAGCCCGCTTTGTTGTTCTGTTTGCAACGAGCCGTTTGCGGCCAGGCATATTTCCCTCGCCCGCCTCGCTTTTCTATTTTTTGCAATATAACCCTCTTCACTCTTTGTCATGAAGTAAACAGACAGCAAGATTCTCGTCACCCCTGCTTGTTTTCATCAAAAAGAGCACAGACAGGAGCAGCTCACCTTCGGCTCGGTTGGTAGCTTTGCTCAACTAGACAAGGCAAATATGGAGGCATTCGGAAATGCCCAAGACGCGGCTCGATTGGAATCAGCCACCATTCTACTCGACGCACTCAAAATAGGCGATTCTCAAATTCCAACGCTTATTGATACTGTTTCGGACGTGGCCAAAATGGTTGATTCTCTCAAAGGACTGCCGACTTCACCGCCATCAATATATATCGACCTCGAAGGGGTCAAGCTTTGTCGACACGGCACCATCTCGATCCTACAGATGTACATTCATCCTTTGGACCGAGTGTACTTGGTCGACGTTCTCGTCCTGGGAGATGAATCCTTCTCGACATGTGGGGAAAGCGGCCTTTCTTTCAAGAATATTCTTGAGTCACGAGAAATTCCCAAAGTATTTTTCGATGTTCGCAACGACTCGGATGCGCTACATCACCACTTCCAAATCAAACTAGCTGGCATTCTTGACCTTCAGCTCATGGAGCTCGCTACACGGAACACACCTCGCAGATTTGTTTCTGGACTCGCAAAGTGCATCGAAAGAGACGCGCCCCTCTCTTACTCTGAGCGGCGCAACTGGATGCGTATCAAAGATCAAGGAAATCGGCTTTTCAAGCCTGAGGATGGCGGCAGCTATGAAGTGTTCATCGAACGCCCCCTGCAAAGGGACATTAGCCTCTACTGTGCCCAAGATGTCCAGATTCTGCCTCGCTTGTGGGAACACTATGGCAAGAAGATTACGGTTTCTTGGATGCAGAAAGTGATTAGGGTTTCGGAGAAGAGAGTGGAGGAGTCTCAGTCGCCGGGTTACACTCCAAACGGACGTCACAAGGCATTGGCCCCTACTTGTTGGTATTAAGCTTGATATGAGTGCTATCTGGGGTTTCCTATTCTCGTTTTACCTTGGTTTTCTCTTTTCATCATGGAGGAGTTGGTTATATTCTGGATTCCTGGGCAGGCACCTTGATTTAGCGTTAGATTTACTTTCGCCCGATGGGGTATTGAATCGATAATCAGGCAATCTGTCCCTACCCATTTGATTCAATAACAAACTTCGATAGGCGCAGCTACAGCAGCTAATTATAATAAGGTTCGGGTAGATCACGGCGACTAGCACTAGATCGCCGCAAGCAACATCGCAAATAATAAAGTTCCACGCCGAGGTGACTCAACCATCAAGGTGACGTGGCTTGCAAATCTCCCTTGCGTCGCAAATATAAAAACCCTCAATGACTCCCATAATTGGATCAAAACCTTTCTTCATTCCTTCTTCAAACAACAATACAAATTTTGCAACGACGCGATAACTCTTCAAGACAACCTCGTGGCAGAGAATAAACTCGCGGGGCTAATCAAACTCTATAATCGATCACGTTGACCGTGGACGACCCAAAAGAGGATGTATCAAGGGCCACAGTTGAAGGGTTACAGGCTGGTGCCGACAAACAGCAGCCATATCATTGACTATACCAGTATCTACGGCCGAGAAGACAGAAGTCTCAAACAAGGAAATTAATGATTAAAAAGTCACTTTAATAGGTAGTTTATCTCTCTATATTTGTAAGGAATAATTCCATTAGGAGTATCACGACCTATGAATTATTCTTTCCAAGTGTAGTCAGATAAACTACCTATTATCGTGACTTTATAATTAGTAGCTTCCTTGTCAATTAATCTTTCTTCTACCTGCAGCTATTGGCATACAATTATATGGCTATTGGCTTACCAGCGATGTCTTGTGCCATTTCAAATGTGGCCCTTATCGCAGCCTCTTTCTGGTCGCCATTGGCCATCTTGATCGATTACAGAGTTGGCTTAGCCTGGGGTATTCTGCTGTACGACTGTCTTACCGGGGCATTGGCGGACTCGAGACATTCCATTAGCCTCATAAAGTATGGTTCAAGATGCTGGATATATTTCGGCCGCCGACCCATTCAAGTGATATTCCCGGACTGTTGGAAGCGAAGCTGTTTGGAGGATACTCGAGCGTCGAGATCGGTTGGTGTGAGGAGGATAGATTTGCTCGGGCATCCTGTTCGGACGAAGTAAACTAGTATATGGGTTTCATGTCGTCATCTATGTTATATGTTTAGTGAACTGAACGGTAGCGGAGAAGAACAAAGGGATAGTAATAGATGTGCATTATTTCATCCGAAGTGGTCCGAGACTGTTGGGCAACCCCGTAACGGCTTCTCCATCGAGCGACAAACACCCGGAACTTCCGTCTGAAGATGAAGCATTCATGTTCAACAAGTTACATGACTACAAAAAGCGATTTATATGCATTTAGGTATTCCCCAAAAAGAATTTGAACTTTTGCAAAACTCATGTCGTTAGAAAGAATCAGACGTCAAAGTAAGATACCATGCCATCAATCCAGTGACATAGACCGTCAAGACTTCCATATTGACAGACGTCTCTACCCCTGACCTTTAGAAGCCTAGCTCCAAGCAATAGCAACTTTCTCATTGACAAATTCCTGTCAGGAGAAAGTGTCCAAGGGTCGCCAGCTTGCCGTGACAAATAGCAAGTAAGCAGTAACCATAACCATGACTTGAAGTGGAGCCCGTCCAGCATTTGAAGTCGGCGCGTTAACTAATACGCCGTATCAATTTCAAATACTTGCGACAATACGCAACAAGGTGTCAAAGGAGTTACCGCAATACACAACAAGATGTTGAACTATTTGTCAAACCTCATCTCAATTGTGTATATACATACCAAACATACATATTTTTCATAGACATATATATAGATGGCTCGCTGTAACATTGAAAAATTCTTATTCTCCATCACCAGTCCCGGCATCAATCAGAGACTCAAACTGATCAATTCCAGCTTCATCCGTCTAATTCAGGTTCCACCACCTTGACAACCACAATGTTCAAGTCAACACTTCTCCTGGCTCTAGCCACCGCCGCCACAGCAAGAAAATGCCAAAACCTCAACATCCCAATCTCAATCTCAGCCACCAACACCGCCTTCAACCTCCCCCCGCCAGCAACAGACATCGATGTCACCAACCTCCTCATCAATCTCGCCGTGGACGGCACCAACTTGTTCAATAGCATCGTAGTAGGAGTAAGCTTTTTCCCCTCAAGTCCATTTTCAACCTTCAAACAGCGACTAAAAAAACGAACTTTCTTCCTCCAACTTTCTAGCCCAAAAACGTCAGCGGCCATTACACAATCGGCGCCACCTACTGCCAGCCAGACCATGGCCCAGGCAAAGCCCTCCAAATCCTAACCCACGGCGCTGGCTTCGACCGCAGCTACTGGGACCTCTCCTTCAACAACTACAACTACAGCTACGTCGCCCGAGCCGTCGACGAGCAAGGCTACTCAACCTTCTCCTGGGACCGCCTCGGCGTCTCCGCCTCCTCCAAGGGCGACCCCGTCAACGAGATCCAACAACCCCTCGAGGCTGCCGCTCTCGAGAAGCTCTCCATGAGCCTCCGTGACGGCTCCGTCCACGGCATCAACGCCAAGTTTGACAAGTTCATCCACGTCGGCCACTCCTTCGGCTCCGCCCTCACCTACGGCTTCATCCACGCAAACCCAGACTTCAGCGACGCCGCCATCCTGACCGGCTTCAGCCAGAACCCAAACTTCGTCACTGGCTTCCTCCTGGGTGGCAACTACGGGCCTGTCAAAGACAATGCCGTCTTGGCAGCCAAGTATCCTTGCGGCTACATTACGCCAAAGACCGCCACTGGAGTCCAGATTGACTTCTTTGGCCCTGGCGATTTCGACCCCAAGATGCTGGCCAATACTTTTGCCATTGGCCAACCAAGTGCTATTGGTGAATTCCTGACACTTGGCTCTACCGGTGTCAATGACTTCAAGGGCCACCTTTACATCGTCACAGGAGGTTAGCATCCCCTCAGTCTCATTCAATCCATTCGGCTCATAAGCCATATGATGTTGTGTAACTAATCCTTTAATCGTTCTAGACCGAGATCTGCCCTTCTGCGGTGGCAGCTGCTACGACACCACAACCATTCAGGGAGCCTTCCCCAACCTCCTTGATGCCTCCAAGCCCAATTTCCCCAGCGTCGCTAGCTTCAACACAACCGTTGTCCCTGGCGGTGGCCACGGCCTCAACATGGGATACTCTCACAAGTTTACATACGATTCTATGTTCAACTTCCTTAGCTCTTACTAATAAAATGGTGTGAATTGATGTTTACACGGTGAAATAGACGATAGACAATTAGTTGTGGTGGTAGTCAGATGTTGCTTTAATATAGAGTTAATTCAATCCTAGCGGTTCATCTACCTTTGACAGTCCTGTCGTCTGGTAACAGCTTTCCATTCTCTGCCACGATTTGTCACTGATTTTCTTCAAAATTGATCGTATACCGAAAATATGTAGCATTAGCTTGCCTCGGCAACTTGGCCGGCCTTAGTTGGGCGAAGCCGGATAAGCTATTTTGTTCCTCGTAGACCAAAAGGATAATCACGAGCTCTTATCACTTCTACTGGACAAATCATTTCATGCTCCGTGAAATAGTGGGTATTGTGATCGCCTTTGGCCTTAAACGGAGTATTTGATTCATGCCGTACATGCAAAAACGGATATTATGTAAAAGATCTACACAGAGTTTCCGCAGCTTCTGGTGTGATCAATGTTTAGCACAATGCGTGGCATGTCGTTATCGGCCTTGAGTCCATAGCGAAACGATATTCTGCTGTAGGCTGAGTTGGAAATACAGCAATGCCAAAAAGCAAAGAATTAAGTGATTTCCATTAAAATTAGACTGTCCATTTCTCATCCCGGGGGCATTTGATCAGGCAGATTAAGCCATTGGGGCATGTCCGGGATGCCCCATGTCAAATAGGTCGACATCTCATCCGCCGTTTTGATATAGTCCTCGACCGAGGGCTGCATTATAGCCCCATTCTGGACCAAAACCCCTGCCGATGGTATGACGTGAAGCGAATCATTCGAAGGCAAGCTCTGATTCATGAGTTCGGGCGCTATCTCCAGCGGAGGATACGTTGGTCTCAGTACAGGCAGCGCATTTGCAAAGTCGCTGCCGCCGCTCTTATCTATCGACGTCTCGTAGAAAAGGTTCTGGCTTGCTTGTATTAATGGCGACTTGCAATCATTTGCGGACATCGTCTTGACACTGCTTGTTGACTGTGCCTCCTCAATCTGCGCTCTACCTCTCCTGAATGAGGCCAATGCTGAAAGGTGATGATCTTCCGCAGATCCTGTGACTTCGGCAGGATCAATAGGTATACTAAGATTGGGCATTAGTCAAGGGTACGAGTATGCTCTACTCGAGAGCACAAACATACCTAAGCGTTTCCTGGTATCTCTCTGCAATATCTCGAAAGCCAAAAAGGTGGCAAAGTGGAATAAGGCCCCGTATCTACCATCATTAGCGGATGATACGCCAGAAATTTAGCAGAAAGAGAAGAAGCCTACAAATTGTATTGGTGCCTCTTTTCCACGATTGTGAATAGCTAGGAGGAAGCTGAAGTTGGTGATGATATTATCTCTAGTCTCTTGTAAAGTCTGAGGAGACTGGTCCACCGTAGCTGCGTAAATAATCTGCACTTTGGTCGATTCGATAATTGCATCGGGGCAAAACAGGTCATCGAATGCGGCTGGACTAAAGGTCATTCCGGTACGGATAATGCGAGATGCTTGAGTCGCATGATAGCGACATAGATTTTGGCAATGTGCTCGGAAATGAAGCGGTGCGTTTTTGAATGCCGATGCGAGGGGGAAGCTGAAGCCAGCTAGAGAAATTCGGGTGAGGTCAAATATGACGGCATGGATAAAGAGATGTAGAGCGAAAACACCACCTAGCATTCCCTTTTCTTTCAGCAGGAAGAGGTTGGCATCTGTTAGGTAATACTTTTCCGGCAAATTGTTATAGAGTGCGTTGAGTTGATCAATGATTCTGACAAAGTCAGACGACGGTTCCCAAATGCGCATGGCATCGCCAGCAACTCGAATAAGCCTAGAAAACATTAGCAATAGGTAATAAAAAAGGGGCTGACAAAGGAATAAGGGAATAACAAGACGTACTGCATCCCTTTCGTTCTCAGGCGCACCACTAAAACCATCAGAGATGACAAGTCCAGCTCTGTAATAGCTTCTTGCATTCCTAAGTTTTCAATCTGTAAAAGATAGTGTGGTGGTGATGCAAGTTGAGATATAAAGCAGTCGTCTGGGCAAGGCAGCGGAATTTCCGGTATATGGTCCTTCCAGCACATATTTTTCTCGACGCCATTGGCGGCAAGACCATCAATGACAAAGCTGGCCCAAACGAGGCGATTTTCTACCTCTCGTTGAATCACCTGAGCGGCTGTACGGCGATTGTGAATTGGGCGCGGCGAATCCAAGCTCAGCAATCTTATGGCGCGATGCAAAAAAGCTAGCAGGATGAAGACTAAAGCATGCTGATCCTCCCGAAGACCATATTCACAGAGAAGGGCTACCGTCTGCAGAAAGGCGTGATTAGATAGGCCGGTGGAACTGGAGCTTGATTGGCAACTCACCATCAGACTCTGCACGGTAGGAGCATGCAGTTCTCCTAATACCTCCTTTCTCGCTCTCTCAGCCCACTCATGCCCAGGAATCGCGGTTGGGAGTGAATCGCGATCAGCGCCATCTAGACTCAGTATTGCATCAAAGTAAATGTGCCTAAAGACCATATACATGGGTTAGATTGCGATTTCTCACTAGTTCTGTAGAGAGCAGAAATCAGTAGCCGAAAATAGCATACCTAGCACCAAGGGCGCATATTGTGTAGAGCAGAGGTTCTCCGTAGTCCTGCGCAATGCTTGCTGATTCGAGCGACTGCATAAAAGACGGGCGATGAATGAAAGATAGACAACGGAGGTAGTGATTTCGTTCAAAGTAAGCATTAACTAGCCGAAGTCGAAGCCCGCGGTCTTTTGGGAGGGTATCTGTGCATAGGCTTTGTTTGGCGTTAGCTCATGAATCTGGATGCAGAAACAGATGCCTCGAGCCGGGAAGGGCTCTGATCCCGTGTCCTATTCTACCTTTCAAGATTGACGCCGAATGCTTGCAGCAGTGTGGGATTCGTCCACTGGGTAGGTTCCAAAGGCTGAGCCGGGGTCATTGACATGAGTCCTGCAGCGGCAATCGTAGAGCTGGCCACCGAGCTGGCAGGCTGAGAAGAAGATTCGCGCTCGTGCTGCTTGTCCAACTTTGAGGGATAGATGCAGGGCAAGTTACGCAAGATGCAGCGGCGACAGGACGGCCGAGTCTTGGTGCAGCGATGCTTCGACGACCGACATTCTTCGCAGGATCCCACCCGTCGTTTTTCAACTCCGGCAGCCCTGAAGATGTCATCCGCAGATTTCTGCATCTCCTTGCGCGAGATGAACTCGCTCTGTGGGCTGAAACCAGGACATCCGACACCCAGTCGAAGGCAGTTTCGACACTCGGGGATAGTCTTGTCGCATTTGACCTAGTCCAAGAATTTTTTTTAATGAGAATTTGGTCGAAAAGCCAAGCTACTAGATGTTCAGGAAGCTCGAGTCTGCTGAGGGAGGTTCTTCGTTGCCACTCGAGACCTTGGTGGACTCTGCATACCTTTCTTGATCTACAGACCAGACAGGCTGCGGGACCGGGTTAGTTAGTCAACATTATCTCGCAAGGGTTAGATATTCGATGAGTTTCAAATGAAAGAACGAATATGAAGATAGAAGACAAGAAAACGAGACAGAAACGCTGCTGGACTCACCTATGGCTGCCTTTGGCGCAGTTTCATTTCGAGCTGCAGTCGCGCCACTGCGCTGCTGTGCTGGCGAGCCCATTTGCTGGCTGCGAGTGGTTGCGCTTGGCTGTACGAAGTACTGGGGATGCTAAAATGTCATCCTTCTTTCATCATCACGCAGTGCTCGCCGTTGCGAATGAGCATGGTGGGAGGGAGCAGATTCCCTTTGAGCAACGAGTTTCACCTCGAGATGGCGACTGAATGCAAGAGTTGAAATTCCAAAATCATCGCTGCGCGCCTTGCAACTTGTCCGGTCCCCTTTCAACGGCTGACTCTGCGTCTGATCCAATCCAGAGGCCTCAGCGGAGTCCGCACTAGTTTGGCTGCTCGACAGCATCGGAGAGCTGCCGCAGCCCTGGCTAGGATGAACCCGGTGCATCTGACGGGGAGCCCAGCTGATGGGTGGTGGAGCCGGCCTTTTTGGAGGCGCTGGAGAGATGTTAGTGGCCATTTCGCAACACACACCATGCTATAATACTCACTACATACTTGACATTGACGCTGTACAACAGCCCGTGGAGAGAAGAGGCGGCTCGAGCCGATCTGAATTGCTTGCAGTCCTTCATAGCTGGAAGCTGCGATGGCGGCCGGTGGCCCGAGTCATGAGTCGAGATGGAGAGACAATTTGGCGTGGGGACTTGTGTTTGTGTTTCAATGCTTTTTTTTCTTGCTGGCCTCGTGGAAATTGATAATTCCTTCCCGTACCTTCCCAAACTTTGATGCTGTTTCTATTTCCACATGAACTCTTATCGATACTACACCTAGTATAGGCGACATCTGCATGTATCATTATAAAATTCAGCTCTGAAATTAAACTCTACCTATCTACGACAACTCATCTAAGCTCGTGCTTAGAAGTACACCAGCTGAAATCATCATCATTCCAAAACGCACAGACACCCCTGCACGAGTAAGGTACCCGAAGACGTGACACTTGTTGTGCCATGGCTGCCGGCTCCCACTGGGCGCCAGAGCTCTATCGACTGATTACTCACTATTTACGGAGTATTTGGTGCAAGTATTGGGCCTGCTAATCTACGAAAACGCTTACATGTGGTCAGTCTGCACTCGATCATATCACAGCAATAAGCATTAGTCTTCACAATTGGAATATGGCCTGTATGACAAAGATAGAGTCGGTGTTGCTAACAGCAATCTATTTGTGCTTCTCCTAAAGAGAAACATCATCAACTTTTTTTTTAGAAACAGAACATTAATAAACTTACCTTGATGCACACGTGTATGCTTCTCGCAATTGAGTAAATCTTCGATTAATACGTCTTTAAACGTCCTCTATGACGCATGTCTCAAACCTATTCGTTACAGCAGAGAATAACATCCCGGCAAGTCACAGCCAACATGTTGCTTTATACATTTTCGGCCCTTTGCCGACATATGGCATTAGTCTTGGTCTTTAGCGCTGATGATCAAGCTCGGAACGCATGTGCAGGCTTCACTACTGTTACATGCTGCATGGTTACATTCTGCCGAGCTGGCTGCACATGGCATGCTCGCGTTTCTCTTTCACGTGGCAATTGCAAGGCATCCTTTATGCACAAGGGAGCCAATTGGAGTTATACTCGGGCTCTTTTGATACGCTAGCTCCAGTTCATTGTTGACTAATACCATTTCCAGGCCGAGAATGTCAGAACTCGCCAGCTCAATGCAAGCAGGAACTCCCTGCTGAAGCTTCTGGAACAGCGCATACAGTAGATCTTTTTCAAGGGGTTCTGCTTTCTTGTTTTCTGTCAGCCAAACCACCATATGCGGCAAGGATTGAAATGGTAAACATGCCGAGCTCGAAAAAGCACAGACGTGATTCGTGACTCTCTGTATGGGGCAAGACAGGGTCTGCGGTGCCTCTTCGATCTTTTTTGCTCTGGAAACGTTGAACTCGGACATGGATCCAGACGTCACATTCGGTGAGGAGGCCTGTTGATCGTTTTATTCCCAAAACTCGCCTCTCACACTTTTTCCTGAAATGGGCAAACAAAAGAGATGTCATTAGTTTCAGCTACAGGTATAGCCCATTCATTTCATAATACTAGTAGCACTCCGAACACGAAAAGCTCCTTGGATCCATTCGAATAAATACCCACCAAACCGGGAATGAAGGGCGGCGGCTTGTGGGGTTATGGATCTTCGACCTCTGTAGCCGAATTGACTAGTTTCCCAAGCGAGGCTGTTTGACAGGTAATAGATCCTAGACTCGGCAAGAACTGAAGTAGAACGCGCGTGTCTATCTGTTGCTACCTACAGGCAGGGTATAATGGAGACAAAACGACATCTCAATGGCCAACAGAGGGATCCGATCATGAGTCGTGGAGAGGGGCTCAAGGAGGCAAGAAACTAATGCACTTGGTACTAGTATCGCTCCAACTGATGAAGCACAGACAAGTCACAGATAATTACTATTTTGATATCGTATGCATTGTGTTACACTGTGCAACGCATGTCGCGGTGCTACATCGGCTCATAATGAGAAATACCACGATATCTATTTGTCTTACGCCATTGGTAAGCATCAGCACACCGAATGCTTCGGGACGCCCGACCTCTATTTTCGTATGTTTAAAGCATAAAGGTGAAGATGGCGAACTGCATTCTCTTTTCAGGGGAAAAAGTATACAAGTACGTAAGCGCACATGTACCGACATAGTTTGCGAGAGGCTCCCCTGGAGTGATGAGTTTCTGTAACTGCCATTGGACGAATCGTATGCGGACTGCATGCGCCTAGCGATATCCCTGGCAGCTTGGAGACTTGCTGCCATGGCGATACAAATTAGCAATGCCCTCCAACTTCTTGATGCCCTCTACCCGTCTCAGTAACAAGATCAAGACTCGGTTGAGTTTAAGCTACTTTGGTCGAATCAGAGTCAACTACAACTAGATTGTCTAGATCGCCTCATAATAACACAATTCATGACCAAGTTCAACGCTGATAACTAAACTACAAGATGAGAGGAGAAATAGAAGCCGATTGCAAAGCATAAATACTATTACGCCTAAAAGATGAACCAAGACCGGATTTCAGGCACAGCTCTTGCTCCAAGGCCATCCGAGTTTCTTCGTTTTGTCAAAGGCTCTACGGCAATTGATCGCGAGCATCAGAAGACAGAGCTGTAAGTCATCAGAAGTTATTCCCTAGCTAGATTCTCCATAGAGTGATGGCATTCATCGCCCCATCTTTCAAGTCCGATGTTATCGGTGTTCATGTTTCACACTTTTGCAGGCCAAGATAACATGCTTACTTTAGTAATGCATCATAAAGTCTCGCACGATGTCTTTATTCCTAGGAACCGCCAGAGTTTGACTTGCGAAGCCGCTCCGTCTACAATCGTTTCATGATTTTGTATTTAAAAAGAGAAGAATAACTATAAAATAACTAAAATAAGTAGAAATAAAAAGGTATATCTTGTATCAGATTACTACTTGGAATCGCTGGACGCGAGTTTGAAGATGATCACAGATGACCGATGAATACATAAAAAAGATCAAGTGCCGTTTTGGCAATAACTTTACAACTGTTTCAGCGCACTGGGGATTATGAAACTATGTATATCAACAGACATCATCTCTAGGGAAATATTATAGGTACGAGATTCGGAGAGAAAAATCTCAGTACATGGACCATTTAGAAGTCAAGAGAGTAGTGACAACTTGCATCAGCATCATAACTTCTTTATGGCACCTGTAAATCAAGCAACTCCCTTCAACATTGGCTGCTATGCCAATAATACCAATCAAAGCATATAGGAACCTAACGTGAAGTAAACAGCGTATATTCCATGTTTCAACGACTAAATTGCTAATAGCGCAATGCCGTTTTCGGTGATACGATCTCAGCCGAATTAACAGCGATAACTCTAAATCCGACACCGCCCGCTGACTGGCTGCTTATAATCTGATATCAGCCCATTCATATCGTGCAATATGAATTAGCTCATTGAATTTAATCACCCAGTATCTGCCCCGTGTAGACACGTTTCTGGGGCGAACTCCCCACGCCGCTACTATCCGCGCAATGGAGATGGAGATCTTATCAGTGGATCCTCTCATACCAAATGTCGCGATCCCAGCTCAACGCGCCCCGCGATTCGGCGACGTCCGCCAGTTTATCTGCAATGGCCTACTTGGATGTCACTCATTATGAGAATATCGATTAGGAATACTTCATCTCGACAGGATCTAACAGGAGATGTAAAATTGCTGCGTAAGATAACGGCGTTCGGAGAGAGCTTATTTATATGACCCACAGCTGGCGAACCGCACTTGCCTCAGCTATTAGCTAACGGCCGAGGATAAAAGATCGCTGGGAACCCGTTTCCGCTTGCGTCCGTCATCTCCGATACAAGACTTGCATCAAACTCGCACATTGGCTGAGACACGGTGATCCTATACATGAACACAATGTCTCTGCGAAAACTTGGGGGTTTCGGCCGCCAGGCGGCATCATATGCCACAGTCGCCTCCTCGAGGGCCTCGATACTGCCGCTCACGCATCGCCCCGGGTCAAAGGTCCGGTTCGGAGCGGCTGTACAGGGCGTTGGCATCAACAATATATCTGGTGAGTGCATGGAAAAACAAGGCAAAGGGGGGAATTGGAGGAGAAACAGCGTGATATGGCAATGGAAGACTTGGCTGATACTCAGTGTCTCAGATGCCGACTTTGACATCATCAAAGACGCTCTATACAAACACCAGGTCCTCGTCTTCAAGGCGCAGTATGACGTATCTCCAAAGGCACAATACGAAATCACACAGCGGTTCGATCCCAAAGCGACGGCCTCATACGGCCACGGCAAGACGCTCGACGCAAAACGATCTATCCTGCACCCTGATCTCAAGACGATCCCACACCAGCCACAAGTTCAAGTTATTGGAAATGGCTTCGTAGAGGAGTACGAAGGGCTGAAGAATATCCAGCTGCGACACCCACACCACAAGACGTTCCACGCCACGGTTATACCTGAAAAAGACGACCTGGACTTCACCCGGTTCTACAGATGGCACATTGACGCCGCGCTGTACGGGCTGGCTCCTCCGGTGGCCACGACGCTCTTCGCGGACCGGGTTCCTCGCGGCCGCACGCAGACGATTCGATACGAAGATTCGGGCGAACAAATGACGGTGCCTCTGGGTACGACGGCGTTTGTGTCGGGCTACACAATGTACGACCTCCTCTCGCCCGAAGATAAGCAGTTCGTCCTCAACACAAAGGTCGAGTACGCACCGCATCCCTACGTGTGGATGAGCGGCGCAAAGTCCCGCTCGGACGGCCTGGGCCTCATCTCGGAGGGCAAAGAAGTGCCGCTGGACAAGCTCCCCGAAATCGAGCAAGACAAGATCCAGGTCCTGCCCATGTGCTGGCGCAACCCGCAGGACGACCGCCTGGCGCTGCAAATCCACCCGTCGGCAATCCGCAAGCTGCACCTGGGCGGCGGCAAAGTCGTCGACGACCTGCAGGAGGTGCGCGAGATCGTCTACCGCCTGCAGCGGCCCGGCATCGCGCCCGAGCTGGTGTACGCGCACGACTGGGAGGAGGGCGATTTCGTCATTTTCCACAACAGGAGTCTGATTCACTCGGTCGTTGGAGCGTTTGCGGAGGACGAGGTGCGCCTCTTTCGTCAGTGCAACATTGCGGGCAGCAGCTTGCCCGAGGGACCCAGATACTTCTGATTGCCTAGAAAGAGAGACGAACTCGTGATGCTGTGCTTGCTTGATTGCCGCGCCGCCATCGGCCAGCCGGTTATGCGGCTTGCGAGCGACTATGATGGAGTGTGATGAGACAGGCAGATATCACTGGTCAGGCAGCATCAATTAGCAGAGGCGAGACGAACTGGCGGATAGGCAGCAAACGATGCCGCGAGACATGGCAGGGCATGCCGCCACGCTCCAACCCACCGCCTTTCCCTTACATCAAACGCCTTGATCCTCCCGAAGAACGGAGGCCAAAGACGCAAGGCGCAACGCCACCACGCATCAGATGTTCAACTCGAGCCAATTTATGTCATTCTATGTTAAGAATAGCGTTTGAAGATGGGGGGAGAGGGGCAGCAACATGCTCGACACAACGCCCGCATACCCGACTTTTGTCCATCATGGGTCCATCGTCTTATACAGACCTCCATACGGTATAGGCTTCACGTCTGATCGACTTCACCGTAACCGGCGCGGGAATAATCAGAAAAAAGGCAGATTGTTGGGAGGGGATAAGCGACCCTTGGCTTCGGATAAAAAGAATCTCTTGGATCCCACCCAAATCGTGTTCTCATGACCTTTGGATCTGGGGCGTCGGCGAAGACTCACGTATATGCATTGCATCACGAGCCCTTTCCAACCCCCAGGTGAGGCACTTCACAGCGGACTGGAGCCAGCCAGTGGGAAAAAGTGCCCTGTCGGCTCAGCTGCCGGCCCTCTGTACATAATCCGCGGCGCCCTAGCGCCTCTTTTTTGTCGAATTCGAGGCAATAGACGCCGAAAACAAGCGGAGCAGGATGCGAGGTTGATATGCCCGCGCTAGCGTCCGCTGTCCCGCCCATGCATTGCGCTGGAGGTATTACAGGGCGGTTAGTGGGGGAGTTTCCGGGGGGGGTTACAGCGGAGGGGTCCTGGAAGCTTGCAGGTGGGTTGCACTGCAGCGATTGATTGAGCGGTGTCGGGGATCTGGTGAAAATTGCACGCGATTAGGCCATTCATAGACGCGATGATCGATAACGCAGATTCTCGTTTTAGACAAGCACGACATAAAAAGTAAACTTGGACTGTTTTATATCAAGCGCTTATCTCCAAACTGACTCACGGGCTGGATGTAATTTCTTTCCTCTTGTGACTCAAGATCTTTTTTTTTTCCGGGGCAGTGCTTATTACACCGTTATTTGCCTCCTAAACTCTTTTTTCGTTTCTTCTTTTTCTTCGTCTCTTGTCTTCTTTTTCAACTCTTTGGGTCTCGGTTGATAGAAACTGCTGCTCCAAGACCACTCTTGATGGCGAAAAGGTGACTGTAACGACAGGTCCCTCTCGTCCTGGCAGCTGTCTGTTGATCCATCAGTCACCGTGAATATACATCCATATCAATTTCGACTTCATCCATCACCGTCCGTCACAATGGCGCCCTCCCGCGACCCCATCTCCTCCGCCTCCTCCTCGGACCTCACCCTCATGGACCCCGAGCCCATCTCAGAAACGACGCCTCTCATCAGCGGCAGCAAGTCCGCCGACGCCGAAGATGGCCGCCCTCCGCCCGGCAAGCCGCTGCCCAAGATGCAGGTCTTCCTGCTCTGCTTCGCAAAGGCCATGGAGCCCATTGCCTTCTTCGCAATCTTCCCCTTCATCGCGCAAATGGTCCAGCGCAACGGCAACCTGCCCGAGTCGGACGTCGGCTTCTACAGCGGCCTGATTGAGAGCCTCTTCTCCGCGACGCAAATGGTCGTGCTGTACTTTTGGGGCTACCTGGCCGACACCGTGGGCCGCAAGCCCGTGCTGCTGTGGTCGCTCGTGGGCATGGCCGTGGCCACCTTCTTCTTCACCGTGTCGACGTCCATCTGGCAGATGATTGTGTTCCGGTGCGTGGCCGGCGTGTTTTCCGGCTCTGGGCTGGTGATCCGCACGATGCTGTCGGACCACACGACGGCGGAGACGCAGGCCGTGGCGTTTAGCTGGTTCGCCTTTGCCAACAACGTGGGCATCTTCCTGGGGCCCATTATCGGCGGCGCGCTGGCCGACCCGGCGGAGCAGTTCCCGGGCGTCTTTGGGGGCATCAAGCTGCTGGAGGACTATCCCTACATCCTGGCCGGCGCGGCCATCACCGCCTGCAGCGTCGTCAGCATCGTCCTGTCGGTGCTCTATCTCGAGGAGACGCTCGAGCCCGAGTCAAGCACCACCACCGCTGGAGTCGCGGCGCCGGCTCGCCCCCAGCGCCTGTCCACGTTTGAGCTCCTCAAGGCCCCCGGCGTCGGCATCGTCATCTGGGTCTATACCCATGTCATGTTCCTCGCCTTTGCCTTCACCGCCATCCTGCCCGTGCTGCTCTTCACGCCCGTCGACCTCGGCGGCGTCGCCTTCTCGCCCTTCCGCATCTCCGTCTGGATGGCCATCCAGGGCGCCAGCCAGGCCACCTGGCTCATTGTCGCCTTCCCCATGCTGCAGCGCCGCCTCGGCACAAAGGGCTCGCTGTCCGCCTGCGTCGCCGTCTACCCGCTCTTCTTCGCCGGCTACGTCGTCATGAACATGCTCCTGCGCGTTGGCACCGAGTCCTCCGTTGCCATCTTCTACGTCGTGGCCTTTATCGTTGCCTTTATCGGACCCGGTGTGTCCATGGCCTTTACGGCCGTCCAGCTCGCCCTGAACGATGTTTCTCCCAACCCGCACGTCATGGGCACTCTCAACGCCCTGGCCATGACCGCCGCTAGTGCCATCCGGTCGTTTGTGCCTGGCGTTTCGACGGCGATATTCGCCATTGGCGTGCGGAACCAGATCCTCTGGGGCCACCTAGTGTGGGCGGTTCTCATTCCCATTGCCATGTCTCTGTCTATATTCGTGAGATGGCTGCCAGAGGATAAGCAGTCGCATAAGCTTCCCCAGAACGAAGATGAAGAGTAGAAAATAAAATATGGTGTCATTTCTTTTTTTTTTTTTTTTTTTTTTTTTTTTTTTTTTTTTTTGGGAACGAAGAGCTTTGTTAATTCCGTTTAGCATATAAAAGGAGCGCAGAAAGAGGGGAGTGATGCAAGATTTTATGTGAAGAAGAATGCTGCTGCTACACATCATACACTTTCACAGCTACGCATAAAGGGCGCAAAATCATGGGTTAAACTATCCTGTTGCATTATAACAGGCTATGCATCTGCATAGAAAGCATTTGGATTGAAGTTTTACGTATGTCGTTACATGTATATAGACACAAATATATAAGCAAATCCTGTTATAAACACCAATTTTCGTCGCTGTAAACACTAGCCGCAAGCTCACACTAATTTACTACTACAACACAAGCATAAAGGATTGAGGACAGGCAACGCATAATATGAGAGAGAAAAAAGTAAAGATTTTCTAGAATATATATATATGATATGATTAAATAACCATGTAACGAGTGAAAGAAGAAAAATAAATATCCAGTTTTCCTCCCTTCCAATCCCCATTACGTGAGCTGAAAACGTAAAAACAAAAAGTTGTGCATGACGCCGTGCTACCGTGATATAGTTTTCCTTTTGAAAGACACAAAAACCCTGTATATGTAAAATGCTTGATATAAAAAACCCAACGTTGAAAAAGAAAAACAATCAGTCTTGAAAAAGAATAAGAAAACAAATCTCTCAAAATAGATGTCAGTCTGGTTCTTTTTTTGTTTTGCTCTTGCAAGCGAGTGTTGTGATGTGATGAGAGGCAAAGACACTGCTTTCAAATAGCCTCGTCACTTTCCTCATCTTCAGTCTTGTACACCCATAAAGCAAACACTTCATCTTCATCTTCTCCACGCCTCCTACATCTCGAGTGAAAACAACAAAGCGCGTTTAATCAGCCTTTACGTTTTCCTCGTCTCCGAGCTGGTCTCCCCTCCATCGCTTCCACTCAAACATCTTCCTAGGCTTGGCCTTGATGGCCTCTTGCAGCTTGGACTCGCTTCGCTCCATCCAGGTATCGGCAGAGGCAGTGCTGTAGGGATACAGGGGAGTGTTCTCGGGGTGGAAGAAGAAGTCATCGGACTGGAAGGTGCTGTGCGAGGCAATAATGTCCATGTCAGCGGCAATCTGCTCGCAGTAGCTGTCCAAGGGAAGATCGTTGACGTCGTGTCCAAAGGGGTTCTCGATTTCCTGGCCAATGAAGAGCAGGCCGAGAATGATGTACGAAGCGACAGTCGTGGCAGGAATGGTGATGTAGTCGAGCACGTTGACCATCTGGAATGGAAGCAAGATGACGTAGAGCCATGTGATTTGCTGAAACAGAATTCCGTAGGCGATGGGGAGAGGGGTGGTCAAGACACGTTGGCATCCAGTATAGGCATCGTTGAGGGCAGAAAGGTTGTTGTAGGCCATGGTCTGCTGCATGGGCACGGGAAGTTGGCCTCGAGCAATCATGTTGTCAATGGTAACGGCAAGATGGTTGACGATTTCGAGCGGCAGGTTGCCCACGGGCTTCTCCGCTCTCTTGAGCAGCTTGCGAGGGTTGCTGGCGGCGAAGGAGAGGCCCAGGTAGTCGCCAACAGACTTGAAGAGGCTATGCCTTCCAACACCGCCATTGATAGGCATGGTGGCGGTGGCAGTCTTTGCAAAGGTATCGAGATGACCAACGAGGTGCTCAATGTCCGCATACGAGGTGTAGGGCTCGAAGCGCAGGCTGTGCTTGAGGGAAATGGCAAAAGCAACCACCAGGTTCATGGCGCTGATCTTGCAGAGCACCTGCTTGCGCATATCAACGTCCGGCAGGGTCTTGGCGTGAATCCAGAAGATTCGTCCAAGGGTCTGCGATGATGTAACCAGGGAGGCGAAGAAACGTCGACCTTCGGCATAGCGTTCATATGCCGTGGAACCTCGGAAGCTGAGACCCGTGGAGACGACGAAACCAAGAACCGTCAAGAGGATGGAGTTGACACCAATTTTGTGAACCTTTTCGTGGATGAGAGTGATGAACGTACTCCAGAGGCTCATCCAGATCAGAGGCACAATCATCTTGGGCATGATGCTGCCGTGCATCTGCATGAAGAGAGGCCATTTGGAGTGCTTGGACATGTCACGAGGACCGGCGAAGTAGTCCTCGATATTCAGCGTGTGCCTCCGGCTGAGGGCCACCGGAGGGGCCATCCTTGAGCCCGGGACATTTGTCGTCTCTTGCTCGAGAGGAATCTCCAGGCTGTGCTCGGGGCGCTTCTCATTGTTCTGCGATGGTTGGTCTACGACAGCGGTGACCTCTGTCGGCACGTAGGCATCGCCGTCCGACATGACTGCGGTCGATCTCAACGGTATTGATGGAAGTAGATGCTGGTCGTGATGATGGTTGAAGGGCAAAAAGCGAGATTGTAGTTAATTCAGGCGAGAAAAAGATCTGCTCGCGTGTTCCCGTCTAGATAACAGGGAAGTGATCAAACAGTGAACTAAGCTTGAACAGACGCAACAGCAAGCGAACAACAATTGGGATCAGCGGCACAGGGGAAAGGGAAAACCACACCGCGGTGATTGCACACAGGAATACACAAACAAACAAACAAAGAAAAAGGGAAGGGGAAGGGGAGGAGAGGGGGTAAGAAAGAGAGGTTGGATAAGTAATAAAGAAAAGGAGAGGAGGCAAAAAAAAGAAACGAAGAAAAGAGCCGGCGGTAGATGCTGAAAGTGTCGATGGAGGAGGTGCGTCAAAGTACAGGTACAGGTACAGGTACAGGTACGTACAAGCCTCGAGCCAGGGGCCAGGTTCAGGCTCAGGTTCGGGTCCATGCGCTAGAGCTTGTTCTAGCTCAGAACCAAGAATTCCACGAGGCAATCAGCGGCGCCTGTAGGGCAGACGCTGGAGTCCCTGGAGCGCCACGTCGTTAGTGAAGGATCTAGCGCTGCAACGCCTGTCAATGGAGGGCCGAGACACTGAGCTGACTTTCAGATTCACTAAGGCAAGGTAGAGGCTCTTTTTGGCAATGGAAGCTGGTACATGTACATGTTCTTTCTCTCCATCTTCTTTTTTCTCTTTTTCCTTCTCATCAAATGCTTCACCTCTGCATACGTCGCCGCTTTCACGTCTCCATTCTCTTGCGCAAGCCTCCATCGCTAACCTCCTCCTTGTTTCGTTATGCCTCCCCTTGCCCCTGTTTCTGCTTCTGCAAACATCTGCAAGTCGGCGTCTCCATAGCATGTGCGCCGCGGCATCCAATTCGTCGGCCTAAATGGTGGGTTCCATCGACGCCTGTCGTCTGAAACAAGCGGCTTCCAGGAGGCTGCTTACATACATACATCGAGCCCAGGCCTCGTGAGAGAGTACTTGGGCGCTCGCATCTGCAGGTATCGCCTCTCATTGTTTTCGTGGGGCGGATACGCAGCAGGGGAAAGGCCTCAAGTCGCTGACATGCAGCAGGTGCATGACCGTCTCGTCATCTCCAAGACCCTCTATGGGGCCATGCATGCTGTGCTACGCCACCGACCGCCACGGGGCCCCAAACCGGACATGATTTTCGACAACAGATCAAGGCCAGAGACAGCGGGCGTGTGGCATGTTGCAGCTGCAGACACTCGATCAACACGGCCGAGGTCAGGAATGCAGCCCGCTGAGGCCTGCCTTGGCGGACCGTCTACAGTATCATCCAGTCTTCAGCCCCTGGGCCACAGGCCACAAAACGGCCATGGAAGCTTGGAAGCTCTCCGAGGCGCCCATTGTTGCAATCTCTTTAGCCGTCCAAGCCCGGTCCAATACGAGGCGGCCGTTATATTCCTAGCCAACGGAGCCGTCCAGCCAGCCGCAACATTACCCGAACGGGTGCCCCTTCGCCCAGCTTAGCTGCTGCTTAGGGCGTGAGCTACCATCAGAACTCACTAAACTTACTCATAGCCGCCTTTCAACAGTTTTAGTTGACCTCTGCCATGTTGGCACGTCGTTGGCCGATGGATTAAGTGCTTAGCGTCAGCGTCTACTCTGCAGCAAGTCGCTAAAAAAAGTTTTCAGGCACAGGGCTGCCAAGGCACGAGACTCGTAATCACAAATACAGTATTCGGCTACGAGAGGCCTCGATCATGGAGACCAGTGGGTCAGGAGAAGCCGTGTGCTCGAGCCATCAATTTCCAGAAAAAAAGATGAAAATCGTATTCATTGGAGCCTTGAGCCAAGCTTTGAAAGTCATAGCCAAGTGCAATTAAGCATCAACCGTTCGCAAATTGCCGTCCTAGCTCGCGCGGAAGAGCACAGCCTGCCAAGCCCTGCGGATGCAACCCAAGAGACTGCAAACTTTTTCTATAATCAGGTTTTAGCATGAGAATCGTTGCTAACGCTGGTGCTAGCAACGGTAATGCATGCTTGTCGACGGGGGCATTCCGAAAATTCTCACCCCAAGGATCTTGTACTGGTACGAGGCCGTACCACTTACCACCAAGGATTTGCGTGCATGGAGGCTCAAGTAAGGGGCCAGCAACTCTTATTTTCCTTTGCCCGCACGGCCTGGCTTGATCGCGATTCCCTCCGCATCGAATCGTACCAGTGAGACGATCCTTGAGCAGGGAAATGTGACATCCTACGCAGGGAGTCAGAGCCCATGGTCCCCATTGTTCGCCATGCAGCCCTTTCTGGGGCATTAGCACACGACCTCTGCTTTTCGTGTTGCATTTCTTCCACTGGAGCAGTGCACCGTGTTCATATTGCTAAACCCCCCGCCACGGGCCGTTTCGTTGACTAACCAGTGTGGCCGTGTTGATCCTCAAATATAGCATCAAGGCGAAGCCTTTTTTTCTCCTGTTATTTCTGATTAGCACTGCCAATCTTTCTTAGCTTCAGACGATTAGTCTTTATGAGCCGCGATTTCCCAAACTTGGCTCCATCTGCTTGAAATCGGCGTCCCACCCCTTGCCAACTGTGTCTAAAAATACACTGCAGCTTGAAGCGAGCACGTATGACTCAGCGCCGATAGTCTGTCCAAGGCAGCTAGTAATTGAGAATTGAGGCTCAACTAGAGAGCTAGGGACACTTCTGCCCCCTTTTTCTAAACTACTGGCCGTATGGAGTAAAGCAGTTTCCCGACTATAGGTGTCAGACCGACGAGGAAAAGATTGAGAAACTTTTGCGATGGTTCATTATCCATGCAGCAGTCTATGCAGTAGCAGCTGGATTCAGCAAGGCTCTTGTCTCTAGTGGTGCCGGTTAAGCGTTGCTTGTTGCCAACCGTTTCTGAGTGTGAGACAGCTAGCTGTCTGGGGCTGCATGTCTGAGATACGTTCGGCAACACAGGCTCACTATCTATAGAAAGGGCTGAAAACAATGCGCATAGTAAGAGCTGATAGCGGATAATGTAGCAGTACATGTAGTGTGCCTTGTCAATTGAGTCTGTAAAATGCAGCCGTTGTAGCCTGCGTCTGTAAGCGTACAAGTTTAGAACTCAATATTGTTATTGTTTATATCAGAACTATCTTTTATTGTTCGATTTGATCTAGGGGCGGCCCTTTTATCTTCACAGCTTTTTTAACCCTTCCTAAGGCAATCAAGTATTGTTAGAATTTCTACCAATCAGTAGCTTGCACGATATCAAGTTCTCCGTTTCGGCGCATAGAAACCCGATCCACAGCATTCTTAATCCTCCCTGAAGCCATGCTGAAGCTCATCCTTTTTAAGAACGCTACTGGATGCTCCTGTTTTCTATCTTAGAGTACATGACAGCACTATCCAAAGGGTTCAAGGTTGTTCTAGCCAGTCTTATGGCGACCAACCGATGTGTCGCAGCATTCGAGAGACTTGGTTTCTCTACTCGATCTGCAGCTCGCGATGGGCGCCAAATCCAGTCTATTATCTGCTCCTCTAATTTTTTTTTTTCCAAGGTTAGATATTCATATCGGGCATCTTTCTCTTGATTCCATCACGGCGGTAAGTTCCGAGAATGTCGTATAGCTACATGTCTTTAGCTGATTAGTGCCTATTGCTGCATATAATCTTGAGAATCTCCTTTTCTCAATGAACGGACACAGATCATTTGCAATCTCAATTTTCCACCTATACACGATATACTACATAGATTCATACACGTATAAAGCTAGTGGCGTGTAGTTGTCTAGATCGCGGCGGAATCTAAAAGTCCCATCTCGGAACTTTCCGTCACCCCTCATCCGTGATGATAGAGATCTTGCTTTGCGTGCAAGGTTTGGTATTGTAAACTAGCTCGCTCAAGGGCAGTCTAACTTGAGCCAAGAGTTTCCCCGGTCTTTGTAGCCTTATGAGATTCGCGATCTAATCCGAGTCATGGAAGATGCCGTGAGATCTGCTCTTTGTTCAAATCGAGGTTTGGAATCATTGTCTTTGGGCAAGCATCATTTTCTTCTTTTTTTGGTTTCAATAGGCTTTGGATGCCTAAGTCCGGCCATTGTGATTCCATTCAGAGAACAGTTTATCAAGGGGGCATACAGTTTTGTATGGAGATGTTTGATGAACGAGCTTCGTAAGTTTCAACCTACAGGCAGCTCACAAAAGGCCTGGGTATTTGGCTGGAAAGAGCTTTATGCAAGACTTTAGATACGCACTACAAAAATAGACATCCTACTTTTCATTACCAGTTCTCTAGAAAACAGAAGCACGAATGAGACATTAATCCCAACACCACATGTGCCTAATCGCATGACATTCTGGAAAACGGCAGCATCTTGCGTCCAAAAGCCTAACCTGTATCGGAGATAGCAACGAGCTAGCCAATCAGAAAACTAGGCTGAATTGGTCCCCATAAGCCGAGGTTCAATTTGTCAGCTAGCCAAGATTGAACTTTTATCCGCAGAAAGCATCTAAACACCCAGGAAACGCCGTGAGTGGCAATTTCGTGTTACTGTAGCATTCGGAAAGTATTGAAAAACCTATCGCCTATGCCTTTGGACGGGCTTACGGTATTGAGCGGACTTATTGCGGCATATGGTATATGCCATTATGTCGCCCTGTTGTGTACATTGACGTGGGGAATTTACTATGCTCAAGCTATGTCACAACTCATGAAGAAAGTATAATCAAATATATACAATGCTATTAAACTACAAGTTATATCTCAATTCGTTGTTCAAATTGATAATTGAGAAACTTGTCACACAATTCCTAAATAAAACTCTTCCTAGGCCAGAATCATCTCTGTTGCACATGGCTAAAGTTAGTTGTCGCTTTTCGCTAAGGTCCGAAACACTATTAATGTCTAACGCCGATGACGCATCTGCCGGCAAGTGGGAATACTCGGATTCGGCGCGTCGCTAATCGTTATACTCCGGATCTTTGCACCGCAGACTCCACACTTGCCTTGCAAACAGCTCGAACTGAGGCTTTTCTTCCTGCTTTGAGTTAATGATGTCACCAAGTACACGCTATACAGCCATCATTGAAAAGGCGTATATAAAGGGATCAGCTCGCAACTCAATTGAGGGCTGAGAAGACATCTTCATTCTGAACCGAGCAGACAGCAATTCCTCATTCAATTCTATAACTACTTCAGTCTAATATCTACCACAAATACCCAGATTCTCATCGTCATCATGGCATCAACCGAGCCCAAGTTTGTAGGATGGGTTGCCCACGACAAGGAGTCCGCCAACGGCAGCATGGTCTGGGAGGAATTCGACGTCAAGCCCTGGGAGGAGACAGACATTGACATTAAGATCTCACACTGCGGCATCTGCGGCACAGATTTGCACAAGCTCCGATCCGGTTGGGTAAGCAGCTTGTTCAGTTGACAACTTTTCAAAACTCAAAAAACTGACACTCACATCTTCACAGGGCCCGACAGCATATCCTATCGTAGTCGGCCACGAGATTGTCGGCACAGCCGTGCGAGTCGGCAAGGAGGCAGCAGCTCAGACCGGAATCAAGGTCGGTGACCGAGTTGGCGTCGGTGCCCAGGGCGATTCTTGCCAGTGCCGCAAGCCCCCTCAGACCAGGGAGGATCACTCAGACTGCGAGGCCTGCGCAACCGGCAACGAGGTCTACTGCCCCAACTCGGTCAACACGTATGGCGCCCAGTTCCTGACGCCTGCTGGAGGCAAGAGCATGGGCGGCTATGCGCTGTACCACCGAGGGCCGGCCAAGTTTACGTTCAAGATTCCAGACGGCCTTGCCAGCGAGCATGCCGCGCCGATGATGTGCGCCGGCGTGACGACCTACTCGCCATTGGCGCACTTTGGCAACCAGAGCGAGCCCCTGGAGAGGCGGCTCAAGGGCATGTCCGTCGGTGTAGTTGGAGTTGGTGGCCTCGGTCACTTTGGCATTCTCTTCGCAAAGGCCATGGGCGCAGACCGAGTCGTGGCCATCTCTCGCCGCGCAGACAAACGCCAGGACGCCCTGGACCTCGGCGCAGACGAATACATTGCCACGGCCGAAGACGCAGACTGGGCAAAGAAGAATGCCCGAACGCTCAACCTCATCATCTGCTCCGTCTCGAGCTCCAACATGCCCCTGACCGAGTACATCAGCCTGCTCAAGCGCGACAGCGTCTTCTGCCAGCTCGGCCTGCCCGACGATGGCCAGTTCAAGCTTGGCGCGGGAATCATCTGCGCGGGACGACGATCACTGACCGGAAGCTTCATGGGCTCGCCGCACGAGATTAAGGAGATGCTGCAGTTTGCTGCGGATAAGGGCATCAAGCCGTGGGTTGAGAAGTTGCCCATGAGCGAGGCGAATAAGGGCATTGTTGATATGGATCAGGGAAAGGCAAAGTACAGATATTGCTTGGTTAACGACCAGTAAGTGGTGTTTTTTGTATGAGGGTTGTCATGGGTTGTCATTACGGGATTGAACGTTATTAGCATGTAGTATGAAAACGGCTTTGGCTAACAAGGCTCTTGTGATATATGGTTGCAGAATAAAAAGCATTTATGAGAAATTGTAGCATTTCGACTATACTACATTGATCTTGACGGTGGAAGCAAGACACTGAATCATGTCTATTGCTCTTTTATTAACAGTGCCTCCGTTCACAAAAGAGATAGTTCGACAATGGTTTTTGAAGATGGTATGATCCTTTGACTGTCGAAACTCTGCTTATATCTCGGACGTCCTTAGACATGGCCATGCCCTCCATCGGCCCTAAAATGTACCAGACAGGTAGCCTGGTCCTTGGGATCGCCGCAGGGGCAATACTTCCTCTATGATGATAGCCATCGTCAGCCAAAAGATGAAAGAAAGTGAAAGAAATGCAAACTCTCTGTTTTGTAGATATTACTTACACCGCTGCATCCAAGACACGGCCAAGCATCAGCCGAGGCACATAAACAACAGCAAGCAAGGTTGTCTACATGTGTAGTGCAGCCACCTCTACGGGCGATTTCTGCCCCAATGTCGGTAGTTGGAGAGGCGGTGGCAAGGACCGCACAAAAGGCGATGAAGCTGATATATCCTTTCATAGTGATGGGTTTGAAGATTTGGTTTTTATTGAGATGAGTTGAAGAATTCGTGCTCAGTTCTGAGATTGCTTCCTCTCTTATATGTATTTACAATTCCTTGTTGTTAGGTCCGTACATTCCGTTTTCAGCTTGGGCTTTGATGATCGCTGTTTGGTAACAAAGCACCAGCTAACCCCATACAATTCTCATAGAAAGACCATCTCATTATCATCTCGGAGAGCCAACTGAAATGCTTTGTTTTATTTACAACGCTAATAACGGCCTCGTGGCCACCCAATAGTATATCACCTTTAGTGCTATCACAGCACCGTAACCTTGCATTATCCTTGTAATATGAGAAAGTATGAGATTTGACTATAACTACATATACATACAACTTTGACTGTGGAAGCGAGAGACTGGATCGCATTCCTTTTTACCAACAACATCTCATCTCACAAAAGCAAATGATACCCAAAATGGATTCACAAAACTGTTTGAAGAAGATATCATCAAATAAATTGTCAAAAGCTTAACGAAATTTTGCATAGCTTAGCTCCCCATCTTCATCAATTATCACTGTGTGGACACGACCGATGCTGGGATCGCCAGCGGGGCAAAAATACAGCTAGATATAATGATAGCCATTGTCAGCCAAAAAGAAGCGAAGAATAATGATACACGTCCTCTACTTTGTGAAAATACTTACACCAGAGCATCCTATACAAGGCCAAGCATCAGCCGAGGCGCAGGCGCAACAGCAGTCCTCGCCCCTAAGAGGATCCCCTTCAATGCAGAAACCGCGCTTATCATGAGCGAGCGCTGCCTCATGATTATTTCGGAAATCAATAGCTTTCCCGGGAGTTGGGGAGGCAGTGCCAAGGGCTACACACAAAGCGATGAGATTGATGTGGCATTTCATGGCTATGGATTTGAAGAGAGAAATGAAGATATAGTGTGTTAATTGTTATTGATATGAGCTGGTAATTGAGATGAAGTAGAGAAGAATCAATTTCCATTCCCTGAGATGAGCTCCTTATATACATCGATATATTATTGCCTAGAGCCTTAATCTTACTTATTCCATATTCTCTTTGTTGAGTAGGGATGACTGAGGAGAATCAGCTCTTTGGGGGGTATGTGTTATACTTGTTCATGACTTTTATTTGGCTTGGGTTTTGATCACGCATCGCATGCAGAGGTGCTACGTGACCAAAACCAAGCATTGAACTCATATAAGTTTTATACTCAAAAGACCTTATTATCATCTCATTATTGTCTCGAAGCGCCAACTGGGATACCTGCTTTCATTACAACACTAATGATGTCCTTGTGGCCACCCAGATACATGTAGTCCTTCACCTTTGGCGCCATCACCAATGCTTCACCCTTATATCATTCTCATTACAACACGAGTACTTTGGAAATGAAAGACTAAGTTCGAAACTATTTGTGTTATATATAACAAATTTTACAGCTGTTGTATCTATACAATGCTTCCGTTAACTCTAAGATAATAACCCTTCTATAACCCTCGGCATCTGATTCAGCGTGCTATACAACAGCTACTCCTTGCATTCGACTATAAATAGGTACATAGATATATTCACACACATGCAACTCTGGCGCAGAAGCGAGAGAACGAACACCGAATTATACCCGTTGCTCTTTTGTCGACAGCACAAAAAGAAAGTTTTCCAGTGATGCTGCTTGAACAAGATATAATCCTACAAAACGCCGAAATCCTATTACATCTTCGTCGGGAGTTTATATGGTATATGGTCCCCTTTAGAACTAAATTGTACAAGGTAGACAGCATCTTCTGGAGGACCCCCATTAGGACAAAATACCATCTTCAATAGCCACCGTTAGCTAACATGAAAGAAAAGAAGAAGAATAAAAATGCACGCTACTTACATCCTTGCATCCAATACATGGCCAATGAGCCCCCGCGGCACAGCTGCAACAGCACTCTCTGTTTTCTTCATGGTCGTCTACGGTGCAAATTCCTCGCTCATTATGGGAGAACGTTGCTCCATGATTATTTTTCGAGAAATCGATGGTTTTCCCGGGAGTTGGGGAGGCGGTGGCAAGAGCCGCGTAAAGGGCGATGAGACTGACAGGCCACTTCATGATTATAAATTTAAAGAGGAAAATGGTTTATTTCGTAGTTCTGTTGTTATTGAGATGAGTTGGTCAATGACACGAGCTGTTCATCGAGGTGAGTTGGGATAAAATCATTTTTCAGTTTCTGGAACGGGCTGTCTTATATATACAAATATATCTACATATTCTTATCCAGAATCTTCATTTTACCTATTCGCATTCTCTCTATTCAATCCATATGGTTGAACAGAATCGATTCTTTCACTTATTTGCACGTATGTTGTGTTCACACATGGTATTTTTGGCTTGGGCTTTGATCACTTTAATCCCGTGCAGAGACTCTATGCGATTGCTGCAACCATTAACCCCATACCATTACCCCGTACAATTCTCATACTTAGAGACCACTTCATTCATCATTCCCAAGAGCCAATCGGAAGATTTTTCTCAAGTTGAACACTACATGCAATAATGTCCTCGTGACCGCTCAGATTGTCATTCACCTTTGGCGCCATCGCCAATGCTTCAACCTTGCATCATCCTCGTGATGGCCCATGCTCTCCAAACAAATAAAAGACTAAATTATGTCTAGAATTGTGTCCCACAATATATTAGATGTGACTATTTGTCTATACAAAGCTCATGCCAACTCCAAGACAATGGCCCTTCCAGAGCCCCGGCACCTGGTCCACTCATACAGCGTACTGTACATCAGTCACTCCTGAACAACATTTGAACATTGTACACCCCCGGCATGCCCTCGTAGCAAAACCCCACCTCTTTTTCAGAAAGAAAAATGTACATAAAATCATGCAAGCTTAAAAAAAAGGTATTAGAAGAAGAGAAAGAAAACTCCCACCAGTCATTTCATAGGCAGTCTCGCGAAACGCCCAAGCCCCATACAAACTCCGCAGTCGAAGAACAGCCGCTCCCACGCAAACAAACACCAAAGATTGCATCTCTCCACGAATCCAGCCAGCTTCTAGTGCATCGGCCCCGCGGGAAGCTCAACTGCAGGAGCTTCCTGCGCCGGCAACTCTTCTGGAGGCGCCGCGGCCGGCTGTTTGGGCTTGTTCATCAGGCCGCTGTACTGCGCCAGTTCCGTCGGCGCCGCTGCGTCTTGTCCGTGAAGCTCGGTGGGCGTGTTTCCCGAGACGACCTTGTTGTACTGCTGCCGCTTCCTCCACCAGAAGAAGAGACCGGCCAGTAGGCCGAGCACGACGACGGGCACGATAACGCCAATCGCCGCCTTGGCTCCCGTTGATAACCCACCAGATGAATCGCTAGAGTCCGAGCCGCCTGTGTTTTTTGCTCCCGCTGGCTTTGTTCCCGTCGTCGCTGCGGTTGATCTCGTCGTTGTCCTCGTCATGGTCGTCGACTCCGTATCGGTCTTTTGATAAACCATCCTGATGCCAAAAGCGTTTAACCCCCCCGGATCAGTGAAACCGCCCGGGACCGTGCTTGTGATGCCATTGCCGCTCACTGTCATGGACAGCGTCGTGCCGTCTCCATCCGGCGCAATCCACGTGCAAAACAGCGTTGACCAGACACTCTCCAGCGTGCTCGTCGTGACGCACGAAAGCGATATGTCCGAGGCCAAAGTCGGACAGCACGTCACGGTCGTGATTCTCGAGGCGCCAATGTTGTCGTGGCAGGCCGAGTAGTAGCCCGAGGGACATGCCAGGCCCGGCGAGAAGTAGGACGTCTGGTCGGTGTGGAAGCCCTTTGGGAGGCATGATTTGGAAAAGTCTACTCCGCTGAGGAAGCCGGATACAAAGATGCCGTCGCAGTCGGCGGGACGGGAGAAGGTTGTGGTGAGAGGGTTGAAGGGGAACGAGGTGACGACGGGGATGGCTGGTTTGGTTATGGCGTGAGTCGCCGATGAGTCTATGGCCGCCATTGCGGAAGCGGAATTGAATGTAGCGTATAATGAGGAAAGGGAACAAGGTGGAAAAAGAAGCTGAATCGTATCAAAGCGTGCTCTCTATAACAATGGTTCTGCTGATGCTGGCAGGGCTCTCGCTCGCTAATCACCAAAATGCAAACGGCCAACTATAACCACATGACACACACAGGGAGAAGAGAGAAGGATTCAAATCACAGGGAGAAAAAAAGAAGAAAGAAAAAAAAAAAAAGCAGAAGTAAAGAGCGGAAAAGGCGAGACCCGGGTTGAGCTGTGTGTTACGTGAAACACCGGCAAGGCCCAAAATCCATGGCCCGCCTCACAACAACACAATCTGCCTATCCCAACTCCCCCCTGCTCCCATTCTTCTGACTCCCCAATTTCCCTGGTCCTTAAAAAGGCACTACATCAGCCTGCATACTCTGAAAATCCCAACAGCAGCACCAGCCACTCACAAGCGGCCCCAAGCCTGGGACGGGCTCTTACTTTTGGAGCGAAGGATCGACCTCCATGCCCGCGCCAGAGAAAACCCACGCCACGGGTACAAGTACTTTCAGCTATTGCGGCACGAGCCAATGGGAGGAGAAACGCAGGTGGAGTCTTGTGTGTGTTTTTTCTTCCTTGGGGGGGCCCCAGTCTATTCTGTCTGAGCTTTTGGTACGGGCTGAATGGAACGAGGTTTGGGCTTCTGTTGCACGGAGGATTTTAGGGAGATTCTGTAAAAGGCAAAAAAGAGGTAGGAATGGTCGCCAAGATGTGACAATGGGCAGTAAGCAGGGTTTTATTACAGGGTTGATACACCTTTGGTCGTTCTTAATTTCGGCTTCCCTTTTTATGTCCTACTATACTGTAACGTTCAAGTCTGCTCTCTTCCTTTGCTGCCTCTTCTTCATGTACATGGCAGGTTGTCGTGTCAAGTCAGCCTCAATGCTTAGTTCCAAGAACTAAGTCTATTAATAAAGCGGGTTGCGTGAGACGTGCTTTTTCTTGGCTAGTTTCGCAAACAAACCACGCCAAACAGCGACACCGCCATAACGAACCGATGGAGAAGAAAAAAGACGAAGAAGAACATGATGATGATGGAGCCCCTGCAGAAAGACAGACACGCCATGGAGCGCTACGCAGCTGCAGGGGCTGTTTTCAGAGCCGCGTATTGGCTGTTTCGCGTGGCTGATGGCTGTGAGATTCGGGTCGGTGGGATCGGCAAATACACGCCACCAAGGCATTTTTAGTTGCTACCGAAAGGGGGAACTGTAAGGCTCGAATAGCTTAGGCTGTGTAGTTGTCGAGGCGTTGTTAAGCGCTCAAGGTGGTGGTGATGCATTAGTAGAAGTTTGGTTGGCACGCTTGCCGCTGGAAGCGATTCTTAGCCACAGATTACCTATGGGTATTTGGAATTATCGAAATGCTCAGCAATAGTCAAGCAGCTGAATGGCTTTTTTTTTCCAGTTCGATTCATCAACTACCAGGTATTCCTTCAAATCCATGGAAGCATTCCTCTTTGTGCCGTCGGGAATAATCAGGACAATCAGCAACAGGCACTATCGCGTAGAGCTGAATTTAGCGATCCCAGGACCCAGCAGCAGCCCCTCCTCGCTATAATCCACAGGGCGCACGTCAATGCATAGCCGCCAGCACCAAACTAGCATCCTGTTAGCCTCTTTTTCATCCTCACAACCAACCGCGATATACTCATCTCGACGACACAGAAAAGGCCGGCAATCGGACTGGCCTATCACCGCCCCAGTCACGCATCTCCATATCGCTTCTACCAGCTTTCGGAACTGCCACAGAGCTGCAGTCGACAAGGTGGAGGGAGAGCGGCTATCGAGGTGAAGCTGTTTCTTAGCAGACATGGACCGCTCACAGCCAGCCTCGTCCAATTTGATGGGTAAGTCCGTGAACAAGGGTGGTTTTTATGGCTTGTTTTCCTTTGACGATGGCTTCAATTTGATTTTGTATCTGCTTCAAGCTACTGAAACCTTGTACACTGTAAACATGTTGGCATCATGCTCTCAACCCGGTCCTTCATCCCGATATGCATTGGCTATTCTCAATCTATTATAGCTCTTAAATCCTCAGTCTCACTCTAATGAATCCCAAACATAGACACCCACAACCGTCTCATCGCCGACATCCTCACCCGCTACCGCACCCTCATGATGCTCGCCACCGTCCAGGCCGAGCAGGACCGCAACAACGCCAACCCCGAAGCCATGGCCGTCACCGGCATATCCATCAAGATGGAATTCGATGGCTTAGTAAGTTGATTATGAAGGCAGTATCAAGGAGCACAGCTCACACTCCCCTACTAGTACACCTCCATCAAGGAATTCCTCACCCTCTCCCGCAAAATCAAGGAACTCTGGATCTTCGGCCCCCTCGGCACCGAAGACCAGAACCGAAAGGCCAAAGAGGAGCAGCTCGACCAGGACGTCAACCGAGTGTCTGAACTTCTTAACCAGATGGAAGCCTCCAAGATGAAGAACCTGGCCGAGAGCAACGGCGGCACGTGGCAGCCGCTTGTGCGGGAAGAAATGGAGGGTATGATTGCGGCGGCTACTTCTGCTGCGGCCGCTACATCCACAGCACCCGCTGCTACGGCTGGTCGGTGATCTTTGCTTGTTTAATGCATTGGCATATTTGCGTTTACTGGCGTTGGGGTATGCACGGAAGCTTGGGTGGAGTTCATGGGGCATGTAGACAATGATACCATCAGACGTCGTCGACTACAAACATCACGTTGAAATCTGAAAAAAGAGAAGAAAAAAATATGCTCAAAAAAGAAACAAAACGCCTTATAGAGCCCACCGGGACAAGGGATGAGCACCCTGTCTATAGACCCACGTCTTAACTATGTACAGCATCAGCGTCGGCCCTTAGCCCTCTCCGCCTTCGGGATCCTCTTCGTCCTCATCACCAAGCTGCTTATCGACGTCCTGCAGCTTTCCATTCGACTTGTCAATCGTCGCGACCTTCATGCCTCCGGCGGTGAGCCACAGGAAGTGATTTGACCTGAACTGGTCAATCTGTGAAAAGAAGCTGTGGAATCTGTTGCAAGGGATTGTTAGCTAGATGTCATCGAACAGGTTGCCAAAAATAAAAACTTACGAATTCTCCTTCTCCTCGACTCCAAAGATGCGCGAGTAAATCTGCTCCTGCTTAAACGCCTCCAGCTTCTCCTCATACCTGTCAAAGTCGATATCCTCCCGCCCCAGCGTCTCCGTTGCTCTCTTATTGTAGTTTTCAAACACAGGCCGCTCCAGCAGCAGACCCAGGCCGGGCATCTTGGGAATAGCCATCTTCTGCGGGCCATAGCTCTCCTTGATGCGGTCCAGCGTTGTGCCGCAGCGCACCATCAGCGTCGCCAGGCCGACCATCTTTCGGATCTGGTGCATCATGAAGCTCTGTCCATGGACCTTGAGGGACAGCCACTCGGTATCGCCGATGATGATGGGCTTCGGGTTGACGACAAAGGACCGGATATGGCGCTTTGATGACGGGTCGCCGTGCGACTTTTGCACGGTGTAGTTGTGGAAGTTGTTGGTTCCCACGTACTGGTTGAGGGCTTCCTGCAGCCTCTGGATGCGCTCGGGAGACACGCGATAGGCACGCTTAGCGCCAATGTACGCTGCCTTGATGTCGCGCAGGGCAAAGTCCACGGGACCCAACTCGCGGCGCTTGGGCTGAACCGTCTCGAGGACGACTGCAGGCCTTTGGGGAGTAGCATTGTCGCCTTCATTTGTGGTGGCGGGTTCGGCATTTTCTGATGACGGCTGCTCCTTGTCAACCATGACATAGTCCCCATCTTCCTTTGCCGTCTCCTCTTGAACAACAGCTGGTTGTGTGCTCTCAGCCTTTTTGGATTCATCTGCATTTTCTTCGGGGGCTTGTTCGGAATGTAGGCTCTCCAAAACGGCGGCCCTTGTCTCTTCGTCCAGTCCGGCCAGGATAGGTTTGATATCCTTCTCCTCCACTTCCGACCACCAATCCTTGACATCAGCCAGCCTTGCGTTGGTCTCTTCCTCAGCGCCGTACTCCTTGTTGACTTCAACCAGCTTCTTGCCAAGGAAGCTTTGAGGGTGCGGAGGCAGAAGACAGTAGCTCGGCATGAGATACTCGTACCATCTCGAATCACAGTACTGGTAGCAGTTGTAGCTGTTGTTGGTTCTCTGAATACCCCAGACTCGGATCTGCGGCGGAAGAGCCTCGTTGATCTTGTCGACAATGTCTTCGTCTTCGATAATCAGCTTCAAGCTGATGACATTGCCCGCAGCATGCACGCCCTTGTCCGTCCGCGCGCAGCGAGCCAAGCTCGACTTGCGAGGGTCGTCGGCATTGGCCTTTGAAATGGCGCCGGCCTTGACAAAGGCCTGGAACAGATCCCGCTCAATCGTCTCCTCGTCGCCGTTGAGCTGCATGCCCTTGTATCCAGTTCCAGCGTAGCCAATCATGACGGCAACCTTGCGCTTCGGCCGACGGCTCTCCGCCTCAATCTCCTCTTTGGAGAAGGGGTTCGCCTTGGGGTTGTCGATGTCGCTAATCTTGCGGCGCTTGAATTCTTTATACTCGTCATGGCGCTTCCGCTTATCTACCTTGGTGCGGCTACAGTCTGATCAGCGCCGTTGGTAAATGTGGCAAGCCCCCCAAATCAATCAATTGTTCAAACTGGGGAAAACAAGACTTACCTCCATTCTCCTCGGCCTCTGTCGCCCTTCTTTCCCTTCTTGCCGCGGTTGTTCCCAGAGCCCTGGCCGGCCTCGCCTGATGCCATTGGCTTGTCTTGGTTGCGCTCAGCTGAGGGCGCGCTAGCAGCGACAGGAGCCTCGTCGCCGGCCGCCATGTTTGCATTGAGGATATTGAAAATCCCAAGTGGCTGTATGTATGGCGGAGGAAGAGTCAATGTGCGATACAGCAGTTTAAACTTTTGGGGACCACAGGAAAGAATTTCCTCCACAGGGCGAATAGTGGGGTATCGATAAGTACCCACTACGGCTACCAAGGTACCAATCTAGGCACGAGCGGCAATCTCAACATGATGCCTGAACGAGATACCCTGCAAAGGTCGAGAACAAGCAGGACTGTGCAGTGCAATGCTTTAATGAGTAAGAAGAATTGGCCAGAACAAAGTTTGACATTCAGCCAGAATCAGCTCAAATTGGAATTCACGACTCTTCTTGTTAGCAGACACTGTAAATCCATTGCCATCAATCCATTCTCGACAATAGTCTCGTTATCACATGCTTCTGTCCAGGCGTCTCTATCCCCAACATGGATGCGTCAACACAGCACCAGCAGAACAGCAAATATGGAATAGCCCAATCATCTAGATATCGAGCGAATAGTAGATAAAGAATAGCTTGATTCCATCACCGACTCAAGATTGATCCACGTGGCCGGTTGCCTCTCAGCGCCATCTCCACAAGCTAGCTATTCCACCAAGGCCAGCGCAGGAGGCGACGTCATACAGTCGAAACAACTGAAGCCCACCAATTTCTAGCCTCGCAGCCTGCTTCCCCTTCAGCCAACATTCCCTTTCCCAACAACTCCATGTTTGCGCCAAGCTGATCACCGTCTTTACGAGCATCCGTGCCTTTCACTCTTTTCCCATCAAATGGCCTCGGTGCAGCGCCGCGCAGCCAAGACTGCTTCCGACCCTCCATCTCCATCTCCATCCTCCATCATCGACATGGCCGCCGCGACAACCCAGGCCGAGTCCTCACGGCGCAACCCGCCATTCCTGCCGACGCCCCTCGAGAGGCTTTTCCTCGCCGTCTTCCCCGCCATCCTCGTCTTCGGCACAATCTTCTCCCTCGTTTCGCCCGACATTCGAGCCTCTCCGTACGACCACGTGTCGCAGTCGCACCACCAAGACCCGAGCCTCTCGCCGAGCTACTTTGCCCGAAAGAACAATGTCTTCAACGTGGTGTTTGTGAAGCGCGGCTGGGGATGGACCACCTTTGCATTCGTCTTTTCTCTCCTTGTGCAGCCCACCCGCAATACGCCTCCTGCCGTCGTTCTGATGAGGAGGATCCGCGCAGGCATCCGCTGGGTGGCCGCCACGGGCTGGTGGTTCTTTGTCACACAGTGGTTCTTTGGCCCTCCCATTATCGACCGCAGTTTCCGCTGGACCGGCGGCAAATGCGAGCTGGCGCAGCGAGAGGTTGTCATGGGCGAGGGCAACGTGAAACAGCTGTTGACGGCCGTGGCTTGCAAGGCAGCAGGAGGCAAGTGGAAGGGAGGCCATGATATCTCGGGCCATGTGTTTCTCCTGGTGCTGGGCACTGCATTTCTAATGCAAGAAGTTGGCTGGCCGGCCCTCAGAGTCTGCGGGTGGCTCGCCGAAGAGAGATGCGTCGTCATGCCTGACGGAGCGGTTAAGAGCGCGAGTGTCGAGTCAGAGACGGGTGCTGGAGAGGGAGCAGGAGAGCCCGTGTTCAACATTAGCGGGAAGACGGCCATTGGCGTCATGTCATTGAACTTGTGGATGCTGCTCATGACGGCCATATACTTCCATACGTGGTTTGAAAAGGTAGGCTTTGCGATTTGCTGCTGATGTATTACGACAGGCTAACGCTTTTGTTATAGCTTACTGGACTTTTGACTGCCATCATTGGTGTATATGCCATATATTACGTTCCTAGATTTGTGCCGGCTTTGCGGGGGGTGATTGGTTTGCCTGGGATATAGATGTACGAGCAGGAGCATGAGCATGAGCATGACCACAAGCATAAAGCATGAGCATTGGATTAGATAGTGTATGAGTGCGAGATGAACGATTCTGTATAACGCCTGGATTGAGAAGAGATGATAGTCTTATTGAATAATTAATGATACCCTTCTCCTGGAAATCACATGACGAGTCTTCTAAACACCAGATTTCTTTGTTGGCGTAACGTCGCGAAATAAAACATGGGATTCTGCAGTGGAGGGGCATCTCGGCGATCCCCGCACAGACCTCAAACTTGCTTCTTTACTAAAACACTGACGTCTTACATGCCACTTGGACATCTCGTCATCATACTCTCGTTATACTCACGCTGCCAGATAAACAAAATCGCTCTTTTTTTTTTTTTTTAGGGCTTTGAGATTCTCATCATAATGTCGCGACTCAAAGCTCCTTCAAACCTCCATGAACTCGTCAGAACCACCTTCTCCAAGGCCCTCTCGGCAAATGAGCTTCACTATTTTCCCACTCAAGTCACCGTCTTGCATGTAAATTCAATCCCCGTAAGTAAAGTCAAGTAAAATCGCCTGATGAGAATCAATTGATGGCTAACCAAACTTGCACAGTTCCAACTGCGATTCTCCCCATCACTAGCAAACAAACCCAAAGGCCCCCCGCCAGATCCGTCGCAGCCTCGCAAGCCGCCCTTTGACCCCTTTGCCCACCCTCCCGCCTCTCTCTTCATCACTGATCTGGGCCCGTCCCATTTCCTCGTCTTGAACAAATTTGCCGTTGTGCCGGAGCACTTTATCCTTGCGACAAAGGAGAACAAGGCGCAGACTCATGTGCTTGAGGAATCTGATCTGGAAGCCGCGCTTGCTTGTATCGAGGCTTACGAGCAGGCAAGACAACCATCAAACAATCTTGATGGAGCAGCTGCTCCTTCAGAAGAGAAAGGATCGCAAGACGATGGACTATTCGTCTTTTTCAATGGAGGGCCTCATTCCGGAGCGAGTCAGGCCCATAGGCATCTTCAGCTGCTGCCAGTCTCCCGGATGAAGGACGGCTTGGAAGATCAAACCGCCTGGGACGTGCTCGCACAGCAGGCCGATGCGCTGCAGAAAACACCCTTTGTTGCATTTTCCGAGCTCATCAACACGAACATGTCCTCTGCGGACCTCTTTGCCGCCTATTCCCGCGTCTACACAAAGGCCTGCCAGGCAGCCGCCCAAGATGCGGGATCCAAGGTAGAAGCAGTTCCTACAACGGGCGAAGCTCTCATCAGCTACAACATGGCCATGACAAAGGACACTTTGGTCATATGCCCTCGCAAACAAGAAGGCTCTCCGATCAAGAGCAGCGACGGGCGCGAGACTGTTGGATCGCTCGCGTTGAACGGCACAGTCTTGGCTGGCACGGCACTGGTGAAGAACGAGGCAGAGTGGGAAGCGTTAAAGAAGAGTCCAGAGCAGCTCCTCGCGGTGCTACGCAGCATCGGAATCTCAAGAGGCGAGGCAGGAGATGGTCACAATAAGTTGTAGGAGGTGCAGCGGTTTTACCAAAAAAGACTTGTATTTAGGAAAAAGAATTCTTACAGAATCTAGACAGAGAGAAGAAAAAGAAAAGAAAATAAAAGAAGAAGAAAATAAAGAAAGAGACTATCCTGTACACTACATCCAGAGATGAAAATCCGAATGTCCATGGTCTGTGGGTATCGCCCGTTGCGCCTTTAGCGAATGCGAAAAATGCGATGATGAAAAGAAAGAGAGAAAAGCAAAAAAAAAAAAAAAAAAAAACAAGATAGTAGATCCCTTGTCTATCCCCCCAAACTCCAATAATGTGTGCGTGTGTTCTCACCCTGAGTAAATGCAGTCCAAAGAAAAAAAAAAGGAAAGAAAATAAAAGAACAATCGGCCAAGAATAAAAGACGAAAGCCACCAATGCGTACAAAGGAAAAATGGAGTGAACAGAGTGCGTGAAGGCTAGCATCTCTCTCAGCCTTCTGCCGCGATTGCAACATTAGTTCTCTCCATAGGTGCCATCTTCGGCCTCATCGTCATCTTTACCCTCATCCTCGTCGCCATCTTCGTCTTTGGGCTCTTCGTGAAGGTCGGTATCAACCCCCTCCATCTCATCATCGACATCGGCATCCTCATTTTCATCATCGACATCGGCATCCTCATTTTCATCATCGACATCGGCATCCTCATTTTCATCATCGACATCGACATCGACATTCTCATCGTCGTCATGATCTTCCCAGCTCTGGTCAAACACGTTGTCTCCAAGCTGTCCAGTCCTTTCGAGGTGCAACCATTTCCTGTGACTAGTATTGTACCCAAACGAGTACGTGCCGCCATGGCTCTTGATGTATTGGGACACCATCATCCAAGATATCCCAGCTCTGTCTGGATGTTCGCTGCCGGCGTACACTTGCACTGCCTCCTTCAAAAGTTGAATCTGGCGCGGGGAAAAACAAAAAGATTAGGTCAAGAAGGAAAAACTGTCAGAGGAAGAAGACTGAAAACTTACATCAATTGGGGTCCACTTGGGATTTCGGACCCGATCCTCCCTTCTTTTCGTCAAGGTTCGGTAACGGCCACGAAGAGTCGACTCTGCCTCTTTAAAGCGACCATACATCTTGATCATCTTGTAGGAAACCTCGTAGCGGCGTGCTTCTAAGAGAAACCTATTCTTAGTCTCTCTATCAGCGCCATGAGGCAGCCAATCGACTTCCATCACGGGCTTGGGGCCCTTGCGGCGTCTACCGGCAAGTCTTCTTCGCCTTGCTCTTTCGACATCGGCCTTGGTACCGGCTAGAACAAATGGGATTTTAGGGTTAGGGGGAGCGCGTTTCTTATTACCCGGGAGAGGCTGCTGGGGTTCTTGCGCAGTAGGGGCAATCTCCGTGACAGACTGTGCGGGAGAAGCCACCGGCAGGTTGAATTGGGCGTTCTCATCAAGAGGCACTGCCTCGCTCTGGACGGTATCTAGGGCTTGAGAATGTCCAAAAAGATCACCCTCGTATGTTGCTGCCCATCGCTCATCCAAGAGAGGATCTTGAACCAGATAGTCTGGCATCATGGCATATCCGAATGGCAGAGGCTCATAGAGCTCGCCGACGTGGCCTTGCATGCCTTGCACATCCAAGATGGCAGCTTCTTCGAGACTTGGAGGTACCCACGGCTGCAATGCCTGGTAGTCATCAAACTGGTACTGGTATTGCTCCTGCGTGAAGTCACTGGCAAAGAAATTTGGCTCCTGTGTTCCTCGTGAGTAAATCAATACAACATCTACCAGACATAAAAGTAGACAAGAGTCAAACAAAGGACAAGCTTACCACAAAGTAAGACGGAGACAGGTAGCTCTGGTCGTCTGCCATTGCTGGTGCAGGAGAGGGATACAAATGCTGGTCGGAACCTGGACAATCCCATGGGAGATATGGCTGATTCAGGGGGTCGTATAAAACTGGTTGCAGTTCTTCTTGCTGCTGCTGCTGCTGCTGTTCTTGCTGCTCCTGACTCTGTGGCGCTTGGTTGAGAAATTCTTCCAAAGAGCCAAAGGTGGCTATGTCTGGGCCGCCGATATTTATGGCAGACAAGTTACCAGCCTCTTGGCCACGAGGGAGACTTCCATTCTGAGCAGAAGAACCGCCCGCTTGGTCTATTCCCATGTCAGTGTGTCTTGTTTCAAATTATCAAACGCAACACCAGCTCAACTAACCGTTGCTATCTGCCGTAAGGCTCTCCCTCTGCGCTTCACGCAGCTTCCGAGTGACGGATCTCGTTTGACGCATGGTCGTGATGTAGGCTTCCGTATGAAACGAGCAGGATGAACAAGGGACAGGGGCAAGGATCAACGATGCTCGCTGGCTCAAACAAGGTTGAGCGGGTAGATGGATCGAGACGGATATCTGCTGGAGTGGGAAATGATTCTGAGCGGGAATCAGGGGAAAGAACGCGTGCGTCTAGAGCGACGTCAACTATGAGAAGAAAATAGATGAATGCCAATATAGGCCTTGTCAAAGATAAAGACGAGGGTAATGGTGATGCAGAAATGGATATCCAGATGGAAAACTTCGTTCGCGTCAAGGCGTGTCAAAATTTCGAATCTGAAAATGAGGGTGAAGAAGGAAGAAGGAAGAGAGAAAGAGGGATCAGTTGTTTTTTTTTCTTCAGGAGAAATTATATATCTCTACGTTGCTACGTTGAATTGTCTGCCAGCTGGCAGCTGCAATATTTCGAATAACAAGACGATGGCCTCTGAGGTTTGGTCACTTGGCAGCTAGCCTGGCCGCCTATGGCCTCGTCGAGCCCCTATTTTGCACAAAGCTCTGCTACTACCAGAAATTTACCCTCCCTGGGTGAATGATTAGGCTAGAACGATGTCAACTGTTAAATCTCCCAGTATACCAATCTATCTTGCTATAATTGCAGCGCTCTTTGTCCCTCATCTCTCCATGGCCTCTTATAGAGCATCGGGTGTGTTTTGATAGCAGGCAGCTTCACAGCCAATGCTCCCCGTACGAATAATACAACGATGGAGGAAATACGGCAAAGAGCCAGAAAAGTTACTGGATGGCTTGGTCCCTCCATTGCAGATATAAATAGGGCCTTTATTTCGGATCGGTCGTCCCGCAATAGTCCCCAAAATGTCCAAACACAGCCTTGTTCATTTCTCCCAGCCCGTCATGTTTCAGAGGCCCCAGACACCTGAGTGCAATAGATCCATGATCCATGCTCTGAAGGCTTCCCGCCGGTTGTGAGAGATGAAGCTGGTAGATGGACGGAACAGAAGTAAACAAAGAAATTACAGACGCCAACCATCATGCTGTGGAATGATGACAATGGCAGCCACAAGAAGGCGAGAAACGGTATGGAACGAAATGGCAGCGGATGTTTGCATGGATATTTCATCTGAAATTAAATGACAGGCCGTTTCCCGCACGGCTGCAGGTCATTCATCTCATGATCCCATTGCCGTGGCACGGAAAAGTAGCTGTCTGGGATGGCACCAGCCGTTGAGGCACAGCGACTCTTGAACCAGAGCATTGGAATCTTCCCGTCTGGGTATTTAACTCACTGCATCCAATTTAATCCGGCAGGCACCCGGGTGGTATGAGTGTCTTTTGACATTGCTGAGTTACACAAGATGGTATTTGGGCAAGCGGCTACACGGAAATAGGAGCTTGTTGGCGGGCTGTATCACACACGTACCTAAGAAAGAGATGATAATACCGGCTAGGAGTATATGAAAAAGCGTATAGCTGGGATTAATTTGAAGAAATAATTACCAGTCTTCTATACTGTGCTACCGTGAATTCCTAGGAAAACAAAAGGAGCTGTAGTACTGGAGGTGGCAATGTAGATCTCAAGTACATTATTTGCTGTCATTCAAAAAAAAATCCCTGGCGACAGATTGTACATCGGTCTACCAATGCTGCGTGAAACATCCAAACAAAGAATGCCCAGCATTGGTTAGGGTTTTTCTCGCAGGCAAAAGATCAAAGACCATCTCAAAAAAAGGCATCAAGGCTAAGCCTTCTTTCATCTCGTCGTAATGAGCAATCTATCCGTCCTTTCTTCCTCCATATTATTCAAGAGCATTACAGAGTGAAGCTAAATTTGGTCTTATTTAGGTACGCAACGCTATGCACCGAGCAATCAAGCTAGTAGTACTTGTCACACAACACCCACGTTGGAAACACATACTTTCATCAAAAGGCAAGGCTATGAGCTGACGAAGCCTTAAAAGACAAGTTATTGCCGGCTCTATTATTTTGCGACGGCAAATCTGCCGTCTCATTTGTCGCGTGTTAGTGGAACATTATCTGCGCGAGTGCTACAAGCAGAACATATTGCTCTGTGGACGTGTACATATAGCTTGCACTTTATTTTATACTACGAATACTAGTCTTTTATGATGACTCAATAGATACGCAGCTCTAGGTCTGCATGGAACAAATATCTGCAATCTATAGATCATCGCATCGTCCAGGCACTTGATAGCCCAACTTACCTATTTACCTGTAGTACAAATAAGAAACAAAGTAGAATACACGCAAGTATCAACACCAGTCATTTTCAGCTTCTTGTTCGTGAATAAACTCAATATTATTTGCTACATATCACTGCTGCTCAAATTCGGAACAATGAAAGCCATGCATTCAAACTATTTGACATTTTTCGCCTTTATGCTATCCATGTCCGTCACAGTTGGATCTCCATTAGATAATAGAGAATGCAATGACTTATCACCTCAATGCTCTGAACTGAAGCTTGACTGTTCCATTCTTGAGTTGTAAAACCAAGCTTTCCAGAATTGCGATTATATCATGACACGTCTCTGGCTAAATGGCGTGTTTGCTGAGTATACGGTATAGCCCTCATTTGGATGTGACCGACAAGCAGGATAAAGACTCTGTTCATACGCCACATCGGGATATCGATTGTCAGTCTTGTGAAGAATGAACAGAAGTGTGTAAGAAGGCACTGTATGTAAAAGAAGGTAGCTCTAGTTTACCTTGAAATACTGTATCCTTGTCCTTGTCCTTCTTCCCGTATATATGTGTTCTGCGCTCGTAGCGTTTTTAGAACCTCCATAGTTTCATATTGGAAGTAGAAAAATACGCTGAACGATGTTTTCTCTGTGTCTATTACTATTTGTTGATAACCTTGAACGAAACTTGTACCGCAATTGGTGATACAGTCAAATGATCAGGAAATTGCACACCTCCTTCTTTCTACAGGGTAAAATGTGATGCCTGCTCAAAGCGTTCGTAGCGTCGAACAAAGCTGCTGCGTCAATCAATGTCAATATGAGCGCTTAAAATCACCTAGTTTGATCGTTTTAAAATTGGCCAACTATTCGTGAAATGTCCTCGCAGCCACGTTGAAAGGTAACCAAATTAATAGTAATAACTTCAGGCAAAACTACTTCCAATTTTGATATTGATATATCGCTTGGATATATAATTTAATAGCTGTTGACTTAAGTCAAAAAGGGAACAATGAGTGTGACGGGCATGTGGTGAGAAGAAAAAGCGCCAGTCTTTTTATGTTCCATCTTTGAGCTATATGCCTATCTCTCCGTATGCCCAATGACAATCTCATGCTATAAAAAAAGCCCCAAGCAGGTATCCAAATCGTACACAACGCATTCTTCCATAATCGTCATTTTGAAAAAGTGAGGTTGCAGGCGAAGATTACGATCAACGTACCCTCTTCGAGCGCGCCTCCCATTTCAACCATGAATACCCTCCCATTTCAACCATGAATACCCTGCAAAGGGACTAAATGTCCGAATAATGAGTAGAAAAAGAGAAGGGAAAGAAAAAAAGTAAGAATAGGCATGTATATATATGTACATCCAAACGAGAATAACAATTTCTGGGGCATCATGTACGGCTTACACCAAAAAAAGAGTTCGCTCTCGCAAAAGAACCGCCGGCCCTAGAAAAAATTAAAGCGTAAGGCTTGCGAGCCAAATGAAAGCAGAAAAAGAAAAATGTATCAATTCTTAGTCGTCCCATTCCTCGTCCAGCTGGTCTATCAATCGGTTTTCCGCTTCGTTATTCCGGCTCGACCCAATATGCTGGTAGCCTCGCCTGCTCGGCACAAGGCGTCCGCACGACGACAACAAGATGACGAATAGATCCTATAAATAAAAACACGCATATACACATTAGTTAAAAAGGAAGCCCCGCCTTGGGCCGGGACGGACGCACGCTGAAAAAGCTCCCAATACCGGCCCACAGACTGTAGTTGGGTAGTTGCCGCCATCCTCGGGCGTGCGCAACGGTGCGGTTGTAGAAGACGCCGCCGAGCACGTACACGAGCACGGCGATGACGAGAATCAGTCCGAATACGCTTCCGGGCCCGACGCTACCGGGCTTGTGAGGCTCCGCGTGGGCGCAAGCATATGCGGAGCGGGCTTCGAAGAAGTAGGAGCATTCGTCGGGGTCGACGCCGACAAACGAGACGGCCGTGGTGGTTCCAGGATCTCGATCGCACAGGAAAGATATTGTGGCCGACTTCCGCCTGGTCTTGGAAGAGCTGTCGCTCTTCTCAATCGTCTCGATTTCGTGGGCGTGGGCAGGTGATGAGAGACCTTCGCTGTATTGCTTCGTGTCCCTCTTGCGGTAATCGTAATCGTCGTCATCGTCATCGTCGTCCTTGAAGCTCGACTTGTGATCTCCGCAAGGTGATCCGCCAGTGTACTGCAAAACGAGCTTTCGCCCTCGACTATGCAGATCCAGCGACACAGAGCTAAAGCAAACCGTTAGCGCGCAGAAACCATGTCGTTATCCGCAAAAGCCTCAAACAAACCCAATTGAGTAAACGCTGTCATGAGACGTATAATACGCGCTGACATTCGCCCACTGGCTCTTCTTCAAACCAACCACATCGTCAACGGGATCGACCACCGGGCCGCAGATATTCAACGTGAAGTTCTTGCCGTAATCCCAGCCCCGAGAATGATAGTCCTTGTATGTGCCTGACTTGTGGGTTTTCCCATTCTCGGGGGGCGCCACGGCTGTGTCCGGCCGCAGGTCGAAGAATCCACCATTTGTCAAAGATGTCGCTGTGCACGCCGGCGCAGGCGTCGTAGCTGTGGCAGTGCCGGCGGCAGCGTTGGCTCCGGCGGCGGCCATTGCCAGAAGCATCAAGAGGTGAGACGGTGAGGTGATCATGCTGGGCAGTCAGATGACGTCGCGTCGGTCGCTTATGCTTGTGAAGTCTGAAAAATCTCTGATCTCGTCCAACGAATGGCGGGGAGCTGAGAATCGCCTCGAGGGGCTCTGTGCGTTGCGATGATTGCGCTATCAACCAACGGTCGCGTAATCTGGGAAATAATATGAAACACGGAGAGAAATGAACGACGCTCTCTTGATTGGAGTTTCCTCAAAGTTGGCAGTTTGTCGCAAAGCCTGCTTGGCGTCAAGAACTACACCAGAAGCAGCCAACTTTCGCAGTTCGATGCTTCAAAAGAATGGCGTTTGTATGTTAGTCTCAGCCTCGTATAGCCAGCCCCGGCGCCACGATACCAGCTGGCAACCACGATGTCAGTTATCGTCAAGTCACGGGATCCGCACCCGTTGCTGCCCTCTGGTTGGCTGGTTCCTGGATGGTGACGTAAGTCGGCAATCTTGGATCCTTGATGCACGCTGGTCGGGAAAATGTGTTTGTCCGCCTCATGGGGTCCATCCGCGGCTGCTGAGCGCTAAGCCCAACCGGGCAAATTTGATATCACACACGCGCCCCCGTGAAGGTGGCATTTGGAATTCCGAAATCCATCGTCACGCCCAATGGCTTGAGGCAGTGCCCGTATTCGTTCACGTATACGCTTGTCTTGGACCTTGAGGAGACTATTAAAAGACACAGCGTTGTTACAGGAAATCTGTGCAAGGACGGGTCTTGGTTTCTCATCTACGGACGTGTCACAATGGCTCCCAAATCCAAACGAGCTGCCACGGAGCAGCCTCACGGCTACGAATTCGGAGGACCGTAAGTTGCCATCCCACAGCAAAACGAAAGCAACTACATGAATTGACACAATCTACTCAGACTTGGTGCCTTCGGAATTTCGTTCGGTCTGCCGGTTCTCGTATATCTCTTCACCTTTACTTGCAACGACGTCTCAGGCTGTCCCGCGCCTTCGTTCCTGAGCCCCAAGACCCTATCTCTGGACCAGCTGAAGCTCGAGGTGGGCTGGCCTGCGGATGGCATCTGGGGTCTAGCCAGCTGGAAGGCTTCTGGAGCTCTTGCGGCCTACTACTTCCTCAACCTGATTTTATACGCGATTCTTCCTGCCGCCGAGGTCGAGGGTACGGTTCTGCAATCTGGGGGCCGTCTCAAATACAGGTTCAACAGTACGTGATGTGGAGATCAAGTCGTGACGTGTAGGGGGCAGTCTGCTAACTTCATCCAAAGCAATGTACTCAAACATGGCCACGCTCTTTGCGCTTGCTGCAGGAACCATTGCCCAGGGTGCTGAATTCCCCGTCTGGACCTTTATCAGCGAAAACTACGTCCAGCTCCTCACCGCGAGCATTCTCCTCTCCTATGCCATCGCCACATTCGTCTACGTTCGAAGCTTCAGTGTCAAGACCGGAAACAAGGATAACCGCGAACTGGCTGCGGGTGGCCACACCGGGAATATGCTGTACGACTGGTTCATCGGACGCGAGCTGAACCCCCGTATCTCGATTCCCCTCATTGGAGAGGTCGACTTGAAGGAATGGTGCGAGCTTCGACCCGGCATGATGGGATGGATCATCCTGAACTGCTCTTGGTGCGCTCAGCAGTACCGCAACTATGGCTATGTCACAGACAGCGTTGTCTGCATCACCGTCGTGCAGGCTCTTTACATTATCGACTCGTGGGTGAACGAGGCGGCCATCCTGACAACCATGGATATCACCACTGATGGATTCGGCATGATGCTGTCGTTTGGTGACCTTGTCTGGGTCCCGTTCGTGTACTCTCTCCAGACTCGCTACTTGTCGGTGTATCCTCGTTCACTGGGCCCTGTTGGACTTCTCACAACTGGTTCGCTCATTTGCCTTGGCTTCTACATCTTCCGATCTGCCAACAGTCAAAAGAACGTTTTTCGCACCAATCCAAATGATCCCAGCGTCGCTCACCTCAAGTACATTGAAACCAAAACTGGCAGCAAGCTCCTCACCACAGGCTGGTGGGGAATCGCACGCCACATTAACTACTTTGGCGACTGGATTCAGGCCTGGCCATATTGCTTGCCCACCGGCATTGCTGGATATCAGATTCTTTCTGCCGGCTCCACCTCGGCGGAAGGGGCTTTTGTCATGGCCGATGGTCGACAGGTGATCCAAGGCGAAGCCAGAGGCTGGGGTATGCTCATCACCTACTTCTATATCGTGTACTTTGGCGTCCTCCTAATCCACCGAGACGGGAGAGACGATCAAAAGTGTTACCGCAAGTATGGCGAGGATTGGGTCAAGTACAAGAAGATTGTACGATGGAGGATTATTCCTGGCATTTACTAACGCCATCTGGCGAGGCCAGCTGATCGTCGAGCTTGAGCAAAGGGACGTTTGCTATCTTCCTCTGCCAAGAGAACCACCGAAGAAGTTGAAAGAGTCTCAATTGGACACAGATACGAGTTGGACGCGGTTGACGTACTCAGGGTTTGAAATCAAAGGATCATCAATAGTGTTATGGAGTTTGCAGCCACCTGCAGAAGCCACTCGGCGCTTCTTACCAGCATATTCAAAACAAAATACTAGCAATAGTCTATACGTAATGATAATTTTCATGTAACACAATTGCAGTTGGCCGATAGTTTTGTATCCAGCAGGCGAGCTAGGATTGCTGCCGCGGAAATAGCCCTAGCGTTCGGTGAAAAGGCTCGATGTGATCTGCAGCTTTGAGTAGCAAGGTGGGATGACGTGTGGACATGTTATTCAGTCCGAGTGTGTACAAAGTAAAAGTGCACATTGGATAGACGAGACGGGCCGAAGCAGTCCCAAGGCTGAGGATTACCAGCGCAAATGACCAACTGATTCTTCATCACGGCATCGCCAAGCCGCCTCCTTAAGTTGCTTATTTTTAGTTAACCTATAAGGGTAAGAGACAGCATCTTTTTCGGGTTATATCCCGGACCCAGCGACGCGGAGTCCAGGGACGGCGCCGCGGAATGTGTCGAGGAGTTTTCAGCTCAGAGCCTTCCGTATGCCATCAGTAACCCGGACTTACAGTACCTAGAACGTAGGTGTACTCGATATTCGTACGGCCATCTGAACCTTGAGGGTGATGATGTGTTGGAGAAGCTCTCCGCTTCGCACGTGTTGGCTGTTGATCAATGCAACGATGCAACGATGCAGCGTGCTGAATGAGGCTATCTCAGATCTACAGCCTGCACATTGCAATTGGAGAAGCCCTAAACAAGTGCACGATCCGCTGGCGCTGGATAAAGAAACATCCTAGAGCTTCTTGGAGACGTTCTAAACTGAGCGGTGGTAGCGAAGAAGATTGGTGGAAAAGTTACGGCGTCCTATTCAGGATGGATCCAGAGTAATTGGCGAAACTCCCCGATGGTCTTTTTCGCTCACAATCAAACGGCCCGAACAAATTGGCGCTAAGCCAGGAGTCGAGGAGACAGTCCCTGGACGGTCGATATTTGGGGTAAGTTGCGGGGAAGTGCGAGAGCGGAGACGCTGCCTTTGATCGGCACTCGATTTTCTTTTTTCCATGGCTGAGTTGGTGCGTATCGTGTGAACAAGATTCTTGTTTTGGAGACACGAACTCTGCAGAATCGGGGTAGGATGGCATGACTTGAATCCTTCAAAGCAGGAAGCGCTGCATCACATTTTTTAGGGTTGAGCGTGAGAAGTGTAGAACCTTGTACTTTTCGTATTGCAAGTAGTGCCTACAGCATGTAGCATGAATTATCGTGGCCATGTGCCACTCAAGCCGGGATGGCAGTCAGTCAATATCGGAGGTTTCCCGCAAGGCTTGACTAACAGCCAGGCCGGGACTTGGTGCCTGGGTGGCGCTCGGGAGAGACAGCAAAGCCGGCGGCTGGGGTAGAGCCAGTGGCAAGATGGGGAATGGAGAAGCTCTCCACGATGATGACGCTCCGCAGCGGGTCCATGCAAAAATACCACCCTAGCATGTTCATCAGCGGTCCAGCGGCCGTGGGAGACTGATCTGGGCATGTCAAAGTAACGGACAACAGCTTGGCAGAACGTCTGCGCCCGTAGCACCTGATGATTTGCTATCCCTTTGTCGAGAGCGTTTTCCCCTAGCGTGATCCGAGTCTCTTGGTCGCCTCGCCGTGGTTGCATGTTACCTCGCCTTAATGCCTATTGAGTCTGTGTAGTGGCATGCTTAAAAGCATGGTTGTTTAGTCACCGCACCGGCATTGGTAGTTTGGCGTTGCCGGAATGGGCAGACAGGCTTTTGCAAATCTTTCTCTTCAGCGTGTCCGTGCTGTTCCCAGTAGTAGATGCACTTGCATAGGTTAGCCACTATAACATCAAATCCGATTCAAAAGTGCCAGAGCCCATATAAGTGACAAGATGCTGGCCGGCTCGCTTGGCCGGCTGCCACCCGCTGAGTCGGAAAATACTTGTAGGCCGTCTTTTTGTGGTGCGCAGGACCAATGCCACCTCTCTCGAAGCAATGAAACGATCCATCGTAGATCGGAAATGGCCAAGACATTGCTGGATGTTGGAAGGCGTCGATGGAGAAGAAAAGCTCAAAAGTTCTTGTGACCTCGGACCCAGGCGGCTGAGGCCCCGCAGCCGGCGGAAATGTGCTCCGTAGCAAGACGCCGTGCCCACGATGCTATTTCGCCATTTCGCCGCTCAGCATCAGTCGAGATGTCAAGACGAACATGTGGACGAGGCTGGCAGAGCATCGAACGGCTCATCGGCCCTTCTACAGCTTCTCCCACTTCTTGGCGACGCAGGACGAGGCCCAACGCTCCTCGCTTGCATTTGGCGTCTGGCCAAGTGCTCTAGGATTTGTTTGCATTGCGCGTTCGGGGAGGATCCCAAGAACTTCACCCAGTGCCTGGCCGATGCAACCCTCTTGTATGTACATTCACATCGTAAAAGGGACCCGGAGTTCTCAGGTCGCCACCCCGGTGGTGCTTTGTGGCGTGGTTGTATTCCTTGTAGGATTGGAGTGCATTCGGCCAAGGGCATGTTGTTCCATTGCCAAGTAGCGTATTCTCGCCGTTCTCCGAATACGCGAGGGCAGACAGCTCCAGTCGTCCATTGTCCATCGCCGGTCTGGCTAGCTCTGGGTGCACGACAGACGGTTGTGCGAGGTCGAGGCTGAAATGAAGGCTGTCGTGATATGAATGAGAGACATTGAACTGAACCCTCTTGGAGAAGAGCCATCGCTATTGGCCCAGGCTCTGTCAGCTTATTTTACTGTACTCGCACAAGTGGTACCATGAGATCACAGGTACACCTTGTGTCTGATCCGGATGGGTACAGACAGCTACATGAAGGAGCTGTTCTTTGTCCTATTGAAATCGCATGCTCAGGCGTTGAACCACTCCATTGGCTCAATTCCAGGCATTGGATGCCGCTGTGGCTGGCGTACAGCGCAGGAAACTTGCAGCGCTACGAACGTACCATGTAGCGTAAAGTTCTCCGTACCTGGAGCTAAAAAAGGTACATACGCGGAAAGGCGCTTTCCTTTTTCCCCGACGTCGAGCCCCTTCCGTTTCTAGCTTCTTTCTAAATTTCACAGAAAGCAAGTACGCAGTCGAATAATCCGTGTTCCGATAGCTGCCATCTCTCTGGCATAATGCTTCATATTGTAGGTTGTAACTGTATCTTCATTCTCCATCTGCCTCCTGTTCAGCGTGACGTCGCGATCGACAAAACAGATGACGCTGCCAGGCATAGCACAATCGTGTAGGTGCTAGTCTCGAACCGCCAAGCTTGGGCTCCTATTCTTGTGCATGCTTCGTACGCGTGCACCGACTACAGGCCAATCTCATTCTGTGTTGCACAGCGTGCGAATCCTGTTGCCAATCCGGAGAGTGGAATACACCGGCGGCCGCCATGATTCTCACCTGTGCTCTGCTTTGAGCTCGTCCAGAGCCCCCTGCCGTGCCGTGCCATCACCAGCCATGGGGCAGTGGGGCTGTAGCTGGCAAGAGATTGCCTGCTCAGCTTCTCCAGGCCCGGGACCAGGGTCCAAGGTTGTACAGTAGCTCGCATACAGGGGGGAAAGGCGGAGAGAGACACCAAGGCCGAGCATGGACGTTAGTTGCAGCGCCGTCGTGAGCAGCGTGGAGGGATGGCGGAACAGAGAATGCATGGCACAGGCGAGGCCAGCGCAGGGAGAGGGGGCGCGGTGGGCATCAGATTCTGACATGGACTGTCGATGCGACTCTGGCCCCGAGTATATATGATGGACGTCCGCCCTCGTCATGGACGGCTCTTACGGCTCTTCAAGCGAGAATCTCATCGCCAGCCGCCGATCCCGAGTTCCTTTGGTCGCGGCCACCCGAATCCATCATGAAGACCTTGTCAGTTTTCGCCGCCGCCCTTTTGGTGGCAGTGTCTGAGGCTGCTGTCAATGTACGTTGCGTTCCTGCTTTAGCATTCATTTCATGCCAATTGCCCTGAGACATTGGCCACCCCCCTTTTGCTTGAAGATGGATGGCGATCTTGGGACGCCTCATTGGCAGTCCGTTGGCACGAAAGCACCTGCAAACGCGACAAGTCGCGAGATCCTGATTCACCTACTGGCCTGCCTGATTTTTCTATCTATTGTTATGATGCCTTGATAAGCCTGACAAGCCCTTTCCCTATTCACCTCTCCATTGATCATGTAAGAAGATTCAGCGCGGCTAGGCACGAGGAAGGCTTATTGAGCATAACTGGCAAGACGGTCCTGCCCTGTGCTGCTTCCTGCGCGTTTGCTGCGGCTTGTATATCTTCCGACTCACGATTTCGTTTGTTTTTGTGTCCTTTTTTTTTTTTTTTTTTTTTTTCTTTCCCACGCATCTCCACGGCGCTCTTAGCCATCGCTTTCTTTCGCCATGAAGACACCATTTGTTTTGACCGCCTCTGCGGCGCTCATTTTGGATCTTGTTGCAGCTGCTAACGATACCGACTCGCAGCCTCGCTTTGCCCTGTCGAACACTTCTCAGCCCTCGGGCGAGGCATACTCACCTCCTTTCTATCCGTCTCCATGGATGGACCCCAATGCCCCAGGCTGGGAGCAAGCCTATGCCCAAGCTAAGCAGTTTGTGGCAGGCCTGACTCTTCTCGAGAAGGTCAACCTCACCACTGGTGTTGGGTAAGTTCTTTGGCTGTTACAGTTTGCCGATGGAGCAGCTGCTAATATTATTGATAGTTGGATGGGTGAGAAATGCGTTGGCAACGTCGGTACCGTTCCTCGCCTGGGCATGCGCAGTCTTTGCATGCAGGACGGCCCCCTTGGCCTCCGATTCAACGACTACAACAGCGCTTTTGATGTCGGCTTGACGGCCGCCGCTAGTTGGAGCAGAGCTCTCTGGCAAGCCCGCGGTGCTGCCCTGGGTGCCGAGGCAAAGGGCAAGGGTGTTGATGTCCTTCTCGGACCGGTAGCAGGTCCTATTGGTCGCAACGCCAACGGCGGCCGTAACGTCGAGGGCTTCGGACCTGACCCAGTTCTGGCTGGACAGGCTCTCTCTGAAACCGTGATTGGTATCCAGAACGCTGGCACCATTGCCTGCGCCAAGCATTTCCTTCTCAACGAGCAAGAGCATTTCCGTCAGGTCGGAGAGGCCAATGGCTACGGATACCCCATTAGCGAAGCCCTGTCTTCCAACGTCGATGACAAGACCATTCACGAGATGTACGGCTGGCCTTTCCAGGATGCTGTCAAGGCTGGTGTTGGTTCCGTCATGTGCTCGTACAACCAGGTCAACAACTCGTACGCTTGCCAAAACTCCAAGCTTATCAATGGCTTGCTCAAGGAGGAGTACGGTTTCCAGGGTTTCGTCATGAGTGACTGGCAGGCTCAGCACACTGGTGCTGCGTCCGCCGTTGCCGGTCTTGACATGACCATGCCTGGTGATACTCTCTTCAACACTGGTGCCTCCTACTTCGGAAGCAACCTTACCCTCGCTGTTCTCAACGGCACTGTCCCTGAGTGGCGTGTAGACGACATGGTTATGCGTATCATGGCTGCCTTCTTCAAGGTTGGCAAGACAATTGACAGCCTTGTTGAGACCAACTTTGATTCTTGGACTACCCAAGACTACGGCTTTGTCCAGGCTGCTGTCAATGAGAACTGGGAAAAGGTCAACTACCAGGTGGATGTCCGCGCCGACCACGCCAACCACATCCGCGAGGCTGGTGCCAAGGGAACTGTTATCCTCAAGAACACTGGCATCCTCCCCCTCAAGAAGCCCAAGTTCCTTACTGTTGTTGGTGAGGATGCCGGCGGCAACCCTGCTGGCCCCAACGGCTGTGGTGACCGCGGCTGTGACGATGGCACTCTTGCCATGGAGTGGGGATCTGGTACTACCAACTTCCCCTACCTCATTACTCCCGATCAGGCACTTTCGGCCCAAGCTATTCAGGACGGCACCCGCTATGAGAGCATCCTATCCAACTACGACATTACCGAGACGCAGGCTCTGGTTGGCCAGCCCGATAACATTGCCATTGTCTTTGCCAACTCTGACAGTGGCGAAGGCTACATTAGTGTTGACGGCAATGAGGGCGACCGCAACAACCTGACCGTGTGGAAGAACGCCGACACTCTCATCAAGTCTGTCGCTGCTGTCAACAACAAGGTCGTTCTTGTCATCCACTCCACCGGCCCCGTCATCGTCAAGGACTATGCTGCTCACCCCAACATTTCTGCCATTCTGTGGGCTGGTGCTCCTGGCCAGGAATCCGGAAACTCTCTGGTCGATATCCTGTACGGCAAGCAGAGCCCCGGCCGTTCTCCCTTTACCTGGGGTCCTTCTCTCGAGAGCTATGGTACTGAGGTGATGATGAAGCCCAACAACGGCAACGGTGCTCCCCAAGATGATTTCACCGAGGGCCTCTTTATCGACTACCGCCACTTTGACAAGGTCGCCCCCAACAGCAAGTCTCCCAATGCTCCCACATACGAGTTTGGCTTCGGTCTGGGTTGGTCTACGTTCAAGTTCTCCGGCCTCAACGTCCAGAAGAACAATGTCGGCACTCTGAATGCCCCTACCGGCAAGACCATTGCAGCTCCCGTACTGGGCGCCCCCATTAGCAAGAACCTCAAGGACTATGGCTTCCCCAAGAACATCCGCCGCATCAAGGAATTCATCTACCCATACCTCAACAGCGTCACCTCTGGCAAGGAGGCTTCCAACGACGCCAACTATGGCCAGACTGCCAAGGAGTTCCTCCCCGCTGGAGCCACCGACGGTTCTCCTCAGTCTCGCTCTCCTGCCTCTGGTGAGCCCGGTGGCAACCGCCAGCTGTACGATATCGTCTACACCGTTACGGCGATCATCACCAACACCGGCAAGGTCATGGATGACGTTGTTCCTCAGCTGTACATTAGCCACGGTGGCCCCAACGACCCCCCCAAGGTGCTGCGTGGATTCGACCGTATCGAGCGCGTCGCTCCCGGCCAGAGTGTCATTTTCAAGGCGGACATTACACGCCGTGATATTTCCAACTGGGATACCGCCACCCAGCAGTGGGTGGTGACGAAGTTCCCCAAGACTGTCTATGTCGGCAGCTCTTCTCGCAACCTGCCCCTCAAGGCTCGCCTGCGCTAAGCGGCGGCGGAGGACAAAGTTATGATAATGTCTTAATTGTAAAAATAGTAATTAGTATTACATTAGCTTAATGAAAAACATGATACCATTGAATTTTCTTTCGCATGTCTGTGAATGCAATGTTGAGCTCTTTACTGCCTACGCGGTACATGTAGTTTTCTATAGGTAGCGTATGAGTTACAATGAAGAGTACACGATGATGCACCAGAGATGTGGTCTCATCGACGCTGCTCTGTTAGAATACAGCTGCCAAGTCCTGCCATTGTATGTTTTGTTTCGCCCGCCTGTCACGGCGTGCTGCTTTATGCGAACCCATGCAGGCAATCTACGGAATGCACAGTAGAATCTCATCAACAGCTGGAGGCTATCTCTTCTCACGTGGAGCAACGGCCGAATGTACCGATGAATTCATGCACGATTGTCTACTCTTGAACGAAAGGCCTCTAGCGCGATTGAGAAAGAGCGAGACAGGACAAAAGAGACGCCCGCCGATGTACTGTAGAAAAGCGACACAATGGCAAGGTCAGATTCGACGAATGGCGTTTCACCGCTGGTGCATCTTGGCGTGACAGTGGGCAAATAGCTCGATTAGCCTGGGCGCTTAAAACAGCAGATGAAGGGCAAAGGTGTAGTTTGATTGGCTGGGGCGCGCTTTGACTTGCCCCATGCGTGGTGATGATGATTAGGTGTGGATCACCTCGGACCTAATATTAGCCATATGCAGTGAGTATGGGAGAGTTGTAATTGGGACCGCTGGCTTGGGGAAAAGAGTGAGCATCTGCTGGCTTTCTTTTCTTTCGTTGTTGATCTCTTTTTTTTTTTTTTTTCCCTTTCTTTATCCATCTGCATTTTTGCAAAGCGAGAAAACCAAAGTTTTTGCAAAAAGTCCATTGTTTCATTTTACATAGCCCTGAGACCCCTCTTCCGTATTTTCCCAGCGGCTCCGCGACTTTGAGACACGAAACGTGTGACGAGCGTCCCACCTGCGACACAAGCTTCTTCTTGTTATTATTCTACGACTAGGGATTTGGTGCCTTTTTACAGCTGCTACTATCGATTTAATTACCTGGAGGAGAGAGAGAATTTCAGCCCCGTACGTTATTTCGAACTTGTCGACGGGTTACCCCATGTATAGGGGAAACTGAGGCTAACTTTTTGACTGTTTTGGGTCTTGTTTGATTAGCCCAGCCTAGGGTCTTGCTGCTCTCTCTTTTATCTTCTTCTTGCAGCGCAGCGCAAGCGTCTTCTTTCTTCTCTTTCTTCATTCATTTCTTTTTCGGTGTTGTGCGTGTGTGACTTTGCTACACTCTCTTTTTTTTATTCCGTATACTCGCTGGCGGGTGGTTTTTTCCAATCTTTTAATCAGTTTCTTCTATTTTTACGGCGATATTGTTCTTTTTTCGCGACAAATCGTATAACGCTTCATCACGACGATATTTCATACTTTCAATCTCATCTGCTAAGAGAAGCAACAACAACATTACATCACCACATTAAACCAAACCCGAATAACCATCTCAAAAATGGGCAACAACCTCTCTTCCACGTTTGAGCCGGACCTGTCCAAGGTGGTCCTCAGCCCGACCGATCGCCGCGCCGACATCATCCTCGGCGTCACGTGGCTGGTTGTCATTTACATGATGGTCATGATCTGGACGACTTGCGCGCTGGTCGACAGATGGAAGGGCCCGCAGGACAGGATACGCGTTGGGGGCGGGCGGGTGTTGATGGCGCTGGTCATGTCGGCGGCGTGGCCGGCCGTGGTGATTTATCTGGCGATGGCGAGTGGATGATTTTTTTTGATTTGGGATATTTTCGATGACGACAAATGGATGATGGGAATTTAGGAAACTGAAACTGATTGAGAGGGTGGAGAATTACTGCGAGGAAAGGGTTAAAAGGAGATGAGCATTGTATGTTTTTTTTTTGGTTGGTGGTTGATGGGATATCCAAAGGGGGTGGTTACAGGTTTGATACCGTGCCACGGGCTGGCAGTTGTCTTTGTTATGTCTTTTTTATACTAAAAAGGAAAAACAAAAAATAATATCGTGGTATATTGCAAATGCCGCACAACTCTTACACTCCTAATCGTACAAACCCAAAATATCACATCTATCCAACCAGCGTGTTTCGACGACTCCTATCCGAGCGCATGTCCTTGCGCCCAACAATGCCCTCCAGCGTCTGCGCCAACGCCTTTGCATCGTATCGTCCGCCCTTGCCCTGCCCGTCTTTCGGCCCATACAGCCTCATCGTGTCGATGCCCAGCTGCGCAAACACGCGCTTGTCCACGGCGGGACTCTTGGGTCCCTCAATGTAAATAACGTGCGTCACGTACTGCGCATAGTCCTCGGCGACTGGCCGCGGTAGGCCTCGTGAGTCGGCGCAGGCATTTGCAATGGCGGCGACAAAGTCGAGTCCGGACAGGGCGTTGCTGGAGGGCCCCGTCTCGCGGTCGGTGGTGCCGTTGAGGAGGAGGATCTTGTTGCGGATGTGCGGGCTGGCGATGGCCTCGCCGACGCCCTTGAGGATGAGGTTGGGGATCAGCGACGTGAAGAGCGAGCCGATGCTGTAGATGACGGTGCTGGCGCTGCGGAGGGCCTCGAGCACGCGCGGGTTGGCCGGGATGCGGATCTCCTGGCCGTAGGGGTTGATGTACCAGAGGCGGGCGATGCGCGCCGGCAGATCCTCCTCGTCCTCCTTGGAGAAGGTGATGGCGGGCCGGCGCAGGGCGGGCAGGCTGCCGGGCAGGTTGGCGTCCTCGATGGAGTCGTGCTCGTCGAGGTCGTGGTTTGTCGACAGGGCCGGCGTGTTTACGCCTGTATTGGCCCCTGTGCTTGGGTTTGGTAAAGGTACCGCTGCTGTGGGCGCGCTGGGGTGCGAAATGTCGTTCTGGCCCGTGATGACGGTGCCGTCGGCCAGGCCCGCGGCAATGTGATGCGCAAAGTTGGTGTTGAGCGCCGGCAGCACGGCCACGCGGTCGGGCACGGCGCAGATGGAGCTCAGCAGGTAAATGGCGGCCTCGAAGCTGCCGGTGAAGAGGCGCGCGCCCGTCAGGAACAGGTTGCCGATGCTGGAGCCGGAAAAGTCGAAGCGGCTGCTGGGCCGCATGCGCTTGACGACCTCGAGGTTGAAGCTGTTGAACAAGGAGCGCATCAGCTCGCGCTTGGGCGACGAGATGTGCCTCCACAGCGGGTGCGTGCCCTCGACGATTTCGAACCACTCTGCGCGGGCGGCGGCGTAGACGGGGGGCAGGCGGTGGTTGAAGAGGTGCTTGATGGCCGTGGTTTCGGGCTTGCCGTCGTCGGGGATGAGGCGCACGAGGCGGGAGCGCACATCTCCAATGCCTGTTGAACTGTTAGATGAGTGATGTATAAATATGAGATTTGATGTGAATACCTGGCCCCCCAAACACGCGGATAATCTCGCTCGTGCTGCCGCCATTGTCCGAGATGGGAATCACGTAGCTCAGCGTCGCCGCCGCATTGGCTGCTCGCACGCCCTCAAAGACGTCGACGAGGCTGTTTGTGGCGCTGCCGCCGGAGAAGACGACGATGCCCGACTTGGGCAGCGGGCTCGGGCCGGGGCTGGACGAGAGCCTGGCGAGAGGCGGCCGCGGTGCCGGAGATGGTGCCAGGAGGGTGTCTTGGGGTGTTTGCTGGGCCATGGATGAATTGCGTGTGTTTTGTATTTGATGTTGAAGTTGTAGGTGGGTGATTTTGTCTCTGTTTTGTCTAGAGCTAAAACGATGCTTATCGCATTTCTCACTTTCTGCTCATCCAGCACTTTTCTTCTTCTTCTTCTCATTGCTGTCCAGCTTCTTCTTATAAATACTGCCGTCTACACATTGGACAAGTGTCCTGTTGGAGTATTGCGCTCGATGATGCCTCATACGTGTCTTTTACGAGCAACAAACGTTGTGCTGCGTTTTCGATGAGGCTGATGTGCAACAAGTTTAATTAAGCCGGGACTGCACAGCCCGACTTTCTCTGGATGCAGTAAAGGACAGCAGTCAGTATTGGATCTTGCATGGTGCTAAGATCTTGCCTCGTACAATAATGCCCCTTTAGCTGCATATGCTTTTTTTATTTGATTTGATTTCTTTTTCAGTTGTACCTCTTTTCCCTTGGTAACCGTTGTTCAGAGCTGTGTTGGAAGTTGAGATTTCAGAGGTCGTTGAATGAAGAGTAAAAGCTCAACTCCAGAGCCAGAAGCATGGAGCTATCTGGCTTCTACTATACTTGTATTTCAATGAAATCAATTCAATCGGCGCCGCTTTGTACATGCATTTTGACAGATGGTGTTCAAGCCACTTTGTCCAATTGGGCAATTTCTCGTCATGGCAAGCACCACGCCCGACATGAGCGACTACGCATGATGCTCATATAAGTACATATTAGGCTACAATCTTTATGAACCACCTGTTTGCCAAACATTCATTCCCTCATTATAACCCAAGAAGCTAGATACAAGACCAACCATCTTGGACAAAAACTCTCCGCAGCCACATCTCCCAGCCGCCAAACACTTCACAATGGCTTCCAAGGAAATTCCCAAAACCGTCAAGCAGTGGAATGTCGAAAAAATTCAGTAGCTTCGATAGACTCAAGTTCTCCGAGCAGCCCCTGCCCGAGTTGGGCGACGGTGAAGTTTTAGATAAGCGTATGTGATGAAGCTCTTTGATATCTGTACCCATACCTACAATAGTAGGAAAGAGAAGAAAAGGTGAAAGCCATGACCATAAGCCATGTGCTAATGCTTATTGTTCTACTAGTAGAGGCAGCGTCTCTCAATGTTGGTCAACCGGCAACATCTCCCTCCTAGGCTGCTAATTTACATTGCTCTAGTATCGTCATCTCACCCTTGTCAGAGGAGAGTATCCCCATGGAAGAGAGAAAACGTCATCCCCGGACTCGATGGCGCAGGCACAGTCGTAGCCATCGGCAAGCAAGTCTCTCGCTTCCAGCCCGGCGACAAAGTCGTCACCACCTCCAACCAGGCATATAAATCTGACCCCCCAGACTTTCGAACCCAGCACCGGAGGAATCCTCGACAGCACCCTCAGAACGTACGGCGCTTTCAACAAACACGCTCTTGTCCGTGCGCCGTCAACTTTGACAGCTCGGGAGGCGTCGACGCTGCCCTGCGCTGCCTTGACGGCCTGCAACGCCTTATACGGATCCCTCGACCACGTCGTCAAGGCCGGCCAATGGGTCCTTGTCCAGGGCACCGGCGGCGTGAGCATCTTTGCTCTGCAATTCGCCAAAGCCGGCGCAAGAGTCATTGCCACAACCGCATCTCCTAGCAAAGTCGAGGCGTTGAAGCAACTCGGCGCCGACCACGTCATCAGCTACAAAGAAGCTCACCGGTGGCCGGCGTCAACGAGATGGAGCAGAGCATCGAGGCCATCAGGATGTGCGGCGTCATCACCATCGTCGGCTTCTTGGCCGGCCGGTCGGGCGACAACGAGACGAGCTTCCAGAGGTGCCTGGCGAAAATGTTTACGCTGCGGCCTGTCTTTGCAGGCAGCAGGGTTCAGTTGGAGGAGATGATTGAGGCGGTTGAGGCGCATCCGGAGGTGCTGCGAGAGGGTGTTTGGGCTGGAGGAGCTTCGGGAGGCGTATGAGTACATGTGGGCGGGCAAGCACTTTTCCAAGGTGGTGACTGAGATGAATTGAAAAGCACAGCCTCAAAATCGTATAGTGACAAGATAATGATGATGAGTTGGGAATATGGCTTGGTCTCGGAAGGCGGCCTGTTCAACGTCAAACAGCCGATTTGTTGAGGCTGGACCCTTGTGGACCGTCGGAATAATAGTCTGATGTCTGATGGTCCATGTAGGCAAGCGTTCCAGACCCATTGTGTTGGGATCGAGACGTGCTGTGTTGTCGAGCTATTTGAATAAGCTCTGTTACGCAGCAGTAGCCGTGATGTGGATGGGTGAGTAGACTCGGATAGATGTGGCCACCCGGAAGATGGCTGTCTCAGTCCGCCTGTGGTCTATAGCAAGCCCGAGTCTATGCATTTCTGTATGTACCATTTGATATTATATACTCGGGCAAGATGGGAGTCTAGCTTAAAGCCCAACAGAGGATTCTCACTTTCGTATTATAGTCGTGATTTATTGTGCCTCGGCAGTGTACACATCCTTACTTTTTACTATAAATGTTTGCCTCTTTCATATTGCTCTAATACGAATCATCTGACCAGCCACTAATGTGCGGCGATGCATGATTGCATGCAGGGAACACGGCATTGTCCAGTCTGCATCGTCCTCTCATAGAGGCAGTCCATGCCCGACTCAAGGAGGGATACACCAGAGGCAGAATCAATTTTGTGCCATCATGACTAAATTAAAAACATTGAGCCGGCCTCGGACATTGAAGCGTCAGTCACTGTGTTGTGCCGCCTACTGCAGGATGACGGATATGATGTCAAAAAGTTTGCCTCGCTGGCGCTGTTATTATTTCATTAACTAATTACCAATTGATGGAATCTGTCCATCGGTATATGTATGTATATGTGTGTATCATAGTAAAAGGACCGTGTCATGCCATAAAAATAAGAATCGTTGCCTTCCATTGCCCATTTATTCCCAGAATGCCATGCCCCCCCGAAAAAGAAAATCGTAATGCGTCCGTGTCAATATGCCTGTTTGATGCGTGCCGTGCCCACAATGCGTCCGAGTGAAGACTCATGAAAATTAAAATAATCCACCTTTGCGTAATGGTAAAGGAATGAAAAAATGATGAAAAAAAAAAAATGCTGGTAAAAAGTTGCGGTGTGGACGGGGACCCTCTTTACTCCTTGTAGTCGCAGGTCATGCTCCAGGCCTGGTAGCCGACTGTGTTCTTGGAGCATTGTTGAGGGGCGAGGACTGTCGTGCCCTCGGTGCACTTGAGATCCGTATAAGCCGTCACTATGGATCATTGAGTCAGTAAACAATTTCATAAATCTCCTTGAAAATAGGAAGAGGTGGAGTTGTGGAGAAGAAGGCATCTTACAAGTGCAGCCGTTGTTGATATCCGTCAGGTTCAGAGAGTGAGGCACGGCGCCGTCCTCTTCATCATTCAAGCTCTTGCATTCGCCGTTCTTGAAGTCATCGTCAATGACAGTCCAGACACCGAGATTGCCGGCAAAGCAGTCCTCGCCGCCATAGAGACGGAAATCGGCGACGTGGATGTTGCGGGGGATGAAGAGGGCGTTGGAGCCAGCAATGAGCGTGGCAGCAGCGGCGACAACTGAGAAGAAATGCATCTTGATGGGAGTTTTGATAGTTGAAATAATGAGAAAGAGGAGTAAGATTGAAGATGAGGGGTTGTTCTGTTAGTGGTAAACTAAGAGGATAGTTGAAGAGTAGTTGTTTTTGCTGTTGAGCAGATTGGAGCTTGTTCAAACGATGCTTCCGGCTACTCTTTATACTTTGCCAGGCTCCGCCAACGGCTCATCTAGATCCTCGATCCGGACAGGCCCAGGCGAAGCCGATCTCTGACGAAAACAAAAAGAGATACGAAAAGCACCACGGCATCCGAAGATAGTGCAGTGGAGCGGCGCAGCTGCAGTGTTCCTCCCGGATACGATGTCTCTGACCTCGAGCCATCGACAAGTTGGCAGGCTATCCACCTAGAAGCCTGGGTTTACCAGTCCACGCACTGTACGCAAGGGACTCAAGGAGCCCTCTACCGCATCACCCCATCTGAATCAAGGACATGAACGAGCTGGAAGAATCATACGACAAGGGCAGCACGACTCATTTCAAAGCTTCCAAGTCACAGTGCGTGCACCAAAAAGCATCATCCCCGCGTGACCCAAAAACCCACCAAAAGTTGTGCTGAGCTTCCAACTCCTCTTTTTCACAAAACTGACAGATAGAGTTCGAGTCCAGCCAAGCACCGCCGATCACTGATCTCATGCTAGGCCCCAATAAAAATAACAAGAGGCTGGCGTTCTTTTGCTCCACCGTGTAGCCGCAGCTCTGCAGCTTTTCGGACGCCTCGGTGGCGAGTAACTCGACCGAGAGTTGCACTTTGTGCTCCGTGCTTTGTCAAGGCCCGGTGCTTTTTTTTCTACAGCGCTTGGTTTTGTTTCTTTCAATGGGTTATTACGGAGGCGTCGTCATGGGCGGAGTTGGGGAGCTCAAGGCCCGCTGGAGCCTTTGACATCATCGTTGGAGAATCGGGCCATCGCCTTTCGAGTGCTAGTGGTTACTATGTATAGAGAATCCTTGGAACTGAAACATGATTAGTTTGTTGATGACCCTTGCACTCTGTTGATGTAAGGAGGTCAGTGCATCTGGGGACTCAACACCCATCTGCACAGACACGGGGTTGAATACGAAGAGCACGCCCGCAGACAATTTCTGCATGATGCAGAAGAAAAAGAAGAAGAACAAAGAAAACAATCATCGTATTCAATTCCAAGACTCGGCATTCCCGTGCATTCTGCGCCACTGTTGCGTTGTGCAACCAACGGCAGCACAGCCGTCGGTAGTAATCAACCACTGCCGATTCACATCGTATACACAGGCTGGGTACGAAACAAGCAGTAGCAAACCATGACGAGAAATCGCTCCGTATACCGGAGTAGAATGTCCCTTGACGAAAAAAAAAGAAGGGAAAAAAAGAAGACAGGAGCATGGAGAGTTCCACTGCCAAGAGAAGAAAGCTGTGGAAACCCGCATGTTTACCCATGAGAGCCAAGGCCAAGCTTCTATGCCGCGGGTACGACTGAGGATTTTCAGATTCGGACATTAGTGCACGGCACTTTCTTCACGTAGTCTTACACCTCGGTGTGAGGAGGAAAGAATACCTAGTCTACATGTAGCTTGCGGACGTGGCATTAGAGAATACGCATTTGCAGTGTAATGGACAATCATCTGCCCCCGTAACGTGAGCTGACATCTAAATATAGCGTGGTGTTTCCATGATCGGTCTGCGTTTATTTCCACGTCATGGCATGCTCCAGTGTGGAACTCTCATTACGTGTTCGAGAAGCAGAATAGGGGACCTTGGGGACATTTGATAATGGCAGCAAGAGGGTCCAATTATACCCCTTACATGAGCAGCTGGCGGGTAACACAGGTTTTCGCTTTAGGTAAGTATAAAAAGAAGTATACACACTTTGAATAAATTGAAAGTTCAATGGCTGTATCTAAGTGACGTTTATTCGCTGTATTGTGCACAGTGCGTCGTGTCTTGTACGTATCCTTCACCGCGTTGCAGGTATCAACTGTTACTAAGCCGCAGGCTGGATTTAGATCCATTCGTAAGGAAAGGGTGTAGTTTTATATATCTGATGCCCTTGTTACATCTTGTGCTCGCAGTTTCGGAAAAATCGAGAAAAACGTTGGCTACGTGTAGTCCGTAGAGATAGATTGGAGTATCAAGCAAGGGAGCTGTCATCGAAATCGGCGGGGCAGCAAGGCAACAGCAAATCAAACCGCCATTACATGTAAGTAAGCAGGGAGACAACACGCCTATTTGACATAAAATATTTGTATAGCATTGCTACCATAGTGTTAAAGTTTTGGCGAGATGGCTTTTTCCCCCACTCGTTTGGATATTTTCGTGGGACTTGAACTGGCGCGGGGTGCTGTAAGTGCTGTACGAAGATGAGCAGCTATTAGATACAGCATGGGTAAAAACATGACCACGGGTTGATAGAGCTAAGAGTGCATGGATGATAAATACATGTAATTAAAGCTTACAGAAAATTCTGAACCACGAAGCAAGACATGTACTCATTCTTTAATTCCATCCCAAACAATCGTTCCGCATCTATGGTAATGACATATCAAAGACGGCACCTTGAAGTACAAGACCCCGGAGCTAACTAACGATGCGTGAAATACGTGTGGCAAACATTTGAACTGAGAAAATTAATAATACATCATTTAATTATGCATGCCATGACAAATGGACATCTCTTTGGATGCCTCTCAACACCACGAGTAGCTTCATCTGGCGACCGACGCACCAGTAAGCCTTACCATTGAGGGCTTATAGCAGTGACAACGCAATGTTATTACCCCGCGACAAGAACGCCTTATTTTTCATCGCACCTGTATGGGTAAATATGCCTATTCAGCAGCCCATTAATTTCCTGTTTTAAACAACTGATTCACAGCTCATGGTTGTCACATCGTGCAGCATCTGCCTTAAACTCCCAGGGTGTAGACACGTTCCCAGGTTCGATTGGTAGCCTTACAATAAACTGCCACGTATTTGTGACTCTTATAACGTCTCACTAAACTCTAGATTCGATGCTCTCTACGGATACCTAGTAGTTCGAGACGAGCATATATTGGGAGTTAGCGATCATGGCATCCATCACTTGAAAGATGGAAAGCCAAGCCATTCTCACCATCACAATCACTCTATTCTGAACCATTCGCTGTTTTAAACTCAAACTTATTATTTCTATTTGTGTATAAACACAATAGAGCCAGCCGATCCAAGACTGAAAGTTGGACCACCTTGTCACATAGCCAGTTTCCTCATGGCTCAGCAGCTCGAAAACGTTGATGAAACCATCACCATCAAAGGCAAAACCGGACAGTGCACCGGATCGGCATACCCTGTCACTGCTACTGCATGGAGCACCCCTCTTGGATACGATCCCCACGGAAGGGGTATAATGAGATACAGCGACGGCAGCGTCTACGAGGGCCAGTGGGAGCATGGCAACTACTCGGGAACAGGAAAATATACTTCAAAAGATGAGGAGTATGTCGGATCATGGGTCTACGGAATCAAGACTGGCCATGGAAAATTGATCACACAGGACGGGCAAATTGTTTACGACGGCTGGTTTGTCAACGGCCAAAGATCAGACGCCGGCACCCTCAAATATCCCCAGACAGGCGTCAGCTACACGGGCCAGTGGAGTAAAGACGTGCCAAGCGGAAAGGGCACTTGGCAATGGGCAGATGGAAGCTGGTGGGAGAGCACATGGGGAGGATCCAATGGCAAAACTGCCAGCGGCAGTGGCAGGACGCGCTGCCGTCTTTTCGCGAATGGCGACCTTTACGAAGGGGAGACGACTAACCACGAGATGACGGGCACGGGCAACATCACTTTCTCGAGCGGCGAGGTGTATCGCGGCAAAGTTAGAAATTCTAGCAAACATGGCCGAGGCAGCTTCAAGACATTGGACGGGATGCTGTATGAGGGGAAATGGGTGAACAATAGCAAGTCGGGTCGCTTTAGAGTCACCGACTTGGCGACAGGCAAGGTGAAACACCGTACTTATTGCACTGCAAAGGGTGGTGATTTGGTGTTTATACGAGGTTTTCATGTTTGTATCAAGGAGTTATCTTTTGTGGATGAAATGATGATTTAACTAGACAAGATGTACATCATCTAAAGAGCCATGTTGCATTTTTGAAACATCCATAAAGCAAAGGTTGTTTTATTTGAATCGACTCTGTTCCAAATTTTGAGGGGAAACCTCAATATCTCATTAGCAGCAGACTGTAAATATTATTGACATGGTGCCTTGGGCTTATAGTAAGTGTCAAGAGCGCATAACTGGATAGATGTGGAAAAGGCCGAGCGTAAGAGAAACTTGATAGAAAAAGTTGGCGCCAGATTTCAGAAGACAGCTGAAAATCAGCGCTTGATACGTATAGCTCTCGATGTGACGAATAAGAAGCCAACGCAACTCCATGGTGTGGTTGCATGCATGAGACTGCAGACGCCTTAGTATACAGATGTACTCTGGTATAATCTCTGCAACTCCGTATTTCTATTGCGTATGCACAAAACTGATCCTCATACGTCACTTGCATCTGGCTAACTAGCATTCAGGCAAATAATTTCTTGTGTGGAAACAGAGCAACACACGCCGGTTGTCTGTGTGCAGTACATGTACCAACGTTGGATAAGGCCAGATCTAACAGACTCTTCTACCCACCAGAAAGGGAAACAGACTCAAAGGTGTAATTCCTGGAGAGAGCCCGGACAAAGTTCAAGACTCTTAAGCTCAAAAGCTATGACTGGGCAATTTTTGATAAGAAGAAACTTGTTGCAGTCTTGGAAGACTATGGGTCAGATACGGATAGCCTTCGGGGCAGCATTTCTCTCAGGAAGCTATATACAGCTTTGTAGAGAACTCTTCATTGAAAGGCACTGGTCTGGAGTCGGTGATTAAACGACAAAAGCTGGCAAAAATCGAGTTGCCTTTAGATTTCGCCGACGGGTTGCTGGAGTCACCAGGGATCGTCAACACAAGTGATAGTCGAGCATCACGAACGAAGACCAGCTTCGCTCCGACGACTTGGATGGAGATGAGATAACCAGGCTGAAGAAGCTAGTCAAGACACTTGCCTGGCTACTTCAAAACTCGTCTTTCCGCGAGACTGGCGAGGACTCAAGTGAAGAGCAGCCGGTGATTTACTCGCTGCAGTGCCTGGGATATAAAGACAATATAAAGGCGAAGCGGATGACGTTTCTGTACAAACTGCCTTTGCCTCCTGATGGAACGAGCTGGCAATATGACTGTGGAAACACGCTGGCGACTTTACATACTCTAATCACCAAAGTCGATAAGAAGACTAAACGAGCGTTCAAGCCGCCTCTTGCAGATCGACATAGCATCGCCAACTCATTAGCATTGACAGTTTTAAACATCCACTGCTCGGCCTTGATTCACAAGAACATCTGGAGCCACGGCATCTTGCTGTTTCTTCAAGATAACAACGGCAGCGCATATCCCCTGGGCGCAACTACAGAAATACCAGATTTCACGCCCATTGCAGCCACAAAAAAGACCCTGGGGGGTGGTCCTCTTAGAAATAGGTCTCTGGCGCACCGTCTCCTAGATCTTCGACCGGCAGATTCGCGAGATTCGGCAGAGACGAAGCTGCTCAAGGCAAAGGATGTGACTGCTACGCTGACGGGGTTGGCGAAGAGGGAACTGCCAAAGGAGAAAGGCGAGAGATTTGCGTCTGCGGTTATGGCGTGTTTGGGCTTTCACAAGGAGAGAGAGTGATGTGGACTTGTCGTTGGATATGAAGGACAAAGGTTTTTTGATGTTACGGCGTTGGGAGTCAAGTTGTAACATATTGGATATATGACAAGACATATACAACACTTCAATCTCAGAAAGAGTCACATCAATTTCTCCGAAGCCGGCTGATGCAGAGCCGCATCGATGTACTCATACATTACAAGTACTGTGCAAAGACGAAGAGCTAATGCAAGTTTGTATCCTATTTCGTCTTGCTGCATGAGGCTCGCATCGGGTTTGGCAGTACTGGTTCGTGCACTACCTCATGTGCTGCTTTTGTTGTTGATGTGCATGGGCTCATACATGCACATGCATTCTTACTGCATGCAAGCTAATTCTTAAATCGTTTTTGGCCTTTCACAGCGATTTTAACCCTCCCCAAGGCTTATTCGTGAAAACAGTACAGGCAACTTCAACAGGTCAGATACACTCAAGCTAGCTATAGTCATAATGTATGGCTATTACTCGTGGACGGCATCATCAGCCACACAGGGAGCAGAGTCCCAAAATGCTGGCATCTCAGTCGACCTAGGCCAAAACACCTAACATCTCAGTTAATCTCGGCGAAACATCTGGAATCTCCGTCAATGTAGACGAATCAACCAGTCTAGTCGCATACATCACACACACCGGAGCCGTCGAATCATCCGCCACAGCAGCAACAACCGACATCAATAGAGCACGCCGCCAATAAAACAACCCTCAACTCACCCTACAAACCTCTTATCCCTCCTCGCCACAGCGCAAGACAAACAAGTCGACTTCCTCCCCATACCATGGGACGAAGCAACCTCCGACCATGACGGCCAAGCCTCCATCAGCCAGTCCTTCTTCAACGAAAAGCTCAGCTACGTGTTCAAGCGCCTCCACCGGAACTTCAAGTACCCAGCCGGCGAGATCGTCGCCCTCAGAGCCGTCATTTCGAAACCATCGTGCTGGGACACCCCAAGATTCGGGGCCATCCGAATATCGTGCGGCTGGTGGGCGTGTGTTTCGAGATTGACGCGCAGACAAAGATCCCCGTGGCCTGTGTTGGTGCTGCAAAAGGCGGAGCATGGGCATTTGAACGAGTTTTTGAAGTCGCCGAGGGGGAAAGGATTGAGTCTTCGAGAGGCTGGACTTGTGTGTTGATGTAGCTGCTGCTGTTACTCTTATGCACCGTAAAGGTAAAAGTCACATCTCTTTTCGTTGTATAATCAGGCTATGTGGTCTCATCATATTCCAGGCATCATCCACGGGGACATTAAGCCAGAAAATGTCTTCATCTTTGCATGCGAAGCAGACAACAAGATAAACACAAGAGTCGCAGATTTTGGATATTCTACTCTCCACGCTAGCAACTTATCAGAAGCGCAAATCAGACTCCCCTTCTCGATACCATGGAATGCTCCAGAGACAGTCGCAGACCGCGACTGTTTATCCTCTGTTTATTATGCAAAGCTCACCGATATCTACTCCTTTGGAATGTTGTGCGCATTGCTCTTTCACGATTCGTTGCGGAGCACGATCAAGCTGTCGAGCATGAAAGAGAGCGGGCTCATCCAGTCTATCCAAATTGGATTCACAGGTTAGCTGTTCTTGACCCGCTTCAGAAGAAGAATCTATCGAATTTCTTCTCTTCTGCCACTGCCTTTGATCCGAAACATCGACACTTAGATCTACAGGAAGCGATGAAAGGGTTTGCTCAGCTTGTGCAAGTCATGGTGTTTCCCCTCTGGAGAGCTATGTACATGTCTGTAAATTTCTTACAAAACCGCTCCAAGTGTGCCACCCTGGAGAATCACGGCTTCAGCACCTATGAAACTTATATGCCGTATCTCAGCGTGCTCCCTCACCACAAAGACTTTGATGTCGAAAAAGCGCAAAGCAATCACTACGCCAAGTCTAGCTTCAGCTTATACGATGCCTATTTCCCACACGAGTCAGCATTTTCTGGGGAAATCAGCCCTAATTTCAACGTTAGCATCTCTTAGCAGCGCCATGATAACTAATCTACAACCCAAAAGTAAGGGAAAAATTATCCGGCGTCCCAGTCCTGTTATCCAGCATTCCAGCTAGATAATATCAATACATGTATTGAAGGTACATGTAGCTGAGGCTACTGCTGCTCCTGCTGCTGGAAAACATAACTCGAATGCTGGATCTTTTCCAAAAGTAAGCAGTAGGTTGATAACTAAAATCACCACTTGGATCCCGAAAAGCTACAGACAACTGATGGGGCAGACTACCGGCTCCGGGATCACATTTTCAGCTAACCAAGGCCAAAGTGGAATCGTCATCCGAGGACTCGTGCCCTTTTGCCTTTCAAACGGCCTTTTGCTATGCCGTTAGGTTCGGCACGGATATGGACGAATCGGAAGCCAGACTCTGGGTCCAGCGGAGCGGTAGAGCCTGGCACGATCTCAGAAGCGAGATCGAGGCGTGTAAGGCAGACCTGACGCCCCTGATATATAAGAACCTTGAGACAGATTTCTCGCCCATAAGCTACGTGGATTACTACGAACAGACGAAACAGCTGGCAGATGTGCTAGAGGTCTACGATTCTACTGTGCGTGATACAGTAATGGTCCTAGGTGATAGCCACCCGATGTACTTGCATCTAAGCCAACTTCGGGAGCTGCTGCTCCTTCGAAAGGGGCATAGGTAAAGACCATCATGGCCTTATTTTTCCCCATATAGTAGTTGTACTTTTGTTGCGTGGAGGAATACTGGGTCTAGACTGGAAGGATCTTGAAATATGCGGCTATACAAGAGATTCAACTTGTACTAGCCACTCACTTCGCTTAGATTCGGAGCACCGCAGACGTACAAGAGCCTGATACGAACACGAAATCTGTTCAAGAGCCTCATGGTGCCAGTTGTTCCGAAGATTGCCATAAACTTCGAGAATGAACGGCTCGGGCCAGAAGTTGGAGGGTGCGACCTATCCCGTGATGTAGGTGTTTGATCACTGCCCAATGCTATTCATCGAACATGGCCTCGGTTCAAGACGAGAGGGGATTGGGTGAATCATAGCTCAGCATACTGTAGCAAAGCCTAAACGACTTGCCTGCGCCCTGAAGTAACGGACGTTTCGGAGACTTTCGTTCCCATGCAAACCCTGTTCTTGCCAGCCAACTAGTTGATTTGAAATCGAGAATGGTCCATCCGCATGTCGCCATCATGTACTTGAGTGATGAATCGTGGCGATGATGTCGCATTGCATGTCGTCTCTTGGGATTGATCAATAGGCAATGCAGGAGATGCCATCGTCGCGCTGATAACATGGTGTGTTACACAAGACACTGAAAGGCACAAGCGGGAGGCATAAAGTAGCGCATACGTGATGGTTGAAGCCTACTGCTTATGCCTGTGTTGTAGAACGGAGTTCCGTGAAGAGGACACTAGTCACTCGACGTCCTTTTCCCTCGTCATTTGATATGCTCGTAAATGCTGGTGCAGATGCTGATGTCGATGTCGTTGTTGGTGTCGATATCCAAGACGCAAGCAGCGTCAAAAGAACCCGGTCAGGTCAGACCCCCCTTGCACCATGACAGTGTGCCTGTTTTTAAGGCCCCATGCGTGACACAACATGCGCGCGCGAAAGGATCAGCGACAACAACACCAGCAGTGATAACAAACTCCTGAAAATTTAAACAAGGGCCAATGGGTCGTTTTCACTCTTTCTGCTGCTGCAATTAGCCAGCGACCAAAGTTTCGGGGCGCCGTTTTGAGCTTGTGCAGTCACCCAACGGAATGGCGGCGAGGGATCCAAACGCCTTCGCGGATGACGATTGCGCCATCCCGGCGGTGCCAGTAGCCACCCGAAGCGTGTCTAAGTCGAGTCGTGCCGAAGAAGCGACATGGAACTATCAAGGGGCTAGCCAGGCCTTGGTGGTCGTTTAAGAAAAATCGCTACCAGAGATCGACAATCGAAAGAAAGAAAGGGCTCGACCCCATGGGCAGCAGGAGGACAGGTTGATGGGGCTCCAGTTAAATAGATTAATCTCAGAGTCGAGTCTGTAGTGCTCGTGCTAGTTGCAATAGCAGCACACCCTTATTGCGCATTGCGGATATGCGCTGGATGGGGTCGAGACGAAAGGCTATCGAGCAAGTTTCTGCACGATTAGGGAGGTGACTTTGCAAGTCTCCGTCTCGGCCCTGCGTCAAAGGATGTCTGCTTGGGGAAGCTGGCGCAGCGGGATGGCAGAAATAGAGTTGCAGTCGCTCAGGTTGAGCCGGCGCCAGGGTTGAGCCGTCCGGATGCTACCAGGAGCAGCAGAGTGGTGTAGCAGGGCATGACGACGTCGTATATAAGGAATCATGGCTGCGAGAGTGCTGGGACATGCCATCCACCGCCGTCACAATCATCAGCTGAGGTCAGAGAGTCCAGCCAAGGGTTGCCATTGCGCCGGTCTCGTATCATCCCTGGCTGGTGCTGCTGCTCAGCGGCTGTCGGAGATTCTGGCGGTGCTCATCGAGGATCGTCGCGGCTCCTGGAGCTGCTAGTCGGGAGTCGGAGCCGCGCTGTTGTGCTCCATGGCGTCGATGGCGAGATTCATCTTCGGCTCCGGCCAGGTGTTCGCAATTAGCTGCGGCGTGCAATTGGCTTATGTCAGGCGCGCTAGGGAGCACGTGAGCAGCACGCAAGGAGGCAAAAGTCGAGTGGAAACAGAGCTAGACGTGAGAATTTGTTAAGATTTTTTTTTTCTTAATCAGTTTTTTTTCTTTTGTTTCCTCTTTTCATTGGGGCTGCTGGACTTTTATGACTAAAGCGATCCTCCGCTACACTGTCTTAGCGGCAGGCCTCTCTTCTGGCTGTCACCACCATCGGGTCGTCGGAGTGGGGCTTCAGAGCCTCCCTGGCTCTTGGCAGCGACCTGCCAGCGCTCCCATAGGCTCCCCGTAGTGCTTCCAGAGACCCTCTGTAGGGTTCTCCTCCTAGCGCCCCATCCGTTAAGCTTTAGCGAGCAACGCACGCTGCGCGATAACGCCATTTCGGCCCCATAGCACCCAAGCACTGCTGTAGCTGGCGGACATTTACTACGAACCCTTTTGGCCACGGCCGTCCATTTAGAGTCTGCTGACTTTGCCGCGATCATTTTTCAGCGTCCCATTGTGAATCGATCTTCGCCGTCCTCTGCCAACCACCGTCCCCTGCCTGGATCCTCCTCCATCCCTCTGCAGTGCCGAGCACCCTATCAAACCCTTCTCTCGCTGTCCAGCTGCGGCTTTGTGTCGTGTGAGGGACGACAACGGCTGCATATACCCACGATTCGTCGACTCTTCCAGATCGCCGCTTATTCACCCGTCCAGATACCGCCTCTGGCTTATTTCATCATCTTCACCACCACCAGCGCCACCAGCCAGAGCTTCTATTCGTTATCCGCGACCCTCAACTCGACCCGATTCGCCAACAGCCGTGTTCGTATCCTCGCCAAACCCACGGACCCCTTTCTCTCAGACGCTGTGAGCAGACGGGGGGCCCTTCTGCCAGGACGCAACAGCACGCCTTGGGGGTGGTGTCTCATACATACCAAGCTCAAGCACGCAATCGCCTTCGCCTGGCAGCGCATGAGCCGCCTGGCCGCTCGCAATCCCAATTAACCTTTGCGTCGTGCGATAAGGCCCTCACCGCATATTATAACCATGGAGTCCCTGTCAACTGCCGCCGGCCACGAGCCGAACTCTCTCTCCTCCACCCCATCCCGATCCCATTATGAGTCTGCCTCAATGGCTACTGCAGCTGCCGCTGCCTCTCTGACATCAACAGCGCCTTCAGCGTCGCCCTCGCCTGCTCTCTCGACCTCCACAGTGACAACACTGCCCTCAACGTCCATCTCCTTCTCTGACTCTGTGCCTGCCTCCAACCCTACGTCCACGTCTGCCCTTGCCTACCAATCCTCGTCCCATCCGCCATCGAGAGACAACTGTGAGCGCCGCCGCGAGGGCGAGGAAGAAATCCCCTCCAAAGGCCTGATAAAGATGCCCTTCGATCTCGCCGGCAAGACTCTCAGTCCCTTCCTCAAAGAACACATCCCCGGCCTGTACGCCCCCGTCGGCAAGAACCTAAAGAAAGAGGACAGGACGAGTCCCAGTAATGAATTGGTAAACATCAAAGACCCCAACACCAAATACTGCTACCGTCATCGTCCCGACTCCAAGTGTCGTCGGGCGGCGGACGAGACCAAGATGGGTACCATTCAACGGGTAAGTTGCCACCGAAACCGCTGTAGCATCCCTGCTCAGCCTGTCTGACATGTCACCTTTCTAACCAATCTTCCTCTTCTTGCCTTGTAGGAGCTCAACAACCTCCCATCTACCGATCAAGAGGCCATCACCCATGTTTGGTCCCTGTTCTCAGCCGCACCCGCCAAGCATCGCGAACTCATGCTGCAGGGCATCATCACCCAATGCTGCTTTCCCCAGCTGTCGACCGTCTCCCGCGAAGTTCAAGAGCAGCTCAAGATCGACTTCATCGCCACCCTGCCTGTAGAATTATCGTACAAGATCCTCTGCAACTTGGATACCGTTTCGCTATGCAAGGCTGCACAGGTCAGCCGTCGCTGGCGGGACCTGGCCGATGACGACGTCGTCTGGCACCGAATGTGCGAACAACATATTGACCGAAAGTGCACAAAGTGTGGCTGGGGCCTGCCGCTATTGGAGCGGAAAAAACTCATGGCCTGGAACCGACATCAACATACTGCACATGCGAACCCGCCCACACGCAGCGCCGAGGATTCGGCTGAGCCAGCCGCAGCTCCCGCTGCTCAAGGCTCCAACAAGCGAGCCATGGTGGTCCGCGACGACAGCGGCGCCAAACGATCGCGAGTCCGAAATTCACCCGCCAACGGCCGAGCGCAACTCGACGAAGAGCGAAAGTTTCGACCCTGGAAGGACGTGTACCGGGACCGCTACAAGGTCGGATACAACTGGAAGACGGGACGGTGTTCTATCAGGACGTTCAAGGGCCACGAGAACGGCATCACCTGCCTGCAATTTGATCACAACATCCTGGCGACTGGTTCCTATGACACCACCATCAAGATCTGGAATGTCGAGACGGGAGAATGCATTCGCACGCTGCGTGGACATACTTCGACGATTAGGACTCTGCAGTTTGACGAAGGCAAGCTAATTAGCGGAAGCTTTGACAAGACCATCAAGATTTGGAACTGGCACACTGGCGAGTGCATCAGTACTCTTCAAGGCCACACCGATGGCGTCTTGTCCATCCATTTCGATGGATGCAAGCTTGCTTCTGGATCCATCGACAAGACTGTCAAAATCTTCAATTTCGACACCAAGCAGACCTGGACTCTGCGTGGCCATTCCGACTGGGTCAACCACGTGCGCATCGATTCCGCATCCCGCACCGTATTCTCGGCCTCTGACGATCTCACCGTCAAGCTATGGGATCTGGATTCGAAGCAATGCATCAAGACTTATCTGGGACACGTTGGACAGGTTCAGCAAATTCTGTTGATGCCCCCTGATTTTGAGCCGGATGAGGACCCTAACGCTGACATGGGCGATGCCGCCTCCGCAGCCAGTGGACGAGGCGATTCGCCGGTGCCTTTGCCAGAGCAGGCGCCCGATAGCCGTACTGCGTTTGGACCCGGCTTCTCAAATCCTTCTCGTCCTCTGCCTCCCCGTTACATGCTCACAGGTGGCCTCGACAACACTGTACGACTGTGGGATGTTGCCACGGGCAAATGCATTCGCAGCATGTTTGGCCACGTCGAGGGCATCTGGGGTCTTGTTGGGGATACCCTCCGCGTTGTCACTGGTGCTAATGACTCCATGACCAAGATCTGGGAGCCTCGCTCCGGCAAATGCGAGCGTAGCTTTACGGGTCATGCCGGCCCAGTGACCTGCGTTGGTCTTAGCGATAGCCGAATGGCAAGCGGTAGTGAAGACGGCGAGGTTCGTTTGTACAGCTTCGAAGGCAACAGCTTGGAGGAAAGGGGAACGCCATCATAGACATTCGACAACGTTCTTCTTTCTGATTCTCGCCATTAAGCAACTACATCCTTGATTAGCCATCGCTGTTGGTTTACGCTTTTTTCCTTTCCTTCTTGGCGCTTGATACCATATCAACAACTGTACTAATCATGATACCATTTTGGTTGTGTTGAGTAGTTATTATTTTATCTTTATTCACTTTGTCTATTTTCTCTTCGTTTACAGGTTTAGACGGCCGGTCTTTGGTTTTGGGGAAACTGGGTTGCGCTGGCTGCGCATGGACACGATTTCTTATTTACAAAACACAAAACATAGAGCGATTTCTTCTGATATTGGGCTGGCAAAAACAGCAAAAGGGAAACGGATGCCCTCGGTGGGTAAATTACGGAACTGGCGTTTTGGGAGACACGACTGTATGGGAGTAGATGATGGATTTTTGCGGTATATAGTATGTATCGGCACGCTTGCGGCCCAGATATTTTGTTAGGTTGATTGGCATCTTGCCGAAAACATCCACATGATTTTATGAAAATTGCGATGTCTATCTCCGTGAATTTATCTAAATCTTGAGGAGGAATATCAGTTGGTCTCACTTTTAATGACCAACTTCACCTCCAACTTAGCCATTAGCTATAGTAGTATGCCTGAATGTCAACCCAGGCTTTCAATCCACCTACCTCCTGCCTATCTCACAAGCTGGAAAGTGTATACCAACTAGGTCACATGACAGACAGTATAAACATCAACTTCTTCCTCTACATTCTTCTTTCACCCCAGGATAATCTCTTTCCAACATGGTCCCTCGCCAAAAGAATCCATCTCGTCGCCTCTTCCAATAGACCCAATCGCCACTCGTTCGTAATACTCTCCCCTTGCCTTTGGCTCTAGTAGCATCACCCGGTACCGCCATTCATGATCGTCTGCGTCCATATCCTTGCCACCCGCTGCTCTCACATCTCTGGCCTCGCATATTAACAAGAATTCCCGCTTACATGGCGCTGCATTCTCTTTAAGCCATGCCGTAGGTACCACGATTAAGCCGAGCTCGTCTCCTGACTTGCCAATGATGCCAAGCTGCTTCCCTGCCGGCGGGCTTCCTTCCTCTGGCCATGGGGTTTTGGTCTCAGCAATCTCAAACACGGCTGAAACCGTCCAGAATTGCAGGTAGCCAGAGTATGGCCGAGTGCTAATGACATCAAAGTAGTATTCCTTTGGCTCAAACTCGGTCAAAATTCGCCGAGTCGGCTCTGTCTGCGAGCAATCAAAGGGAAATCGCTTTCGAATGGACCCGCCATAGAAGTTTCGCTGGCTGTCTGCTGGGCCTCGCCCATGTTTGTGTACAAGGCTGCAGCGCGTGCTATGAGGCCCGTGTCTATGATACCAGACGATCCAGGTTCGACGTTTTAGGGCCTTGCGGATGGCTTTCATATCACGCGTATACCAGCTCCACATACGAGGAAATACGCCGCCCTGCCAGCCTGACCATGACCAGCTGGGGGCTTCTTCGCGGCGAGTTGGCTCGTCCTTGAACGGAAACGGCTGCCATAAGAGGAGCCAGTCAAAGTATTTGACTGGGAGGCCATGGCATATGTCGCAATTCAATTGCATGCGAATCTGACGAGCAACACCGGCAAAGGCGTTGTAGATGTCGGACTGTTTTGTCAGCTGCATCTCCGAGTAGGTTTGTATCGGGCCTTCTACCCCATCGCCGATATCGTTGCCCTCTCCGGCGAAACTTGGTGGCCGTTTCGAAGAAATCACCGACTCATCGTCCCACGTGTCTTCCTGGAACGAGATGTCGGACGAACATTGAAGTGAGACTTGGCCATTAGCAAAGGTAAGCAGTCTCGTGGCGAAATGTCTTTCCTGATATCTGAACGAATGTCAGCCGCACATGTGGCTAAAGTAACAGAAGCTCACTTACGTCCATCCTCTCTTGTAATAGGGAAAGCTCTCTATGCCATCTTGTGGCTTCTGGCGATAAGCAAGTCGAAACCCCGGCGCAATCTCCTCTATCGGCTGCTTGGACTCTCGGGTGCCAGGCCGAACCCCCGTGATGCCCGAGTGGGCGCTTCGACTGCCTGCGGCACAGATGACGATGTATGCGGCACCATACACATAGTCCATGATGCGAATAGCCCCCATCTTACCCGCCATAATGGCCTCTTCCTCGCCAGTCATATTGTCCATGTCAATCAGATCCTGGTATACGCAAAGGCTATCCACCCAGAGATAGCGAATGCCAATCTCCCGTGCCACCGTCATGGCATCCTGTATCGTGGCAGGGATCCGACTCCATATCTCCTCCTGGTCGAACGCACCCGGCTTCTTGAGGACGGCGAGATTTTCGGATGTCATACAAAAGAACGGCTCCCTCCCCCAGACGTAGCTAAGCGCGGCATAGCGAGGATTGCCGCTAGCACGGACGAGGCAGCGGTCCTCAACGTCAACGAAGCGGAGGTCCGGAATTACTCCCGCAGGATCAGTCCATCCCATCTGCTTCATATTCGCACGGTTTCCGCAGACCTTGGAGTGATTGGATTCGCAAATGGCCAGCCAGCGCCGCACAACGTTAAAGTCAATACATTCGGGTTGCATCGGCCGAGGGAGGAAGCGCTGTGCCTTGGCTGGAGCCTCGCTGGGGAAATCGTTTGCAAGGAGCGATATGTCGGGGAAAAGATTCATCTCTTCGATGTCGAGGAACCCCCCGAAGCCAGTGCGTCCGTGTATCTGCAGAATACGAATTTCGCTGCGGCGATTCCACGGCATGTTCCGGTCGCTCGTACCGGTGGTAGCCCAACTCATCTGAGCTTCAACTGGTGATCCATCGCTGGCAATGTTTGGCACCCGATCTCCGCCCATAGCCAGCAGCACCAGTCTGCAAAAGGGGCAGTTTTTGCGTCGTCTCAAGTCTTTGACGTTGCCCAGCTCGATGAGCTTCGCATCAGGCCGCTCATATTTACCGTAATCTGGATCTTTGGGCCATACGATGAAGCGATCCCTCTTCAACCTGAGGAGAGAGCAGTCATGGCAGAGCTCATCCCCGGGTTGCGAAATATTCCCCGGGACGGGGAGCAGGGGAAGGGGCGGTGGGATTCCGGCGAGCACATGCTCACCATCGGCTGAGAGGTCGTCCAAGTCGCTCTCGGTCAGCCAGCCTTCGTCCGGGGCCGAAGCATTATCGATATCGACTTCGTTGCCCGCCATCTTCTTTGGGAACTATGCCACTTCTGCCCTTTTCACGTGGCTATTTTATTTTTCCCCGCAAGTGGCTTCAAAGACCCTTGCAGGCATTCTCTGGTGGATGTTATTTCTTCACACATTTATGGCTGCGATAGACCTACAATTTATAAGGAAGTAGCTCAAGTTAGGCTATCAAATTGATTGACATGATAGATTCAACTGATTTGATTATACATATCTCTTTCATATCAGTACGTGCAGCTCTTCCCCGCACTCTAAGCTTTTATCAAATCGACAGACGCCAGACTATTTGAGCTATCCCAATTAGTTCAAGAACGCCGAACGGGACGGAGCTGAAACTGCAAGCACTCAACGAGTCGGATCCTCTGTTTTGAGGTTCGCACCGAGCAATTGGTTGTCCCCTCTACTGCAGCTCGGACCGCAAACCTGGCCCCCAGAGTTGGCTTGTCAGGCTGTAGGAAGAAGCAGAGTGAGGCGCTTATGCCCAATTCACACACAAAAGTGGATTTGTGTGTCACTCTTTCTTCTCCCACCGCATGCCGGCATGAGGTTGTCACACAAGTCGTTTTTTAGCCAATAATAGAGAGACCGACTGCCACCCACCGGCTCGTTACAAAATCGTCAACGCGTTCCCAGATAGAATGGTGGGCAACGTTAACATCAAGGTGGGGGCGCGTTTGTGCTTTACAACCCATGATTGCTGACGAGATGCGAGCGCAATACATAGTACTACTACTATACGGAGTACATAACTGGAATAGGCCGACCTCGAAGCTCAAACTGGGGGAAATCCAGGCTAAATCGTAGCTACAGCCCCTTTCCCCTGGCTTGATCCATCGAGCTTACACGATAGTAGTGTTACTATTGATAGCCTATGCGTTTCTACCTCCAAGGGTTTACAAAACGGGGCTACATTCATCCCGATCGATCCTGTTTGGGCATTATCATGCCGAGCGGTTCAGCTTGGGCTCTCCATGGGAAATAAATGAATATCCTATTGGAAATAATTACCGGCATAATTACCGGCTTATTTCTTACAGTCGGGGACTTTCTCCTGCGACACAAGATCTCTTTTCTTTTCTATTTTTCTCTTTCTTTTTTGTAATCAAGCGAGAATCGTACCTCTTAAGGAATAATAACAAATCATCTCAACTCCATGGATCCAACGACGCAAACGTCTCGTGCCTGGGCAAAGTACATAGAAATGCAAGCTTGCATAGCCCCCCACTGCGTACTTTGCACCTTAGAAATGAAGGCTGATGAGCCCATTATCTTCAGTAAATTACTCTTCTGCATCCAAGAGATCAACACTGACGAAGAACTTGTAGCATCGTCAAAGGAAGAACCGATTTGTCTCCAACGGGGTACATATTACCCATGCGTAATTACCAACTGCCAGCATGTCGACGGCCTCGCGCTGGCCTGCCACTCAACTTGTGCAGCAGAGGGTCTGCCGTCTTCGAAAACCTTGGAGGTGACCACCTGGGACCCAGGGTTTGAGTTACCAATTGCACAATCGGCTGATCTCAAGCGCCATCTAGCATCTAAAAGGGCCTCAAGGCGCGACCTGGTGCGTTCAACTTTACAAGCAAAAGAGAAGATGATCGAGGCTTCAAGCAGTCAAGTGAAAACCTCATCACGTATATGGGCAACGTACGTGAAACTACACGGCGAGACGTATGTCTCAGCGCTGAGCAATAATCATGGGGATGACCTTGTTTACGATCCGGGATCGAAAGCAATAGAAGATATTATTTACGTTAGACGAGGCCCCTTGGGCGTGAAGAGGATTGTCGTCGCGTGCTCAACAGAGACTCTGGAGATGGAGAATCATCCACTGGACTGGTGGCAGGTCCTGCCGCTGGTTGAAGACTCTGTACTCCATTTCGAGTTTGATGTAAGTAGACATTGTGTGTTCTCTCTCCATCAGCTGCAGTCTTGTTGGTATCCGTACATGCTAATTAATCAAGGGACTCAAACTCCGCAATATTCAAGAAGCCGAACGAGGGATTTGTCGACCGGCATTATGGTCAGCCCCGTTCTGTCGAAAAGATCTCATCCGTTTCATTGTGACACACTCATCGAAGCCATCTAGATTTAATCGCGTCAAGATCAATGACCCTGAAACGACAGGATACTCGGTAGCGTGGAACCCCTTTCAACTAGCGCTCAAGATTGTGAGGCATACAGCCGCGGATGATTTGTCGTGCTACGCCGAACTGCCTCAAGACATGACGACATGGCTGCACTTCCCTATGGGCCGCGGCGAATTCCTTCAGGAGATTTGGCGTCGAGAGCACACACACTGTTGCCGAACAGAGATTGATTTGGTGCTGGTGACTACAGCTGGTCGCGTGCATGTGTTAGGGAAGCACCCAATACCAGGCCATACATATGTCCATACACGCATTACTGCACTTCGAAGGGAGCCGGATTATATCTACATTGATGATTCGGCTGGGATACTCGAGCTGGCTCTCAACCCAGCACCACCGGAAATTGAAGACCCGTTTGGCAGCCTGAATTTGCCGGTCTCGACGTCCCAGTACCCGAAAGGCACTTCTGCCGAGAGCTACTTTTACACGTCTGCATCTCTCGATGACCTGGATTTCTTGGAGCCGTGTAATGTCAATGGCGTCACCACCGGCGTGCTTTTGCACTATTGCGACGGATCACGAGCAGTCGTAGGGCAAGTCAGGCTGGACAGACTGAGCAATAAGCAGCATGTGCCCCGCGATGCAACGATCCGATTTGTTATCACTCGGAACATAGCCCAATGCCCGAAAGTCCGCGGCGTTTTGGTCTTGACGGCTGATATGCATGAGCAGATTCCTCCCGTGAACGACGGGTTGGAGTTGGAGGTTGCTTGTCAGGGTAGGTTAGAGTGGTGGTATACTTTGAGGCAGTGCCAGCTTGCGTACGAGGGACGGGCTAGTGCATCGGTAGTATAGCAGCGTTTGAAGAGTATGGGGTGCTTGCGCTGTCAGGTACAATGTTGTTATAACGATTGCATGCTGGAATTTGGTGTTTCTGCACAGACCAAATTAGATTGGATTTTGATCGGTTGAGATTGGATTTTGGTCAACTGAGATTGAAGAGCGTCGGCTTACAAAGATGGACACCGCTGAAGGAATGCTGACATATATCGCCAGCAAATCCTTCGGTGCAGCTACCTGCAATAATACAAGGGAGTCGCATGAGGTAAGCAGCTTATTATACAGAGCTGTTACCCTACTAAATTTCCTATTCATTAGAGAGTTGTCACTTCTACGTTGTCTGCTCAAATAGTTATGAACAAGCAATCATATACAATCTCACGCTTACCACAATCAGTCAAGCCCTGTACACGCCTCCGATCAGCGTCCAAACAAACGTCAAATGACTCTTGGCTTCTTTGCCTGAACTAAATTGGAACTCCCCATGAGCCGAATTGCAAACGAACCTCGGTCCAAGACGGCAAATCAGCGGGTCAACCTAGGTGCTCTCCCTAACGATTTTATCGCGCCTCCGATCCCTCCCGGCCTAGTTCAGATATTCTGTTGTTTTGCTCTATTGCTTGAACTTGCTTTCTTGTCTTAGATAAGATTGCAAAGAAAGATACCCACCCGGGGGGGTGTGCCGTCATCACTGTGGCTCGGCACCCCGCATTATCACAAGCTCGGCCTGTGGTCGGTACGAGGGAAGGACGAATAACGTCACTTTTGGGTGGTTTATGTTTTTTTATTTGGCACATGGGATGATCATTCGGGTGTTGCACTACACATTGCGCAGCATTGAAGCAGAAGAATAATATATATTTTTTTGAATTACAAAAAGGAATTATCTCTGAAAATAGTCTGCATGCTAATTACTGCATGTGCATGTTATGTAACCCCCTGCGCTATACAATTGACTTTTCTCCGGCCACACGGAGCTCCTCCACACATAGATCGGACTGGCAGCCCCGGCTTTTCAAGCCGAAATTCCTCCACCCGTCCGGCTATGGCCTCCTTTCACCTGTGTACTCGTCCCATGTCTAATGGAATTACGGTGCTACAGTACTACCCCATGATTGACCGAGTTGGTTGTCTTTCGTGTCAAGCTCTAGGTATTTTCCATTGAATAAACGAAATGCTTCTCACACCCCCCCTTTCTCCTTTCCTTTCCGTAGCATGTGGGGGGTAACCCAGGCGAACTTTCAAAGCCGCGGGCCAAGCAAGATTTCCCCCATATTTTTTACTGCTGTTTTTCGCGGGGTCTTGGCGGCTTAAGCTTTTCCAGTACGGCAGTGTTGTAGATACAAGCCTTATTGGCAAACAGAAGCACATGTCTCAGCCTATCATCTACCCAGCACCAAACCCCGGCTTTCCGGCCTGAAGGGGGAGGGGCAAAATTTATTCCAATAGACGCAAAAGTCTACCGAGCTGTGGCTCACCTTATTCATTTTGTTAGGACATGGGGGGGGGGGGGGTTTGAGTCTTGTGATTGGGGGGCTGAACGGTCCAATGGCTGTGGCTTTTTTCCTTTCCTTTTTCCTCTTCCTCGTGTTAGTTCTTTTTGCCTTGCAGCCTCTAGCTCCAAAACGGGCAAAAGGGGGGCGTGTATAGAAGAAAAGCCATGATGCTGGCTGGGGGGGGGGCTAGAGAGCCGGAATCATATGTCAAAACTGGGTGGCTGCTTTCTTCTTAAAGAAGCGTATATCGGCTCTTTTTTCTTTGGAGTATGACTCTTTTTTGTGTTTATTCCTCTTGTTTTCTTACTCCTTCTTACCTCTCGTGTCAATCCCTTCGTCCCATCTCCTCCTCATCCTCTTATTCATTCCTCCTGCTTGCAATTCCCCCCTGCATTACAACTCGCTTGATTGAATACCCGGCTCCTCCTGGTCCCCCAAATCGCCTAGCTATCCCCATAGCTTCATATTAAACAAAGAAAATAAGCTCGGCTCATTCCGCGTGGTGGCACACGATATCCTCGGCAGCACACACAAAGGTGGTGACTCACTATACAACGGAAAGCTATAAACAAAACAAAGAAGCATATTCCTGAAGAGCAATCATTCCTCGAGGAGCTCATACATACCTCCCTTTTGAGTACGAAGCACAGCCATCACAATGACTAGAGAAGGCTCAAAACAACCGCCCACGGCGGCGACAAACCTCATCGGTACGCTATTGCTCTTTGACTTCTATTTTCCATAAACCACAAGTTGCCAATGACATGTAACTAACATGCTTCGTTCCCATAGCTGGAGGTGGTGCCGGCATGATGGAAGCTCTCGCCTGCCACCCTTTAGGTACGTCCCCAACCTCTTATACAAACTCATCATCCACAATAAAACATCATACTAACACCCACGCAGATACAATCAAAGTGCGCATGCAGCTCTCCCGTCGCGCGCGCATGCCCGGCGCCCCCCGCCGCGGCTTCATCAAAACCGGTGTCGAGGTCGTCAAGAAGGAAACCCCCCTCGCGCTGTACAAGGGCCTCGGCGCCGTCCTGACCGGCATCGTCCCCAAGATGGCCATCCGCTTCACCTCGTTTGAGTGGTACAAGCAGCTCCTCGCCGACAAGTCCACCGGCACCGTCTCCGGCCGCGGCACCTTCATGGCCGGTCTGGCGGCGGGCGTGACCGAGGCCGTGGCCGTCGTGACGCCCATGGAGGTCATCAAGATCCGGCTGCAGGCGCAGCACCACTCCATGGCTGACCCGCTGGACATTCCAAAGTACAGAAACGCGGCGCATGCGCTGTACACTGTCGTCAAGGAGGAGGGCGTTGGCGCGCTGTATCGCGGCGTTAGCTTGACGGCTCTGAGACAGGGATCGAACCAGGCTGTCAACTTCACGGCGTACTCGTACTTTAAGAACTGGCTCAAGGACTATCAGCCTCAGTATGCGGACGGTAACCTCCCCAGCTGGCAGACAACCATCATTGGTCTTGTGAGCGGCGCCATGGGCCCTCTCAGCAATGCTCCCATCGACACAATCAAGACTCGCCTGCAAAAGACACCCGCCGAGTTTGGCACCACTGCGTGGACGAGAATAACCACCATTGCCAGCGACATGTTCAAGTATGTTTTCCCTGGAAAAAACTCTTGGACTGAAACAGAAAGCTAACAATTCTCTCTCCCCCCAGACAAGAAGGTTTCCACGCCTTTTACAAGGGCATCACTCCTCGTATCATGCGAGTCGCCCCCGGCCAAGCCGTCACTTTCACCGTCTACGAGTACCTCAAGTCAAAACTAGAGCAGAGCAACTTGGCCTTTGTCGGCGGCAAATACGAGGAGTAAGAAATGGCCTTGTTTGAGAGTCGATTGCATTTTGTTGCGATATACCCCTTTGCTTTTTATGAATCGACCGAGATGAGAGGACAAAGATAGTCTCTGACAGTAGTCTAGTTCTAGAAAAGAAATGAAACAGGGTCAGCCCTTGCATGCATAGGAAAGGATATTATGGTTTGTGAATAACGGTAATTATATGATGAGCAATCATGTTTCGCTTAGAGATTTTATGTTGCATCCCCGGAATGCGGAGTTGGATCATGTACGTCCTGGAAGGGGAAGGAATTGTCCCCTAGGCATTTTCAGTAAAAAGAGCTAGATATATATCTTGTATAAAAAGTATGGACAATGTTCTATTCAGGCTAGATCGTTCCGTTCGTATGTGTCGTAACTCGTGAGGGCGTCTACCTGCCCGGGCGCTTGGGCCTGCTAAAGCCCGATGATACCACCTTCTTGGGATGGAGATCGTTGAGGACTTCCTCCTCGGTAAGCTCGCTGGGGTCTTCCACCTCAAACTTCTTCTCCAGGGTGATGCCGGCCTCTTGCTCGGCAATGGTGAGGACGGCACGCTTCATAAGAGGGTACAGCATCCTGCTCTTGATTGCCTTGTTCCCAGCCGTGGCGGGGCAGGTGTAAAAGAAGAGCACCGGCGTCTGCTCAGTCCCTTCGTGGGTATGGGTGAACCGATAAAAGGTAAACCGCGGCTCGACCGGCGAGATGCTCTTGATGAGACTGGTGAGAGAGCTGGGATCCAACGAGTCGGTCGCCAGCTCGACTCTCTCGGTAGCTGCGTTGATTTTCTGCGTCACACATGATTAGTCTCTTGTTTTGAGCACTTCCCCATACCGTGTCGAGACAGCTTACCAGTGTAGCTGCGGCCTTTTGCCCTTCAGCAACCTCCTTCATTGCCGCAATAGCATCCTCATTAACCGGCATCGACAGGCTCTTGCTGAGGTGGATTTCCCGGATAGCAGTGCCAGATCCAGCCTCCTGCTCAGCTCTCTTGACGTCTCCCAGCGTCTTCTCCTCCTCAGTCAGGGGAGCCTCCAGTGCGTTGTGGGCATCGTGGGCCTTGAACCCCTTTTCCGTCAACTCGTGGGCCATGGTCATGAACGGCGTCTCACGGAAGTGCTCGGTGCCCAGCTCCCGCGTCAGCGTCAGACGCGTCGCGGCGAAAAGCATCTTCTGGCGGACCTTGGCGGCGTCGGGCACGTATGTCACGGCAACGAACCTGGGCGAGTCGTCGTAGCGGCGGAGGATGGCATAGAGGGCGACGTCGGGCTTGATGAAGGGCTCGAGCACGGAGAGGTTCTGTCCAAAGTCGGACGATGTGCCCGCGATGGTCTGGACGGGCGTCAGGGTCTCGCGCTCGATCGTCACCAGCAGGGCAAAGTCGGACGGCGTCGCCAGCAGCGAGCTGAAGGCCTTCTGGAGCTCCTCGGAGGCTGTCTCGAGATTCTGCGGTCAGCACACCGCAAGGGGCCGGTTAATCAGCCATTGCATTGTCATGGCTTCCGTACCTGAGATTCCGGACTGCATGTTGGCCCGGTATTGTTTGGAGATTGCAGTCTACAAATGGTTCCCGATTCAGGCCGGTCTGGTGCCTCGATCCGCTGATGAAGGCTCCAGGTTTCGGGGTTCTGGCCAGAGCCCGACGACGCATCCAAGTCCAAGCTGCTGCCCCGCCACGGTTGCACAACCGCGAGAGCCCCTCCACACAGTGCCCCACCAGATGGTGGTCGATGATCCATATTCACAGCTACCCTGTAAGTGGACGTTGAAAGTCAAACCATAACTAAAGCAAATATATGACAGAATCAATGTATCGCAATGCCATTGTGATGCAGAGTCATCAAATATCGACACCTTTTCTGGAATTAGCCATTATGGTAGCCTGACCACAAGTACTCATCCAAGAATAAAGCTGCTATGAGCGACTACGTTTCACAACAATATTCACATACAAGTGGTCCACGATTAATGTCAAGAAGATAGTCGAATGAATCAATTATTTTGCAGTCTTTCTTGTACAATATTGAATGCGTGCGTAAGTCTTTACTGCACTTAGCTATCAACCACTGTACCAGCCGTCAATCAGCTTCCAAAAATCTCCCAAACACAATCCACTGAGATATTGCTCATTATTGAGCTCCTCCGGCCCATCAGTTCGAAAAAGGAAAAAAAAACAATGTTTCGTAACATTTTACCAGATAATTGCTGCTGCCAGCAAGATGAACCCTCCACCAGAGAGAGGAGGAATGAACCCAGAAGGGGAATCCGAAGCCGGAACGTGAGAGGGAACCGGAGGATCACCCTCGGGCTTCTTGCTCGGCCACGGCCAGAGAGTGCTCTCGGGGGAAACGACAGGAGATTCATTTGGCGCCCCAGCAGGGTCACAATTATTCGCTGAATCCACACCACCAGGATTTGCACCAGGAGAGCCTGGAGTGTTTCCCCCAGAATAGGACTCTGGTTGAGGCGACGCGCAAATGGCAGAAGGTGTCGCATTTGGAGCCTGCTGGTTTGGGCTGGAAAACGTCTTGGGCTCCGGGGCATTGTCAGTTGGGGTAAGAGGTCCCTGGGGGCCTGGGGGATCCTGGGGACCCTGAGAAGGCGTGGACAAGCCAGTATTGCTCTCAGTAGCGCATGGTGTTTCTTGAGGACTCTGAGATGCAGGAGAACCAAGGGTTGGATTCACTGATGCTGCTGGATCTCCAGATGCAGGACCAACGAAAGATGTTGGAATTCCTGGTGGTGGTCCTTCTGGCGTGATTCTCTGAGGCTGCCACGGTTCTCCAACTGATGAGACATCAGTAGATGTGCAGGAGGTGTCAGCCGCAGCGACAGAGGACTGAACGTTTGTTGGGTCTCCATAGGCTGGCACCTGACTAGGTGTGACTCGCGTGTAAATGTTGGCAATGATGGGTGAATTCTCTGGGCAGATGCTCCCACACATGCCGAGAGTGCTATCTCCCATGCACGGATAGTCACACTTTGACTCGTCGGTTGGTTGAACACCATTTGCATCATCTCCGCATCGGCAAGAGCTGCAAGGTCCGGTCAGAGGGATAGAAGTCTAGACAGAATGGCCTTGAAACTTACTCGGGAAAAAGGGCAGCGAAGAGGTGACCTTGGCAGGCACGTTGGCACGCTTCAGGAGTCAGGCGACCGTCAGAAAACACAAGGGCATTTCCGAAGCAAGATGAGTCGATCGAAGAGCAGCCCTGGTACGAGAATGCGCCGTTGCTGTGCGTAGTTTGGCAAAAAGCACCAATCGCGCCGATAATGGCGAATAGAAAGATGCCTATCATCTTGTTGACAAGAGGGAGTGGCCGAGTATAAGATTTGGACTCTGATACTGACAAGGGCAGAACAATGAGAGACACAGTTGGGCTAATGAACGATGGACGCAGATTGAGACAGACAGAAAAGGGTAGAAAGGAGAGAAATTTTTTTTTGGATGAGTTTGGGAAACTTTTGGGCATAAAGGTGGAAATGGAGGTCAGTTCAGAGGGAAGGAGCAGGTAGGCACTGGGAGGCAGGTGCCTGTCTCTCCTTCCTGTAACACCAAATGATCATCTTGAATAATGAGTTTTAGCGAGAAGACTGAGATTCAGTGGACTGATTGGAACGAGTAAGAGGAGATACACTAGGCAAGAGCTCCTGATTTCGTGATGCTCGCGAGGTTTCCATTGTGGCTGCGTTTGGCACTCTCCTATGGTGAAAATCGAAATAACAAAGTGACATTATTTTCGTTATATGTTTGGGGAAAGAAAGCCGTGATGGCGTGAATAAAATGGAGGATGCCCAAATAACGTACTAGATGCTTAATGATACTTGGGTATTATTTGGAATGTGCCGCAAGAGTTGATGTTCCACTCATAACATCCAATTGTCTGATTGAGTGCAAGAATACTTTCACATCTGGAGCATAGCTCTCTGCATAATACGCTTGACAGTATATGAGCTATATGGCTATATTTCTTCCGAAAGAGAATCACTGTGTGAAAGAAAAGCACATCAAGGCCATCCCAATCTACATTGATGCCTCGATTTTCGATTTGATAAACCTCAACCATCTCGAGATTTTGAGAGGCTTCACAGGATTGGCCAAGAATCTGCCTCCCAGATTGACAGACCCACAGTACCTTATCCAGTGGATTTGGCCCACATTTAGTTATCGCCTCAGGCCAAAGCACCCCGCTAGCCCTTGCAAGCGCACAAACGTGAGCAGAGGGCACGAAAACCCCAATTTAGCGAACCCATTTTCCAAGTGCGCCAAAGTTTACCATACCAGGGCCCTCGATTTTTCTTGCTGCTACTATCACGATCCAACTCATCCCAACCCACCGTTGAGCAACCACAGCCAAGATGAGCGCCATCAACAAGATCGCCGCCAACAGCCCCTCGAGGCAGAACCCCTCCGAGCTTGAGCAGAACATTGCTCAGGCTCTGTTCGATCTCGAGAGCAACACTGCCGACCTCAAGGTTGCCCTGCGACCTCTGCAGATCGTCTCTGCCCGTGAGGTGAGAATGACTTGAATGAAAAGAAAACAGCCAGACCGAACATTTTCTTCGACATCCTGTTCCCAAAGCTCTCTACGAATGGCTTCGACGTACGATTGGGCGCGCTCCCTCCCTCGGAGAGAAGGAAATATGTTGTATGAACATGCCGATTCGACAGAATTGAGTCGTTTGACAACCCCCTCTCGGAGATGGAAAAAAAAATATTCATGGAGGGAACGCGCCGTCTAGCCTGAGTACTATTGACTTCTGTGGAGCAGGACGGGAAGCGGTCCAAGGCATTAAACTGTCCTGGAGCTCGCATGCTGACTTTGGGATCTTGAATAGATCGAAGTTGGCCACGGCAAGAAGGCTATTGTCATCTTTGTCCCCGTCCCTTCCCTGCAGGGCTTCCACCGTGTTCAGCAGCGGTAAGCAAAACCCTAATTCCCCGAGAAAGCTTCCAATTTCAAAAGACTAATTCCGATATCCCTACAGCCTGACCCGTGAGCTGGAGAAGAAGTTCTCCGACCGCCACGTCCTCATCCTGGCTTCTCGCCGCATCCTCCCCCGCCCCAAGCGCTCTGCCCGCTCCCGCAACACCCAGAAGCAGAAGCGTCCCCGCTCCCGCACCCTGACCGCCGTCCACGACGCCATCCTGGCTGATCTCACCTACCCCGTCGAGATCGTCGGCAAGCGCATCCGCACCAAGGAGGACGGCAGCAAGCTCCTCAAGGTCATCCTCGACGAGAAGGAGCGTGGTGGCGTTGACTACAGACTCGACACCTACTCTGAGGTTTACCGAAGACTCACTGGCCGCAACGTCAACTTCGAGTTCCCCCAGACTACCAGCTCTGAGTTCTAAATTAGTCTAGAGGAGAAAAAAGAAATTTAATCGGCATTTCTAAACTTGTCAATGGGAAGCCCTTGGGAAATACAAGGCAATTAAAATGCGTTGCTCTATTTATAAAGCATCGGTGGGTTGGTCAACATTTGGGCATGGCGTCTGATATCAAGGTAGCTTTTGTTTTTTTCAAATGATATAAAAGCTGCTGGCATGATTTGATCAATTCACTTATCGCTTCCTCTACCCTAAATCTTCGTGCTCTATCTTTGTCTTTGTCTATCTCTTGGGTTGTCTATCGCTGTAAAAAAGTAGTCGTCCATTAATCGTGACTGATGCGCCCCACCCCAAGTACGCACCAGTATGCCAGTTCTCGCTTCTCCCTCGTCTCCTTATTGTCCTTGCTAGCCGGCCCGTCCATGTCAGCTTGCGTATCAGCCTCCCATTCCATGCGAACAAACATGGAGATCTCAAGAATATCTTCGCCACTCTTGAGTGGGCTGGTATCAATCTTCTCGTTGCCCTTCTTAGGTAGGTGGTCGATGCGCAGAGAAGCCGGGATAACTTCCAGCACGATGCTCACCCAATTTCGTCCCTTTTCCCAAATCTTGCCCACTTCAGGGCCTTCGTCCGCCTTGCGACTCCTATCCTTTTCGTCGTCTTTCAACGCATCATCCCACATGTCGGTGTTGGCGTCCACCTCAAATTGAGGGCACAGCACCGTGACTCTGCTGGAGAAACGGCCTGGGGTTGCATTTGGCGAGGCCAGCGTGACTTTGATGTTGTCAAAGAGGGGATTCTTAAAAGTAACGACAAAGTGGTACGGCTGATGCGGCTTCAACGGCGCTTCTTCCTGGACCATGGGCCGATATGTGACGGGCGCAGGCGTAGCGGTTGGGTTTAGCGGCCGGATCGTGATTGTGGGTATGTACGATTTGGCAACCAGACGAATCTTGAATCGCGTAGACGTGACCTTTGCCTCTGGCTTTGATATGATGTGGCGACATGCCGGACAACGTTTCGACCGCTTGCTGCGGAGCAGATATGCAATCGGCCGGAGTTCGTCTTCGAACCGGATAGGCTCCGTCTGCTCTTTACGCTGTTCCAGTGAAGCTGTAGCGTCCCATCCTCCGCTGATGAGCTTCTTGATCTCTTTTGACTCATCCAGATTGGCGATTTTCAAGCCGTCGTTGGTGCCCAGGGCCTCGCGCATGATATCTGCAGGACCTTGCTGCAAGCGACCCTGGTGGCCCCGACCGGTGTACAAGGACATGATGCGAGTCAGAGCAGCCGGAGACGAAAACCCAAGCCCATCGTGTAGTGGCAGCCCGCGTATTGAGGTGTTTGTTTCCGAGAGCCGGCCTTGGTAAAACGCCTTGAGGTTGGCAAACTGCAAGTCCGCATCGACCTGGTCGTCAGGCACGGGTGGCTCGTCTGGGTTATCCTTTCGACGGTCCTTGACGTCCCGCAGCGTGAGCTTTGGCTTGCCTCCGTTGTTGATCTTGGAGAGCTGGTTGTATATGCCACTAGGGCGATCGAACTCGATGCCAATCTCGGTCGAAGTCCAGTTGCAGTACTGGCAGAAGAGCGCGTACGGTCCCCCCGTGGGGTTGGTCTGATACTGCGTGGGCAAAAGGTTCGCATCTGTGGTGGGTTGAATGGCGCCGACTTGGAGCGGGCCGATGCATACTGGGCACTGGTAGCAACTTCGCGTACATCTGGATCAAATAGCCATCAGTTTTTGACCATGACAAATCTGCGTTCAAGACGCAAGGGACCGTTGTTTACCTGTTACCCTCGCTGCGCAGATTGCTGCTGGGAACCTCAAAGAGGCAATTGGGGCAGTAATAAGTGACAGACTCTTCTGTCACGCATCTTGGACATCGAATCTGCTGGCAGTCTTCGCAGTAGAGGAGGTACTCGAGCGGATATAGGCTGTAGTTTGATCGCGGGGCTTTGGGGTCAAAGGTTCGCTCGTCCTCTTCCGGGTCGGACAGCGCGTTGCCGGAATTGAGGACAGTCTGATCCGAGCATGGACACTGGATGTATGTGTAGGGAGTCGAAAGCGACATGTTTCTTTTCCGCTACATCTCCGTTGATTCGATTCGACGAGTGCAGGTGGGCATCGCTAGCCGTGCTCTCACCCATAGCAAAACCTCGGTGAAGAGCTCTCCCGCTTCAAGCAAGGTGAGCTCGGTAAAGCTCCATTTCCACGTGATCCACTGCTGCTTATCAGATCGCCGACCGACCGCTTATGTAAGTCGGCACGTCCTCGTATTTGTTCCCCGCTTTCTCTTTTGCAGATGCGCCCCGGATTCTGGATGATCGTCTTGGCCAAAGCTCTCACAGCGGGCGATCGATATACTGCAATGACGCTGACATGATAAGCCGACGTGCGTCCTCGATTGACATGCGCACGCTGAAAATTTCGGCAGTGGCGGATCGGCAGGTCTTTTGCTCGTGGGCGCTACCATACGAAGACGACACGGAGCCGGCCGCTTTCGTTTGATGCTTGCAGCGCTTTCAGAGCAGACCAACCCTTTTTACTTGGTCGCCGGACTACTTTCCGTGGCAATTCGTTCAATCAAAACTCTACTTTTTATCTTTCACTATGATAATTAATTTTTTTCACATCCGTGGTTGGGTTTGGTCAAGATCGACCCTCCGTACTCGCTCTCGTGTAAGCTAGACGACCGACGCCTCTCGCCGGACCTTGATAGACGACTTAGAACCCCCCCCCCCCTTTTTTTTTTTCACATATGTCTTCGCAAGCTATACGAAGACACAGTGTAATATCCTAGTTGTTTAGGCACAATTGCTCCGTCATGTGCCACTTTGTAGCAACACTAATGTTGATGCCTCTTCTGCAAGCTTGTTATGCGGCTAATGGAGGCAGCCAAGTTGTAATAACACTTCGTATGAAGCATTATGGTTCCAGACTATAAGGTGAACTGCCACTAGTGCTGTGATGTCAGTTGTGTTTGCTGTCTTTCGCTTGCTATGGTTGGTGGTTCTCCTAGGCTGTGTCTCAGAAAGCAATTGCTGCCAACAATATATACGAGTATGCTACCGCCAGGTTTTGTCGGTGAAGGTTTAAATGCTCTCATATGTCTCAGAGCGTTGATGGGGATGCTGAAGTCTTCTACAGTCTTCCTACTTTAGGCTCTTTCTACTTTAGGAGATGTAAGCGGGGGATGAGAAGCCTCTCTCTGGAGGCGTGTTGGTTACTCATACGGATAGTTGTGCCACCACGCCTCTTGGTCAAGTCAGGCCAGGAACAAAAAGATAAGGAGAGGCACGGGAAGAACAGGAGTAATCAGGAACAGCGGCTGGCTGCTCGTATTTAGCCTTTGGCTTCAGCTGGGCTGAGTGAGCACACAAAATCGCCATTTTACGAGCGTACGTAAGGCTGACAAAATAGATGGGCAAAAGAAAAGTCAGTGGGCTTCTGTACTAGCAATCCCCCTTGCCGAGCGTAGCTTGCGTGGAAGTGTCTCTTGTTAAACGTTTGTTCGGTTGCAATTGAGAATGTGGAGATGTGTCTTGGATTCTTTGCCCTGGCAGAAGAGGAAAAAAAGGCAAGACTGAGACTAGCCAAGAGGACCCAGCAGCGTCTCACATGCTGTAAAACCAACCACCTGGATAGAAGGGAGAGGTGAGGGGAAAGAGAGATGGAAACAAAGCAAATCACTTCTTGATCGGTGGTTTATTGAAATCACCATATGCTGCTGGTTTCGGCGACTGCCAGGCTAGGGCCCTTTTATTGGGGGCGATGCAGGTAACGCAATTCTGGCAGTCAATGATGCTGTCCGCACGGCGTCGGGCGTGTTTTGGCGCATCGGATCTGAGATGGCCGCAGCCCGCAGTCCGCCAGAGCCGCCCAAGTGGAGACTGAGCTGGGGTGGTGAATATCGCGGATCCCTGTCCGATGGGGATGGAGAGAGACGAGAGACTGGACGGCATGGCATGATGATACTCATCACTTTTCTGCGTCGGTCCACTCCCGGGCGCCTTTTCCAGGATCGGCCACGAAGAGACAGGGAAGTTTGGCCAGGATGGCATTCCAGCCGTTCCGAAGAAATAGAGCATTTGTGAAAAATAGCCGAAGGAGAATCTGATGCCCTGGAGCGATAGTCAGGAACACACCGCATCGGCGTCGTCTTGTAAGCTAATGGGGGGGAACGAGACATGTAACAGGTCCAGCTCCACCAGCGTGGCCGCGGCAAGCCCGCGGGCTTTTTGCAACTGTGTACAAGCAATTGGCATTGCTGAGCTTCATCTCAGCTCGTCAATAGCGTGAGTGACGTGGATGCATCTCGTTTGTGTCTTGTGGAAGCGGGCTTGCGAAGGATCCCTGGCGTCACTGTCGTTGCAGCTACAGCACATGTACATGTACCCAAGGCTTGACGGCATGTGCATAATGGGACATGATGGGAGCACTGCGTGGTGGCGGGACCCAGACCAAAATCTGGTTTTTTTCCCCTTCTTCCCTCGTGGTCAGACTGGCCTGGCCTGGCCGGTCGCGGCCTTGTCGATATTATGCATCCGGAGGTTGGGCCATGGCCGTTGAGCAGGCTCGCTTCTCCGCCTAAAGAGGGGAAGAAGAGATGGATTTAATCAATTGTGCTGCTGAGGGCAGGGATGATATATCACGTTGCTGTCTAAATCAATTACTCATGGGTGGTGGTGCTGAGCCCATTTTCGTTTCTTCCTGCTTCTCTCGACTTTTTTTTTCCTCCATCGTGGCCTAGCCGAAGTGGAGTGAAGTCATGCATTTCGACCACATCAGACTCCATGTCGCTGCCAGCTCACCACCGCCTCGTGGGCGCTGCAGAGCCACTGAGCGGCTGGCAGACCCCTGCAAGCAACGAACGCTTAGAATGCGACAGCGCCCCTCCCTCTTCCAAGAGCTGTGAAAGACGCCTAGCTTGGCTTTTTGCAGACCAGACAGACGGCGATGCCATCCCTGCGCTTCTGCATGTGCTCTGGCGCCTGTACTTGTTGGCTGCGCTGCTCACAGCACCAGCTCGAGGTACACTGCCTGGCTGCTAATCTTAGCAATTGGGCTATAATAGCGCCAAGGCGCACCGGCACTGTTTTACTTGCATGTCTTCGCTGCTTGTAGAAGACGCTGCGTAGATCTGCATCTAATCTGCCTGACGCCATGTAGAGTAATCTATCAATTCGATATTTGAGTGTATTTTGATGGTCGCGGTGGTGGCAATGCCCGTAGTTCCGTGCTCTGTAATGGGTACATCGTGATATTACATGTGAGGGATTGTTGCCATTGACGAGCGCTGATGGATGCAAAATACAGGGGCCGCATCCTTGCAGATTTTTGGCTGCTGGCCTAAGCTCCTGGCTGCTAGGGGAAAAGGAAAAATTGCAATGCACTAACCTGGGCTAAAGCACCGGGCTAAGAGCAATTGCCTTTTCAGCTCCCGAGAACAACAAGAGCTACGAAAACGTCGTCCAGACGTCTGGGCCTGGCACCTTTTCTTCCTCTCCTCTGCGTTATACTTTCCTGACCTCTGCCCGCCAAACGCCCCTCCCGGCTCGTGTGAGCCCCTTTCCACCACTCGCGAGGCAACGATGGCTCTGGACCAGTGACTGCTTCTATGGCCGCTTTCGACTGCGAATCCGTACTGCCGTGATACCGCCATCGAGTCGACGGGCGCCCAGCAAGCTTCAAGCCTTGCAGGAACCACACGCCGGCCGTGCAACACGAGAGCGGGCTCGCCATCACTAGCCTGTGACGTCTCGGCGTTGGCCTCTGCGTGATTCGTTGCTTGACGTCGACTGGCTGCCGGCCTGGCCTCTGTTTTACCTTTGGATCCTGCGTGGGAGGGCTGGCATGGTGTGAAGGACGCAAGACGAGGAGCATTTTAGACTTTTTTCCTCTCTCTCTTTTGTTGCTGCGGTGGATGCTTCAGCCTGCATATATAAATCACATATACACAGGGTATATATACTAACTCGACGCCGGGTGGCCTGTCTCATATCATTGGAAGCTATCCCGCCCCCCCTTGCCCAGCGGTCTCCCTCACCAAAACGCCGGTCCTTTGCGGGCTTCGTTTGCTGCACTCCACTCCTGTGTGTGTGAATAGCTCTTCTGCCGCCTCTGATGGCCGGCCCGAGGGCGAGATCAAACAGCGTCCGCAGGGCTCGCGGACTTTCCATTGGAGAGGATGGCAAGGTCGTGCCGCTTAAGCGATGGGACGGCGCCAGCAGGACGTGCAGGGACTGGGATGGCCTACGACGGGTGAGTCGAGTCTGTAAATGACAGCGAGGGCCTGGTTCTGAACACGAGGCCAATGCTCAATGGTGTATTGGCAGCATTCATCTGACTCTGTGGTGTTGCTTATAGGACTCGGACATATGGGAGAGGAACGGCAACTGCCTCATCCACTTATACGCCAAGGGCGATTCAAAGCGTGGGCCGTCCTTCAAGCTGCCATTTGCCGCTCTGCTCTCGGCTGGCTGCCTGCCTCTTGTCGAGAAATTCCTAGTCCTCGAGGGCATCGCATCCAATACGGCGCAGGAGATTGAGCGGTGGGATCAGCTGCACCCTAGGTCGACAGCTGAGCTGTATATACCGGCCCCGCTCAATGCCACCGATAAGCAGGCGCAGCAATATCACCTAGCCATACGAAATCTTTGCGCATGGATTCTGGGGAGGCCAATGGTGGGCAGGCACTTGGGCAGCACCCTCGTTGCGCTCCTTCACTCTATGCGCGAGTTCCGGTCCTCGTCAGGAAGCAACGTCGATGACTTGTTAAAGTATATGCGCCAGGCGCAGTACCTCGACATGGTCGGAGCGCCTACTCACGCAACGGCGGCCCTTTACGTAGCGGAGACGTTTCAGCTCGGCAACTTGTATAAACGGGCTTTTGCTCACTGCGTTGGCATGCATGATCGTCTCTTCTACAACTCGGAATATCAGGTAAGGAACGATACGCCTAGAGGTTGGGCATTAACGCATGCCTTTTCTCTCCTTCTCCTGCTTGGTTCACTGGCCATGGAACAAATGTACAGTCGATGCTAATTTTCATCTCATGGAACAGCTCATCAGTGCGGTATCGCGATCGCTCGTCCGCAGAGCACGTCTGGAGATGAACGCAATGCTCCAGCAGACAACCACCAGACTCCGGAGCTTCCTTGACGAAGAACTATCAGAGACAAACTTGGGCATTCCACCTGGGACTCGCGCCCACCTGGAGCGGTTTCGAAGCTTCCTGCTGTCCTTTTATTCGGCCAAGTTTGGCTACTATCCTCCTAGGGCTTTCGACGCTGGCCTGCTAAATACCATGGCGGATGACTTTGATGCCTTGTACGAGCTATTGGTGGACAGCAACTATACTACATCGGACAGCATACCGTCCACAGCGGTTGGTGGTATCTGCACTGAGCAGCTTATCCAAACCTTTGATGAGAACAATCACTTTGAGCCTCTACCGCACCCTCTCCCCCAGCTGCCTCAAGTCGAGACTTCTACTGATGGGCTGCGTCTTCTGTCCAAGATTCCCTTCCTTGAAAAGGTAGCTCCAGAGCAGCAGCAGATTACGATTGCAGCTCTGATTACAGCATCCAACTGGACGGAGAAATGCTTCAAGAATGATCTCGTACAAGCGTACCGCCGGTTCGAAGAGGCCATGATTATTGCCCCTAGCAAGGCCGATAAAAACGAAAAGATCTCCCTGCTGGAGGCTCGCAAGGTACGATGGGTTCTGGTCTACGCGGTACACCAAGTTCTCCGCCGTGCAACACGAAAACCAATAGAGGTGGATGGTGAGGACGCGCCGTACCACCTTACAGCCTCGATGAAGTGCATCCCTCCATGGTCATCGGCACCTCGTGAATCGAAGAGGTCGTTGCGCATTCAAACCGATATTGTTGCCATCGATGAAAATGCGCCCAAGCGAACCATTAAGATTCAGGAGACAGCGGTTGGCAGGATAGAGATCAAACCCGACATTGACTATTTCGCCTTGACGCACAAGAACCGCAATTCGTCCTTGTCTACCATGTCTGATAGCCCCTCTCCCACCACCTTGTCCCGCTCAAGCTCATTTTCCATGAGCCTGCGACGCAATTCGACTATCCGCAGGTCACTGAGGATATTGAGGAGGAGCTCCATGTCGGGATCACAAGCATCAATGACGCCGCCTGGGAAGCCATTGTACCACGAGATTGTGGTACAGGGCTATGGCAACGGAACACAAACAGTTACCGTGGAGGCGGATGAGGAGGGGCTGACGATGAAGGGCAATCTGGCGGGTCGCAGCGATTCGACGGCATCCGCACAGTCGAATTCGAGCTCCAGCACCACGGCCTCGTCAATCCCCGAGAGCATGAGCAGCACCATCGACACGCTCTCCTCGAGTGTACTTTCCAGCCCAGCAACGCCTACGTCCGATGCGGTCTTGGAGCTTGAGCTTATGCTCGCCCGCTGGGGTCCACAAGACAAGGCGCCGGTAAGAATGGGTCTGCCGCGTTCAGTGTCCGCCAGCGCCATTTCCGGCGACGTGGAAAACTTGGCGGCGGGGCTCCACTACTACCCAGAAGCCTTCCCCGAAGCCCCCTCGAACAGAAAAGAGGATATCAAAAGAAAAAGAAGAAGCCTGGAGCCCGCGCGGTCGGCGCCGGCGCCTGCCGCCCTGCAGCGACGCTACACCATGCTTGGAGACCTTCGACGGAAAAATTTTGGGTTCGAGGCCAGACCCATTTCCGTCCGCATTCGCGAAAACCGCATTACCGAGGAAACGTGGACTCCCAGCCGGAGAGATTCAGACGATTGGTCCATGATGCTGGCGTTTATGGACGGGGCTGATAATACAGACGCTACAACAACTAATCAGAACGACGCCTGGGCACAATATTCAGATCTTGGAGGACTTACCGATATGACTTAGTATATAGACATGCCCACGGTTTGGGCGTAATGAAAAATACGACTCGGAGGAGGACACATACGAAAAAGAGGGGAAAACGAACACGACATTTTCCAAGAAGGAAAAGCAATTTTTTTTGGCATTTTATAGTTTTCATTTTTTGTGTTTTTATGGCTTGGTTGATACCCTGTGTCGGCTGACACGTTTACGATACCATTTTCTCCGGCGGTCATTCATTACTGGTGTATTGGACATTCTTTCTGTTTACAAAGTCCTGGGATATGGTATAAATCGGGATACATACTTAGGTAAAGAGGAGTCGCCCTCTTAGACTGGACGCTTGAATATTTATTTTGTAAGAGCTAGTATATGAAATAGCAAGTTGAGCATTGTTTTTTTTATTTTATTTTCATTTCTTCGTGCGAATTGCTTTGCGGGTATAGGGCCTACAGACAGAATTCATAAATGCATACCTATATACACACCTTTTGTATGTATATTTATACAGATACATACACGTGCAACTTGGCCTCTTGCCAACTCTCCTCGGCTTTGCCACCACACTGCTGGAGGATTGAGCAAATGTTTTTTTCCATTGCTCGTGTCCCGACACGCAGTCTTTGAAGTCCCCCGTTTGGTTTGATTCACCCGCTTTTAATCTCTCTTTGAGCGTGAAGTGTAATTGAGCGAGTCGATGAGGTCGGCGCCGATGGACCAGATCATGTAAGTCGGGCCGACGAGCCAAGCACCGCTATTTTCACAATTAGCTTTTTACTTTTTCAAAAAAGGAAAGGCATTTTGCTCAAGAATGGAGATTGATGTTGAGAGGAAAAGATGGACGCACTTGGGAATGATCCAGAGGAGGATGAGGTCGTTGAGGGGGTTGTGGCCGATGTTGTCAAAGCCGCTGTAGTATTCGTTTGCCCCTATACAATTCGTCCAATTGGCTCTTGTCAGTACGCGTTTTAAACACTTCAAGTCGATTCAAACGAAAAACAATGGTTTAGGGATTGTCTTACAATACAGAATAGTTTTGCTAAGCGTCATGACAGCAGCGGCATAGCCAAACAGCGTAGCCCTGGCGCCGCCTCTGCCGGCCAGCACCCTGGCACCCCCCTCGGCGGTCTTGCTGCTAAACAGCCAGGCGGCGAGATAGTACAGATACATGAGCGTCTCGGCGGCGTTGAGCAGGCCCTGGGCGCTGGTGAAGCCGTTTCCGGCGTTGAAGGCCTTCCAGCCGTAGATGTGGTCGACCTCGCCGTAGAGCTTGTAGGGCGCCCAGACGGGCCAGTGGAGCGAGCCGCCGGGCATGGAGAGCGGGCGCAGGAGGACGTAGCCCGTGTCCCAGATGACGAGGGGCAGGGAGATGGCGAGCCAGGCGAGGGTGGCGGTGGTGGGCGCGTGGCGGAATGAAGTTGAGGATACCTTGGACGAGGAGGATTTGGATCTGGCGATGCGCTTGGCGGAGGGGGTTGCCGGGGGGAGGGAGGAGAAGGAGGAGGAGGGCTCGACGCTGGCGGCGCGGGAGGAGGAGGCGCGGGTGGTGACCATTTTGGTGTTTTTGGCTGATTGTGAGTTGAGGTTGAGTTGGAGTTTGTGGCGAGATGGTGGTGGAGTTGGCAGGCGGCGGCGAGACTATCGTGAGTTTGTTTAGGGTTGTTGGTGGCCTCGATATGAATTGAGATGAAAACAATGGATGAGACGAGACGGAAAAAAAGAAAAAAAAGTAAAAAAGAAATGAGACCCCAATGGCCGGAGGAATAAACAACCTTGAAATGAGGGGGAGGGGCAAAATAGCGCGTTAGGTGTGTGTTGTTCCCCAAATTAAACTGTGATGGGGAGCAACGCTCTTATAGCAAATGGCGATCTTTTTCTCTTTCAATTATATCGAGTTTTTACAACAAGAGAAGAGAGACAATGTGAAAAAAGGGAGATATTTGAAATGAAAGCTACAGGGAAAAAAAAAATATTATTACAATTACTACAGTGTGTGTTGGCGTATTACGTGTGTGCGCGTTGCAGAAAAAGAGGACAGCATGACAGAAAAATTAATGGCGAATCACAGTGAGGCGGGAAGGATGCGACATGGTGTGGTGGGCGTGGCGCCACGCTCAATGGGATTGAAGAGATTCGATACGACGCTGCTGCGCCAGCTGAGGCTTGGAAGAATGAATGACCGTGACGGCCACAGCGACATTTGAAATTGATGGCTTGGATCTGGAATGACGGCGATGGTGAGAGCGAGTTTCGCTCATTGTTGCTGGGGCTATATACGTGTATGTGCCGAGGCTGAGATTGAGATTGAGTAGAGTAGCTGAGAGTGTTTAGCGGTATTGGGTTGAGTTGCTCCGAAAGCCGCTGCTTCGGGGCAATTTGTGTGAGTACATGCTGCCTGATACAACGGTTACTGAATTAGCTGTCAGGATTAGGAAATGAAGGCGCTTGCATGTGGCAATTGAGTGGTGTTTTTGAATTGATGGAGCTTTTCAGATATGCTTAATCGTACCTATATACCCAATGACGTATGAAGGGTGCTTCCAGCGCAAGGCCTCGGGGGAGAAAAAAAATGCTGTGAATGGAGTGGGGGGCGCCACTGACTTTTGTATCGCTTGTCATAGGTAGTAGCGACACTGAGTCTTCTACTACTACCTATGACAAGACTCAGACCATATACCTATTACAAGAGGTCATTTAAGGCTTCGTTATACGTGCCGCTTCATTTCATTTCATCTCATCTCATCTCATGCCATTCCATCGTAGCAACACATTCATCAAAGATATATACCGGGAATACATAGTATATCCCGCTGCCAGTTTCAAATCAATGTAATATCTATCAGTACCTCGCTCATCCGCCAAACGTGTCTCCCCCATTCTCCAGATACTCGCGCTCCTCGTCCGTCGTCTCGCGCCCCATGACCCGATTCCGATGCGGATACCGTCCGAACCGCTTGATAATCGCCCAATGCCTCTTTTCAAATCCAAGGTTCAGCTGCCCGTATTCCGTGGCCGCCTCTTCACTTGACTGCACGACTCTCTGCGCCGCGATGTGATACTCATGCGCTACTTCGGACTCGTCGTTCCAGTCTACAGCCATCTCGGAAGGTAGTAGGCTCTCCACGTCGCGTTTTAGGCCCTCGTATTTTTCCACTGCTAGGTCGTGTAGCGAAATATCTTCCGAGTGCATCAGCGGCACGTAGAACCAGCTGCGGTAGGCGAAGCGCCAGCGAAGCTCCGGACACCTCTCGGGGATGCCGCGCTGGATTGCTGTGAGGGCGACTTCTCTGGCCATGGGGTCAAAGTAGTTGAAGACGATGTCTGCGTGGTCTCCGCGGTAGCAGTTGCGTGGGATCTGATCTAGTAGGAGGATTAAGCTGAGCCAGTCGTGGGCGTCGTTTGGCTGCAGCGCGTAGATGATGTCTTGGCCTGATTTGATGCCGTCACGACGGAGCTGTTCAAGAGTAGGGGCGAAGCGTTCTCTGAGGCGTTGAATAAACCATCAACATATGTTTTAATTTTATAAAGAGATGATGAGCTCATAATAACTTACACGCATAACCTGTCAAATTCTGGTCCGCCAAAGAACCACCTCTTATTCTCATCGGTGGTGGGCATGACCAGACTATCTGGCCCTGACAAATGCTCGAACCAAAATTCTCGGACGCTCAGAAGCAATTCTGGCGATAGGATTAATGATATGCAAGTCATCTTGTCCTTTGATGGGACTGATGAGTTGTGAAGGGAGTGATGGCGAGCGCCAGTAGGGGTTGATATGAGCGGTCTCGGCTGCAGTTGATGCTGCCCCGAACGTGTCTGCTGGTGACTTGACAACCTTCTCTTAACGTCAAATCTTCTTGAATGCAGCTGCAGAGAAACAGGAGCAACTATACTTCTTGTTAGCTCAGTTCGTGCTATATAACGTGTTATGAAAAGGGTCGACCAACCCCGAGAGCAGCACAGTGGCCCAGCTCGGTGTATGCCGGACAGCGAAACCGGCGGCACCTTCATCAACGTTGATTATGGATCCAAGTCAAATGATTGCCTAAGCACGCCAAGCCGTCACATACATGAAAAGATACAGGACAAACATCAAAATTGCAAAAGGAAAAGATGCAAAAGCTATAAAGAGCATATGCAGCCATCAAGACGGACTTTTGACACGGGGCCAAGCCCGCATTAAGGCTGGCTGGATTTTAGCACGTCGCCCTTCTCGCTCTAGCACCAAGACCGAAAGACCGAAACGCTACAAAATCTCGGACAAGAATGGGCACTCTGTTTAACATTATTCATCACTACTTACCCGCTTACCAAGTCATGAATCACCGCGCGGGAAAAAAATAGCCCAATGCAGCCCGTTTCTCCCAAATTCACACAATGCAGACAAACTAGCAAAAATGACCTAAAATGGCAGGGTTGCGCCGTGCAGCCAATCACACGCCGTCGTCTGAGGATTTATCATCATGGCGATACGCCAGGATACTAATTGGGGTGCGTTTTGCGTTGAACACTAAACCAGGATTCGCACGACTCATTAGCCTTTTATCTTACGCGTGCCAAACTGATTTATAGATATATGTGGGAGGTGAGGGAATAAGAAGAAAACTTACATATCTCCATTTCTTCGAGAGACAGTCCCTTTGTCTCTTTGATGAAGAACCACGTGTACAGCACCAGAGCCCAGTTGAAGCAGCAAAACATGAGAAAGGCCTTGTAGCCGAGGTTGTTGACGGCCGCGGGCGTGATCTGGGAGAGCGTGAAGCCAAAGAGCCATTGCGTTGCGGCGCCGACGGCGATGCCTCCTTCGCGGATGCGCGTTGGGAAGATTTCGCTCATGTAGAGCTGCGTTTGCGCAGAGATTAGTATATTGTGTGATTTTGTTGGAGAGGTGAAACGTACCCATGGTATAGGTCCCCACGAGATGTTAAACGTCACTATACGCATCGCATTTAATGTCAGCAATCCAGACGAACTTGTGGATGTCAATGTTCAATGGGCACTCACTCGCTTCTAGAAAAACCATCGTCAAAGAGGCTATGGCCGGCGGCGTCAGCGTCCCTCCGCTCACGGGAGGATATCGCTGCGTCAGCACCGCAATGATGAACATATAAGTGCCCATCAGAAACGAGCCGGCGAGCAGAGACCAGCGTCGACCTATGCGCTCCACGAGGAAGATTAAAAAGAATGCACAGCTGATGACCTTGCACACGCCGAAGAAACCGCTAAGTAGGAGAGCGTTTTGGCCCGCGCCGACGGCTTGAAAGACTTGGGGAGAAACTAGATGAAAGTCAGAAACATTTTCATGAGCTAGCATGTTGGCAATCCAAGAAGAGGTGGGATTCGTCCATACAATATGCCAAAGGTGTGTTTCCCGTCAATTGGGCGCCTAGAATTCGGATTCGAGTCATCAGCAACCAGCCGTCAATACTCAGATCATAAAACTCACCAATCTGAAGAGTGACGGCAATAAAGATTCGATACCGGTTCGCCGGCAACCAGTATTCCCTCCACGTAACTCCAGCAGTCTGCCGCTCCTCCTCCTCAATGCCCGCCAAAATCTGCTGGAACTCCATCCGCACCTCTATACTATCTCCTCCGCGCACCCATATCAACGACTCCAAAGCCTCCTCGTGGCGATCCCGCTGAGCAAGCCATCTCGTGCTCTCCTTTGTCACAAACATTCCTAGTCCCAGTATGCCACCGGGCACAAGCTGCAAGGCAACGGGGACTCGCCACTGTCTCGTCGACGAGGGTATATGTTGCGCAGCACCGTAATCGACCCAGTAGCTAACTGCTACGCCGAGGGTGAAGAAGAATTGGAAGAGACTACCGAGCTGGCCGCGGATTTCTTTGGGGGCCATTTCGGCAGAGTACATGGGGATGATGACGGTCGCGATGCCTGTTGCAGCAAGTCGTGGTTAGAATTCGTCGCCCAGCAAGATAGGGACTGATAGTCTGCTTTGATGTTGCGTGTGTCCTTGATGTCTTTTGATGGTGGGATTTACCTGCGCCAACGCCTGATATCGTCCGTCCAATGTACCAGGTGACAATTCCGTGCTGATAGAAGAGCTGCAGCACAGCGCCAATGTTGAAGATGAGCGATCCTACGGCGAGGGACCATCGGCGACCGTAGCGCGCAGTAAATGGCCAGACGAACAAGCACGAGAAGAAGGCTGTTAGAAAGACAAGTATTAGAACTCATACGCCCAATTTACCGCAATTCCCTTTATTTATTTTCTTCTTCTTTTTCCCCATCCCGTATTCTTCGTCGTGAGCAATCGAATAATGCGCCCTATGCATATCTAATACATACCTCCAGCTTGCAGCAGGCTGGCCGACAGCGAAGTGACATTGTCCCTCTCTCCATCGCTAAAGCCCATGTCGCGCATAAAGGAATCCAGCGTCAGGACGCCGCCCACGATGCCCGTGTCGTAGGCGAAAAGGAACGAACCGACACATGATAGGGAGACGAGGTACGTGGCCCTCCATGTGCCGAGGCGCGTCATGATGGGTTGCTGGTCGTGTGAGGTTTCATGAGGAGAGAGAAAAGAAAAAGTGAGGAGAGGGAAATATGGTGCGTGGGATGTACAGCCCGTTGGTGCGTGTTAGCCTGTCTGTATGTTTATATAAACGTGTGGCGTGGCGATAGCTTTGGCCGTGGCAGGGTCTTGGCTAAAAGATTGAATTAGGTATGCTAGGTATACAAATGGAGAGGAATTGCGGCATCGGAGAATTAGGTTGAAGAATCGTGAGATTCAGTCTCCAGGATTGCGCGTGCGAATACGAGTATTGCTGCACCTGCGATTTGCTATGATTCTCTACTAGGAGCTGCTGGTCAGCACCAGGCCGCGGCCTCGGATCTCCCAGCAGGCCGCTTGACGTAATCCGAGACTGCGGCCATTCAGCCGAGCTGGCAAAGCACGCATAGATAGAGAGCCCCATGGAGATTTTCCCTGCATGGTGGGCAGTCTTGGCTGCGGGGAAGTTGTACACGGTCGGTGCGGAGAGAGTGGGATTTGCGATGAAGAAGATAGAATCCCGGTTCGCTATTTGCGAAACTGGGGTAGTAGACCATAGTCCGCTTTGGGAAAGAGACGGTCTGTTTGTCGATTTCACTTACACTAGCATCCTCGTAGGCGTGAACAGTTTATATCTTGTAGGTAGTTTAATGTTATTATCCATTTCTTGTTGAGGATAGCGCTGTTGGCTGCCCCGATAGTCCTTCATTTATATACTACCTATGTATAGGTAATATGATTCGTTGAGATAGACCAACTCGTCTCTTAGTCTTCAACAAGAGAATAGCGATGAGCTGCAAGTACGAAGAGAGTGGCACTGGGTAGTATGGCGCGTTATTTCTGCGCCTTTCGATCCGCGTATATTCATGCTTAAATAACGTGTTTAAACCATAGTAAGCCAGATTCGAAACAGTGAACAGTGTTTCAGCTTTTGCCAATCCACCACGTTGGGCTCAAAGTAAGAGATCGAAAACGGCATTTCGCCACAGCTGCATTACGGCCTTTACATTACGGCTTTCACCGCCTATGTCTGTAAAATTGAAGAGTCAATTTTTCTAAACGGAGAATAGGAGATTGGTCAATGATGAATTCTCATTGTCTCATATTGATCGCGTAGTGATGACCAGACGGAGAAAATGCTCCTACTCACGGCTTTGTGTTAATAAAGCCGCCGCTTACAAAAGTGTCAAGTCTACGATGCAATCACGTCACTACATCAACATTTTCAAATCAAACACTTCTCATTGGTTTCTTGTAAGCGGTCATCATAGATTAATTCTGAATTACCATCATAGATTCAATTCATTTTAAACAGCCATCGTCGATTGTTCACATGCTAAATCAGCAATAGACTATAAAGTGACGACCTTTGAGCGTTTCAACGTAGTACATCCCCAACCGCCTACCAGGAAGACAAGTAAATCTTCAAATATTATCATGTTTAGTGTGCGCAGTGCTCCTCTTAAATTGCGCCAGTGCAGTAGATATTCTCCATTCTTTGGCAAACGCACCATTCGACAGGCTCTCGCAATGTCTACCATATCCGACGCGATAACCAAAGATCACCGTGAGCTGGAGAAATATTACAACGAAGTGATTAACAATAAAAGCAATCAGGATCATCAAGAACGATATGGAAACCAGTTTGTTTGGGAGCTCGCCCGCCATTCTGTTGGCGAGGAGCTGGTTGTGTATCCTGCAATGGAAAAGTATCTAGGTGACAAGGGCAAAGACATGGCGGAGAGCGACCGAAAGGACCACGCGGTGGTGAGCACTAATCAACACCATTTTGATGTTTTGTGAACATCTTACTAAACATCGCTTACACAGGTCAAGGAGATGCTCAAAACCTTTCAGAATATGAAGGTCACTGACCCAGACTACGTCAACCAGCTGCAGAAGCTCTGGGAACCCCTCTCGCAGCACATCAAGGAGGAGGAAGAACGGGATCTACCCGCCTTGGAACAGGAGCTTCAGGCAGTCGAGGGAGAATCGGAGTCCATGGCCAAGAGTTTTGGTCGCACGAAAGCGTTTGTGCCGTCGCGCAGTCACCCCAGCGCTGGAGAACATCCGCCGTTTGAGACTGCCATGGGTTTGCTTGCTGCACCAATCGACCATATTGCGGACCTGTTCAGAAAGTTCCCTGATCAAAAAGTGTCTCCTAATCCTTCGACCAAGTAGGATTGGTTTGCTCTATCGGTTTGTTCGAACACATACGCGGAAGTCTGTAATTACCTAGGGACTCAAAATTCTAGTCTGTAATTTATTGTTCTACATGTCCCATAATTCTATGTATTGACAGTATTTTCTTCAATTTGTATGGATGTTTGCTTGCGGCTTCTAAATGTGCTTCCTGAAACTTGAGCGGAGCGTGTATCGTGGTTGCCATATGCTATGACTCCACGACCAAGAAATTGGGATTTGATGATTAGTTTGATTGCACCAAACCTAAAGTCTAGGTAGCATCCATGATTGACTATTACGAGAGCGAGCGTACATTTTCCTGAAGCAGCAGCCTATAGGCTCGTTTTTCGGTCAACAATATCCACACTTTTTTGTATCGTCTCACTGCTGGTTTCCGGAGCACTTGCGCCGTCTCTAACGTGATGTGACTTGAACACGCTATGATGATGGGAGTATGAACACATTTTCAAGCTTAAATAGTGGCGATGTGGAATATTTACTATGGCACACCCAAGCAGTTAGCCACTGCGGCCTAGAAAATAGACAAAAGCCTCTTGCAATCGATAGGAAATCTGACGGTGCCCGCTTTCTCCTGTTCAAAGCAATGGCTACGGACAGTAACATACAGTTTGTATAAGGCCCATTCATTTCTGATTCATATCATTGGTTTTGATAAAGTCATGGCAGAGCAACCTTCTACGCGGGCCCTTTCGACGATTGAACAATGAATTGGAGTTAATACGACGATGGGAGATAAAAGCTAAAACGAGCGTGAGGCTTGCATGTATTACTTCCGACATTATTTCCATATAAAGCTCAAGTCTGGATAAGTTCATGTTTTGAAGTCGATTAAGCAACTTTCTTCTCAACGGATAAAGACACGGCATGCGTCGAAGTTATGAGCACAACTGCACCTATCTTTGACATTTAAATCCATTTAATACTCAAGACGAGCCTTGTGATGGATTAATAAATTATCAGACGAGCAACGAGGTACTCTACAGACCATTTCTTCAATACGAAGCGCATAGACTAATACGATTGTAGAGAGCCCAAAACACAGATGTAAATGCTTGCTATTCAGCAGATGGAATGAAGTTGTAACATAGCAGAAGTAAAATAACACCATGAGAAAAAAGCAGAGCCACATAAAAATTATGGATAATAAAGACTATAGACCATATAGAATTATAAAAGAGGTAGTGCTATATATTATACAGAGCGATAGATAACACACATACATATAGAGATATGAAACGCATAGAGCTCTCGACAAAAATAGACACCGCATAATAATGCTATATTACTATATAACCAGACATTTCTAGGAACAAATTGCTAGTTGGGTGGCGTACACGCATAATGGTAAAAGTAAGCAGACTGCAATTCATTTGTACGCTCGCTCGTTGCTAAGAAGCTGTGTTGCGACCTTGAGGGTCTCAGCCTGCACTTCATCCAGCGGTGGCACCACACTGATGATTGTAGCGTCATATTCGTCTATCCTAGGGCGCTCCAGCACTTCAAATTGGCTGTGGACCAAATTTGACTTGGCAAAGTGATTCTGTCTCGCCTCTGTCCTCTGCCGTAGTAGGGATTCTGGTGCATCGAGGAAGAAGAAGTGCATGAGAGAATACCACGCGCGATCGCAGCCTTCTCTCAGAATGTCTCTGTGAGCTCGTTTCAAGGCTGAACATGTGATGATGAGATGGTGGTGTTGAGATTGCTGTCGATTATAGGCGGAGGCTTGCTCGTCGATTGCCTCAAACCAGCCTTGGCGGTCCGCGTCTGTCAATGGCTCTCCTCTATGCATTTTGTCGATATTGGCTTTTGGGTGAAGCTGCCAATGATGTTAGCATCGGGAATTCCCATAGTTTAGAATCATCGCAATGAGTCGTACATCGTCGCCCTCTAAGAAATGAGCTCCTAACTTGGAAGCGAGAAACTTTGCGACTGAAGATTTGCCAGAGCCTGTGGGGCCTGAGACAAATAGAATCCACGAGGGCTCCTTTACAGAGCCTTGGTCGCTGCCATTAAGGGAAGACATGATGGCACCATTAGAGTCGAATGAAGCAGTCATTGTCCCAATTGACATGGTGAGGTTGGTTGAGGAAGTTGGCCATGCTGCTATCTAAGACGGACTCTATGGTGAATCAGACAAGGCAATGACCGGCAATATTACACCCAACCTGCATATCATTTTTATGTAGCTAAATAAGCATCGTCGTATCAATTCTTACAGTTTGTTGATTCTATTTACTAACCGTAGCTATGGCGTAACAATGGGGCTCCTGCTGCTCAACATGACGTCAAGCTGCTTGCTCTTCCAACCCAAAAGGCGAAAATGGTCCAACATTGGTGCTAGAACGTTTCTGTATCCAGTTTCGTCGTTTCCAAATAGATTGGGTTTTGAAATGATCCAAATACGGTACCACATTGCATACTCAAGCGGGAATAAAAGAAAAACAGGGAACCAGAGACTTTTGCACACGCAAGAAAGTAAACATGTGCATACCAATACTGCAGATGATCCACATAATTCGTGCTCCTACTATGGTTTTGTGTGTGAATATTTAATTTGTATCCCTCTTTTGATTACCACTTGATACTCTACTTGAGTGCAATTGCTATTCTTAATGATCCCAATAGCTTGAACACAGGGAGCATGTAGTTTGCCCCTTCATGAGTTTCTAGTTCAAGTTTTATCAGCCGCTCCGTCATCCAGACCCAATAGAAATTGACTTGGGTACCACCCTTGGTAGGATCGAGTTTAGTTGGTGCGTTCGCTGTTTATCTAAAGGTCAGCGTGCCATCGGAGCGCTCTCCGAAACACCTATCACAAAGCCCCAAGATGACGGAACCCCCGAGTCTCAACTACTAGCCGCCGGCGTCCGGTTGGAAGATTACGGGGTATCGAGCTGTGAGTGGCCGATACTTCAAGGGTCCAAAGAGGGTTATCGAAAACAATTGTATCGGTTTTCTATGCGTATGAGCGCATGATTATGCTGACAGACGTTTCACTTATGTCGTTTTTACTGAATGAGATCTAGGATGCTTTCAAGTATCATCAGCCTGATGGACAAATGACTTGGATAATGCGGCCAGTGCGTCACTTGTCTTTATAAATCAAGCTTCCAGTCCACTGTTGGCTATCATCAATCGCATTGGAGAGTGCGAATAACATAAATCTCAAAAATAGGTGTCGTATTTAATAGTAGCTTCGCTATTGTAATAAAGCCACAGCAATTGACAGATTTGTGTTGAAATCTCTAGTCAAGCATACAAGTCCGCTTATACATGCCTACATACCTAATCGACAACAATACATCGCATGTATTCATAACAATCATTGTTATGTCCCAAACTGCCTTAAAGGTAGAAACGGAACCAGATCCAATTCAAATTTCAGGAAACGCCAGACCACTGAGCATTGCACAGTTGAATATAGAGGCTGCCTCGGGCGGCTATCTCACGCGCAATAGCAGCATCTTGAGCGAGAGCGACACCATGTGCCCTCATGATTGGTATTTATACCAGGGATGGATCCCTACAGAAGATGAATCGCTTCAGTTTGGAAATTCATACAATTTTAGCCCTTGGATACCGAGTATCTCACAAGAGGCTTCAGAAACACAGGAGAAGTTATCCTGGACGGATCCTGGCTTTGCTAGCGACATGCTAGACAGCTCGTTATGGCTGACCGCATCATTGCTGGAAGACACAACCGACAACCAGCTCAAACCCCTCTACGAATGCAACGAGGAATCATCAACAGTCTCTGATGAGAAAGAAACTCACGACGCGGCTATGGAAGATGGCGATAGTACAAGGCGAGAAGGAAGCATTTCTGATGATCAGCAAGCTACTGATGGAGAAGAACAAAGGCGCTTGCGACGCATAATCCGAAACCTGGAACAGTTCGAAAGCGAACAGAAAAGATATGGGAAGCAGCAGCTGAGGGCAATCAAAGATGGCCGAGCTTAGTATAGGGTTCTTTAAATGGCACTGAAATAGGTTGTAAAAAGGGATTGAAGCGATGCTGGTAGCGTGCATTAGTAGACGGCATTTCGGTATGACTTTTAGGAGGAAAAGGGAACACTTCACGTTTCCATAGCTTGAACTTGACTTGCTTCACTGGCGTTGGGAATGTTCGAGAACAAACAGCGCAGTCTAAGTGAATCCCATTCGAAGAAGCTTATAATGAAGCGAGGATCTAGAATGGGAATATTGAGCGTCTATCGATCCAATGCCGAACTCTTTAACTGGCGATGCTTAGAACGCGATGCTGCAGAAGTGAGGCCATTGACAATGGCAATCTTCAGATCAGATATCCTACAAACTGAGCGTCAGGAAGAGAATCGGCCGTCTTTAAAAAGAGCAGTAACCCCGTCTCTCCGCTTCGCTCTAATGAGGCAATGTGGAAAGTCGTGCACGTCAGTGTCTGAACTTTCGCCGCAACTTGCGTCATCTACAAAGTCTGAAATTGGGTTTTGCAATATGACTAATGGTCTTGAGCGTGCACTAGATATAAAGGACATGCAAGTATATTTCAACATACGGATAGCAACACTCCTGTCCAGAAGATAATCAATCATTCAATTACACATCATCTTCGGCAAACAACCTCGAAATGTCCAGACAGAGACTCACAATGGTGGCGCTCGCCGGTGTAGGAGTCATCGGCGCCACAATGTTTTTCCCACGAAAAGCCAACCCTCAGAATGATGTTCAAGAGAGGAGGAATAAAGCACAAGATGCTCGCGACCTCGGGCTCGGCAGCGCAGGCGTAGGAGGAAACAAAACGACTGGCGGTCCGAGCGATTCGACAACTCCATCAGGACCCGATAAAGATCCAAGATACCGTGAAGTCGACACGGGAGACTCGAAACAGTATCTACCTGCTGGTGGCGTCAGCACCGGAAGGGGAGGTGGAGGCTCGACTGCCAGCGCGTCGGAAAAGCTAGGATTCAAAGGTTCCATCTTGGGCGTTGCTGGAGCGAAAACTGCCAGCCGGAGCGATCAAGAAGGATATCACGACACGAGAGGCATCAGCAGGATGGGCTCAGAAGTGCCCTCAAAGAAACACTCTGATGTTAAGGAGTAGTCCAGAGGGGGTAGAGGCGTTTTTTTGGAAAGAAAAAGAGGGAATCAGGACGATGCCAAAATAATTTCTCTCGTGGCCTTCATGTGTTGATATCAGTTTAATATGGTGGATATGTATTACAGTTGGCTCATGACACAGGCTGCAAATGAGCTACAATTAAGCATCCAAATGTTTCCCCCTACAACCTCACCAAATGTTATCGCAGTGCCCTTTTACTACATACCCACACCTAATCTAGACTTCGATACTTGTGCCAGTTCCGTGAGGGCAAGGCTGCTATCCTCGGGCTATAGCTCGCGGCTCAGTCGTAAAGGATCTGCACTAAATCTCCAACACCTCCGCAATCGCTAGCTTCATCATTTCTCTTTTCAACATTGAAATTCGAAATCCTTGTTAGCAATCTTATAACTGGTCCTTGGCGAATATTGTAGCTGCGCGTGGGTTAATAATGCAGATCTAGAGGCTTCAGTACATGTAGTTTCCGACAGCGACGTCACGACAAATAGATAAAGGTCGCTGGCTTATCTTGGGAAATTGAGTTGAGCAATAGACGACTTCGCTACAGCTCCAACTACGCGATTTTATGATTGAAAATAAAATACACATTATCATTGCGCTGCATAAGGACGGTACTCGTTAACCGAATGGTGACGTCTGCATATAGGTCGCTAATAGGCTGATGACGCCCGCCAAACGTCATGGATATGTCAACCAACCATACGTGTTATGCCTATCGAAGCATTCTGAGCCATTGCACGGCGACTCACGTCCGGAGAATAAACCGGCTAATGCACGCCAAGCTCGGAATGCGCAAATTGTATTAATATCGAGGTTGAGCTATGAAGCCCAGCACATCGTCGCCCAAACTGAGTTGAGAAAATATTCACAATTGAACCGTGAGTTGCAAGAGAAAAAATGGCTGGAGAAGTCATCGACCAACCGAATCCTCCGCCCACAACCAGCCATCTCCCAGCTGTAGTGGAACGCCTCGAGGTAAAACCGCCCAAGGCGTCGTTAAACAGCCATGATTTGTGTTCACTAAGAGAATTCCAACGGGCGGCGTGCTACATTGCTAGTGGTGAGTGAAGTGAAAGCAATCCGGCATAAGCCGCCATCCACATAGTGCTAACAGTCTTACAGCCATGATCTTTCTAAAAGACAATGTCCTTCTGGAACGAGACCTGCAACTCCAAGATGTGAAGCCACGGCTGTTGGGTGAATAACCTCATTTCAATGATTGAGCACTTGTTAACATTGTGTCAAGGACATTGGGGCACGTGTCCCGGGCTTATACTCATCTGGTCGCACTTGAATCTGCTCATCCGCGACAGCACCGTGGATATGCTATTCGTTATTGGGCCCGGTCATGGAGCCCCTGCGGCGTTGGCTTGCCTGTGGCTGGAAGGTTCACTGCAACGATTCTATCCAGACAAATACCAATTGGATAAAGAAGGATTGCGCAATCTTATCACAAAATTCTCTGTTCCTGGAGGATTTCCTAGGTATGCAATCCGGCAACGCGGGTGGAAATCGTTAAAGGCTAACATGCTCAAGCCACATCAACTCAGAGACTCCGGGCTGCATCCATGAAGGCGGCGAACTAGGCTATGCACTTTCAGTGTCTTTTGGTGCCGTAATGGATCATCCAGATCTGATAATCACATGTGTCGTGGGAGATGGCGAGGCCGAGACTGGCCCTACAGCAGCGTATGCATCACGCCAGGCCAATCTTGTTTGACCCATTCACTAACATGCAGCAGGGCATGGCATGCTATCAAATACCTCGACCCAGCAGAGTCCGGCGCAGTCATACCTATTCTTCACGTCAATGGCTTCAAAATCAGCGAGCGTACCATCTTTGGCTGCATGGACAACAAAGAGTTGACTCTGCTCTTTTCCGGTTATGGCTATCAGGTGTGCATCGTGGAAACGCTCGAAGACATCGACGCCGAGCTGCACACTGCGTTGTTTTGGGCTTTGGCCGAGATCAAGAAAATCCAGGGTGCAGCACGATCGGGTCATCCTGTTAGCAAGCCTCGATGGCCGATGATTGTTCTTCGGACTCCAAAGGGATGGACGGGCCCTCGGACGGTTGACGACCAGATAATTGAAGGCTCATTTCACGCGCATCAGGTCCCCTTGACAAAAGCCAACGAGTCTGAGGAGCACCTTCACATTCTGCAGGACTGGCTGAAGAGCTACGATGCGCACAAGGTATTGCCGGATGGGAAGCCATCTCACGATGTCCTGGACAACATACCACCAGAAGACGACAAGAAATTGGGCCAGGTCAAGTTTGCATACAACTGTTATCGCGGCCTAGATATGCCAGCTTGGGAGCCACACGCAACCAAGAAATCTGAGCAAGCCAGCAGCATGCAGCAATCGGGCAAGTTTCTCTACGATGTTGCAAAAAAGAACCCGAAAACCTTTCGCATATTCTCACCTGATGAGCTGGAGAGCAACAAACTCAGCGCCGTGTTGGACCAATCCGGCCGGAATTTCCAGTGGGATCAATACTCTCGCGCCTCAGGCGGCCGCGTGATCGAGATATTGTCAGAACATTGCTGTCAAGGCTTCCTGCAAGGATACACCTTGACGGGAAGAACCGCCATTTTCCCAAGCTACGAGTCGTTTCTGGGGATAATCCACACCATGATGATTCAGTATGCCAAGTTCTCAAAGATAGGCCGCAAGTTGTCGTGGCGAGGCGACCTCAGCTCCATCAACTACATCGAAACAAGCACATGGGCGCGACAAGAACACAATGGCTTTTCACATCAGAACCCGTCATTTATCGGCGCGGTGTTGAACTTGAAGGCTGACACGGCAAGGGTGTATTTACCTCCCGATGCGAATTGCTTCCTTAGCACTTTGGATCATTGCCTCAAGTCTAAAAACTATGTCAATTTGATGATTGGGTCCAAGCAGCCCATGCCAGTGTACCTCTCTGCTGAAGATGCAATCCAGCACTGCAAAAACGGCATCTCGGTATGGCGATTTGCAAGCACGTACAATGGCGAAGACCCAGACGTGATTCTCGTCGGGATTGGCGTTGAGGTGACGTTTGAGGTCATCAAGGCCGCAGAGCTTTTGTCCAAGCTTGTACCAGAGTTACGAATTCGAGTCATCAACGTTACCGACCTGTTAGTCCTGCCGGATGAATCGCATCACCCTCACGCCTTGAATACAAAAGACTTTGAAGCAATGTTCACATTGGACAAGCCCGTGTGTTTCAACTACCATAGCTATGCGACGGAATTGCAAGGACTGCTCTTTGGACGCCCGGCGTTGCATCGCATGACGGTGGAAGGCTACAACGAGGAGGGCAGTACCACTACGCCGTTTGATATGATGCTTGTCAATAGTGTTAGCCGTTTCCATGTCGCTTCGAGAGCTCTCAAAGCTTCAGCTCAGCACAATGATGGAATTAGAGACAAGTTGAGTACGCTGCTAAACGAGATCAACGAGGACATGGCGAGGATCAAAGACTACATCACAGAAAATGGAAAAGGTGAGTTTCGTATTGAGTTTGCAACAACAACAAGAAGAAGAAGAATATTCTAATGTATTTCTTAGATCCAGATGATGTTTATGAGCTAAAGTTCATCGGACACAACGCTTAGAAGGGATATGCATTATTACATAGCGACAAAACGGGCGAGGCGCGTTCATAGCATAGAAATTGAGATTACTCCGACTTCAAAGAATGTACGAATACAGCATATCACGCACTTATAAACTCGCATGAGCTCGGAATAGCTATAACTTGTGCGAATTTATTCATCAACATGCTTCAGTGCCTCTGGGTTGTGAGCAACGCCATGCCCATGCTGATCCGTGAAAACCACCTAAATCTGATCAGTTCTGTGTACTACGAGTATTGTAATTATTTTTGAAGATTGCCGTTCTGGATAGATACCTTTGGTGGATGCTTGACATTGGCCTCTTTTGCCTCTTCCTCTGTAGTCACAACCTGCTCTACTTCTCCTTCGCGTTTTCCGCCCCTAATGGGAGTCCAAACGTAGTCGCCCTCTTCAATTGGCTTTCCATCTTTGTCTTGAACCTTTGATGCCATTTTCGCCGCTTGATCTTCTTTAGTATGAATAAAAGACAACATTTCTAAGACAACAATAATAAATGCAATTGAACATGTATAAAATATACTTTATTATACAAACTAATTAATTATGGGCTTGTCGAGTATCTGTAGTGGTGTGACTAGAATCAATGACGTCGTTTTGACACCGGCTGCTTTCCCCCATATATCGACTTCGCCGTCATACATATTCGCAAACACCTAACGTTTATGTCATATTACGGTAATACCAAGCTTAGAAAATGTAGCGAAAAAATAAGATTTATATAAGATGTTGATCTCTTGTACCAATTGCGCCAGATCTTGGGCAAATTTCCAGAGTTCTTCCCTATCGCACAACTCAAGAGTTAGTAAAACATGGCAGCTTCAGAAGCAGCTTATTTCGCTGAAAAGATCATCGGTCACGATGACAATGCCATCACGGAGCAAGATGTCTCCGACTACCAAGAAATTGGAGCGGCGACAACCATGAAAGCGCTGGTTTGGAGAGGGAAGAATAAGGTTGAAATTGGTTAGTGGATTCTTCTCAGTCATATGTGGCAAATCTTCCAGTATGCTTACAGTTTCTCTCAGCCGACGTCCCTAAGCCCCAAATCTTGGAAGACACCGACGTGATTCTCAAAGTAACTGGTTCTACCGTCTGCGGCTCTGATTTACATCTCTACCATGGCGTTGTTGTACAACTCGCAGATGGCGACATCCTCGGGCACGAGTTTTGCGGAGTTGTAGAGGAAGTTGGTCCGGCTATCAACAAGGTCCAAGTTGGGAAGAGATATGTCGCTTCTTTCCAGATCGCGTGCGGAGACTGCTTCTTCTGCAAACAGAAGCTGTCGTCGCAGTGCGAAAAGACAAACTCGAATACGGCTGCGAAGAGCCTCTATGGTGGAAGGACAGCAGGCATCTTTGGGTACTCGCATCTTACGGGCGGATTTGCTGGAGGCCAGGCAGAGTATGTGCGTGTTCCGCTGGCTGATGTGAATTTGCTGGAAATTCCTGATGATGTTCCAGATGAGAAGGGTAAGCTTGTTCAACATCAAACAATTACGGCACTTGTAGCTAACATATTACATAGCTCTATATCTGTCTGATGTTCTCTGCACCTCTTACCATGCTGTTAAAGACACCGCGGTCTATCAAGGCGACGAAGTAGCCATCTTCGGGGCAGGTCCTATTGGACAAATGGCGGGCGTCTTTGCCCTCGAAGAGGGAGCATCCAAAATCATATTCGTTGATACCGAGCCACGTCTCACTCTTGTTAAACAGCACTTCCCCGCCGAACACAGCAACAAGCTTGTCTTGCTTGACTATAAGAAGCTATCATCTGGTATCACCTCCAAAGAGACTGTTGTCAGCAAACTAAAGGAGATCTGCGGCGGACGAGGTCCAGACGTCGCTATTGAGTGCGCCGCGGGCGAATATGCCAAAGGCTGGATGCACTGGTTGGAAATGGCTGTCGGTGCCGAGACTGACACCAGCGAGATTCTCAATGAAATGATTGAGGGAGTTCGCAACTATGGCCGCTGCGGCATCACTGGAGTTTATGTCGCATACGTATGTACACGTCCTGCTATTTTTCTGAAATTGTCATGAGCTAATGGGATTTATTCAGACAAACCATTTCAACGTTGGCTCGCTCATGCAGCGAGGCATTCGACTTATTGGGAACGGCCAAGCACCGGTGCACAAATACTGGGACGAGTTGCTTGTAAAGATTCAGAAAGGCGAGCTTAACCCAATGCAGATGGTTTCTCATAGAGTGAGGCTCGAGGATCTCGACATAGTATATGCAAAGTTTGATGCAAAGGAGGATGGTATGCAAAAGGTCTTCGTTGAGACTAAACACTCTTTGCCCAAGTCTTCCGAATCTCCTGAAGTAACTAGGTATTAAAAACGTTTGACGGCTTTATTCTTTTACTATTGGCTTTCTTAACCCTACTTTATACTTTCATGTTCATCAAAGTGAAAGTTATCCAGCATCCTAAATCTGTTATTTAGCAATCCATATGTAGCCTACGTAGGCTATAGCTATTACTATTACTCCTCTACTATTGCTACTATTGCTACTATTGCTACTATTGCTACTATTGCTACTATTGCTACTATTGCTACTATTGCTACTATTGCTACTATTGCTACTATTGCTACTATTGCTATAAATCCTAACAGACGTCAGTTGACTCAGAGAGCGCCAAGACATCATTTGGCAGCTGGTCAATGGCTGAGCAGATCTTCTTGAAATGTTCCGGCATCCAGACGTCATATATATTTTTGGTAAACCGGTACGCGGTCCACTTGTCTTTTCCGTCCAGTGTTGTAAAGTCGAAACTGTGAATCGGGTGGCGATGGTATTTGGTTTCTGCTCCATTAATAACTGGATAGTAGCCGTATATCCTAACTGAGCAATGGTCGTGTGAGATGGAAAAGGAAAGTATCTGGCTGTTAATCTCGTCCTCGCGCTTCACAAGACGGAAGAGTTCGACGATGCCCCTTGCGGCCAGCGCCATGGTATGAGCGTTCTGGCGGTCCGCAACATCCAGCGCGGTGGCACTGCACTTGACCTCGCAGGCAAGGAATGGGAAGTACATGTAGTACGTGGCCATGAAAAGGGACAGGTCGTCAGCGATGAAGTCGCCAATAAACGGCGACAACTTGGCGAGCTGGTCATCGGTAAAGGCCTCTCGCCGAAACCCGACGGAATAGTCTGGCTGTGGGCGCGTCCCGGTTAGGGGAATCGAGTTGTTCCACCCTTCATTGACACTTTCCATGAGGTTTTCAAGATGTGTAGCGCCCAGTGTAGCCAAGTTTTCGGCTGAAGGGACGATTAGCCGAGAAATATCTTGAATAACCCGCTCCTCATTTCTATTGCGAAGCTTTTGGCATGCTGATTCGAAGCTCTCGTCGCGAAAGAGTGAGCCCTCGGGGACAGGCTGTTTCTTTTCAAGGAGGCTGTCGCAAAGCGTTTTGCTTTCGGCAGTAATGTCTAGTTTTGATTTGGCCATGAGAACCCCCTTGGCCGCAAGTAACGCCTGATAACGCGGATCTCGGTATTGCGCACTCTTTTCCTCCCGCTGCTGCTGGTCGCTTGGCGTCGCAGACGAGGCAGAATCCGACGGCTTGCGTTCAAGTGGGAATAAGAATCGTTTCCGCGCCAGCGCGCGCTCCATGTCGGTCCCAAAGAATTCGCGCGGCCAGTGACCTTCTCTAGCCCAGAACCCGATGGGATGAACAGACCTTTGATCCGCCACTTGGTCGGGTCTGCCCTCGGAACTGGACAGCGGTCGTCGTGGTCGCTTTGCAGGAGGTTGAGTTGCGGCATCGTGAGAATCTTCAGTGCCCGTTCCCCGTTCCTCCGCAGTGCAAGCCCGTTGCGCGGCTCGAGTTTCGATCATGGGTCCCGACATTTGTGCATGTCGTGCGCCGGACAACCATCAGAAAATATCGGCAGACGCTATACGCTGCAATTGTTTGACGGAGATACGGTGGGAAAAGACAAAAGGATAAGACGATGGGTGGGAAGGCGTCAGTATGCAGTAGTCTGTGCCATTACACGGCTGGCACAGGACGGAGAGAAGTTGAAGTGGATGCTGCGAAATGTAAGACAGTTGCGCTGTTAGCTGCGTATTGCGCTAAGCCAGCGGCCGTTCCCACTGTTACCCAGCCGCGGAAGCGCTAATTGCTGATCGCCAGGCGCTACTGATGCTACTGACTTCTGGCCACTTACTGTACTACAAGCTAAAGAAAACGAGCTGTTGGGGGTATCTTTGTAATGTTTCAGTAGACAAAACTATAAAGAGACAACACAGCACGTAGATACAATAACACTTTACACAGTTTTCTAAAAAATGACAGATTATGGATTACACATTAGGAAAAAAAAAGTCATGAATCCCGGAATCTTCGTAGCTCATTCCCAATGGGTTGTAGCTCCTGACGTCTTCTTGCTTGTTGTGCTTGTTCCTGATGATGATGAAGTGGTCGTTGCCACATTGTTTGTCGGTAGGAGATACACAATTATCGTTATTTGGCCATTCTTCGATGTATATATTCAACGCGGAATTCGAAAGTAGATGGCAGTATTCTAGGAATGGGAGCCAAGGTGAAACACTCGTTTTGCCCTGATATTACAATGTTACATGGTATCAATTCGACGAGGCTATTAGAACCCCCGCTTCAAAGCGAGAGAAATCCTTCAGGACAAAGGGCACGTGGACCAGATGGTGTGACCAAGACTGGATGCCTCACAAGAGGAATGTGTAAATAGTCTTTGCTCGAGAAAATCGGGCGCGAGGGAGACGTTTCTTAGTCAAACTTGAGTCTTCCCTTGATAAAGTACACGCATGGAAGATTGTTAGCATATCCCAAAAGCGTATTGTTCATCATTGATGTGCATCATAAAAGTGGGAGGTACGAACAAATAGATCGATAGGATTAGGTTGAAAAGGAGGGAGTCCGCAGCATAAGGACATGTTACGTACCTTTTATGGGGAATATTAGAAATTTATGAGTTCTGGCAGCCGAGATGCTTTATATGAAGCAAAGTCATCTTGTCCCCAAACGACCGAAAGAGGCAGCTATACTCAAATTTTCTGAAGACGCGTACCCCGCTTACATGTGTGTTCTGTTTTCAGCTCTTGATTTCAGCCAATCAGTAGACACCGCATATCTCCCAGCCTTACTGCACTATTGGGCATCGAGAATGCCTCGGCGTACTTGTCAGAATCGACACTTTTACAACCTCACACCGAGTAGAGCATCGAAACAAGGATGGCACAGCCACTTTCGCCCCTTGGCGAGGCTGCAAATAGCCAGACTGCAAACAATCAGTTTCGCGATGGGGCTAGGATACACCAGGGACACAACAATACCACGTTAAATTTCAATCTGACCCACCGACCGACCCGAGCCGCCATTCGTCTCATCCCATATCCACGCAACGAGGATCTTATCCATCGTCCGGATCTCGTGGATAAGCTCAATACACTTCTGCCATACCCATCAGCAATATCCCACAGTGCTGCGCTCTGGGGTCTGGGCGGCTCTGGGTAAGTCCAGATTCTCATTCGTTGAATCACTGAAAAAGGCGTAGAGCTAATTGGCTCAGAAAAACACAAATCGCACTCAACTATGCATACCAGCGGTGCGCTGACCCCAGTTGCTCTGTCTTATGGGTGCACGCCGATACCGAGGCAACATTTTCCCAAGATTATAAAACAATTGCGCGAAAGCTTCAAATCAATACAAGCCTGAGCGACCAAGATCTCCTTGAGGCTGTGCGCAACGGTATCGAGGCACTGCCCAACTGGGTACTTATTGTCGACAACGCCGACGACTTAAAGTTATTCGGCGTTGGGCAAACTTCTGAACAAAGAAAGTCTCTACTTCAGTACATACCTCAGGCCTCGACCGGCACGGTGTTATGGACCACTCGCGATGCCCATATTACGGGAACGCTTGTAGGTCATAGAAGCGGCATTGAAGTTGCACAAATGAGTTTTGCTGAGGCAAAACAGCTTTTGATGACATTCGAGAGCTTAAAATCAAGCAGAGAAGAAGCCGAGATTGATTCTTTAGTGAAGGAGCTACAGTTACTTCCATTGGCCATTATGCAAGCCGGAGTATATATGCATCGGACATCAACAACACCTAAAGAGTACTTGTCTCTGCTAGCACAAAACAAGAAAAGATGGAGTACACTAAAGATCGACGAGTTTAACAGGCATCGCAGGCCCAATGTGCCCAATAATGTGCTTGAAACGTGGACCATATCGATTACTCGCATCAAACAAGAGAGCGAAACGACTTACAAAATTATTCATGTCATCGCATACGTTAGCAACGAAAACATTCCAAATGAGATGATAACAACTGCACTCAGCCACATTGACAAAAACCTTGTGAACAATCCAGAGTTATTAGAAGCTGAAGCTACAAAGGCCATCACACGCCTGAAAGAATTCTCTTTTATTGGCATACGTCAAGCGGAAGACGGCAGCAGAAACTACGAGATGCATAAACTCGTACAGGAGGCTATCCGATATGGCCTGAGTATGAGGAAGCCAAGCACTATCACCGAAATTGATGTCTCCGACAGCAATGACTCTACAGAGAAGAGACAGACGCAAAGAAGCCGGCACAAACTTTTACAAAAGTTAAAGAATTTCGCGAAGCGCAAATCTGTCGAATTGAGAATTGTTAGTGTCGAAGAAAGCGAGAAATATTTCTCGACGATTGCTCTGCAAGCTACATCCGATCTTTTTCCTGAATCACAACCAGATACTTGGAAACAATGTGAGAAGTATTTAGCACATGTATTGCAAGTCGGAGAGTGGGCAGATGCAAACGAGAAGCAGATTGAGACGGCAGAGCTACTCTATGAAGCATCTTGTTTTCTCTATGACCGCGGGCGGTGGAGTGAGCGTGAGCATGTGGATGAAAGGGTACTACAATATAGGCAGAAAACGTTAGGAGATACCCATCCAGATACAATCAACGCTATAGCATCCCTTGCTACAACATATCATGAACAAGGCCGGTATAGCGAGTCAGAGCCTCTTAAAATTCAAGTACTAGATGACCGACGAGAGATTCTTGGAAACAGGCATCCAGATACCATCCGAGCTATAGCAAATCTTGCTACAACATATTATAAACAAGGCCGGTATAGCGAGGCAGAGCGTCTTGAAGTTCAAGTACTAGATGACCGACGAGAGATTCTTGGAGACAGGCATCCAGATACAAGCCGAGCTATAGCAAATCTTGCATCAACATATCATGAACAAGGCCTGTATAGCGAGGCAGAGCGTCTTAATGTTCAAGTACTGGATAACCAACGAGAGATTCTTGGAGACAGGCATCCAGATACAATTCAAGCTATAGCAAATCTTGCATCAACATATCATAAACAAGGCCGGCATAGCGAGGCAGAGCGTCTTAGAGTTCAAGTGCTGGGTAGCCAACGGGAGATTCTTGGAGACAGGCATCCAGATACAATCCGAGCTATAGCAAATCTTGCAGCAACATATTATGAACAAGGCCGATATAGCGAGGCAGAGCGTCTTAGAGTTCAAGTGCTGGGTAGCCAACGGGAGATTCTTGGAGACAGGCATCCAGATACAATCCGAGCTATAGCAAATCTTGCAGTATCATATTATAAACAAGGCCGGTATAGCGAGGCAGAGCCTCTTGAAGTTCAAGTACTGGATAGCCGACGAGATATTCTTGGAGACAAGCATCCAGATACAACCCAAAGTATGCACAACCTTGCCTGGACTTGGTATGAGATGAGCCGCTTTGAGGATGCAATCGCGTTGATGCAGCAGGCTTTAGACTATCGCCGCTCTATATTAGGGCCAAATCATCCCGACACAAACTACTCTGCCGAGGATCTTCAATATTTTAAATTTTATCCGAAACGCTAGAATACAAAGCATTACTGACGGCTTCGGCTTTGCTATCTCTTGTTGAGGGGGTAGAAGAAGTTTTATGGAAACGAATAAATTCGGGCGCATAGCACTAAGTGATCTCAGTCACTCTGACCAGATTTCGTATAATAGAATCAGAGGAATCGCTACATGTGTCCAACTGATGTTTGAAGAGGACGACGGTTTCGAGACGAAATGGGGTGGCAATTTAGCGCTATAGTGAGAAAGTCGGGTCCCTTTTCTCTATTGTAATCACTTTACTGTCTGAGAAATACGTGTATAAGCTAATGAAACATGGACTAGTTGCTACTGTCGTGAAAAAGAAACACCGAGAAAAAAGCAACACAAAGACCTCTCTCATATCCTGTACCCGTAAAGTATGAACATGCTTGACTGCTTGTACCAATGGCGACCTATAGGTTTTACTGAATTAATGTCCAGCAAGAACCGGATTCTTTATTGCAACCGTAGTATTGAACAGAATTACTCAATTATATTTAATAGAATCTCTCCATTTGTTTTGTGTTGAATCTTCAAGAGTATAGTGGCAGCGACTTCCGTAATGAGACTTGAAGCTCCAACTATCTCATACATGCTGTATATATCCGTATCCTAGGAGACGACCATTCTTCCCGGCTCTAGCTCTCCGCATGACTCATGACTCATGGCCAACCCCACAGCGTCAGCATCCTTCAGCTTACGAACCAATCGCTTCGTCAACATCACATATAAGCCAAAAATAAAGTGACAGCATTCAGTGAAGTAGCTGAATAACTCAATCGTTCGATGCGTCCATCTCTGCCCATTGGGCAAAGCTCTGTTCTCTTTGAACACAAGATACCGCTCTTCGGGGCCTTCACTTTTTGCACCTTTGTTCGAACCTCCCTCGTTTCATCATTTTTTTTGGCTTGTGTTTCTCTCAAGCACATCATTTCAATGGTATACCTCGTTACTTTTACTACAGCTGGGTACCTTTTCTCTTTGGTATCACTTCTCTGTTGGAAATTACGTGTATGAGGTGTTGAAGCGTGAACTTTCTGCCATTCTCATAGATTCATGCTCATAGAAAGAAAAACAAGACACCCCTCGTTTCCTTTTTATTCAACTCATAAACGTGTCTGTACCAATAGCCACTTGTAAGATTTGTTGAAGTAGTATTTACCATTATTTATTTATTTAGTTCAACATAGCCATCCATATACATGCAATACAATCTTTCCATTCGTTTTGTACCAAGTCTTCACGAGAGATAAAGTACATGCCTCAGCCATCTTGTGCATGCTGTACATGAGCATATCCTGAGCTCCAGCACTAGCTCCAACTCCCCGCATGACTCACACAGCCAACCCCACAGCGTCAGCATCCTCGCTTCGTCAACATGCCTTATAAGCCAAAAATAAACTGATCACATTCAGTGAAGTAGCTGAAATAACTCATCAGTAAATGATTAGCCTTCTCTGTGCTCGCACAAAGAAGATCAATATACTGCTCTTCGGAGCCTTCACTTTTTGCACCTTTGTTCGAATCTCCCTTGTTTCCCTTTTGTTTTTGTTTTTTTGGTTTTGCTATTTCTTTTTCTCCTAGGTGGACATACCATTGCCGCAGTTCAAGAACGTATCCACGTATCGCTACAGCAGCAAGCTACGATATACCGTCACACGAAGCTTTCGTCATCACGACATATAAGCCAAAAATAAACTGGTCACATTCAGTGAAGTAGCTGTAATAATCCATCAGTCATTGAGTAGCCTCTCTGTACTAAGAGATCAATACACTGCTCTTCGGAGCCTTCACTTTTTGCCCCTCCGCTCGAATCTCGCTCGTTTCCCTTTTTTTTTTTTTTTTTTTGCTCTGTGACTATCATCGAATGCAGCAAGTTCCTCGTCCAAGCTGTTGCTTTCACGTCATCGTTCATATTTTCCTTGTATTCTCTTTTTGTATTTTGTTTCAGGGCCTTTTCATTTTTTTTTTCTTCTGAGCTTACATACCATTGCCGCAGTTGGAGAACGTACTCATGTCTTAGTATAGATCGCGCATGAAGCTCTTTCATACCCTACACAAAACCTCCCTATTGACCAATACTGCTCTATTCGTATTACAGTTGGATTCAAGCCATCTTATTCTGCTCTTTTTTACTCGACATCACTTCATTTAAACAAAACTAAGCGTAGTCTACTCCAACACCGTAATTACTATTCATGTCGTATTTTGCTCTTCTTACATTTTACATCTTCGGAGCCGGCACGCCCATCAGCATATGTCAACTCTTACAAAGGCAAACCAGAATGAGCATGCATTGTCTTTCCAGGATGTACAAGCTATTTCAGAATTTTAGGTATTATTTCTTCCAAGATTTCTTGTGAATAAGCTTATTACTGCCGCGGCTACTCGTCTCTCTCGTGCTGGTACGGAGTATATCCGCCTATATATGTAATGGTATCTTGCCATATGTCTCAATCAGCAATAACTAAACAGCTCCTGTACTCGTTCCAGCTTCATCACCAATTCAACCAGGGAACAGCTTCTCAAAATCACAGACCCCCTAGAATCCATGAATCTGAATCCATCCCATAAACACAACCATCCAAAACCTTCGGTGTGACTAACTCACTCACCAAAGCCACAGCCACCGCCCCACCAAAAAAAACTCACCCACTCATCATCCCTCTCCACCCCTTCTACAACAAACCCCTTTATAAGTCAAAGTAAAATAGATATACTTTCAGTGAAGTAGCCGCAAAACAGTTATTGGGAAAACACTGCTTGCTCTCCGTACGGGGAGCCTTCACTTTTTGACTCTTTTTGTGGTCCTGCGTTCGAAAATCTCTTGCTGCCCTTTTTTTGGCGTATATTTTTGGCGGTACTTTTGCTTGTCTTTGTTAGCCACTTTGCTGCAATAACTGCTGTACATATAGAATGATAGCAATCTATAGGGCGCGCCTTAAACGTAGGGAATTACTTATGGTTCCTATCTTCTCTATATTTGATCAAAGCTGTCGCTATACGTTGGACTCTCCCTAATACGCGGCACGTCTCCTGTCTGATCCCATCCAATCACAAGCAATTCATACACAAGGCATTCTAGCACAAAATACAGAATTGGCAACAGTCACTAGCCAATGGCTTCTTATCCAAAGCAATTGAACATTAATTTCACATCTCACACTTCATTCAAGCAAATAAATTGGTCTCAATGTCTTTCAATTCATTCTATCCAGTCCGCCATTGGAATACATCTATCCCAGAATGCACTTCAAGTGCCCTTCCTTTTCTGACGTAGGGCTCAAAACCAAATCCTGACCACGCCGTTCCCAAAAATAAAACCAAAAATGATGACTTTGGTACTAAAAATCACACAAGGAAATAGAAATTCTCATCCGCTGCTATTGGCAAGCACCCTAAAAATCTCCAAAACGACTAGAGTTTATATAGGACAAAGACGGGATGAGAATTCAAAGTAAAGAAATGAAATGAAATATGAGACAAATCCACAGCATATTCCACGTATATATACACGCATCAATCATAATATGTTCAAATATTTGAAGTGCTTGCAGTAGCAAATACGGTCCGAGTCACGACTACCGTCTTCTCGGGACCACATCCCAGCAACGGCAGCGATTCAGTCGACGTGGGAAAAGTGAAAGTTCCAGACAAGTTTGGCTTGCCCGGATTCTCAGCCACAGAGCTCGTCGACTCACTTTCATTGCCGGGATTCTTTTTAGGCCCGGGGGCAGCAGCCACTGCATCTTCGTCGCCCTTCTATGACGTCTCATATGAAATGGCAGTGCCGCAGAAAGTGTTGCGGTTGTCCCTGTCGAAAACAACCTGCTGGCCGTTAAGGTTGACCATGCTGACACTGGCCTTGGTGCTGATACCAAAGAGCTTGACGGATGAGCTCTGGATGTCAATCATGTTGTCCTGGCAGTTGTTGGCGTCGACACAGTCCTGGCCGTAGTTGTTGAAGAAGCTGTACATGCCAGTGCCGTAGATGAACGTGTTGCTGGAGTTTACCACACGGATACCCCAGGTACGAGCGCAGGTGGCAGAAGTGCACTTGGAAAAGTCAGGGTCAGCAAACTGGGAGTTGAAGGTGAAAGGAACTCGGGCGTCAGGGTTGCCCTGCATGTAGGCGGTTTCAGTCTGGAGGATGCTGCTGTAAACATTCTGAGCGCTGTTGAAGTTGTAGTTGTAGAGCTGGTTGTGCTCGGAAGCGGTGCCCCAGAGCCAGGCACCCTTGGTGCTCTCAAGCAAAAGTCCACGGCCGTTGTAAATGTTGACCTGGTTGTGGTCAGAGAGATCAAGCTCGTGATCAGCGACCCAGAGCCAAGCGTTCTCCATGTAGATGCTAGCAGAAGAGGTGACGTGCAGAAGCAAGAAAGCGCCAAAGCAAGCCGAGTTGGGAGAAGTCGTCTGGTTGGGAGTCTTGGTGCAAGTGTTGGACTGCAGCTGAGTGCCAGCAGAGCCGCCAATACGCCAGTGGACGTCCCACAGGCCGGCAGAGCCCTGAGAAGCGCCAGCAACGTTCCATTCGACAATGATGGCACCGGGCTGGGGGCCGATGGTCTCGAACATGAGGTCTTGAATCTCAACATTGCCAGTATCGCCGGGCTGGCCAATCTGCCAGACGGGCTTGGGGTTGTTCATGTCCTTGAACTTGGAACCACCAACCATGATGAGAGGCCAGATCTCACCAACAATCTTGATGTTGGCGGGAACCTTGATGGTATCGGTGATGACATAGGCACCGTGGTCAAAGTAGACGACCTGGCCAGAGGTGGCGCTGTTGAAGATGGCCTGGATGGCAGCAGTGTCGTCAGTGGAACCGTCACCCTTGGCGCCGTGAGCCTTGACGGACACAAAGTTGCCGGCAGCGACTGTCTCGTACTGAGGCTTGCTCTTGGTGAAGACCTTACCACCGGTAGTCAAGGCAGCGGGCTTGCCGACGGCGGCACGAGTGCCCTGAACAGCCTTTCCGGCGGCGGTGCCAGTGTAGGCGCGACCCTGGGACCATGAAGCAAAAGTAGCACCGCCATTGAGAATGGTGGCACCGCCGGTGCTCTTGACAGCGATGGGGGTGTTGGAAGTCATATCTACGTTATCCAGGACGAGGGATCCAGCGGTGCCGTTCTGGCCAGTGCTGTATCCGGTAAGCACACCGACCTTTGTGTTGGAGATTTTGGAGTCGGAGAGCAAGATGGAGCCGACACCGCTCTGGCTCATGTCAATACCGACGTTGGCGTTGTTGATGGTCAGGCCTTGGAAGCTCCACAGCCAGTTCCAGTTCATGTAGATGGCGGTCTGGCAGCCGTTGAAGACGAGGTTGCGGCTGGTGAACTGCTGGTTGCCGACCCACATGCCCAAGGCACCACCGTTGAAGGTGAGGTCGCTCATCCAGCCTCCAGAGCCATCCTCCATCCAGATACCCTGCTGCTTGTTGTTGGAGGAGGTGTCGGTGTTCATGTTGAAAACAACGTTCTGAATCGAGGTAGCCTGAGCGACCTGCCAGTGAATACCGGTACCAGTGGACTCTGGCTGTCCAGTCAGGTCAATCTTGAAGTTGCGAATCTGGCGGAAGAAGTTGTTCTGGGGAGTGGTTCGGAAGGGGTTGGAGTCAATGACGGCAATACCGGCGAAGTTGGCGGAAGCCTTGAGCGTAGGGAGGTTGGTGGCATCACCAATAAGCTGGGTGTAGTACCAAAGCTGAATGGGCGCTGAGACGAGGTAGGTGCCGGGAGGGAAGTAAACGATGGCTGGCGTAGTGGTGGAAGAGTCGCAGCCGCTACCGCATCGGTTTCCAGCGCTAATAGCAGCGTTGATGGCTGCAGTGTCATCGTGGACACCATCGCCCACGGCTCCATAGGTTTGCACGTTGCGATAGACTGGGTAGCCGGAAGCACTTGAGAAGGGCACATTGCCGTTTCGCGCAATGTTGGGAAGCCACCAGCTTGTCGCAGCAGCGGCCTCGACCACAGCCTTGGTATCGGCAGCCGGGGCTGGTGCAGCAAGAGAAGGCGCCGCGAATAGACGCAAGGCCAGGAGAGAGGCCGTCAAGACGGTTGAGAGACCCATCATGACTAGGAAACAGTTGATTGCCGCTCTTCTGCGATTCGCGTTTCGAGGATGATGTGTATCTTGTTGACTGGGTAAAGGCTATGCGAGAGAAGCAGAGTTAGTAAAGTGTTCAAACAAACGGAGAATTGCCATTCTCCAGGCTTTTATATGTATGAATTGCACAATTGAAAGCGTGATGTCGTGAAGAGGGGAAATATATATGTGCGCTTTGTGTCGAGGGGAAAGGGGGGAGTTGTGAGACGGGAACCATTGAAGAATGGACTGACTCTGAATATCCTCTCCCTCACAAGCTTCAAGCTCGAAGCTTTACTATCACAGTGGATATGCGCAAGACAGCTGCCAATGCGCAGGGAGGAACACAACGATGATGAGAAGAGGTGTTGGTGAGAGGATTGTGAAAAGTGAGGCCGGACCAGGTCCTTTAATAGGCCGCGGCAGTGAATGGGAAAAGGCTGGCAAAAGAGCAGCACAGTAGTGAAGGAAGTGGTGAAGCATGGAGTGTTGAATCGACACCCCCCTTGGCCTTCAAACGCCCTCAAACCCCACCATCACGCGCCGATTGCTCTTTGCATGAGACCGAGAAGGAGGGCGAGGCCAAGGCGAGAAGACGCTATGCAGCTTCTTCTTTGGGCTCAAGCGCTGGCCGCCGTGACGAGGGTCATGAGGCATCCGCACACACACGTGAAGAGCGCGCACACAGCTTCTCCAACAAACGGCGGTTCTCAGCATCTGGCTCCAGAAACTTTTCTGGTGCCTCTCGGGCCGTACAAGTCGAGCAACAAGGGCCATCCACGCTCCATTCCGCTGCTCTCCACAGATGACACCTCCGCATGCATGCAGCGTTGTATGTAGTAACGTATGCAGTGACTTACCACGCCAAGATGATGATGCTGTTGTTGCGTACAGGTCGTGTACGGTAAATGCTGGTGGTAAAAGGCAGTTGTGGGCGGCGAAATGTCAGGCACTTGCTAGCACCGTCTTAATGCTGGTGAATCTAATCGACGGATCGTCTATCTCTCCTCTGATATATATGTCAGGGGGATGAGGAGACGAAGGGCCGAAAATGGAGTGGGCCGTTTATGCGATAGATGGAAGGTGATTTGACGCGAAAGTGAAGTTGCGAGAAACGTTTGTTCAAAACAAGATCAGACGAACAGAGCTGGCAACTGACGGCCAGTGGCGAAACGGGAACAGCTGCTCAACACAAACGAAACAAAAACGGAAAATAAACAGAAAAAGAAAACTCGAGCGCTTTTCAATTGACTTTCACAGATATGCCCTCACCCGTCTACTCAGCGAATGTTGATGAAACAAGATTGTTGAAAAGTCAATTGCAGCCCTATGGAGCAAGCGCGCCAACAAAACGCGTAGACAACGGAGATGGAGATAGGAAACCTGCCTTATATCGAGCGCCCATGCCAAAAATAGGCCAAGTTAGAGTCGGCATTGCGCGCGTAGGGCCGTGGTGGCCTCTTAATTATGGGCAGAAGCCTCTTCTCCTTGACCCTCCCTCTCTCCTTGTTCCGCACTGGTACGCGCGGCGGCAACTGTTGGACGGGAACGGCGAGCTGAACCAGGACCTCTGAGACAGCCAGGAGCCTAAGCCTCGCAACAGCTCATCAAAAGCAGAGACACAGTGGGCGGTGGAGAGCGGTGTTGCCACGAGAAGCGCTCCGTGTTTGGGTCTGGAAGCTATTCGCGAGCCTGCTGGGCATCGACGGCGCATTAGCCCGGAGTCTCTGGTCAGTCCTGGCATTTAGCGTAGCCGCCACCGCGGCGAGGTGGATACGCGGCTGGCCTCCAGGAACCCAGGGATGTCCATTGGCTGCCACCCTCTGTTTCAGCCAGCCTGGCCGTGGGATCTCGACATGGGTGGCCCAGCAGTAATGGGTTGATGCCAGGGGAACCGCGCTTCTTGGCCTGGCCAGCCCGTCGACAAGAGCCTCTGGAGCAGCTCCGACGCTGTCCATCTGCTACTCGGACGTCCGCAGAAGAGAGGGAAGAGCGAGAAAAAGCCGCCGAGCCAAGAGAGCGTGCCAAGCATGAAACGACGAGACTCCCCGAGTGAGGACGCAGCGCTGTTCTGTTTCAACCACCCGAAAACGAGATTGGGCGCCGCTCCCACATTCTAGTCGACGACTGATCGGCAAGAAACGCAGACTATTCCATCACTAGCCTGTGTATATTGCGCGCCAGAGCATCATACAGGCCGCCCCAACGGGCATCTCGTGCGTAAAAAGGGCCAGGCATTTTCAGAACCCCATGACGAGCCGCATAAACTCTCCCGTCCCGGCGTCGATCTGGAGCTGGTGGCACGGCCGCCGCAAAACTTTTTTGCTCGTATTCTGGTGATCGACTCTCTGGCGGCGGGACAGGAAATCTGGTTGTCGCATCCAATCCTGGCATCGATCATGTCTTCCATGGTGGAACAGGACAGAGAGCAGCGTCTGCCTCTGCCTCTGCTCTCCGCCCGGATCGGGAGATGAGCCACTAGGCTAAAAGGTTAGCGCCGCACCGCTGGAATTACGCCTCTGCCCCTGGGCTAGCAGGCTCTGGAAGGGTTATTCAGCACTAGCCACAGCACCTACATCATTAAGGGGATCAGGGCGATGGCGGCAGTGACGGGTGCTCTCCGCGCGCTGTACTTGTACAACGCAGTCGGCGTTCTCAGGCTTTGTAGAAGCGCCAATGTCGAGGTGCTGGTGTACTGGTACTGCCAGGCACCCCCAGCCAGCCGTAGATAAGTCTCCGACCATCGTGAAGCAGCTACACCTTGAACCTTGAATTTACACATGAAATGCTTCTTTTAGCCCTGTCTGCGAGCGTTCATATCGAACCACAAATATGATCAGGTGGGAAATCCATGTTCAATTTGCTTGTGAAAGCCACCAGCCGACCCGTTTGTACCGGCAGCTGTTCCTCTGTTTCAGTAACAAATGATGTCTTGTACCCGCATGCAGCGCGACTGAGCTGAATCACTCCCAATAGGGGCAGCAATGGAATGGAAAATCGAATGGATGAATCGCCACCGAGGACAAGAAAGGAAAGAGAAGATGAGATTCATTGTCATGCATGTCTGCGATACCACTTGATGCGCCACGAGCTGCCTCCCTGTCAGCATAAAGAAGGATTCATCAATGCTCCGAGCTACAATGTGCTACCATGCTAGCACCAACTATCGAGATGTACCACGAAGATCGCAATTTAACAGCCTCTGTGGCATCTGGCACGGCAGACGCAGTCGGCCCATTGTCCTGGATCTGCGCAATACAAGTACAAGTAAGGCTGCATCCCATATCCGATATACCCGGCCACACAAAGGGCCTTGTGTGCGTACGACAGGCTGTCACCCGAGGTAGCACTCTTTCTTATCGCGAGTTTCCCAAAAAGGAAGAATGACAGAATGACAGAAAGAAACAGGTGGTACAAGCTCGGAACAAGACACAAGTCTATCCGAAAGGACCATAAAGCAGACATGATCGGACGAACGATGCACCGCCAGAGCGTATCGCAGCAGAGCGCATCGCAGAGCACATCTAAAGCCGAGAAGGATCGCAAAGAACCAGAAAACCATCATCACCCCACGCCGACGAAACGCGGGAGTTGATAATGTTAATACTAATGGAGCGTCCCAAATAGACAAAGGACCAGGGCATTGACTGGCTAGCGATTTCTGGAGCCCAGCCCTTGCAGCAAATCTGCCGCTAACTAGGCATCCAGCCTTTTAACAAACGAGCCTAATCAGCTCCTATGACCCGTGTTTCTGTTCTCCTGTACACGGTCATCTACCGTTCGATAAACGGTTGCTAGTGGCCCCTTCATTTCATGCCGTTCATGCCAATAGTACTAGCATCAAGCTTCCACACCGCAAGCTTCTGCCTCGCTACATACTCGCCACCAGTCAATAGTTTGCTCGTCTATTCTACCATACTTGGAAAACCCCTAGCAAAGGCTAACAGCCACGCCAGCCCACCCTTGCAGATGCACCCCAGAAACTGCCCGGAGAGAAGCCGGCAGGCCTGCTCCAGATGCCGCAAGAGGCGTGCTCTGAGCGTATAGAGCACGGAGTACATGCTGCGACGGGCTTCCCATGCCCTGGCCAGCTCGTCCGGTAGATGAAATAAGCGAGACCGAGCAGGCAACAGTTTGAATTAAGCTTAGAGGAGAATATTGCTGCCAGCACTTACCGGTCCCATAGTAGAGCCAGCAGCAAGCGCACCTATCCTGTCTTTCTTATACAGTCCACTTATACTGACTAAGAGCAACTGCATCTTCATGTTCTCATGCCTCTACAGTAGTCCAGAGGCATACTGATTCTATCAAAGTGCCCTACCGCTTCTGCTGACAACTTGCAGCTTCCAAGAATCCCGGGCCGATGACAGCCAGGGATTCCCCGCACAAGACAAGACGGTTTTACCTACAGACAGATAGACAGCAGCAGTCTGCCTCTTTGCTTTGCCGCGCTTCCCCGACTCACCTGTCAGTGGGTAGTTCGATATTGGGCAATAGGGTACGCTCAAATATGATCGGCTGCAACCCAAGCATGCAATGGAACTACCCGCAGATACCGCACAAGAATAGTAACTGGTAAGCCACCTACCTTGTACTTACCCATTCAACCTTCTGGTGGATTCCGCAGCCGTTCCATCAGTCTACTAGTAGAGGTCTGCAAGGAACGCCTTGTCCATCAAAGGTCAACAAAACCCAACATTTCAGATACACAAACACAACTCCACAGAGACGAATCCGTACAAATGCTCCGTAGCTACCTCAGCATGGCTTATTTTAGCCTCCATCTGTCAGCTCACCGCCCGTTTCTCGGAATGGGCCGGTTCTGTCAAGTCTCCCCTCCATCTCCCTCTTTCACTGTTAATTACCTACAAGTAAAACTTTTATCCTCAATGCTTGGTAATGCTGTACTACTTGGGGCAATTTATTCGCGGCCAAGAATAATGACGCAGTTTCTTGTTTATAACGGGCCGAGAGGGCTTGATTGAGGCTGCTTACACGTCAAATTAGGGTAGGTAGCACTAGCTTTGAGAAAGATTCTGATGGATATGCTGCAGACAGACTCTGGCGTATCAAACTCTCTATTCCGTATTGCTCTGTACTCTATGTGCTACAGTATACATTTACATGGCTGCCTTTTCTGTAATAATGAAGTATTTGTTTCGCAGCAGCTGGAATAACCGGTAGTCACACCACACTGCTTACACCTCATCACAAGAGAGACCAAGCCAAGCTGCCAATTTCCATATTTCAAAACACCATGAACAAACAAAACGCACTTTTATCCCGCCCTCAAACCTAGCATTCACTCTCAATTTCCACTTCCCAAACCTGCTCCCATTACATACCCATCTTACCAATCCCATCCCCCGCAAACTTTCTCACCCCAGATTATTTTCTCTCTCTTCCTCCAAAAACCCCACAATAAGAAAAAAGAGGATCCATCCCGCACATCCCCACAAACTAACTCGGCCATACCCGTAGAAAAAAAAAACGCTGCATGGCCCCAACTCTTAATATTTCTTTCTTTCCTCTTCTTGCCAAACCTCCGCACATACGCCGAAGCCGCAAGAGGACACAAACACCCCCCCAGTCACAGATCATCAGATCAATTGCCACAACAAGTAGATCCCAAATAAATCACACCGGGCTCTCCCTCCCCTGCTGACTTTCTTAGCAGCAGCGTTAAAACTCTATACACACACACACTCACATCTTTTTTTGCCAATCCACCACGCGGTCCATCCTCGGCTCGTTTGCTCCGCCCTAAAAACTTTCCGTTTGGTGGCGCAAATAAACTACCTTCCTTATATCATTAGCTTCCGAAAATAAGAACAAAAAAAGAGGCGTGCGTCATCGTGCTATATTCTTCTTTGTAGACTTAATTTTTTGCTCCGACTGGCCCTTCAACAGTCAGGTGTGGTTAAAAGGCTCAATCCACCAAAAGAGCCCACCCAGTTGTAGTACAAAATACAGTAGATGGTTTTGATATCCAGCTGGACAGGGATTTCCAATCCCATCTATCAAATCTAACACGCCCCCTCCATCAGCAAGAGAAAACAAAAAGAGTTGGAGGCAAACGGCCCACGTCCAAATAGCCAAAACTTTCTTCCCTCTTCTCCCCGACGCAAGTGACTGACCAGGGGCACAAGTCTACCTTTTGTCATACCCATCTCTCGTCTCGCAATCTACACTAAATCCACCACACACATGTCAAATGTCCAAAGCAAGCTGAAAAGTATTGTCAAATTAAGTGTAAATTTCTTATGTGTACATCATAGCATAACCTCGTCTATATGTCTCTTCGCGCCATAATCGAAAAAAAAAAAAAAAACTCAAACAGATAAAAATCCCATTTCCCTCAATTTTCCTAAACCGCTCGCTCCCATTAAAAAAGAAAAAGAAACAAAAGAAATAAACAACAAAGGAGCCCATATTATGCATGTCCATGTCTTGTATGTGAAAGAAAGAAAAAAAAAGAGCCCATTATCCGACATGCAGACTGGAAGGAGTCAAAAAAAGCTAAGACGCCTGTCCAAAAGTCTACCGTTGGTTTGGTAGGCCTGGGCCTAATGCCAAGTAAAATGCCAAACATGCTCGGTCTATTGCAACCCTATGCCCAAAAAAGTCTATTCACCGGGTGGTGCAGCTGATGTAGAAAAGCCAGTCAAAATAAAGTCAAGTGGCAGAGAGAAACCGGCGCCAGGGCGGCGGACGCCACCGTCTGGTCCGTGATAGATGCAGCCAAGGAGAGAAAGAAAACAAAAAGCCGATTGTGTGCATCATTTCGTGATACCAACGGGCGATTGTTGGTGAGACCTGCTATTATAGTCCCACAGCCAAGCACAGTCTATAATAGTCGGACCGGATGCTGATAGTATTAGGTTTTTTAAAGACGGATACCGCCGATGCCGGAGTTGGCGCTCTTCAACATCTCAATGTTTTCGACGTCTGCGCCAAAATCCATAATCAAAATCTTGGGATCCTGTCCAGTGCTGACGATACGTCGGTAGTCGCTCTTTGCGCTGAGAACCCAGCTAGCATGCCAGCGAGGGAAGTAGAGCAGTTGGCGACCCGTCTCCATATCCCAGACCTTGATGTCGGTGTCGTAGCTGCCGCTGATGAGGCGTCCGCTCACGCTATCAATGTGCAAGCTGCGCACCAGGTTGTCGTGTGCTCGCATCTCACGGACGCATTCTCCGGTATTGGCATCCCAGATGCGAATAACCTTGTCGTTGCCGGCCGAGGCGACGTATCGCCCGTCCTCTGAGAACTGAGAGCAAGCCAGACCCTTGGTGTGGCCGACAAACTCACGAATGCATCTGCCCGTGTCAATGTTCCACAGCTTCACGCGGAAGTCTCCGGAGCATGACACGATGGTGTTTCCGCGCATCTGGACAGCATTGACGGGGCCCGTGTGGCCACGGAGCTGTCGGAGAAGAGCGCCGGTCGCTCGGTCCCAAACGCAGATGCTAATGTCCTTGCTGCAAGTCACAATGTGCTTGTCATCAAACGCTAAGTCGAGGACAGCAGCGGTGTGGTGAGTAAGGCGGCGGATGGGCTGATATCCATTGCGCACGTCGTACACGATGCATGTGGAATCTGATGAGCCAGTCACCATGATTTCGTCATCGTATTGCAAACACAGGATGGAGGCCTTGTGATGCTCAGCAAAGGAAGCCACCTGCGGCGTGGAGGGCGCCGCCTTGTAGCTGTCGGAAAAGTTGACATAATGCGTGGGATTGCCCTCGGCGTCTTCTAGAACGTTGGGGGCATTGACGACTTCAGGAGGTCCGATGATCAGACGGCATTCCAAAGTCTGCATGTCCCAGACTCTGATAGTCTTGTCCCTAGAGCCGGAAACGATTTTATATCTAAGATGGAATTAGTACACGAATGAGCTACTGGTTGAAAGGGGAATATCAGGGGTGATGCATACTCATCAAATTGTAGACAGTAGATGCTGTCTGTGTGTCCGTTGAGATACATGGGACAAGCCTTGCCCTCCTTCCATTTCTGGGCGAGCTCAGCTTTGGCACGGTAGATTTGCCTCCAATTCTTGGAGGGAGCAATCTCGGGAATGCCCAAGCCGGCACCGGGCTGGACGGGCTCACTGGTGGCATAGGTGGTGGTCATCTCTCGCAGGCAAGACTCTCGCCAGATGTGCTGATTACGGACCACCTCGCTCCAGTGTCGAGACACAACGCTGGCTTTGGCGAGGGCCGTAGCATCAAGGTAGGCCAAAACGTGGATGGCGAGTTCGGACGGAAGCTCCTGGATGAAATCGATCCTGCTGATGTTGCTATCTTGACCTAGCATAGATCCATCTTCACTGATACCCGACTCCATAAAAGGCTCAGTGACGACAATGCCGATACCGCTCTCACGGTCATTGCTATCTTCGCTCGCAGATTGCAGCCATTGAGCGTGCATCGCCTGTCGGTTGTAATAGTCGTTCTGCATCGCCACCGAGGCCTTTGCAGCGGCTCCAGTATTCATGGGGATATAGGGGGGCTCATCTCCCATCGCAGGAATAGGCATCTGAAGGTCTACCTGTTGCTGCTCGTAGAGGCCATCCTCGGTGCCATTAAGACCGTAGAAGGACCTCGAGCGACGAAAAGGCGCGGCGTGGCGAAGGCGATTCCAGGTGTTGTGTGCGCTGGTTGGTCTGGCATTGGGCAGCTGCTGGTTGAGCTCAGAAGGCTCAGCCGTGACCGAGGGTCGACGATGAACATGAACCATGCCTTTGAGGGACAGAGAGGCCCGGCGAATGACCCCTTTGATGGTGCCGGCTGTGCTTTGGGCGCGGCCACGGCGCTTTCGAGCAGGCAATTCATGTGTGTCTTCGGAGTCGTCGATGGCGACTTCGGTGATTTGTCGCGGTAGGTGCGAGTCGTCGTGGCCAAAGGCAGTGTGTTTGTGGTGTCGCAGGAGATTGGAGAGGCTCAGGCTGCGCATACGCTGGTCATGGGGCTCGCCCGGTGCTGGTGCCGGAACACCAGCGGCCTGAGTGCGAGCAGGCGCCCCCATCACGTAGGACTGAGCGTGGTTCGCCATGATGTATGTCTGAAAGTCGCGGCTTGTAGGAGAAGTGTTGGTGGTACAAGGTACAGATCAAGCCACTAATCGAATGTGTAGAGCGTCGATCGGTATGTCTTTGGTGAGTGCTCGAAGGATTGAATGTGACCGAGATGCGTGAATGGCGAATGAAAGGCCAGACAAAGGAATTTGTTGAACACGGAGAGGGCCGCGAAGTGCAAGATGAGCTCGTGACGGTGGAGTTTCGTCTTGTTTGTCGGCGGAAAGAAGGACGGCCAACTAGTCTCGAGATGGTCTGCTGAAACACGCAGCGGATCCAGCAAAAAGAGGCGTCGACGGGCTAAAGGGATGGACGGGGAGGTTCCTCGCAAGACAAGGCAATAGCAGAATCGAAGAAAACAGAGTATTGAAAGGCAAAAGCAGAATGAGCGCTCGTATGAATTGAAGATTGGCTGTTGGAATGCGGCAGGGGAAACGAGATGGGCGGTCCTGCTATTGCGCCACGCGGCGGCTGACAACACTGCCTCGTGCGTGTGAGTCCAGCGACTCGTGTCGGCTGTAGTGAGAACGGAGTGGAAACAGACTGCTGCTAGGCGGTCATGCGGAATCCTGTTGCGGCAGACGGCAGCAAGTAGAATATGGGAGAAACGGGCGAGAAGGGAAAAGGAAAAAAACAAGTGGTTGAAGGGGAGGAAAAGAAGAGGCGAAGAGAGTGTTGCGACTCGAGATGAAATGTTTACTACGAGCGTTTTAGATAAAAAAAAAAAAGGGACTGCCCGATAGTGGTACGTATCGCCTGAGCCTTTGTCTGCCGCTAATGCCACTGCCGGGCTGTGTTGGCGCATGTACCGCTACCCGGACGCCTGTACGAGTACCCGTGCTTTTGGACGCTTCTACTTGTACAAACTTTTACGCCTCTTTGGGGTGATGCATTTACACCACGCCATATAGCGCCCGTCTGATGGCATAAAGCATGGCCAAATTGACTTTGACTTACAATGCTGCTGCAGTGCCTGTGGTCGATATCGTGAGGACTGGGTATCCCTTGGTAGGATTCAACAAGAGCCCGCACAGGTCATCCCGTCAGGGGCATCCCCAGAGTATTTTGGGACGGAGAACCACAAAGCGTCGATGCCTCTCTCCACCGCGCTTCCCGTAGTCTTTGGTCTAGTAGGGGTTAGTGGTTCGAATCCGGGGCATCTCAAGGGGGAAGACGCCAGATGAGCGTTTGGCCAATGGCTTGTTTCAATGCGCTGCCAATGACGCTGCAATAAAAAGCAATCATCATCAAAAAGGTACTGTACCTGTGTCGTGGGGAACAAGTGCCGTGTACCGTACGATTAAAAATCTCATCTCCCTTCCCCAGGGGCAACAGCCTTCCGCAAAATTTTTTTTTAAAAGGGTCTCTCCCGCAAAATGGCGAGCAGCCATATTCTATCCATCCCTCCAGCTCGTACCGATACTTTCTTCTGGCCGATCTATAATAAAGCGGAGCGTCCGAACATCAATCGAAGACTTTATTGGGCTTCTATTTTCCTTAGCTTCCTTTAATTTTCCTCGCTGTGCTCTAGCAAATTTTCCGCATCGTCTGCCCGCACGGGCATTCCGGATCTTCCTGCAGCTTGGATTGGACCAGCTGCTGCAATGGCCCTCTGCGGAGCTTATTTCTGCCCATCTGCCCTTTGATTTTTCGGCTTCTTGAAGGATTATTCGCCACGTATGGCTGCCCACCCAAATGTACGGTGTGATTGTGCCTGCCAAGCCAAAGGCGGTTGGGCAAAGACGACTGGCCAAAGTCTTGCAACAGCCCATGCCTTGAGAGTGCATGCAGACGAAATTGGCCAGTCACACAGAGTTGTACCGTTGCTATCACTATTAAAAATACGATGAAGCAAATAGCATTAGACTTGTAGCATTATCCACTGCAGCGTTCGTTTCCTCAAAACATTGATCCACGACAACCCGGTACAACGTGTGCGCTGGCTCGTCTCCCTACCGCTATAAGAGATTGGTGGCTGCAAGAGACGAATGAACAAAAGACACCAAAGACAAAACGCAGCTAATAGCCCCTGGGCACAGCACCGCACCCAGTCCAGCAGGGCAATGATCGCCTCCCTATCCCTGCCGATCTTGAAAAGGGCAGAGAGAAAGATTAGCCACGTTTTCGGGGGTGGAGTCGTACGGCAGATTTCGCCATTCGCCTCGCCTCGAGGTGGTGGCCTCGAGGTAGCAGCAGTAATACGGAGCAGATGCAGCGTGGTAGTATTTACGGCGGCAGGGCTTACTTGCATGTGCTCAGCTCACGTCCACTGATACACCAATAGCATGTAAAAGCGCCCATACTTGTAGTCGTCTGAGAAGGAGTCGGAAATAGCCTGTGCCTTTCTCTAAGCACAGCTGCTTACCAGTCCCAAGACTTCATGCAATATCGCTCACCGAGACTTGCCCCTTCAACGCCAGCAAACCACAGCATCACCATGGCTCCTCTAACCAGGCTCCCTCTCGCATACCGCCTCTTCTTCCTCTATCTCGAGCCCGTCTCCGCCCTCGTCGGCGCCTTCTTCACCCACTTCCGCCAGCAGCGCTACCTCGAGCTCCTAAACAGCGCATCCGCGCCGGCCAGGCTCGTCCCGCTGAGCACCTCCGTGGCCATGTCTCAGCTCGCAAACATGTACTTCTTCTTCGCCATCAACGAGGCGCTCGTTCTCCGGTCAACCAGCAATCTGCGAGTCTGGCGCGCTGTGCTGCTGGTGCTTCTGATTGCGGACTTTGGGCATTTGTACTCGATGAAGGAGCTGGGCCCCGGCATCTACTACAACGTCATGGATTGGAACGTGGGCGATATTGGCAACGTGCCCTGGGTATATGCGGGGGCCACGATGAGATGCTGTTTTCTGGCCGGCGTTGGCCTGTGAGGGGTCATGCGATGCGAGATGCTTGATATGATGCATCATCTATATAGGCAGTAGCCGCTTCAACTTCCAATTCTTGACAGCAGAAGCCATCGTCGGCTCGGCTAGCAAGCTTCACATCGTCGGCTCGGCTAATAGACCCGAATCGCATCCTGAAGAAATCGCACGGGGTGAAGCCTTCGGCACTCTTTCGGCATCGGGCGACCCTCTCCGGCACACTTGCCCAATTTGCGCAGCAACTCGGCTTAAGTAAGCATCGAGCGTCGGCCTATCGCGCGCTCTCTTTGGTGGAACAATCGGGCAGCCCTTCGGATTATCTCCAGACAGGCCAAAATGGCCCTACAAACGCCTCATCGCGTCGCTTTCTGTGGGGGTTTTTATGGAGGGGGCGCCTCTCATCCCGCAGAACGGAGGCTATCAATGACCTTTTCCCCAGGGCTCTCCATAGATTTGAGCGGGTAAAGTGAAATCAGAGGCTGCCCCTCATCTTCTGACGATGGTGGGGTTGAGTGAGCGACAGGCCAAACGATGAGGTTGGGAGGATATATATTCTGCTGATAGTCTCCCCTCTTTCATTTGCAACTTGTTCTTGCGTTGTAACTCTTTTCTTTTGCTTTTCCCTCAGTAGACAGGTCAAGCAGATTACAACTTTGCTTTCCACGTTGCTTTAGACTTTGACCAGTAAAACACCAATATGGCTGTCCCCGACAAGTTCACAGGCTTCCAGTCCCCCAGCGCTGGCAGCTGGCTCGAGTTTGAAAAGAACTCATGGGAGCCCAGACCCTTTGGCGACTACGACGTCGACATCAAGACTGAATGCTGCGGTGTCTGCGCCAGTGACCGTCACACCATCAGCGGCGACTGGGGCGACTGCCCGTACCCTCTGGCCGTCGGACACGAAGTCGTCGGCAAGGTCGTCCGCGTCGGTCCCAAAGTCACTCTCGCCAAGGTCGGCCAGAGAGTCGGTGTTGGTGCTCAGGTCTACTCTTGCTTGGAGTGCCGCCAGTGCAAGAACGAGAACGAGACGTACTGCAAGCACCAGATTGATGCCTATGGCGCCCCTTATCTCGATACCGGATTCACCACTCAGGGAGGATACTCTTCTCACTCTAGAACCCATGAGTACTGGTAAGCAAACTTTAATTCGACCTTCTTCGCTCATGAGAACTCAGCGTACTGAATGACATGACAGGACATACCCAATTCCAGATGCTCTGGAGAGCGCCGACGTAGCTCCCATGCTATGCGCCGGCATCACCGTCTACAGCCCCCTGAAGCGCTTCGGCGCCGGACCAGGCAAAAAGGTCGGTGTCGTGGGCATCGGCGGCCTGGGCCACTACGGCGTCATCTTCGCCAAGGCTCTGGGTGCTGAAGTCTGGGCCATTTCCCGAACTCGCGCCAAGGAGGCCGATGCCCGCAAGATGGGAGCCGACGGCTTCCTGGCCACCTCCGAGAAGGACTGGACCAAGGGCCACGAGATGACCTTTGACCTCATCATCAACACCGCAAACTCCTTTGACGGCTTCGCTCTCGGCGAGTACCTCAGCCTGCTCGACATCCACGGACGATGGAACTCGGTCGGTCTCCCCGGAGGCGAGGGCATGTCCATCCGAAACCAGGACTTCCTCAGCAACGGCTGCTTCATCGGCAGCTCACATCTGGGCAGTCGCAAGGAGATGCTGGAGATGTTGGACCTGGCCGCCACCAAGGGCCTTCACTCCTGGGTGGAGAAGATTCCCATCTCCAAGGAGGGACTGCAGCAGGCCATGAACAAGCTGGGAGACTCGAGTGTGCGGTATAGGTCGTGCATGGTTGACTATGACAAGGCATTCGGAGCGTAATGTATAAAAAGTATGTAGAAAAAGAAAAAAGATGAACGATGTGAGAATATAGAAAGTATGAGAGAGATATACCCCAACCTTTGTTTTCGCACATTTTCGGACTATTCGCAGAAAACTTCCATAAGCGTACATGGTAGAAGGCGGAGATGAAGCCAGAACGAAAAAAAAAGCAAGCGGGCATTTGGTGCTTTTGTTGCTGTAGAGGCCACAATTGATGTACCTTGATGGACTGTCTACGCCCCATGGGTCAGAATGGCGAGCAACAGCTCATACATTTGGCTTACAGACTCTGTAGAGCTTAACAACCCACGTTACTATTTTCTCAGAAATACTTGCCGAGGATAGTTAATTCACACTAGAGGCTAGTATCCAGCTCTCGCTCTCATGCCCAGTACGCGTATACAACCGATGCGATGAGCTCAAGAACAGGCTTCTCCATCTTCTGATTACTAAGTTGGAAAAATCCGCAGCCTTTTTTGACAGAAAAAGGCTCTATCTAAGCTTATCTCAAATGCACCCCGAAAATTTTTGTTTACTGAGCACCAACAGCAACTAGCACCAATACGAGGCACACAGCTTCCCAGTCAATAATTCTCCGAATAGCTGCGTCTAGACTGTACAAGATTCTTGATTTGTAAATGATTCTTGATTTTACAACAACACCCAGCTTCGTTATTTTCCATTCATTCCCAAATAAAGCTAGTATCAGCTTCTCCTCCAGAGCGAGTGAGTCACGTTCCACTCTAGAAAAATAGCCTCGCTGAGAAGACCGGTTTGCAAAAATTGCCTATTACGGCAATATTGGCCAGCGGGGACCAACCCGACCGGCGAGACAGATTGAGTTACTTGGAGTGTGGGGGGAGCCTCCGGGCTCGGGCTACTTCTTCAATTATGCCCAGTATTTACCGCGGCAATTACTCATTCTATAGCTTCAATGGTAATTGCAGCTTTGGTAAGGGAAATCATCTGTAATGTAACACGGGTATTATCGCGTCAATCGCTCTCCGTGACTCTACATATCCAGCATTTTTCAAAAGTGGAGATCCAAGGCTGAGATTAGATTCAACACAAGGTCGTAATTGGGCGCCCAAGCTCACGGAGACAGGGATGACTCTTTTTTAGCCCGGCCCTTTTGCCAACCTGCCTGCTCCGTATCGTCTAGTCCGTTGTGGTTTAAAGCCTCAAAGCTGGATTAAACAAAAAAAAATATAAATAGGGCACAGGGCCCGCCGGTGGCTTCCTTTTTTCTTTCGAATGTCGTGAGTTTGGGGGGAGTGAGATAGAGTAGAAACAATCACAAACGGAGATCTATAGAATTTGCACAAGAAATAAAAAAACACCATTTTTACCACAACAATCAACAAACATTCAGCCATCATTGTCAGGTCTCAATTGCAAGTTTTCAACACGCCAATCCTCAAAAATGTAAGTCGTAGTTCCCATAACCAAACAGCACGCCACAGCCATCACTTACACGAATCAAATCACCAGGGCCTCTCCTCCTCCTCCTCCTCCCTTCTCCTCCTCAATCTCCCTCTCCCTCACCCTCCGCTTCGCCCGTCCCGCATCTCGCTCGGAAATCACCGCCGTCGGCATCTCCCCTTCTTCCACCATTGCCTACGCAATCTACGCCGGCGCCCAAACCGACCAGCCCTGGATCGACACCTTTGACCTCCGCTCCCAAACGAGCTACTCCAAAATCATCGGCTGCGTCGCTGCTTTCTCGCCCAAAGTCCACTCGTCTCCTTCGTCTCCGTCTCGCCTCCGCATCAGCACAATCACATCAAGGTCGTCTCCAGCTTCAGCCTCAACTTCAGCTTCTCTCACTCCAGCATCATCATCCTCTGCCCTCCCCCGCATCGCAACCCTCTCCGCCACGCTCATCATCCGCGACTTCTCCTCCTCCAAGCCCATCCTCGAGCTCAAGGACGTCGCCTCCCCCATCGCCTGGTCCCCCGACGGCCGCTCCATCGCCGCCGCCGAGCCCCGCCACCGCATCGGCGTGTGGGACGTCCGCACAGGGACCCGCACCGGCCGCGTGCCGGGCCACATCGCCGCCGTGACGCACGTCGCCTTCATGCCGGACTCGCACCTCGTCACCACTTCCCGTGACGGCACTCTCCGCGTCACCAACCCCGTCACGATGAAGACGCTCTACAAGCTCGAGATTGAGTCCTCGTCAACCAACCCCCGTGCCTTGGCCGTCTCGCCCGATGGCAGCACTATTGTCTCCATCTGGGGCACAACCGTGCACATCTGGATGCCCCAGCACGGCCAGCTCACATCATATGGCCTCTCCAGCACGCGTCCCTGTGAAGGCTGGCCGCTCTGCATCTCCCCCGACTGCCGCTACATTGCCTCCTGGACTGAAGAAGGATTTGACATCATGGACGTGGCTTCTGGCGCGGTCATCTGCACCAAGGAGGGAGGGCCGTTGGTCACGTCCGCGGCCTTTTCTACTGACAGCAAGACGCTTGTTTTGGGTAGAACGAGCGGCGACGTTGAAGTTTGGAATGTTGTGAACAAGGCGGATTTGAATTAGCTCTCTGTGCATGTAAGAGATACCAGATTTGGAGTGCATGATTTTGGCAGCAGAAAATAGGTGTCGTATGGAAGTTTTTCTTTTTCTCCTTCTTTCTTCCCTTATTCCCCCTTTTTTTTTCACTTGGTCGTTATAGTTGGATTGTTACTATTACATCTTGTTTGATTTTGCGGGTTTGCTCGTCATCGTAGTTGGCGTGTCATATTCGCATCATACTTTAGCTATTCTGCAGTTTTTCTTTGTGCATTGTATTTCATAAAGCACATGTACAAGTTCGTAGCATCAGTTCAAGTAAGTGAGTGTGGTATTATGTATTTAAACTTGGTATATATATATGAAAAAATGTAATAACAATACTTTCATTGAAATGGGTATTTTCGCCGTATCCTTCCCTCGTGGCCTGAATCTACCAGGATCCAAACCTTTTCTCTTTCCATCTTCAAATCAACAACAATTCAACCGTGTGCGTACCTCCAAATACGTATATGTGGTGGAATGCGGCAACGCCAAACAGCTCATATTCTCCTCCCCGCCCTTCTTTGTTTCACTAAACAATGTCGCTCTCATTCCAGCTAGACAGTCCTCATCACATTACGTCCACTCATAAAAGTCGCGCATCGTCCCATCTTGTTGCCTTTTTCCTGTGCTGTTCATTTCTCCATACATAACAGTCGAATAGACATGTCAATCTAATACACAAGACCGCCATCGCAATCTCTATTTGCAAAGTTTGTCGTCCAATTAGGCAACCCAACCCAAGGTTTCCAGCATGCCACGAACTTCAGAAGGCGGCATGCTAGCCACACCCAGTTGTCGAACCATGGATCCTCGTCGCAGGCGTTGCAGTCCAACCGCAAGCTTCCAGCCCTCGGTCTCCTCCACGATAAAGAGGTACCGCTTGGCTTCTTGGTCACGAATTGTCGCCCGCAGCACATGTAAACCCTTGGACTTCCACTCCCCAGTCTGTCCCGTTGATGACTGAATGTTGGTGTTCTTGAACGTGCGGTCGCACATACCAAGCCGACAACACTCCCTGCAAGTATGAAGCATGTCTTGCAAGTAAAGGTCTGCTTCATCACCAGTCAGGGCGTTGGCACCCTCACGATCCGGTTTTTTCATCTTATGAAAGAAGCCCGAGCTCCTTCCAGTCGCAGATCCCGCTGGCTGTGGTGCGTTCAAACAGTGCGGCAGACACCAGACCTCGACGAGCTTGAGCGTCCAAGCCTTGACATCCCACTCGCGCTGGGGGACGCCTCGGACATCGTCGTCGATAAAGAGCCCCTCCGTTGTGATGCGAAGAATTAATCCATCCGTCACCGTGCCGACTCCCGATATGAGCTGGCTGGCCGGTGCCTTGGTGAACTCGTTCTGGAAGAGATATACAGATTGAATCACAATCTTGTCAGGGTCGCTAGTCGAATAGGGGCCCGATCGCATCGAAGGAGGCGGCGTTGTTCGTGCGGTTGTCTGGGAGGCGGCCCACGATGCGTCGGACCCTGTGAGAGAAGACGTCGACTTTCTATGCCTTGGCTTGTTAGGCGGCGACTGGGCATGAGGCGGTGGCGGTGGCTGCTGCTGCTGCTGCTGATATTGCTGTTGTCGATGATATTGCTGCTGCTGCTGTTGCTGCTGCTGTTGGTGGGGTGGTGGTCTGCTTGGCTGGTCGTATGGCCTGGCAGAGTACGTCTCCGATTCCACATAGCTGCTGTTGCTACTAACATGTGACTTTGCAGGACCGTATGAGTGTCTCGCCGAAGGGTCTGTTCTTCTAGACGCAGATGAGGGAGCTTCGGATGGAGCGGCAGCAGGAGGTGGTGCCCTTTTCGTGGGACTCTCGCCTCTATCGAAAGACCTTTCCTGTCTCTCTGTCCTGTCTGATCGGTCAGGCGACGAGGTTGATGGCGATACTGTAGAAGGCGAAAGGGGAGGAACAGGAGGCCGGCCATTCGGCCACATGCTTGTCTTTTCGCCAACGCTAGAGTATGCATACGTGTTGCCAGCCCGGCTTGCTCGAAAGTCAGTTGCTTTGGCCTCAGCAGCTGCTTTGGCCTCGGCGGCCGCTTTGGCTTCAGCCGCGGCTCTAGCTTCGACTGCGGCTCTGGCGTCTGCAATGATTTTTGCTTCTTCGGCCGCTTTGGCCTCGACTCTGGCCTTGGCCTCTGCTTCGGCCGTTTTCTTGGCTTCATCTTCTCTCCGTCGCAATTCTTCCCTTTGCCTCGCTTCCCTTTCTCTAGACTCTCTTTCCAGGGCCTCTCTTCGTCTAGCTTCCTGTATCTTTGCTTCTTTCTCTATCGCTTCCCTTTCTCTGGCTTCTCGCTCCCGTTGCCTGGCCAGCTCCAACTCTTCCTGTTGACGCCTCCTCTCCGCCTCAGCTCGCTCCACCTCTTCTCTCGCCTCTCGACCTTGTCGCTCCTTGGCCTCTTTGGCGCGTAGCTCGAGCAGCTTCTTGGCGGCTGTTTCACGGCGCTTTTGCTCTGCTTCTTTGAGTCGTCTATCTTCTTCCTTCTTCCTCATTTCTTCGCGGGCCTTCTCCCACGTTCCCTTTGGCGTATCGGGCTTCTTCGCCTCCGACGGAGGAGGTGACTTTGGTTCGGATTCAGGTGCAGGAGTGGGTTTCGACTTTGTTTCGTTCGATGCCGGAGCATCTGTCTTCGTAGGCGAACGCGTCTCTGGGCGAGAGTCTGGTCTCGGCATGAAGGGGGGAATCGGTGCCAAGTCTGGCATGCGAGGTAGCTTGGACGTTGGTTTGGATACTGGTATCGACATCTTGTCTAATTCAGGAAACGTTTTTCTCTCTTGAGTCATTGACACCTTTTCAAACTCAGGGATGCTTCTCTTCTTCTCAGGAGAGGAGACACGTTTGGAATCCACTGATAGAGAATGCCTCTTTTCTAGCGAAGGCTGCTTTTTCTCAAGCTCTGGAGGGTTCTTTTCGGCCAATGGCGTTCTCTTTGGGATTTCTGACTGCTTCTGCTCAGACCTCAGTGGCGTCTTGTCGGCTTCTGGAGGTGGCATCTTATCGTCCACCAGGGTCACCTTCTTCTTCTTCTTCTTTGGCGACGCTGATTTCTCGGATTCGGTAGGAGCCTTGTCCTCTGATGGCGGAGGCTGGCGCTGGCGTGTTGGCGGCCGCTCTGACTCTGACGCTGGTGCTCTTTTTTGGGATGGTGAGCGATGAGACGGAGATGAAGCGGGCTCGCTCTCGTGTCTTGGCGGCCGAGGCGGTTCCTCCGACTGAGCATCCGCGCTCTTCCAAGATCCATTAGATCTGTCGTGGCGTGGCGGAGGTGGTGCACCGTTAGAAGGTCGGCTGTGAGGTGGTGGCGGAGGTGGTCCGTTTGGGTCAGATTGTCCTCCTGAATTAGGGTCGCCAAAACCACCCTGCTTGCCGTTGCTTGATCCATAAGGCCCATGTCCATTGCTGAATCCTCCGCCTTGGCCTTCCGAAGGGCCTGGCCCTCGCGTTGAACCATTCGAGCTTGACACAGGTACTGGTCCACCAGTCTGCATCCGGCCCAGGGACCAGGCCCCAATACCAACTCCCAGCATCAATGTCGTTACCGCCATCCCAGAAACTTGAGCGCCACTAAGCCACATCTTAAAGGCTGGGGCCATCAGTTGAAACACGGCAACGCATATCAGCGCAGAAGCAAAGCCAGCCACAAAACTGTTGGTGTTCGGCTGCAAGGACGGCAGGTATAAAAAGCCAGAGCCTGACGAGTGCTGGGGAATGACGAATATGTCGTAGTTGCCGGGAGGCAGGCCCGAAGGCTTGGCCTCGCCATGCGGCGGCGGCGGTGGAGGCGGCGCGCTCATGCTTGTCGATTAGATTCGTCTGTAGAAAAACAGCTCGAGTGGGATTCGTGTACGGAGCTGTCAAGCGTAGGTGCTGGAGTGACCAAAATAGTTGCAATTGCCTTGAGTCTATGAGCGCATCGAGAAATCCATGGGTATAGTGGTGAAATTATCGCGACCAGGAATAGGCGTGAAAAAACGAAGCCTAGTTGGCAAATGTCAGAAGCTGAACTCGAATCGCCGCGTCGCCCCCTCCAAAATCTCAAAAAGCGATGTCGCGAACGAAGCAATCAGTTGATTGCGACAAGCACAACGCCTCTCTATCTAGCCATTTTCTTGGAAAAGGGGGCTAGACAAGTGAGATGAAGGACAAGATTGATCTCCGCGGTTTTGGGTCCTAGCGGGATGCAACTAACCAGTAACGACCGAGACAACCAAGACACCGCTGAGAAAACAAACGCCGAGCTCCAGATCAAACAAGAAACAATCACACACACAAACCGCACGCGCAGCACTGGAAGCTCTCTATGAAGCAGAGATGCGATGGAATCGACGCGCGGAGAGGATGAGGAGGCGTGGCCTCGACATGGGAAGGGGAGAAAAAAATAAATTAAATTGCAAGAGGGCTTTGGGGTGGAAGTGGGGAGAGCAGACGCTGGACCTGGACCTGGAGGCGGAAAACGGGGTTAAAAAGAGTGAAAACCCACAGCGGCCTCGAGTCTCGCTGTTTACCTGGTTTGCCTGTGCGCTATCGCCAACCAAGTTGAGCCCACCAGCCACTTTTGCGCCGGACCCCTGGCAGCCTGGAGGGGTTTCTGGAGGGGCGGGAGGCGCAAAAAGGCAGCGGCTGGCTGAGGCCTGGAGGGCATTGGCCGCGTGGTGGTGGATGCCCCGTAAAAAACGTCACAGAGGCGGCGCAAAGGCCTGGAAGCCGCGAAACCTGCTATCGCCTGGATTGATGCTGCAATGCCTGGCCGTATCCATGGCATGGATCAATAGTATCAACAACCGAGCCAGCGCAATTGCAAGCAGAAAAGAGGCAACGTGGCACCGACTGCCGCCAAAGACTTGACGTTTCAGTCACACTCTCTGCAGCATCGCATCCACCACGAGCAGAGCTGCCCCTCCCCAGCCATCTCATCATCACTACTGTACAGAGCGCATACACAGTTCAAGCTCATGCATGCAGAACTACGCGACGACAGTTCTGGCCATTCAACGACGCCCAATTGTCGTTGCGACGCTGTTTCTTCAGCCCCCCGGTTCACGCAACAACAAACATATTTGCTTTTTCGCCAATCATCGCTGCTCGCTACCGCCCGGGCCCTGTCCGTATGGCCGAGCAACTGGAGATTTCCATCCTCGCCCCCACGGGCCTGTTACCGGCATCATTCATTCTCTTGTTCCTCAAAGATCCACTGATAAACAACCACCTGGCCGGACGAATCAATGACGGCAGCCATGGCCAAAGATGAATGAAGCACTTTAGTTGCCGTTGCTGCTCTGTTCTTTTCATTTCCCTTATCACCAGGTTACCTCACCTCTCTCCCCACGAATGCAGCGCATCTGTATCACCCATCGCTTAAGCCTTTGCGTGAAAGTGGACGTGTCCGATGGCGCGCTCCGCCGCTGCAGACACAGCCGAAGTGCATGCAGACAGCTATGGATGCAACGTGCGGCATGTCACCGGCGGGAGCTGGTTCACTGGGAGTCGAGGCCGCTAGCATTTTGTTAGTGGCCGGGGCAGAGCTGGGGTTTCGAGAGTTTGAAATCCTAACAGCAGCGTTGCCCAAGCAACTTGTCAACGAATCCTGACTTTGCCACTCTAACGAGTGACGTACTGTACGTTCAATTACAGAGTAAATTACCAGCTTTCGTAGTTGAGCATGTACTTGTAGTAGTGTGAGTAGACGCCTCAACCGAGTACCGTGTGCCATGGTCTGTTAGCCCGGCTGATTTCCTAGGCCGTGCAGTTACCAAGTCCCAGCCCCAGCCCCGCGGATTTTGAAACCTCCAAGATGGTGTCGTCAGTTGTTCCAGACCGTGAGACGCGGACTGCAGCCCTCGGCAGTTCAAGGCATCCATGCGAGGATTCATTGGGCAATGCCACGCTCTGCACAAGCAGTTGAGACTATGAATAAAATCTTACGAGATGGAAATCCTTGCAACAAGCTGGTAGTGGCGGTGTGATACGGAGCACAAGCGTTGGGTTTCACGTGCTGAGCCAACCAGCCACAGCGCGAAGTGGCAGTGACTGCGGTCACAAGAGCTCAGCGAGGCGCCAGGGGCGTATTCGCATTGTGTGAGTTGCAACGCTTGATATCTGCACATGAGCAGTTCCAACAGCAAAACACCAACGTCCAAAACCTACAGCCAATTGCTGTTCTGTCTCAGCTATTACTATTATTCACAGCAGCATTTTTGATAATCGTACTTGTATTGCTTGAAAATTGCCATGAAAGTTATCGTCACACCAGAAATCATGGTGACTACATTATCTCACCCCGGTCCCCGTTCCAATAACATGTTGCGCCCCAAAAGCCTCGTCTCCAACAAGAATCAGAAAGAAACAGTAAAGGACTGCGCATTGCATGCTCGTAAAAAAAGTGCTTTCATCGTCTCGCTCGCTTGCTCAATCTCTCCAAACTCCTCCGCATTGAAATAATAAAAGGTAAACAGAAACAGGCAGAAAATGATTAAAAAGGACGTTTATACCGGCTTCCCTCCCATGTAAAGAATCACAATCACAAACTCCCATGCCCAAGTCAAAACATCAGACAGCGTCCCCAGAACCCAGAACCAGTAAGCCAGAATCCGCATAGCGAGCAAAACCAGCTGAAGGAGCGCCACAATGACGCACAGTCACATCTTCTTAAGACGCCTGTTGGCGACCCTGACTTTGCCTTCGACCCGATCGACATCCTCGTCGAGCGAGTCCAACAGCTCCGTCTGTCGCTCCACCTCGTCGTTCATCTGGATGCCCATTTCCTTCTGTCTCCGTATGATCGCCGCCAGCTGATCGATCGCCTGATCTTGGGATTCCATCTCCCGCTTCTGCAGCAGCAGCACGCCCTGGTTGTCGAGCTCCCTCGTCCTATCTGTCTCGGGTAGCGGTGCGCCCAACACCCTGCCCGTCGGCGCGGGCCTGTGTCCTCCCAAGAGGTTTGACCTGTTGGAAGAAGAAGCCTGCACATGGCCCATGCCGCCACGACTGGTTGCCGCCGGCGCTCCTGGCATGCTGCTGGCGAGCTTGTCCAAGCCGTCCCGCTCCATCTTGGCCGCCGAGACGAGATCCCGCCTCCGCCGTATCTCCCCATCGCCCAGCCTGCCCGACTCTTGCATCCTACGAAGCCCGTCGGAAAGATTGCTGACCAGTCCCGACGCCTTCACCAGCACTCTCTTGGCCGCCGCCGCAGCCTCCGCCGCCGCCGAAAAGTTGCCGCTATCGGCCGCGCCGTCTCGTCTCGAGAGGGATTGTCGCGCCTCATGCAAACACTGCTTCACTTCCCTGTGAACATCAAGCCAAGCTCCTGGATCAGCCACCCCCGAGGCAGTGCCAACCATACCTGCCGCCGACACTGTAGAATTGCTCGTGCTAGAACTGGGCAGATTCAAGAACGTTCTCCAGGCCAAAGTGTCTCGCCATCTCCGATCAGGCGTCTCTGCGATTGCTCGGAGGTATGTCTCGAGGCCGAGCTGTCGCTCGCGTGTGAGGTCCGGCGAATTGATGGTCGACCTGAGCCAGTGCTTGCCCGGCAGGGGTTGTGGCGGTGGCGCGCCGACCTGCTCGACAAGAGCGCTGTGGAGGGCGTCGAACTCGGAGTATCGCTTCTGGACGATGAAGGAGCGCAGCGGTAGGCGGAGGCTAATGTTGTAAAGAGTGTAGGGCTTTGACGAGCCTTCGTCGGAAACGCTCGTTGAGGGTATCGCAATCTCGGGCGGTGGCGCCATGGCGGTTTTCGTTTGCCTCTATGCTAACCCGGGGGTTATTAAGCGGATGGAAAAAAGAAATCAGTAGATGATATAAGACAAGATGCCCCTTGTCGCCAATGTTGTTCAGGAAAACCACAGAAAATGGAACAGCCCGCGAGGTGGCATCTATTTGAGTTTTAAAGTTCCGATGATGATGCAAGCGCGAGAATGGCGGGCTCCTCGTCCATTACGGTGCACGCACGGATGGATCTTTGGGGGAGTCTCAGTGGACCCGTCCCGGCTTTTAGTGCCTGCCAGCTGATGGCCGCTCCCCGTAATGCTACGTCTGCCGCCCTGAAGTCAACGAGGCGGTGGAGCTGGATGGACCCCTGCCCGGCTGTTTAATTGCTGCTTCGGCGCCAGCCTCTCCCGAGTACGAGCTCAGCTACGAAGCTGCTAGGCAGATAAATAGCGGCCTGTTCACACGAGTACGGCCTGTTGTGTGATCCAGTCTCACGAGATCGGACAAGATGTTTATCGAGAATAATAGAAGCCTTAGATCCAGGCACTATCTTTGATCTATTCAATCCACAGGGCATATACCCCAACAGCCCTAAGAGCCATGCATCTTTTAGGCCAAGCGCCCTCAATAAAGTCACGACGGATGCCGGGTAAGGTACACGTGCAGCTTCATTGCCCCATTCCTTTGTACCGTCTTAAGCACTCAGACGGGATTGCATGCAAGATACTGATGTCGCGTGCTCTTCACGAACCACATGCAGCCTGAAGGAGGCCGTACAGTTACATCTGCATGAAAGAGACTCTGTAGTAGTTGTGAATGCGACTGTGTATACAATCCATGCTGTTCCATGGCCTTTGTGCACTTGACCGCTTCCAGAATGCGATCTGATGCATCGAGCTCCGCACCGCTTGGGCTGGCAGATACGGCTATAAGATTCGGGGCTCGATGATCCGTACAAAGCACTAACTGCTTTTTGATATTACGAATGCAACGACAAGGCAGAAATAGCAACATCCACACAAAGACGTATTAATAGTAGTATTGTCCAAACAGTTATAGTACTAGTTTGCTCTATAGGATTTAACACCCTAAGTCTAACAAAAAAAAAGATGTAAATGACGGCTCCCATGAAGGCGTCTACCACGCATGCACGGCCATATGCTTTGAATCAATTTCCCCCCCCACAGCACCCCGTCTCCCTACCTCCCCCCTTTTCTAAGTAGCCAAATCCTACTCTCCGACAAAGAGATAGTCCCCGTTTAGAAAGTCTCCTGGTCATCCAGACCCTCGCCCTCTGCGGGAATCTCGAAGCCCTCCTCAGTCGAGTACAGGATAGACTGGATATGCTTGACCAAGCCATCCTCCTGCTTCTCAAGCTCGGGATCATCCTCCACGGCCTGTTGGATCAGCAGCTCAATGTCGCGGAGCTTGCTAAAGTAGAAATCTCGCTCGCGCTCCAGGCCGGTGACAGTCTCCTTCAGAGTCGCATTCTCTGCCTGCAGAGCAGCGGTAGCAGGGCTGGGGCCCGCCTTGGCGGCAATGCGAGGGCCGGTGCTGGGGGTCGTGCCGCCTCTTCGCGCGGCGCTTGAGCTAACAGCAGCAGCCCTGGGCGCTGCAGCAGCCGCGGCTGGCATGCCACCGCCCTTTCTCCGTGCCACTGCGTCGTAGTCGTGGTCTGGGAAGTTGAGGTCCCAGAACTTCTTCGTCCATTGCAGAAACTCCAGGTTGTCCTGCATCTTGCATTTCACCAGCATTTCGACGGGGATGGGCTTATCGACCTGGTGCTTGAGGAAGGTGTCTGCGTTGGTGTGGGCCGTCAGGACATGGTCTGCACAAAAAGGGGCCCGCCCATCAAGGGGGTTTGGGCGAGGGCACACATACTCTGCAAAACTTTGAAGTTTTGTATGTAGGCGTAGTCGCCGCTGGCGTTGAACTTGACCTTGGACATGGGCACATCCATGAATATGCTGTCAAACACCTGGCAGAGCGCGGCGCTGCAGAGAAGCTTCGGGTCAGAACTCGTTGGCATCGTAGCGGGGTCGTCCGTCCGTCAGGCGGGGTGCCAAAACAATAACACTCACCCAGTGCCGCATTGCTCAACCTTGGTGATGTTGAGCTGCAGGAGGCTGTTGAGCCAATTGAGAAGCTCCTGTCTGTTGTCTGCGGTTAGCCGTGCTCCTCCATCGGCCGCCAGGAGGCGCAGTGCAGCGGGAGTGCAGCGTACCTGGATTCGCCCATTTTGTCAGGCTATAGATGGTACGCAACAGAAAAGCAAAGACAGCTGGTCGGGTAGCGCTCGCCGTGCGGATGTAGACGCCAAAAGGAATATAACTGAGAGAGAAAAAAAAGGGTAGAATGAAGATGCTGGGTATCGCGTAGAAAAGGGACTGCAGAGCCGGAGGCGTGGCGCAGGGCAGCGAAATGAGGATGACAGGAGAAATTTATTCAGCTATTCGTTCGCGTGTTGTAATGTCAAGCCTTCGTTTACAGGCCTGTATTTTGACAGCGCCGTCCAATCAGCGGGGTTGCTCGGAGAAACAGCTAGGGAGAGATAGCCGCTAATCTGCCGTAATTATTGCTGGCCTCTGTTTGGTGGCTGAGAACCGGGGAGCTGTCTCACCGCCAAAATTTTCAAAACCGGCAGAAAAAACGTCTCGGCGCAAAAAAGTCAGAGTCTTGAATTTTTGCTTGCGGCCCCGCTAGAATTGCAAGTTTCCTGTCGCAAACACATTGCGAGTAATTTTCAAGATGGCGCCGTCACAGAAGAGATCAATCGAGGACGATTTCATCCATACCCTCTCGGATAACGACGAAGAAGTAGCCCAGGAAGAACTGGTTGCTGCTCAGCCTCCCAAGAAGAAAGCAAAGACGAATAAGAAGTCGGCCAAGAAGAATAAGGATGAAGAGCCCCAGCCTGAAGAAAACGAAGGCCAATGGGGCCAGAAGGAGGAGAATGATGGTGCAATGGATTCCGATTTTGAATTCATGCTAGACGATGCTGGCCAATTCGGCGAAGACGGGTTTGAGGGATGGGGATTCGAAAGCGCAAAGCAGGGAATGGCCGTCGAGAAGGTCGGCGTTGATCTGGAAGAGATTATAAGACGACGAAGGGAAAAGAAGAAGGGCGGCAAGGAGTCTGAGGCCGCGGAAGAGGGCGGTGAAGAGTCTGCGGAGAGTGCCAACATCGACATGGACGACGACGAAGACGGAGTGCTGGCAGATGATGCATTCGGTATGAATGTTGACGAGGATGCTGAAGAGTCTGATGAGGACGTCGAAGCCAAGGGATCTGACGAAGAAGAGGGCGACGATGACGATGATGCAGCTTCAGATAACGATTCTGTAGCCACGCCAGTCAACCACCCCGACGATATGTCTGACGATGACGACGATGACGAAGAAGATCTCGAAGAGAAAGCCAAGCGAGATGCTTTCTTCGCCCCTGAAGAAAAGGAAAAGTCTGGAAAGAAAGTGGACGCCTCATCCTTCCAAGTCATGTCTTTGTCGAGGCCCATTATGCGTGGTATCACTGCTGTTGGCTTCACCAAGCCAACGCCTATTCAAGCCAAGACTATTCCCATCGCTCTCATGGGCAAGGATGTCGTCGGTGGCGCAGTTACGGGTTCCGGAAAGACAGCAGCCTTTGTGCTTCCTATTCTGGAACGACTTCTCTATCGACCCAAGAAGATTCCTACCACGCGTGTTGTGATTCTTACGCCCACTCGTGAGCTGGCAATCCAGTGTCACGCCGTAGCCACAAAATTAGCAGCACACACAGACATCAAATTCACTTTGGCTGTCGGTGGTCTCAGTCTCAAAGCTCAGGAGACAGAACTTCGTTTGAGGCCAGACGTCATCATTGCGACCCCGGGTCGATTCATTGATCACATGAGAAATTCTGCTAGTTTCTCCGTTGACACCGTTGAGATTCTCGTCCTTGATGAGGCCGATCGAATGCTTGAAGACGGTTTCGCCGACGAACTCAACGAAATTCTCACAACTTTGCCCAAGTCACGCCAAACGATGCTCTTCTCCGCTACCATGACTTCCACCGTCGACCGTCTTATCAAGGTCGGTCTTAACAAGCCTGTGAGAGTCATGGTCGATTCTCAAAAGAAAACGGCCGGTACGTTGATTCAGGAGTTTGTGAGACTTCGCCCGGGCCGCGAAGAGAAGCGTATGGGTTATCTGGCACACATCTGCAAGAACTTTTACACCGAAAAAGTCATCATCTTCTTCCGCCAAAAGAAGGATGCTCACAGGGCCCGAATCATCTTTGGTCTCCTGGGCTTCTCTTGTGCGGAGCTCCACGGTAGCATGAACCAGACACAGGTGAGCTATCTGGTACTATCTAACCAAGTCATCCGCTAACATTTACCCCCAATAGCGTATTGCCAGTGTCGAAAATTTCCGAGACGGCAAGGTTTCCTACCTACTGGCAACAGACTTGGCCTCTCGTGGTCTGGATATCAAGGGCGTTGATACCGTCATCAACTACGAGGCTCCCCAGTCTGTAGAGATTTACGTGCACAGAGTTGGTCGAACAGCCCGTGCTGGCCGTACCGGTATATCAGTGACTCTTGCCGCTGAGCCCGACCGCAAGGTCGTCAAGGCTGCTGTCAAGGCCGGCAAGGCTCAGGGATCCAAGATCATAAGCCGCATCATCGAGGCAAAGGACGCGGACAAATGGCAGGCTGAAATCGACGAGATGGACGACGAAATCGAAGAGATTGAAAAGGAGGAGAAGGAGGAGAGGCAGCTCGCCCAGGTCGAGATGCAGATCAAGAAGAGCGAGAACATCATCAAGCACGAGGATGAGATTAAAGCACGGCCAAAGCGGACATGGTTCGAGACGCAGCATGACAAGGACAACGCCAAGAAGGCCGGAAAGGAGGAACTCAACGGCCCACGCAGCGCGAAGAAGAAGGCCGGCTCAACCAAGCTGAGCAACAAGGACAAGAAGCGCGCCGATCTGAAGATGCAGCGCGCCGAAGGAAAGGAGTGGAAGAAGAGCAAGACGGACGCCAAAAACGCCGTGGGTAAGACTAACAAGAAGAAGGTTGCTCCCGTCAAGGGCAAGGCAAAGGTTCAGGTGAGGAAGCCAAGGGGGAAAAGGTGAGCAGGTGGATAGAGCCAGTTGATCTGTAAATAATGTGTATTTTTTGTCATCCAACTATGGCTTCATTCCTGCGGAGATTGATATTCAATAGAAATCATTACTTGGTGCACGTTGGTACAAATTGGAGAAATCGTTGTTACTCGGGACCTATGCAATAAAAGCTGTTAACTGGTGCACGTTTGTACAAACTGAAAACTTGTTATTCTTCAATAGAAGCCCTAACCTGATGCACGTTTTACAAGTTCAAAATTGGCTATTCTTCAATAGAAGCTGTTATCTGGTGCACGTTGGTAAAAATTCGAGGTTGTACAGTATGCCGCTTTGGCGCGTGCCGTCGTGATGACATAATGCGCCTAGCTACTATGGACCACTTTCCAACGGCTAGCTTCCCTCTTGTCATGAACCCAAGGCATCGATCACGAGGTCCGGCGCAAAACTCATTGGCTGCCTGCAACAAATGGCATCAACTGCGACCTGAAGCGACGCGCATGTCAGGCGCGCGCCGCATGTGGTAGATCCAGGGAGTCGACGGACCGCTGTCAGAAGACTGGCTCGCCTGAGAGGCCCTGAGGCTGATCTGAGCTTCGTATTAGCCTTGCCTTGCGGCTGGGAATATACTCGTTTATATATCGACCTATATATAAAAGCGGCTTGAATTCGCGAGCCCTGGCCCCTTCTTCTGATTAGTCACTAGAGAACCCTGGTAGCAAACCTGTCTCCCTTCAGGATACCGTTTGGCCTCGGGCGAGCTCGCACGCACCGTCGCCACAGCCAAAGCTTCGTCAGATATCTTCTGCCGCCAATCGTTCGAGATCGTTATCGCGAGCGCTTCTTCAATTTCCACCTCGACACCTTCCCGCGGATCAAACACCGCATACAGAGCCGCATATATCAGTACATCCTCGGCCGTCAGAGCAGGCGACGCACCAAGTCTCGGGTCGTTGACCTCGTCGCTCGGCAGAGCCAACGGCTGCTGCTGGGACAATCGGCACGGCGGCCGGCCAAACATGTGACAGGGCGACCGGCAACATCACCGTTTAGACAGGCCAAAATGCCACTGCCGGGAGACATGGGCTATGCGCCCCGGGTGAATGATGCGGGAGATGGTGCCGAGAGGGGCGAGAGGGGCTATCGGCGGAAGAAGTTTGCTGCCATGGCTGGAGCTATGGCCGGGAACATATACCGAACTGGACAAATTGCTGTGACGGAGATTCGAGAGACGTATGCCCAGTCCAAAGCGCGGGGCCTGGACGGCGACTTCGACGGGCCCGGCAGCATGCATATCCCGGGAGCATTCCCAGGGGTGGCCATCACGTCGGAAAGCAGCCCCGAGCAGATGATGATGTTCCCGTGCTATGCGAAACAACACACCAAGAAGGAGTATAGCCAACCTTCGGCATACGAGTCGGAAACCGGCAACCTGCAGGACGAGGACTACTGGCGGTCAGAGTGGGAGAGGCACCAGGACGAGAGAGCAATCGTAGATGTTGACGTCCGAGGCTGGGTCTATTCGCCCCATTCTGGCCCAATGACACGGCGAAACCGCATCTTGATCGGCCTTGCGCGACAGCTCAGCGGGATTCCCGTGCCGAGGGCAGACCAGGGCCAAGGAGCAACGCCCCCGACTGCCCCTGATGAATGGAGGGAGCAGGAGAAAATTGCCCAGGAAGCTGCCAGGATCGAGCAACGGGGCCAAGAAGAGAAGCGAATAGCGAATGTCGGTGCCTACAGCGAACCGCCTCGCGAGGATACTGGCTTGGGTGGAACTGTGTATCCTCCTCCTCCTCCGCCCAGGTCACTGCCTCCTCGGCGAGATAGTCGAACGCCAGATTCTCTCTCTGGGAGCCCCAGGCCTCCAACCAGGCAAAACTCGGCAGTGGCCAACGAGCTCACCGAGGCTGAATTAGCTACGGCAAACGCCAACTTGATGGCCAGGATAGCACCCTTCTTGACCAATCCCTCAGTGTCTCTCCCCATCACAATCTTTTTCTACAATGATTCGCAATCGCAGTCACGCAACGTTCTCACTGACGATTCTGGCCATTTTGCCATTCGGGCGCCCCTGGAATTTGTTCCTACCCATATCAAGGTACTCGTCCACGAAGGGCTCTCGACGACGCAACCAGTAAATTACATTGAGCCATGTGGCGTCAGCCTGATCAGCGATATAGACGACACCGTTAAAATGTCAAACATCTCAGCGGGCGCAAAGGAGATTTTCAGAAATACCTTTATACGGGAGCTGGCCGATCTCACAATCGACGGAGTCAAAGAATGGTACGGCAAGATGCAGGGCCTCGGTGTGAGCATACACTATTGCTCAAACAGCCCTTGGCAGCTATTCCCCATGCTCGCAACCTTCTTCAAGGTATCTGGACTCCCCGTTGAGTCTCTACACTTGAAGCAGTATTCAGGCATGTTGCAAGGCATCTTTGAGCCTGTGGCCGAGCGAAAGAAGAATACACTGGTCCGCCTGCTGCGAGACTTTCCTCAGCGCAAATTTCTCCTTGTCGGAGACAGCGGAGAGGCTGATCTGGAGGTATACACGGAGCTGGCGCTGGCTTATCCGGGCCGGATACTGGCAGTCTTTATCCGAGACGTCACAACCCCTGAAGCTGCGGCATACTTTGAGCCATCTTTTGACATGACTCGACGGACAATGTCTGGTCTGACCTTGAACAGCAACGCTCCAAATGGTAGACCAGCAGTGCGACAAAACTCATCACCAGGGCCAGCACATGCAGTCAAGGCTCCTCCTCCTCCAGCTGGGCCGGTCATGGGCACTCTCATCGACTTTTCCGCCGAGCCTGAAGAGGTAAACCTGGATGATGCCGCCGCCCTGGAACAAGTCAAGGCATCCAGACCAGGCCCATCATCCAGCGCGTCCGCAGACTTGCTCGCTCGAAAACCACCGCCGCCCCGTCCAGCCAAACCCGCTGCACTGGCCAGCGCGCCCTCCATACCCACCGTCAGAAAGGGATCAGTAGGCTTGGGGATTTCAGGGGCCGGCACCGGCTCTGAACCACCACCACCACTGCCGAGAAGGCCCGTAGGACAGAATCAACCAGCAGCTCACCCTCTGTCTCAAATCCAAAACTCCTCTCAGCAGACTGTGCAATCATCAAGAGACGAAAACAACAAGCCGCCACCTCCTCCCCCGCCACGCCGCAGCGCAAGAAACCTCAGCCCCAAGATGATTCCCTTTGGCCGTGGCCCGTCGTCCAACTCAGACGTCGACTTTGATCCGCTCCCACCATCCCTCGGACCCGCGCCAGTAGCCTCTACCACCGGCTTATCGTCATTCTACCGCCCCAGCAGCCGATCCGGAAACACCTCGCCCTCGGCATCGCCCACCATGGCTCCCGTGAACAAGAAGCTCGAGCTTTGGAGGCGGCGACTCGCCAGGGCGCAGGACCAGCTCGACCAGCTGGGCGTGGCGCTGTATACCTGGCGCAAGGGGCAAGATGTCGAGGCTGAGGCAGTGGGTATTATAAAGCGGTATTTGGCAGATGTAGATAAGGAGAAGACGAAGGCGAGGAGATGACAGTTTGGATTGGGGAATAGAAGTGTGAAGTATTAGAGAGACTGTTTTGTCTATTTTGTCAGTGTTTTGATATTCTGTCTTTTTTTCTTTCCTGTTTTGTATGTGTTTCCCCCCCCCCCCCCCCCTTTTTTTACAATGGTTTGTTTAGGATAGGATAGGCGTGGAGGGGACATGATTGGTGCGATAGACTGTATATACTACACGGCTCTTTTCTTTCTATTTGCGTCTTGTTACTATTACCCTATTACTATATATGCTTGACATAGAAACTTGCTTCAAGAGAGTTTGCATATACCAAGAAGGATAAGACAACCATATCTAAATTATACAATTCTCATCCTAAAACTAGTCATCTCACGTATTTTCATAGCAAGATTAAACAAAAAGTGCATATACTAAACTGGATGGATATACAATTTTGTTCAAGTAACAGGTATTTCTGCCCCAGCAATTTTAATTGTATAGACAAACACAACCAAATTTTAATACCCAAAGGGCCACCCCCTCGTAAGGAGAATCACCACAAACAGGGACAGGAGGCAGAACAGTACTAAGTACACAAAAAAGCGGTAAAAGTAATAGATGCAGCCCCATCATAAACAAGAAAAAAAAGCCCAAACAACTCCTCCAAGTTTATCCTCTTTCCCAATGCTTCTTCAATAAAAACCAAGGAAACAAAAAATCAACGACAACCGCCCTTTAATCAAAAAGAGAGGGAAGAGAGACCAAGATCGTTTATGAATTCAATTTTACCGCGGGTGCTTAAGGTTCCCTGTCAGATTCATATGCATCATAGCATCTGCCGTCCAATCCGTTTCCGCCTCATCGTTGCCCCAAAAGTCGAGACCTTCGCGCCCATCGACACCCGGCAGCCGGATTTGCGGTGGCCCTTGACTCAACCGCATTCTGGCTGCTCGTGCATCTTGGGTGGAAGACGAGTTCCCTGGCTCGGCTGCCACTGGATGTTGCTCGTGGTGTTGTGCTGGCTCAAAGTGTTGCCCTTGGTCATAGTGTTGCTCTGGCTCGTAATGCTGCTCCTGCTCGTAGTGCTGCTCCTGCTCGTAATGCTGCTCCTGCTCATAGTGGTGCTGTTGCTGCGATGGCTCAAAGTGATCGTGAGCGTAACCTCCCTGGTTATTCGACGCTGATGGATGCTGCTGGTTAAAGTCATGCATGGACGCACTTTCCTGGCCAAAGTCAACACTCGGACGGTACGCTGTTGGAGTCGGCTGGTCATCCTGAGAGGATACGGCATATCCAACCGGCTCGGAATGGGCCATATGGTCCATTTGCTGCGTAAACTCCTCCTGCTCAAGAATCTGCGGTGCTTGCCCAGCGTTTCTCACGCCGGGTGGGAGGGAAGCGCCCAAGCTACGAAGGCTTCCCGTAGATGCCCTGTTGGCGTCGGCTCCCTCGCCTTCAAGCACGCTGGCATCGACATCTCTGATAGCAAACTGAGCCACGGTGCGCATCTTGCGTGTTACCCATCCTGCAAGGATCTTTCCGCGTTGCTTCTCCCCTAGTCGAGATCTTGGGAAATCACCCTTGTTCACAAAGGCCACAATATCGGCAACGATCTGATGTTCGCTTAAAATGATATTGACGATGACGGGCACCATGGAAGCAAGATACGATTTGCGGCTCACTTCTACCAAAACCACAACCAAACCACCTGCTTGGAATAAAGCGCTGTAGTCAATTTGTTAGTCACAAAATCGTGTACTAGACATAAAAATAAAAGAGACGCAAAGGTACTTACCAGCCGTTGGGTACAATGTTGCGATGGCAGCGCTCCACCGACAATTCAATGTCCATGGGGAAGTGGCTTAGCCCGTTTATTTCAAAAGTTTCTCCAATGCTGCCGAGCACAAACAAGACTTGCATTTCTACCAGGGCGCCGTTAGGCCCAATAGGTCGATTGACATTGTGAAGGAAGCCAAGGTCGCCGGTTCGCACATATCGCACGTTCGGGTCACCATCTACAGTCCGGCCATTGAACCGTTCCACGTCAAACGCGTCTTTGGATCCATAGAATGATTTGACACATGCTTCAGAGTCAACCCAAATCTCGCCATACTCTCCATCGAAACAGTGAGCGCGGCTCTCAGGGTTGACAATGGCGATCTGGGTAGAAACTGGTACCATGCCGGAATCCTGCAATAAGAGAGCTTGGGGATCCGACTCGTGGTCCACGGGAACAATAAGACCACGCCGAAGGGCCTTGGTGTCAAGCCAGAGTTCGATAGGCTCAATGCACATGTAGGATCTCGACGCCACCATCGGATTGAGCACGTGTGAGTAGACGGTGTTGATGGCCGTTCGGTCCAGTCCGGCTTGCGCAAAATGGAGCCGCACTTTTTGGAAAACATCCACTCGTGGCCGACCTTCCGCGGAAATCATCATGTTCTTAAGCTCGTGCATTGTAAAGCCTTTACCTGCCATCATTGACATGGCGTGGTCAAGCATCTGCGGAGTGGCATATGTGTCTTTAATCTTATATCTCGAGAGAGTAACGAAAAGAGATATGGGGTTTTGGGCGAACTCGACAGGAGATAACAGGTAAGTAGGAGTGCCCACGTAGATACCCATCAAGCAAGTATGGACGAAACCAAGCCCCGTCGTGCTTCGGACGCAGCCAAGGACAGGTCTCGAGCTTGTCATTTGGCACGTCTCCTTTTGTACTTTGCACATTCCCAGGATTGTATCATGTCCAAGCTGGACCGCAATTCTCCGCTGGTCGGGGGTCCAGTATGTCCAGATAAGGACCGGATAGCCCGGTCGAATCCAAGCAGGGTCTATCGTCAACTTGAGCTCCCGAAGACCATTGTTCTGTTTGGGCGGTTTTGAGGTGTTGTACGTGTTTGGCATGGAAATCTTCAAAATTTGTGCCGACTGCTTAATGTGACTGGAGACTACCTTTATCTTCAGCAGATGGTCAACATCCTGGTTGACCAAAACAGCCTTGACCTTGTAATCGGCAATCAAGTGCAGGAAAGCGGGAACATCCTCGTTGAGTCGATTTTGGTCGAGCGGCGCCATTGGGATGATGACTGCACCAAGGTTGATACCCGCATGTACTGCAAACACGAAATCTTCCGAATGCGTATACATGAGGACCAAATGATCCCCTGGCCGTACTTTGACTTTGTTCTTTAGATACATGGCCACAGCAGCCACCTTGGTATCGAACTTCTTCCACGTTATTCCCTTGCCCTCTCTGCCCCTGCCATCAATGGTGCAGTAGGATAGTTCCTCTGGCTGACGAGCGACTCGCCACTGAATAAGATCAGAGATGCATGAGAAGTTGTTGAGAGGCGTGGATGTCCTGTCGTCAATAACCACTTCTCTGCGATCGATTCCAGAATACTGCTTATCAGCAGGAGCAAGAATTTGAGTTCGTGACTCTGATGCAATTGGAGACCAGATACCTCCGATGGGATCAACTCCGATGGGAAGGTTGAGAACCGCATGTTCGACGCCAAACTTGACATGGACACATGGAAGGTTTCCAAGGTCAAACTCACGGCGACACAGCATGTTTCCAATCTCTCTTCTTCCGTTCTTAATCACTCGCGGCAGAGCATTCGGGGCTGTGATCATAACACAGTAAACCCGAAGATGGTGCTCCTGCATAAGGATTTCCATGCATTTTTCTGCCAGCGAGTCCAATAGGGCTGTATCAGGCTGTACTGGAGGACCTCCCGACGTAAGAGGCGCAGTTGACGCAGCGGCTGACTCGAGAACCACGACAGGCAAGTGCTCGTCATTGACAAAAACGTCAAAAGCGGAACAGTCGTGGATCTTGGGAATGTTCTTGACAAGGCTTACTACAATGTGTTGAACAAAGAAATATCTGTACTCGGTGATTCCCGCACCGCCGTGCTCAACCCACTCGACCTTTTGTCGGATTCGATCCTCGTAAAGCCCCAGCACGTAAATCTTGCCCTCAATCACAGTACCGAGAAGACCAGTTCGCAAGAATTCTGGCTCCACGGCCGTTGGCGTCGGCTCTCCTGGCTCGAATTTGTATGGGCGCGCGTGGAAGATGAGCTCGGTGTTCTTGGGCTGCGCCCAGAATCCTCCAGAGAGAGATGGCGAATCAACCCAAATTTCACCGACCGAGCGCGGGGATGCCAGAAGACCAGTCTCGGGGTCTACAACGGCAAGCGTAGCATCCGGAATAGGATATCCAAAAGCGCCCACCCGGACCATGGTAGATTCCATCGACGTCTTCTTTCGAGCTTCATTGCCATGGGCTATGACGACGACTTCATTGGTCTTCAAGGCCTCTCTATCAAGGATGACCTCTCCCAATTCCATCTTCTCACCCATCTCCTTTTTCGTGGTTGCTCCACCTCCCAGCAGACTAGTGAATCCGTTTTTTGGCTTCTCATCCTCTTCTTTTTCGTCCTCGGATTCCATGCCAGAGTCATGGTCCAGCATCAGCTGAACTCCCAACCGTTCTTCACCACCAAGCCAATCTCGAACACTGACAATCATCCCGCCATGCTCCGGAAGACAGAGCATTGGGGCCACAACTTCTCGTGCGCGCGGATTCCTCAAGGGTCGCAACCATCTATCCGCTAATACTTCGTGAAACTCGCTATCAATAGTAAGGGTATCAATCAAGCACAGCTTTACAGCCTGGAAATTCGGCTCCACTCCCTTCTTGAAATTTCGTGTTGTCATTGGATCTGACTGGTAGTTGTATGCGGCTCGCTTCAATCCAGGATAATCGGCAATCATAATGCTTGCTCTATATTTCGTGATCAAATGTGCGTATAAACCGGGAGACTCAACAGCCTTGTTGTCGAACCAGACAGTTGTATGGCCGCCGTAGACAGTCAGTAGCACGCTGAGAATCAAGCCCACTCCCTGGCGAGGATCCAGATAAGACAGCAATATCTCACTGCTTGCTCCACCGCCACCAATGAGCTTCCCGTTCTTGTCTCGCAAAGACGAGCTAAATGTGTCTCCAGGACCGTTGCCGGGAACGGTAGAGATGATGGCGCTCAGACATGCCATCTGGTGCATGATTGTCCGGTGACTTAGAACAACACCTCTCAAGTCCCCAGTCGGAGCACGAGAGAATTCGATATAGGCCAAGTCTGGCACGGTCAAAGGCGGAGCGTCCTCCTTCTTCTTGGGGTGGTAACCACCAAACTCGTTAGTCTTCCACCATTCGACTCCCTTGGGCCAGGTGAGCTTCTGGGTAGTAATATCTCTCTGGAAAGTTTTGAGATTGTTTTCTGTTGTGAGAGCCAGATGAGCTTGCGTAGAAGTGAGGATATAGTTCAGCCTCTGGTAGTCTTGCAGGTCGTTGATTGGAACAGCCACCACTCCAGCAATAAAACAGCCCAACAAAGCGGTAGCGAAGTCGATGATTTCGCTATCACGATAGATGAGAGCCACGCGGTCGCCACGGTACAGGGGACTCTTGTCCCGAATGACTTGTGCGACCTTTTCGGCCCTTGACGCCAGTTTATCCCATGTAATGGACGCCATCTCCTTACCCTTACTATCAAGGACCCAGTACGCTGGTCTTTTGGCAGTAGTGCGAGCACGATGGCGGAGCACTGCGGCCATGTTGTCAAAGGTAGACATTGGCGTGTTGTTGTCGTGAGGATCATGGATGGCAAATGGCACCTCTCTTGGCTCAAGTGGGGCCTGGTATTCTAAAATCTCTGGCGGCGGCATGTCGTTGGCAGTGAGCATCGGAGGTGCCATGGCTGCGGTTGGAGAAAACGCATCGCCAGAGTATCGCGGACCCCCAAACTCGCCCATCTGACTCTGTTCGTAGTGCTGCTGGCCTGCGAAATCGGAAAAGAACGCTTGGTTGTCGAGCAGTGTCCTGGTTCTACCGTCATCTTGCTGGTGGTATGGCTCTGCATATGCACCGTGCTGATCGGGGTTGAAGGCGTAATCGCCAGAAACCATGGTTCCGCTGCGTGTAGGAGGGTCGTTGCTGGGGCCTGGTAAGAAGAGCGAATCTCGTTGGGGCGGTACCCCCATGGGGCTCTCAGCAATTAGCCCTCCGGGTTGCAAGAGGGTGGTTGGCGAGACAGTTGCAGGCGCATACGAGGATCTCGGCGGAGCAGCGTAGCTTGAGTCGGGACGCTGAGCATGATCGCCATAGTTGCTGTTATGGTCGTGGTAGCCGCCTCCAGCACCGTAGCCGCCTCCATAGCCGCCTCCGCCGCTGACGGAGGTCATGGAGGTCATTACGGAGGCTCGGCGGCCATCGCTTGAAGGATGTGTCGAAGTTTCGGGGGAGTGTATACTCAGGCCGGAGCGAGACTGCGGGGGAGCTGGGGCGGGTGTTGTCGGGTGGTGAGCAAACTGCGATAATAACAAGGTCCGCCGTTTCTGATATCTGCGATGCTCTCGTTAGTTCATGATGCTGCGGTGTGCTTTCTGCTGCCGGCGTGTCGAGAAGCCACTGCTTACCCCTTCTCGGTAATGTCGCCCTCCTGCAATTCATGTCGTCAGCCAAAAAGTTCACATTGACGGTGGGCGAAGCTCAGAGAGAGGCGTTGGCAGAGAGACGCTCCCCAACAGACATTGAACCTACCTCCAACTCGCGGTCCAGCTCCTGGAGCCTCGCTCGCAGCTCAGGATCGTAGTCCGCCATGGCCGACAGAACCGCGCGCTAATGGTGAATGTTTGCAGAGCTCTTGTGCTTGAACGACAGCGAGAGACGGGCGCTTCGCCATGCCAGACTCACGAGTAGCGCGAGTCTCGTGATGCAGCAAGGTTGAAGTTTCGAATCGGCGGGCTGAGGTGCCACCGCGGCTGCTAAAGAACGGCGAGGCAGTTAAAACCTTGGAAGCTACAACGAGGGGCTGCCGCTCTAAGCATCAGGCTTTAGCGGCTAAAGCGACCGCCATTACGGAGTAGCGCTCCCTGGGCGATTAGTTTCCAGGGCACGGACTCGCTAATCCGATCTGGGCAATGCGCGACCAGCGAACACGAGGTCAGTCTTATGTAATGACGAGGATGAGAGAGAGAAGACGAGACGGCACTCCATTTTATTATGCGGGTTTTCTCTTTGTACGAAGGATTCCCCTGATCCGACATTCCGGGGTTTCTACATTTGGATATAAGTTTATATTGGGGCAGGCAGCTCTTCATCCAACTACGTCTCCTTTCCTTGCTACTGTAGGAAATTGCTCACCCAACAGCCCAATGAAAGTAAGGCAATATACGAACGACATGGTGTATGTCCTAGAGACACTTGCAAGTCGTGTTTTGCATCAATACAGATATTGAAACCAGGAATCCCTTACCCTATAAAATGCGTTTTCCCAGTCCTCTTTATATGTTGTCCTGATTAGCCAAATGCCATAATGGTGTTGAGGGTACATGTATTTTTAGGACTCTTACAACGAGCAAAATATCGCCTCCAAAGCCAGGGAAAAGGAGAGGGCGAGTATTAGTAGAAGAGAAAAGGCAAAAGAAAGGTTCTTTTCATTCCTCATAGATCCTTTGCTATATCATCATTGTAATATATTCCGACGCCGAATCGGGGGCAAGTAGATCAAACAAATATGGTGTCGAGCGCAAGTTTCAAGTGAAACTCCGAAGCGCAGCATCTTTGTATAGACGATTCTCATATCAAAGATGACTGGCTAAAAAAAGATACATCTTGAATAGATGCGACGTAGCGCTACTATAAGATTTTATTATCAGAGCGGTGCCTTTGCTCTTTACTCATTATAACAAGCATTCATCTCTATATGTATCCACTCTTTCTCCAGAGACTGAACAGCCATCAGTGCGTCCCCATATCTTCAAGGGCTTTGAGATCAGATCTACTTTTAGCCCACAGAGCCTCATCTCTGCTCACAAAAAGAATTAATGATCATTTTTCTTCATCGGAGAAAATTTCATTCATCGGAGATCCATCGCTCTTTGGCTTCTCTTTAGGCCCCCCACCGTCTTTGTCCAAATGTCTTTATCCCGCCCCCTTCATCTTTTGTTGTCGCGCGCCCTGTATTGTGGGTTCCAAAATAGCTGCCGTGAACAATGAACAGTTCAACGTTCAAGTTTTTGGTCATGTCCAATGTGTGTTCAAATGACGTTCAGGTGGCAATTTAAATATGCCTTGCTGCCGCCTAATTCGTGAACATGGCTTGATCAATCTCGTTGGGTCATAAATAACACTACGCACTCGCCAACAGCGACTATTTTACATCTGTGCTGAGCATCTACCTGAACTCATACCAGCCTTGAACAATTTCTTAGCTCATACCAACGAACAACAGCAAGAAAACATGTCGCTGTACTATGACCCTCAGCTTTCTGAGGAAGACCTCACGCATACGTGGGGGACCAACACAATAATCAACCCGGCGAGCCTAGGAACCTTGGATTCAAGTAGAATCCCACTTCAGCACATGCATACCAAGTCGGAGAGGACTCAGCCAGGAACATATTTACAACCAACAGAATTTCTGCCGGTAACAAGCACGCACAATGTCGGACCAACATTCCAACGAGGCAGCAGTATCGGATTCGATCCTTCGTCTAGTTATGTATCGTAAGTGTCGACGCGAGAGAAATACGGCAACAGTTTTGTATGCTAATTCTACACTATAGGGGAGGATGTGTTCACCCCTTGCAGAATATCTTTCCGAACAATGCTTTCTTCTCGATGCAAGGTGGCCAACACAATCAACCAGTCTTATCATATGCCCAGCAGCTACTTTCATACAACAGAAGATACCCCAATCTTAACACAGAATTCGCCCAGAATGACCCTTCATTGATATATCCTGAATATCCTCTTCTCGACAATCAAAATATCTATTATAATTCTTATAATTCTTCGCCATATGGTAACTGTGTTATTGAGCAAACTCAGCAAAACTTCATGAATCCTTACCTGGTCAACGCTGGCTATACTATGAATAGCCCGTACCAATCTCAACATACGCAGACGGAAAGTTCTCAAAACTCAACAAAAGAAAATGAAGAGCCCAGCACGAACAGGGCCGCGAAACAAAAAGACAAAGACCCTCCGTTCGATCCCCGTCCTCTATACGGCAAAGCAGAGACACGTGACTCTTGGGGAAGCAAAACTTGGGTGAATAAGGAAGATAGGTTGGCATACAAGTTGGAAGACTTGGAAGACTTGGAAGACTTGGAAAAGTTGGAAGACTTGAAAGACTTGAAAAAATTGGAAAAGTTGAAAATGTTAGACAAGTTGGGGAAATTGCACAAGTTGTTCGCTTATACTGAAAAGGGGCAATGGCTGCTTACCCGCAAGTTTAACGATAAACAACTGCGAAAATATGCGAAGCACTGCCCGGAAGGCACCGTCTTTCGAGTTCAACAATACCCCACAAACTCCAAATTCCGAATGAGCCCAGAAGACCAAGAGTGCCGTTGGGCTAATTGTCCACTCAAGAGTAACAAAATCACGACGGGCTGGCTTCGTGTCTGCTTTGACGAGTTTCCTATGGAAACATCTAGTGGGAAGCGCGATCCCTTCTTATGCGCTGGCTCAATGCATCTTTGGTGCTTTGAACAGGTCTTTGATCCCGTGGAGTTCTACCTAGAGGGGCGTCTCATACCCGAAATAAGAGAGTTTGATCATGAGAAGCAGAACGTGATGAGCTTGAAAAAGCTAACCGACGCCGAAATCATAAAAGACGCATACAATGTGTGGTTCGCAAAGTGGGTACCCTCCTTTGAACGGCATGGAAAACAGGTGCCTCGAGAATATCAGGACACTCTGTCTTACACGCTGAATGATTACCATGTTGAACATCAGACGGATGCTCGGGATAAATCGAGAGAAACTCGGCATGAAAAGAAACTCGACAAAACAACACCCAAAAAGACAATCGAGGTGCACTTGGGCGACCTCAAGTTGTTTGCGGAGCTTGAAAGAATGACCCAAAATGCGAAAAAAGCCAAAAGGGCCAAAAAGGCCAACAGGCGACCAGAGATGGAGGAGAGAGAAGATCCACCTAGTGATGGCTTTGACTCTTCAGATCTTTCGAGAATACGGATTCCTCCCCCTCAAGCTCCTAGAACAAAGAAAGCAGGGAGTCCTGAACGACTGGCGTCTTATTTACCTATCGACCCAGCTCTGGGAACATCATCGTCTCATCTTTCGCAAACAAAGCGGCGTTCTCCGAGGGGAAGCGAGCCAAAACTAACATCCCCTCGAAGACACAAGAAAGAAGTCAGAAGACGTGTACTTGCGTCTCAGCCACCTGTTGACCGAGGCCATAATCTCAGCACGGATTCGTGTTCTTCTACTTCGACGAGTTATTTGAATACGAGTTCCACGCCGTCAAGCTCTTTCAGCTCCTTGAACTCAGCTTGCAGCACGCTGCCATTATCAAATCTTGGGCCACCACGCAAGACTATAGTTTCACCTAATCATAATCAGAGTAGTCTTGCAAACGCCTATACTTCAGTCTATTCCCAAGCAATGCCAAGGCCAAGCTCTAGTATGGAATATCCGACGCAGCCTGGCCATTCTCTCGGGCCACCTTCATGGCAGTACCAGCAGCAGCAATATTCCAGCACAGCGGCACTTCCATTTGTAGAAGCGGAACACCAGCCAGAATTCCATGACTGCAATCTGAATACTCCACTCAAAGTATCACGAGGCAATGATTTGGTGGAGCCTTGTCAAAACGAGACAAAGACTTGGACACAAGAAGCAGCAGCAGAAGCATCACAGGTGCTCGGGGACAGCGAAAGGACGAGCTTGAATGACTCAAACCAGTTCAAAGGCCTGGACCCAGAAGAGCCGAGCATCGACCAGTTTCTCATCTTCGACGACGATGTGCCAGAGCCGACTGAGAATCCAGCGGAAGGCAGCACTGGAGCGATGGACAACTTTGCAGCTCAGACACAAATGAATGCCGCTGCCAGCCAGCCTCTAGAGCTTGTGGCCTGCGCCGAGAGCCCGCAAGTTGACGCTATGGTAGAGCCTTGGCATAGCTACGGCAGCTTCATGGATCCCATGAACTATGGTGCCTATAGCAATACTGACATTCTTCCATTATTTGACGATTCTATAGCCACCGCCTAGGCGCCCCATGATGAGAGACGCAACGGTTAATGGTGTCAGCATACGGCTACTAGTGAGCATGCTGTCTGAAAGTGGCCTGGTCCTGGAGCCCGCTTGAAGCGGAAGAATCTCAGCCCCCGCCCCGCGAGGATGCGCCAAGTCGAAGGGAATAACGACAAGATGGTGCATTGACACTTGAGAATTACAGAGCTACGCTTCTTGTGGATTTACACATGCGGTTCCCCGGCCGGTGTGGACGGGGGGTGCCCTTGCAGCGTCGATAAGGCCCATGGAGCTGCATCGGCACTCCCGAGGTGGAGAGCTGATTGGGCTTGCTGGCGTTGACTTGCAGGCAGGCGGGCAGACTGGCCTAGCTTTGAGGACAAGTTGACCAATTTATGGAGCGAGGACGCTATGACAGCTCCAGGGCAAAGGAATGTCAAGCATTGGCCGGCTTTGGGAGGACAGCAAGACGTGATGTGATCAGCCTCGACTTCAGCTTGGCGTGAGCCGCACCGAGCACGGACTGTTACCGAGTCCTGTGAGCTGAGAAAAGCGGCTGCGCGAAATAGGCAGAGAGATGCAGCATTGTACCTTGCTACTCGCCTGCTTAAAGCTGTCTTCATGCGGAAGGGTGTTGCCAATACCTTGCAGGCATCTCCGATTCGCTCGTCTATACATGAATCTAAAGATGGAGACGTTAGCAAGACCATTCTCGTCACAGTCTCTTGAACATGCAGCCGCAAATCTGACCCCGCTCTGCTCTCTATCTGTCCAATATTCGGGGAAATGTTGGAATGCGACATGGATGCTTTTTGTCAGCCGTTCATGTCCGATTGGCCTACACGCCTCAGGGAGAAGCTGCAGCAATTCGTGAACTGAGCGTGGGCTTGATGCTGATCATGGAGTCGAAGATGCGGCCTCGGCAGGGGGGCCTTGTCATCTTGATGGGCTGCTTTCTGCTTGTTTTTGGTGTCTATCATTAGTATTAGTGTGCAGTGGTGTTGTCAGTTTTGGTCATTTGTTGGGAAATTTGCATCTTGGGTTTGTTTTATAGAGGAGGTTTGCGCAGCCCAAACGTTTCTGGGACTTGGAAAGTGGTGTGGTATCGGCACGTGCAAGTGCATTAAATGCACAGCATTTACATGCAGTGCCTTGTTCCAGCTGCTGTAACCCTGCCAGATGGTAGAAGATACAAGTAGTTACCTAGATAGGCAGGCCGAATGTGACTATAGGGATGTAATAATGGAATGATATAAAATCACAAAATGGGTAAGAGATTGATCTGACGAGAGGTGAAAGTGTCTGTGGAGTAACGCCAGTAGTTCAGTAGCATCAGTACATGTAAGCATTGAGGCTAATTGTTCGGCGTAGGTTTTGCGTGTTGCGCGTGTCATTCCAGGCAGTCGAGGAGCCGGGACTTTAACCAACTGCATGTGCTGCAGCCTACGCCAAAGCAAGGGGATTTGCTCAAAAGATACTAATGCCTTGTTGGTACTTGTATTACTAGTATTCTTCTGTTCACGCCCTTGGTATTGGCTGCTTCATTATGGTCTACGGCTTATAAATCCTAGCTAGACTCGGACCTAAGGCTTTGGGAGGAGAATCTCTATATGCGGCAGCAGACATACTCGCATTTACACATCTCCATGTACCAATCCCATGTCGATCTCGGCACAATCCTATCTACAGCTTCACATTCCTTGTCTTGGTCCTATTAGTCCTCTTTTTGACATATAACATATACTTGTAGAACTCCAGGTATATCCCTTGTGGCCTCGCTTATTTTGCCTATAGCACCGCTTGGCCATGTTGGAAGCACGACGATGCTGCACCTCCGTCTCCCCACAAGAGCCGGGGTGTGAGTGGATTAATGCACCTGCGGAGTGGCTTCAGCCCTCTGAGTGGCCGGAGCGGGCTGCGAGAGATCCAAAGAGGCCAGATCCATGCGCGCTGATCAAACAACTGATCCCACGACGTCAAGTCGCATGCCTGCTAGCGGAGTGGCACTATGTGGTGGATGCTTGGCTTGGAGCTATGGCACGAGCAAGACATACTTGTATACAGCTTACATGTACATGTCCGGACCCATATGCCTCGACGTTGAGCTGGAGACGCTGCTTTGCGGCAGGCACAGAGATGAGACCATGTGCGAGAAAAGAATAGTCCAAGAAAAGACAAGACATCAATGTCTTAGCTCAGGGCCGGCCAACGCCGATGCACAAAGCCTACGCTGTATAAAGTTCGTACGGTGTGAGCATCGTGACCTCAAGAGGGGCTGCGCGACGAGCGATGCAGGTGTCAAGTCCCGGATTTTCCCAAGCTAGACGACGCCACGTTTGCGCAAGGGAGCCGAGTCTGAAGATGCTGCTGGCCTCGGAGGTTACAGCAAAGGTTCACCTGCCAAGAGTAGCATCGAATGCTACCTTCTGGGCCATGGATGTCTCGGTGTAGCGTCTTAATCGTCTCACACGCGCTGAAAGCACGAGGCAGATGTCACCCTCTATGCATGGTGTTTACAGGTATGCCATGCTGGCGTCAAATTCGGAGCCGACCTGGTTCATATGGCACCCTGTCAAAGTGAGGACGAAGCACATGGCCCTGCGTTGTCAGATAACCACATGTAGAAGGCCGATGAAGATACAGAAGAAAAAAAAAGGCAGATATCTCAACACTACCCAAGCACTATTATTTCCTGGTGGGGACCCAGCAGCAAGTAATCATCGTATCCCGGCTCAACCATCCAGTCCATTTGCGCATATGCTTAGATCGAGTGCTATTGGCAAGCACAGCTGCAGTAGCGCAGCAGCACTATAAGACGTGGGGTCTTTAGCACCGGGATGCGTGTTTTATTTTCGGCTGTATCGTTTTGGGACGCGACTCTCTTATTTTTTACAGAAAGTGAGCCGGTCCTGATCAAAGATATCCCTGTAGCGAGCCTTTTCCAGCCTCGAATATTCCCAAATTGCATGCCTGGAGTAGGATATTTGCTCGTGCAAATGCACCAGTAAGCGCGGGGGACAGTGCCGAGAAAGTAGCCAGTACACGCTTCACCATCTCGTCCGCAGACATGAATGGGCGCTGGAGGCGCCGTTGTTGGTGGGGCACCGAGTACCGACTACCTGACCACATGTTCCTGGATGCCGTACCAACAAAAGCCACATGCGTGCTCTCACACATTTCGGGACACTTTTTGGGTCTCTTTCTTGCACGCCCCCTTCCCCAAAGCCCCAAACCCTGCAACCACAGCGCGGCGACCCCGAGACTAGGTGACAATGGCGACGCTAACACCATCAACGGCCTGAAGTGACGGGCTTGTGCTGCGTTGCGCTGCGCTGCGGTGCCGCGAGCGGGCTGCGGCGCAGGCTCAGGGCCGTGGTAGTGGGTTCAAAAGGCGAGCCGTGATCCTGCGTCGGCGCGGGGTGGACAGAGGGAGCAAGGCGAGAGAGAAGCAAGCAAACCCTCGAAAAGCCGGGCGCGCGTCGACGCTTTCATCCACGGATCCGAGCAAGAGAGAAGGAGGCCTTGGACGAGCTGCAGGTTACGAGTCATCGCCAGCTCTACAAACACTGCTGCTATAACTACCTACCAACATCACCTCGTGCCGTGCCACGTAAAGACGGCAGTCCCGTGCAAGACAAGAGACAGCGAGACGAGACGAGCCGAGTTGCGATAGTGACTTGGCCGCCATCTCTGCTCCCAGCTCGTGCCGAAGAAGCAGGATTTCCGGCTAGCCAAGGGTGCTTGCATTGCATATACCTACCGGTACCAGCGCAATACTGCTGCTAGTTGCTAAATATCGATCCGCCAGCCTAACAGCCGCCAATCTGCAGAGCGTCGTCACATCTGCTGCATGCCCATCTGGCGCTTCACATCCAACGTGCAAGTATCTACCTGCATGCTAGTACGACTGTTGCTCGCTCACATTGGTAACACGACACGCACCTACGATACGAATCAAGCAACGGCCAGAGAAAGATCCTTGGCGCCGGGGGAGCATCGACGTTCCGAGATAATTTCCCAATTTCCCATAATATTTTAGACCCTTCCGTCCCTCCCAGCAGGCAACCAAGGCCTAGCTATTAGACGCTGCGCCCGCCAGCCCAAAAATTACCTCGAGGACCGTCATCACTCCGTCGTCGCTATTCGTCCTCACATCTCAATTTACCACCATCCATCTTGCTCTTCAGCAAAGCGACTAGTCAGGGCAACAAACTCGCATAATAGCGCCTCGTGGGGGCAGCCAGACAAAGCCGGAAGCACGCGGTCACGTGTGCCATCCAGCGCCACCGGCATCGAACAAGGAGATCCAAGGACGCTTTTGATCTTCGCTTTGAAAGCAGATACCCGCGGCCTTCTGCCTCTTGTGTTTGTGTTTGGGACTCAATTCGATTGGAAACCCCCGGAGTTTGGGACTGGCGAACAGCGTCGGCGTTGAGCGTTGCGCATCTGCAGACTGACTCGACGCAATTGCGGCCCCAGTTGATCATTGCCATCGCGACTTGGCCTTTCAGCAATACCTGAGACCGCCGTTCGCGCCATGGCCGAGGCCGCATCACCACCTGCGCTGCAGGTAATCATATTGGTATGTATCTGTTCACTCATGATGCGTTTTCTCTCCTCCATTGTTTTCTCTTCTTCACCCTCTGTCTTGCTCGATTCGCTGGACAGGCAGTTGCTCTGCGGCCTCCGCCAATGCTTACTGCCAATTTCCTGCTCCTCTTGGCCGTGAGCGCGATGCGCCCTCATAGGCTCAGATCGGGTAATTTGGCCGTGGCATTTCCGATCGGGATGCGTTTGCCGCCAGGGGCCAGTGCCCCAGATCAAGGGGACAAACACCCCTCTGCATGAAACGCCTAGCCGAGCTGTGCTATTGTCTGCCCAGAGTCGCTGTCCTATTGGCACAGCTTATCGTGGGGCAGCGTCTCAATCTGACGGCGCGGGCTTACACGACATTGCGTGCCGTCTTATTGCCATGGCCTTCATATACACGTACAACTTGGAGTTGCCATCATCCGAATTACAATGGCTAATCTTTTGCTGCTTTTGCATGCTTCTCTTACAGGGTTCTGGAGGTGGCCCCCAAGAGTCTAATACGACTGCGTTTCTGGTTCGCTCAGTACCCCAGAACTGGCGCAAGGGCTCAATAGTAGCAGTTGATGGCGGCGTTCACCTCTCTGCCATCACTCGTCTCATCGAGGAAGCTCTGCCCGCGTCGCCGCCACCAACGCCGACACCATCATCTGCTCCTGCTCGTCAGATTCTGACTACTGGTCCTTTTGCCGGGCTGGAGCTCCCATTTGCCACGGCTGCGGCGAATGCCGCCCATGTCACTCGCACTCTCGTTGATACATATCTCATCACTCACCCTCATTTGGATCACATCTCCGCGTTTGTCATCAACACAGCAGGCCTGCCGGGCACTCGCCCAAAGAAGCTGGCTGGCCTCCCGGGTACAATCAAGGCTCTCAAGGACCACATCTTCAACAATGTCATTTGGCCCAATCTTAGTGACGAGAATAATGGTGCCGGCCTCTTGACGTATCTGAGACTGGTGGAAGGTGGGAGCCCTGCGCTAGGCGAGGGTTATATAGAGGTATGCGACGGACTGCTCGTCAAGACTTGGAGCGTGAGCCACGGCCATTGTATGGAGAAGCACACGCATCGTGGATCTTTCTGTAACCAACCGCCGACCCGTCAAGGCAGCCAAGACGGGTCAAGCATACCGCTCCGGCGCGACACCTACTACCCGCATGTTCATGACTTTGCAGCACACTTTGCCCGGCGAGAAACGGTCAACCATCTTTACCCCCCGGCTTTCTCACGGCGCCCAAGCATGATGCCTCAAGGAGGCACTTCGACGCCGATATTCAGCGGAGGTGACTTTGAGCCACGACCGTGTGTCAATGACTCGAGTTCATATTTCATCCGCGAAGAGACATATGAGCGCGAGGTGCTCATCTTTGGAGACGTGGAGCCGGATAGCATTTCTCTCAGCCCGCGCAACCTGCTCATCTGGCAAGAGGCGGCGCCCAAGATTGCAGCCGGCAAGCTGGCCGCTGTCTTCATCGAGTGCAGCTACTCTGATGCACAGCCCGATGAGCGGCTATTTGGCCACTTGAAGCCCGCCTATCTCATTGAGGAAATGCAAGTTCTGGCCACCGAAGTAGAAATCGCAAGAAAGGCGCGTGCCCTCGAGTCTAAGAAGCGCAAGCGAGACGCCGAGGATGCGCAAGTTCAGCGAAAGAAGGCTCCGCCTGTGTCCATGCAGAGCCCCGGATCAGACGACCCTGTGTCTCCTAGATCGGCCAATCCTTTCAACATGCCCTCCGAGTACTATTTTGAGGCCAAACACGACTCCGACACGCCACACATCGCTACGCCCACCGGCGAGCTATCACTAGATGAGTTTGGGGTTCCTAATTTAGTGGTGCCGCCACCCATCCACGCTATCCAGAAGCCCCTCGAAGGTCTCAAGGTCGTCATCATCCACGTCAAGGAGACGTTAGCGGATGGGCCGGAAGCCGGAGACTCAATATTGCAGGAGCTAATAGAGCATGAGCAAGAAGCACAGCTGGGCTGTGAATTTATTATTTCTAAACCAGGGCAGAGTTTCTATTTCTGATGCCCTCGATGGTGCCGCTCGTTTGCCAGTGATGGCTTTCTTTTCCTCTTCTCTGTTGAATTACAAATTCTTTTATTTTTCTTGGCTTATACATATGGGTTTTGGAATGGCAGTACACGAACGGCGGCAGTGGAGTTTCACATGGTTTTTTTTTGGTGCTGGCCTCTGTTGTCAACTATGCGGCTATTAGGATGATCGATTATGATGAACATGTTTGTATACCATTGCATTAAATATTACAATGAATTTTTCTTCAAGACTTCTCTCGCTATTGTGCCTTTGCGCTTCTTTTCTCTAAATCAATTCCACGCAGACCTCATCTTGCGGCGGGGTCAACAATGGGTTGAACCAATGTCCGGTGCTCATGCAAATGAAAAGATCGCGTGCGCGTAGGCTCATAAACCGTGTGTACATGCGGTTCAATCTCTTCGTGGACTACAGCAGGGCGAGGGTGAACACTATGGTCGGTATAATGCCCTTGGTGCCCAACTCCAGCATTGTTGTTATCGGATCCAGTGGCAATCGGGCCATCTGCGTGCTCGTCTCTGCTTTGCGCTTTTGATTCGGGGTGATTATGAGCAGAGCCTTGTGGAGGAGTCTGATTGACTGCTTTCCTCTTCAACGCTGGCTTGAGGTAGCCCTGTTGCGTACCCTGAGGTTTTCTGAGAGATTGGGGCTGATTGTTCGAAATAGATGCGTCGGTCACCTGGGAGCCATGGTTCGTTGTTTGTGCATCCAGAGTGCCGGAAGGTTGATGGGAATCACTTGTAAGTGGCCAATTCGGAGCCGTTTGCTGTACTTTGGAATTCGTCCCAGTACCCAAGGTAGACGTCTCTTGCGGCGGAGGTGAAGCTTTATTCGTTGATGGTTGACCAGGCGTGGGGTGATTTGAGCGCCCCTTGTCGCTGCGATGGAACAGGCGTTTTGCCCACCTGCGGAAGGCATTTCTCATGCCCTCCAACTTTCTCGTGCCCTCTGACATTTAAAAAAAAGATGAAGATAATCTGGTATTCCAATTGTCTTGAAAGGAACTTGAGCACTTATTTGGTGAAGATGCATCGACATTATTGCTCCGAAAAGACAGAAAATATTGGTAATTTAGGCGGAGCGACGTTAAGCTGTTCTAGACGATACAGCTCAATAAGACTTCAACAAGTGACATAATTATTGGAACTTTTCGGGTCATCCAACAATTGCTTTACTAGAGAACCATTAATCCAGCCTATGCAACAATGGGCAATTGGCTTCGGAGTTTAAGCTCCGAAGAGCTGATGACAGAGCGAGAGCTATGGTGGAGACAACAAGAAGCAATTGAATACGTACGTTATGACGCTATACACGGAGCATTTGGGGCGATTCAGATTTCATTGCCGCAAACCTAATCGAAACTTTAATGATCTAACTCGGCGCGTGAACGTGGCCTGGTAGCAAATATCCTTCTTAATTTCGCCGCACGCAACGAAGTAGATAGCCTTCGAGTCATAGAATGCAGCACTCTGCAGCTTTTCAGAAGTTAGAATGATGGGTTTACATTCCTGCTTTTTTTCTCTTCAAGACAAGCTCATTGGTGCGGCGGAGACGCCGATGCGATTGGCTTTTCATAGCCACCACGCCTTGCAGCCGCCATTTGATGTTTGTTCACGCAAGTTCAGCTACTAATTTGTAAACCAACAGCAAGGAACCCCATCTAGACCACTGAACGGATTGCTAGAGAAAAGCAGCCTCATCATGACGTGGACTATTTTTGGCGAAGAACAAGATCAAGTTGATGGCGTCTTTGGGCTGGCTTTTTTTGCGCGGGGATGGCGAATAACTATATGTATCTATAATCTCGCAAGTTTTCTCAACTACCGTCTTAAGCTAAACCAAATAATCTTATCATCTTTGCCGATATACATTACAATATGCAAAAAGCTAAGAAAGTCGTTGAAAACCTCACTTCCCACGATGGGAGGCATGATACCACCGTCGACGAAGATACGCGACGGCCCGTGACTGAGGAGCACGTTCGGCCCCAGGAGCATGAAAGCGTACGGACTGCTGTGGAGAAAGAGATCCATCGAGATCATCACCATACAACTGTTCAGCCCGTTCAAGATAAAGAAACTCTGTCAGCCACTCCCACCATAATTGTCCAGACGTATTCTTTCTAACACTGAAATATCTAGCCCTGAGAAACACACTCACAAAGTCTTACCCACTGAGCACAAAACCTTTGAGCACGGCGGCAACAACGAGATTGAAGGATTGCTTCAACGTGACGCAGCCAAGTACAAGGACACTTCTGCCGTCCATGACACCAAATTCACCTCCTCCGAAGCACCCGTCGTCTCCGGTGAGCGATGGCACCACCACGTTCACGAGCACGTCCAACCGGTTATCGAAAAAGAAACTGTAGCCCCCAAGGTTGTCCACACGACTGCCCCTGTTCATGAAACTCACCAGGCCACGGCGGCACACCATGGGACTAAGGTTTTGCCTCCTAAGACAATGGAGGAATTCACCGGCGGTCGAGGTTCACTTGAGAGTAGCGGGCTTCGCAAGACTAGTGAACATGAGGGTTGTCCGACATTTGACCAAAGGGATTTGGAATCTAGTCAGAGGCAGGGGGTTGATCGCTGATTCGAAAACGGGGCTCCACAAATGGTCATTCGTTGTATCTTCATTCAGTATATATTTTTGACATTCATTTTTCTTTCAGGCTCATTATCAATATCCAGAATGATAGTCTTTTAATCACGTCTCCTAAATATTATCAATCTCTATCGCTGTGGTACGACTTTATAAACTTTGAAGAAAAAACTTCGATTAATATGCAGTACTGCTCCCTCCCATCTTTTAAATCCTTCCAATTAGATGATCAACGTTCCCCACTTTCCGTTCTCTAAGTGTCTAGATGCTCAGCAGCTTATTCCTCTTCCCCCCTTTTTTTCCTTTTGGTTTGCCACCTCCTTCCATTTGAAGCCTCTTGTTATTCTCGGCCATTACCAGTGTAATTCTTATATTGTGGCCTTTGTATTTCCACGCGGTCAGTCGTTTTTGAGTAGAGAGCGCCTCCCATACTGGCAACCGGTTTTAAGATCTATCTTGCTGTCAGCGTCGTCGAAAGCATCTTACAACATTCAAAGAAGGACCTATGCCTAGAAGCAATACAAGGTGAAGCAATCGGCTTATACATACCTCGGGGCAGATGTAATCTTGCTCTTCGTTCAATGCATCGTCTCTTGCCCAGAATCTAGTTCCTTCGAGGATTACTAGCCACGACGATATCCTCCCCGGATGTTCTTTGCTTTGAATCTCCTTTACAGATTCTACTCTGGCTTCTATGCTAAATATGGATTCCTTAACTCTTGGGGCCCTTACCGTCTCGCAGCAATAGTCTGCTGTGAGACCGGTCATGCTCCACTCGGACATTCCGTATGGAGCATCTATGCTGGCGGCGTTGGCAGCTTCGAGGAAGTCCTCGGACACGACATTGATAACACACTGCCTTGTATCACGCACGTTGATGAAAGAGTCCTTTGCTCCTGTTGGCGGGTTCCCAAATCCCACAACAAAAGTTGGCGGATCGTGTGCAATGACATTGAAGTAGCTATACGGCGCCAGATTTACCGACTTGCCATCGGCTGAAACAGTACTGATGAGGGCTATGGGACGAGGAGCGATGGCGGAGATGAGGAGTCTGTAGTTGTCCCACGAGTTGCGTTCTTTTGAGTGCGGATTAATTGAGATGTGGTTATTGGTTTCAGTTTTCTCGTTGGGAGTTGTTGATGAAACAGAGGTGGTGAAGAGATGGGTAGTGCTGCCATGGCCGTGCTTCCAACTCGAGTTGGAGTGGCGAGATTCGTGGACTCGAGTTAAAGTAGAGGTTGAGAGAATCATTTTGATAGATGTTGATACTCTGATGGGGAGGATAGAACAGTCAGAAGTTTGGCAACGTTAGAAGCAGACGGGCTACTTTATACATGACGAACAGAGTTGGAAATGTTGAATGTTCCAATGATCTAGGCTTCACTATCTGCGTACTACTGGTCAAATTGGTTCATAGTGTAAGCGTACTTCATCCTAGGGGCAAAAGTCGCAAGCTACGATGTTACATACTCCTTTACCAGACTCAAGCGACAACTAAAACGAGTCAGGATTGACAAGTTGAAGCATTGGGTTTTACAGACTTGATGGGTAAATAAGTTGGCAAACATCTACTGCCAGTGATAAAAATCTCTGCAAGTGGTAAATGGGAGCCTGCAAGCCGCGATGGCAACTAATCAGAGAATTGCTCCTTTGGGTATATGACAAGGCTTTGCCGTATAGTTGAGAGTGGGTCAAGGATTGAGCTGGCACGGAATACCGAGATGCCCATTACCAATCGGTACAAGTTTGCCAGTGAGATCGGTTCCAGAATCCACAGATGCAACTCTGACAGGATCTGCTACCAAGTGTATTGGTGTGACACAATGTTCCGCACAATGTTCCGTGATCTTCGGGGACAATAGTGCCTTGCATAGCTCCCTAATTTGGAACTCGGTCCCTTGAGGAGAGTCTCTGAGATTAGGTTGTCAACAGTTGGTTCGATTGACTGGAGGGCGTTACCAGACTCCTTCGTCGTATCTCGCACCGAGAGTTGCTGATACGCGGCGACAAGGGCTCAAGATGCATAAAATTAACCTAGTTGGACGATGAGACCCCAAATCAACCCATACTACTGACCGGAAATAGGTACTGACTATAAATAGTTAAGAATGAGCTAATACGGTGCAAACAGTAGTCCGGAAGCGAACATTGGAACCTTGATTGAGTCCTCGGCGTGGAATGAATGCCGAATGCAATGGATATACGTGTTATGTGTGTAAGGTAGATGAAGCCATCGGGGAGTGACCCATCGGGGAGTGACTCAAACGGGCGTGTTATGTAAGCACGCTGATTCACCCACAGGCGCCTATTTCAGCAGCAGCGATGCTTATCGGCGCTATCGCAGACCAAAAAAAGTTATCGTAGGGCAGCAGCTTGAGGATGCAACTGCAAATTCCGGGCTCTTTTTGCGTGTTGCTTCTTTCCCTCGCTTCCCGCTGATGGAACGATGTTTATCTCGGCGTCTCGTCTGCTCTGCATCTTTCCCACTCCGACATCATCTCCTCTTCACTCCCGCCGGTAGACGCTCACGGCAGCTTTCCAGCCTTGCCAGCGCAGGCAGAAACGCTACATCTGCGTTTTCTTTCTACGATCCTACAAGACCGCGACAGCTACGGTCAGGGAATCCACTGTCCGCTTCACATCTGCTACCGCCTCATTGTTCAAAGAGGCTGTACTCCAGAGTACTCAAGAAAAGAAAAACCGCCGACTCGACCACAATGACAACCACCGTCGAGCTTGCCTCTGTGCCTTCGGCCGACACTCCAGGCACCTGCATCTACCTGCATCACGACAAGCGCTCGTACGTGTTTGGTCGCGTCTCGGAGGGCACGCAGCGGGCGTTTGGAAGCCGCAAGATTCACATGGGAGGAACAGAACATGTCTTTCTCAGCGGCAGCGTGGACTGGGATCAGCTCGGTGGTCTCTGCGGCTACCTGCTAAGCGTTGGCGGAGCTATTGAGTCAGCCAAGGAGTACACAACACAGGAAAACGCCAAGAGAGGACAGAAAGGCCAGAAGCTGCTGAATAAGACTCTTCATGCTGGGATTTCAGTGCACGGGGCGGACAACTTGTGCCACACGATGGCGGCGTTACGGCCAGTCATCTTTCGACAGCCCATTTGCGTGCGCACTTTTGAGCACAGGACAGATCCCCGAGTGGCAGATGCGGCAAGTCTCGAGCCAGATTGGTCGGATGATGCGATCAAAGTGTGGAAAATCCCAGTACGGAGAGCACGATCAAGCAGCCCTCGAAAACGAAGACGCAGCAGCCAGACACGGGATAGGAACTCACCCAAAGATGCTTCTTCAGAAGAGGATTCCTTCCAGCCACGAGCATCCATATCAGACCCCGAAGTAGCGAGCGCAATTGTCGAACGGATCATGTTCAATGGCAGCCTGAAGAACAGATCTGTTTTGGTGCCGAAGAAGATACGAGATCTTAAGCCTACTGACAAGGCTGCCATCATAGAGAACAGCAGTATCAGGTTATACAAGGGCCCATATGCTGCCGATGGTGTCACACTGCCGAATCCGGACGATACTGTGTGGCACTTCCCCGAGCTTGGCGAGATTGGTGTGGATGATAGAAGCGAAAACACTCTCGCAATCAACCACTTCCCTCTTCCTCGGACGACATACGGCGAGTCTTCTATGAGCTACATCATCAAGGCTCATGACCGCAGAGGAAAATTCAATGCTCCAGTGGCAAAATCTCTTGGTGTTGAACCTCGAGACTTTAAGCTTCTTACTGCCGGCCAGAGCGTTCAGGGGAAAGATGGCCTCGTTACACCTGAAATGGTTCTAGGAGAGACCCAGCGGGGAAAGGGCCTCGTCGTAGCGGATATTGGCAGCCAGGATTTCATTGAAGCATTCATGGAGCGGCCTGAGTGGGAAAACCAGGAGCTAATGGAGAATATTGCTGTCATGTATTGGATCGTGGGACCAGACGTGACTTATGACCAACGAATCCAGCAGTTTATCAGCAAGCATCCAGACATCAAGCACATTTTCTGCACACAGGAGTCATGTCCTAACATGATTACACATCCTGGTGCAGCGACTATACAGACCAAGCTGCGCCGAATCGATCCCGAGAGATTCCCTCTCCTAAAGTTCGAGAATACAGTTAAATATCCCGCCCCTCCAGAAGGTTCTTCGATTGAGCTGGGGCGAGCTGGACACAAATTTCAGCTCATGCCGCGTCTCGTGTTCGATGACCAGGCTATCGCTCCGTTCCCAGATTTGGTGGAGGCGCATGAGTCTGTAGACGAGGAAGTTCTCAAGATGGCTGAGGCGGCCCATGCTGAGGCTACAGACCCTGCGTTCGTGGCGCGGATTGAGGAGCAGGAGCTTGATATCCCGAACAGAGATGCGGAGATTATTCCTCTCGGAACAGGGTCATCAGTGCCTAGCAAATACAGAAATGTCTCTGCTACACTGATTCGAGTTCCTGGGATCGGCAATTACCTGCTCGACTGCGGTGAAGGAACTCTAGGCCAGATTCGGCGTCTCTTCGATGCTGAAGGAACGGCAGATATTCTGCGTAATATGCGATGCATCGTCATCAGCCACGTCCATGCAGACCATCACATGGGCACTCCTTCGCTCATCAAAGCATGGTATGAGCAGACTCTAAAGGATAACAGCAACGCCACGCTCGCAATATCCTGCATTGGGCGCTATCGGGTCTTGTTGGAGGAATTGTCCCAAATCGAAGATATTGGGTTTCATAGGTTGAGATTCCCCAGTTGCCCCTTTCCCAAGGAGAAAGACCGCGACGTAACGACTAAAGAGGACCTTGGTGATGAAAATTTTGGCTTAGCATCCATCAAGCGAGTGCCCGTACCTCACTGCTGGCGGTCCTTTGGAACTCAGCTGGAGCTGACCTCGGGCCTCAAGATTGCCTACTCGGGCGATTGCAGGCCTTCGAAACTCTTTGCCCAAGAATGCCGCGGCGCCCACCTCCTCGTACACGAATGCACATTTGGTGATGACAAGCAGGACCACGCAAAGGCGAAAAAGCACAGTACGATGGGCGAGGCTCTTGGCGTAGCTCGTGAGATGCAGGCGCGACGGACGTTGCTGACACACTTTTCACAACGATACTCCAAATCGGACTCATTGAAACGAGATCGTGTCGCGGGAGTCGAGCATGATGTGCTGCTGGCATTTGATTTCATGGCGGTGAAGCTGGGAGACTTTCAGAAGGCGGCGTGCTATCTGCCTTCAGTGCAGCGGTTTATGGAGAAGCTGGCGGACTGATTTTGTTTGAAAGCATGCATTACGATGACGAATGATGGACGATGGATGTACCACTACTCCCCCATTAGTTAACTGACTAGAGATATTAGACACGGGAAACCGAATATAGATCAAAACATGCCAACTCCATTCTAATAATCTTCAACCCTAAACGATGTACTAACTTTGTCGCCCCAAAATGCTGCAAGATAACGCCCATACACAAATACAAAAAACAACTTGTACAAATCAAAAACATATCTAGATCTTACCATCATTAGTGTCAGTTCCTCGTTCTTCCCCATCCCATCGACTCAAAACACTACGCAGGCCCATCACTGCCCTCCCACTTTGTCAAAGCCTTGCTGTCGTCATGAGAATATACGCTCGACGCTTCAGGAGAAACAGCATTCTCTTCGAGTCTGTCCTCGTCGTAGATGTCGTCCTCGTCCTCGTCGTAATCGTCGTCTACAGCTTGACTCGTCCAGCTAGATGTACTCTCAAGGCCAACATTGAAAAGGGGAGAAGCACGGCGCGAGAAGTGCTCGGGGATGTCTCCATCGCTGTCGTTGAAGTTGAGGTGGGTGCGTGTGCCTCTGAGATTTGATCTGCGTGCTTCCTGGGCCGAGTCTCTGCTGCCTCCAGGGGAGTGGAATCCTGCTTCACTTGCCGCCTCTTCGGCCTGGACCGCACCGCTCGTCTTCACAGAACGCGACTTGCCCTTGTCCTTGGATGACAGCGCCGCTCTGAAACCGCGCGTCTGCTCCGTCGTCCAGTCTATAATCACCGCATCCTCCCTCGCGGGCTTCTCCCTGGGCTTATGCTTCATCGGAACCGGCAGCTTGTCTTCTGTCCACGTCACCATGGCCGCTCCCCAGCGCGCCTTTGGCTGCTTGCCCTTCTTTTTGCGCCTTGCAATCTGCTCGTCCTCCAACCGCCTCGCCAATGTCCGCATCCCCACCAGCGAGCGCGCGAGCTCCTGGCTATAGCCGTTGGCGAGGGGGGTGTTCCTGCTGTCCTTGGCTTTGGATATCCAGGCTTCTACCACTCGCAGCAGCGACGGCGGATCATCCTTCTTTTTGTTCTTCTTCTTCTTGCTGTCTTTTTGTTTATCCGTCTTATACAAGTGTCGGGCCAGCAGGCTCGCTCGCAACACCGTGAGATAGTGGCAGTTCCCGCCCACAGCCGCCAACATACACGCCTCGCAGCCTGTCTTGGCACATCCCGGCAGGAAATCCCTCTTCTTCGAACCGCAAAGCTCGCGGTATTTCTTCTCGCCGAGCCACAGCGCCGTAATCTCATTGTTAAAGTCCAGCCACTCATCCAAGTTTTCGTTGATCATGTCCTCCTCCTCCTCAACGAGCTTCAACTGCTCCTCGGTCATCCAAGAATGGCGTTCAATATTGAACCGCAATTTCCCCTTTTTGCGCAGCACGCGATAAATGTTTGTCTGGGCCGTGCTCTCATACGCAATGTTCCACAGCAAGCTGTGAATGACTTTGTGATCGAGCTCCTTGTGCGCTTGGCAGAGAGTTTGGCGGTGGAATAGTTTCATGACGCCTTTGTAAATAAGAGAGTCGGGACGCAGCAGCTCCTGGTTTTTGAGCCGTTTGACTTTACTCTCCTGGCTATGGAGCCACTCATTGGTTTCACGGGAACTTTTTTTAGAAGAGTCGAATTTCAGCAAGCTGGTGATCTCGTCGACTTCTTTGTCGGTGAGGGCGTTGAGGGACATTGGTGGTTTAAACATGGCGGCCATGGCGGCGGTATATCTTGACGAGCAAGACTAGCTTTACACGCAGAAGAAGAAGATTTTTGAGCATCAAAGATATTGATTCGAGGTATCGTAGCTAAGAGGAATAATAGTGAAAAATAACAGTATTGTCCTTGGGAAAGATGTAGTAGCCGCGATAGTTGGTTTTTGTCTTCTTTCCAAGCCTCTTCCCCGGGCTGCCTTTATATATCCAGCTCTCAACGATCATGATGCCCAAGAATTAATAGTGATAAACGGCCTCAACCGACTGGACATGAATTGAACATCATTGCAGATAATACTTCTTTTTGACAAACGAACAATTCCGGTATACCACACAATACGCCATTGTATATCCAAACTGTCTCTTCATGTGTGATATCTGTTTCGTTATCCTCCCTTTCGTTGTTTAGAACAAGGAAATAGGGCAATCTTCTAAAAGTTCTGCCTTTTCTTTAGCCAGCAAGTAAAACAAAATAGCTTATATTGTAGCCGTACAGGACGCAACAAGTCTGTTTTGAAGAAAGAATTCGCAGTGTGATAACATAAAAAGTGCTTTTATTGTAGTCTTCATGGAAAGAGAGGAACAAAGCCGTATTGAAGAAAGAATTCGCAGTTATTTGAAACGGTCTCAATAGTCCTTTGTCTTTTTTTTTTTTTTTTTTTTTTTTTTTTTTTTTTTTTCATTTTTTTAATCCTTTGTAGTGAACTATAAACGAATGATCAAATAACTGTTTTCTAATCCCTTGTATTTAATATAAATGAATGTGATTCAACATTTGTTCCACAAATCTATCGTCTCGTAAGATATGCCGTAACAAGTCATACATAGATCGTACGTAGTGTAACTGTATCAAATTTCGATATATCAGAACATCTCCAGCAGCTGGGTATACAACAAAGGGAAAAAGAATAAAAGAAAGAAAGAATTCTTGTTCAAATTTGGTAATCGCAGGACCTCAAAAGAACTTTTTTCAAAACATTTCTGATGACATTGTAGAGGGTATATTAGAGATTGTTCTTTTTGAGAGAAGAAGACCATTGCACACACAGTACACACACACACACACACTTCATCTGTCCACCATAAAAAATAATAATAAAAAGGCGAAGGCACCCGCCCCCTTTCACTGCTTCGTTGTTATATCCATCAATCAATTCCATCCCCTTTCCCTCCCAAATGTTTCACCCCTTGATCCCTTGAATTGTGGACGCCGGCCCTCCAGAAGAACAGAATATGATCCTTGAGAATAAAAAAACCCGTGCGCTATAAAGAAAAAAAAAAGCAAAAAATAGGATATGCCACAAAAGAAAGGAAGAAGACAAAGAGAAATAAAATGGTCGGAAACAGCAGCCATCTGGGAGCGCTAAAGTACAATAACAATTCTACCAGGGACATTATGTTGCTGAAATCCCCAGCGGCAAAGAACCCTTATACACATCCAGTGTGTGCGCGCTGTCGCGAAACCTCATCATGCTTATGTAGTCATTATAAGACGAAAATGTGTTGTTGCTGTTGTTGAAAGGGAATATCCGGGGGCGTGGTTCATCCAACGTAGTGAGACCGCCCATTCTTGTCCACCTCTATTCCATGTCGTCTCCTTTCGAATCGAATCTTGGCCGCCTCGGTTCCATCGTCGGGCTGTGCCATTTCTTTGAACCACGGGTGGTTGAGAGCCTGCTTGGCGGTAATTCGCTTGGCAGGGTCGTAAACAAATATTTTTCTCAGCAGATCAAGGAAGTTCTTGAAAAATGTTGAATTAGAAGGAATGATGTCCTATCAAGTTTATGTTAGTTTCATTGTGTGCCACAGGGTATTTGTTATTTTGCAAACTTACGCTCAGATGCTTCATCGCTTTCACAAACCGTCGAGAACCCCTGGTCGTCTCTGGTGTTGGGTAGTCGAGCTTAAGGCGCTTAAAGTATCTGTAGATTACAAGTCAGTAACAGGTCACATCCCATTTGGATATCTTGCTCGCGTAGAGGCGCAGGGTCTACTCACTTGGAAGCAGGATTTCCTCCACTTCTGGTAGACATCTTGTTCACTGCTTGAACGAGATGGGAGTCTATCCGAGAGCCCACAACAGCTTCCATCATGGCAAGATGCTCAAGGTTATCGTGAGTCTGGAACAAGGCATCGCCGGTAAAGAACTCGACCAAGATGCATCCTATGCTCCAGATATCGCAAGGGAAAGACCAGCCTAGACCAAGGATGATTTCCGGCGCACGATAGTGCCGGGTGCTCACCACGGATGAATGATATTCGTCTTGGAAGGTGGCCGACCCAAAATCGATCAAACGAATCTCAGTATCAAGCAGCACTCTGCGCTGAGACGCCTGCCGATTGATCGTGGTAGATGATGAAGGAATCTTTCTGTTATATGTAAATGTCTGATAAGAATTATCACACAGCAGAATGTTTTCCGGTTTAAGGTCGGTATGGATTAGGTTCAGGTCGTGGAGGACTAGAAATCACCATCCCGGTCAGCTATTTTCTCTTCTTGGCAAGCAGCAAAGGCCTGTGACTTACAAGCTACGCTGGTGAATAATTGTCGGGCAAAGTTCTGAATCTGGCTGTTGGGAAAGGGGACAAAGCCGTTGCCCTTGAGAAAGTCAAAAACGCTCTGGCCCAGGAGATCCATGACGATGCAGATGTGGCCTCGGTAATCGAAGCAGTCTCGCAGGTGGATGCAACGATTCCTGTTTTCCTCGTCGTTGGCCTTGAGCGTGGCCAAAACGCGAAGCTCGATCCTCGAAGCATCGCGGTATTTTTGGACGGATCGAATGATCTTGACAGCCACAGGCTTGTTCCTCTTCAGATCACGGGCCTCTACTACTTTGCCAAAAGTGCCCTGTCCAAGAAGACGAACAATTTGATCTGCAATGACAATTAGCTATCAAAGGTCCATCAAAAACCCAAAAGAAGCCCATTATGGGAGGGGAGGATAGGAAGATACATACACTTATCAGTCAATTCAGCGTCTGGGACCACGATATAATGGCCGTCATCATCATCAACTTTGGCGTTTTTGCCAAAGTGGCGCTATGGTGGGAAATGAATGTTAGCGACAACGCGACTTTCTTCATCAAGACGAGTTTGTTTATTTCTTCTCCATCATGAAGAAATAATCGTAGCAGCTGTGGGGAGGGAGAAAAGAGCAAAACTTACATCGTGAATCACCTTGACGGGAACCTCTGCAGACTTCTTGGGCGGGAAAGGTGGAGGCTTGTAGGCCATAAAGGCGCCTCCTAGGCCATCCACGTCCCTTCGCTTGGCCTCATTGGCAGCCTGCTGCCGGGTGGTGCGCTTTCGCTTCAACGGCGTGACCAGTTCATCGTACTGGCCATTTGCAGATAGAGACGTGGGCGCCGTTGTGTGCAGTGCCGAGTTTGTGCGGTCGCTGGAGAGGGTCGAGCCAATAGGCGTGTGGTTCGGCAGAGGCGTGTTTGTGTGCGAGCCGGCGAGATACTGGACGTGGTAGCCAGGCTGCTCGTTGTGTCGTCTCTTCTTGGCGGACGCCGAGTCGACGACGGCGCCGCTGGCGTTGCTGTTGCTATTGCCATTTGTGATTTTGCGGCCGGTGTTGGCCTCGGGCTCTGGCGTGTCGTCAATGACGATGATTTCCTTGGGGAGGCCGTTGCGGTAGAAGTTGTTCCAGTCGGGCTCCCGAGAGCGCCGACGCTTTCTCGACGGCTGGTCCTCGGCGGCAGGGCGGCCGGCGGCGGGCACGACGCCCGAGGACGAGTTGTTGGCCATGGCGGGCGTGTAGGGCTCGTCGTATCGCGGCGCCTGCGACGGGTCTGCGGCGTGGGCGTGGGCGTGGTGAGGGGGTCTCGAGGCCGCGGACTGCGAGTGCGGCTGAGCTATGCCATCTGCCAAGGTGTAGCCGTTGGAAGCGTAGTGGTGATAGTACGGCAGCGGCCGAGCCGGGTTCTGCGAGGGAGACGCCGCCGCGTACGAGTTGGCGGCCTGGGTTGCGGGCAGCAACGACGTGCGGTAGTTTGAGGCTGTGGTTGTAGCAGACGAGTGGCCCTGATGGTGGAGGGCGTAGTTTGGCGGGTTGTACCGTGGGTGGTGGTAGTGAGGGAGCGTGGCCGTGGCCGTGGTAGGCGTCGACATGGCCGCGGCGATCGGTCCCCCGGCGACGAGGACGCTGGCGAGGCTTGCAGTCGAGATGTCGCGAGAGCCGTGCTTGTGTCTTTTGCGAGGCCCAATGCACGGGTTTTGTGGTGTTGCAGAGATCAACGACGCCGAGCTGAGGCAGAGAGCAGAGCAGCAGAGGCCTGCACCGGGCTTTCTTCGCGGCTGCTCAGGCGGATGAGCCGCTGACTGGAGCGAGTACTTTTAGGCTTTTTAGCGCCCTGAGAAAAATAGCTGCTGCTGGCGGTGGGAAAAAGCGTTGGAGTCGGAAGATGCAAAAAAAGGAAGTCGTCTCGAGCAGATGCCCTTCTTTTCTTTGGGTTTTCGGTTCCAGGCCCGGTGATTACAGGCTGGAACTCTCGTTTGGCTCAATCATCAGCGCCTTGGAAGCCGCAAGAGGCAGAGAGAGGAACGGGCTGAAGCTGGAATTGCTTCTGGAAAGGATGGCGTGGTTGAAGCGTGACGAGGGCCCAAAATAGGGACGTTGGCGCTTCTCACACTGGGCCTTGAGGGAGGAGCCAGCGCCCGTCACTGTGCTTTCAGCAGCCGAGCACCGCCCTGGCGCTGTGCGGAGCACCGACCCCCAGCCGAAGAGCGCTAAAGCATGGCGCGCTGCAGTGAGGCAGACAGCGCGAACACGCCCGGAAAGGCTACTGTAGCTTAGCACAGATCTAGTAATAAATACTACAGGCTTGAGCGACATTTCATGACAGAAGACAATGCTTGACTGTCCCTTTTTTTTTTTTTTTTTTTTTTTTTTTTTTTTACGCTGTATGCTTGATTCTTTTTTGTATCTTCCGACTTCACATTTTTCACAGACTTGGTAAATACATTGCTCGTGAGGCTTTCATGGATTGGTAATTCTCCCTACAGCAAATGCCGCCGTAAACTGTTTTACGGGCTTCCCCCATTCCAGGCACTAAGCTGAAATTGTGCAGGCCAGTGCGGGTTCCCCGTAGAAAAAAATAGCCACGGGGGGGAATCTTTTGCCACAAAGCATGATATGATACGCAAACGACTCGGGTCGAAAGTTTGATCCTGGAGGGGAAAGAGAAAATTAAAAGGAATTTTGATAAGAAACAAGGAAGGGGTACAGTAGAAAGAAAATGCCTCGTGATATACATCAGCCGCAAAAAAAAAAAGAAAAGAAAAGAAAAACAAATACTGCTGTATTGCTCAGTCACGTTTACAGCGTCAATCAATGCCTGCCCAGCTCCACGTCAATTGAAAGCACGCTCGGCACAGCCAACGTTGGTTTCAGTGTGTGCTCGTACCTGCACGGCTGTAGGCAGGGTCCCCCAAAACAGCGCCTTTCCCCAGTGGCTTCCAGCCAACAGGGCCGCTGTCGATTCATCACTTTCAGTTCTGCGGTTGGGGCGAAAAACAGTCCAGAGGGAGGGGTGGACCATGCCCTACCATATTACTCCATGTGCATCTAACTCTGAAGAGCAGTAGCAAGCAGGCACCACGGCCCGCAAGACTAGATGCAGCGTGTGATGGATGGACACGGCATGATATTCGGTCTTGACGCTCGTTCCGCAACGGGCTGGATTCAAAATCACGGGCGGGCAAAAGAGCTGAAACCTCCCTTCTGGTGGCCCCGGCTTTCGCATCCATAAATAGGGCCGTTCGAAAATGGAATTAGCCCCGGCAGAAAAGAGAGAGGGACGCAGAGAAAAAGAAAGGAAACAAAGAAACAAAGGGAGACTCCCTTGGCTCCAGCTGCTCTTGGAGTCGAGGTCCTCTTTTGAGCTCGCTGGCATTACTGCTCTTGGGCTTACGCCTTTGCCAGGCACCTTCATGTTGCTCTCATACGCAGTCTCCACGATGATGATGCCGCTGTCCAGCATCAGTGGTCAATCCCTGCACCGCAAACTCAACAAACCGGCCAGCCACAGACCTTAAAGTGCTAATAAGCGCGGCCCATCCTGTCATCTCCGCTGCTCCCTCGTGCACTCGCATCAAATCTCGACTCGCCCGCGACTCTCGGCGAATCAGACGGCGTCACACCCAAATTCCTTGCGCCAAATCCCACCGCCAGCACTGACCAGAGCAGACCCAGATTCAAAGTCACGCATTGTAACCCTGTCCCGCTCTCGCCTCTCGTCTTGTCTCCAACGGAGGCGAGCAGCGTGTCTCGTCATATTAAAAAGCCCCGGGAACCAGTTTACAATTTATCCTACATGCAACGTACATGCCCAAGGTTGACTAGGCGGACCCGGCCCGACGTACTAATAGAGTCCATCTCCTCTCGCACACGCACCACACAACGCCAGCAGATGCTACAAGTACAAAAGTTTACCGCGTTTACACACGAGAACAAGTTTCGAGCCCGACGACTTTCGACTTTGCCACCCCTTGGATCTCGCTCAAACGCCCACCAGACCAACTCCAGCCCTTCATACTGTACCACGAATCTTGGACTCTTAGTTTGGCTACCAACCTTGATGTAATCTTCATTCTTCCACAGTACAGATACGAGTGCCAGCCAGCGAAATTCCCGGCCCACCTGCGCATTATGTCACCGGGGACGCAGTCCCGCCATTCCCAGCCACTGTGGGCTCTGCTCTGCATCTGGTGCCGTAGGGCTTCTCTTCTCCTCCCAGCGTCTCTCTGGTTGCAGAAGATACAAGTAACTCGAGCGACATGCAATCCCTCGCCCGTGACGTGACGTGACGAGAGAATGCAAAGGCTAAATGGGGCAATCCAGGCAAAATGTCCCGACAACAAACACGTAAACTGACTGACTGACTAAACCGTGTGTTATCCTCTCCGCACCTCGAAACACGAAGGCGGCAATTCCTCAACGCTGCTCTGATGCAACATGTTACCGCCCGTACATTTAATGAGAATTGACTTCTCAAACCACTGCGGGCTTTCTCTTAGGCAAAGCCACTACACGCCATCCAACGCACATGCAATGTTTCACCCCTCCTTTGCTTGTCCCAATCATGCAAGAATCGCCGTGCATAACATTGCTGCATCACATGCTGGCAATGCCATGATTCCATTTGACGATGCCCAAAGGCAGCCAGCAGCGTGCCTGCTTCGCCCACCAAAGCCTCAATGGAAAATTCAGATCAACTCCTCAATATCAGTATGAATTTTTTCCATCACTGCTGCTGCTGCCGTTGCTGTGCTAGAGTGCCCTTTTAAACAGGCATTGACTGATTTTGCGTCACGCACGCCTTGCATCATGGGCCATATGGGGCCATCTACTCCATCACTTCTGCCCCAGTTTCCAGCGCGCACCGCTTTCTTGCTCTCTTCTCTTTCACTCTCTCCACTTCCCTTTGGTGCTTGATGCAGTCTTACGCGAGCAAAGAAGCCAAGCCCAGACTTCTGGATCGCTACGGAGCGCACGCTAATGGTGCCTATCTAGCACTAGCGAGTACCCGATAAAGGGCAATCCGTGTTCCGATGCCTTTTATCGCCTTATAAACTCCGGCATGCACAAGTCCACAACGCGTTGATCATGTGGCGATGCAAAAGTGCGTCATGCTTCATGCCTTTGACTAGTTCTATTGTTTCTTTCTTTTCGGTGCTGGATATGTACAGATGCCATCTACAAGTAGAATCGTTTGATGCGTATTCGAGTGCCTGCAGGAACACTGTTAGACAAAACCCATGTAGTCAACTTTTCTCCCCTGCACGGACAGACATGCATACAGGCGCCCTGTTGGTGTACAAGATCCAATCCTCCGTTAACCAGCCCTCATGTATTGACTTTCTGACCCGCGTCGGCATCCCCAACCGTCTATTAGTAGTGCCTCATAATAGTAGTAGTAATAGTAATATCCTCGATATGGGCGGAATGCGGAATATTCCACGGCGTCGATTAAGCCTGTAGTGGAAGGCGGCCATGGGTCGCGTAATACCTCGATCGTCTCGTAGTAAGCCCGGGATCTAATAATACGTTAGCTCCTCAGCAAAGCCCCATGCTCATAAAGTCGATAAAGGAAAGAAAAAGGCATGCCGACGCAGGGATGCAAGGGAGGGAACGTGCTGGAAAAGTGAGATATAATAGCGTTCTAGATGGGCAGAGCTCCATCGTGTGAATCCTTTGATCCCATTCACGCTCCGATAACTCGGAGTGCAATACGACGTTTCCTCGACTAATTCGTTAACATAACTCGTCATGGTCTTTTATCTACCATCTTTTTATCTACTATATCGTCTAACGAAAAGCAAATGCAACGCAAAAAATGAAGCTCTGCATAAACATCTAGGCATAAACTCTATGCACTCAGCCTTCTACCGTCTACCAATGCCGTTGTGACATCTGTCGGTCCAGGAATCTTCCAAGCCTTTGCTCAGCCACTTCTCTGTTAGATAGTCCTTGAACAGCGCATCCATCCAGGAAATTCTTGCATAGTTGTCGGAAAAGCCGTCATATGCTGGCCGAAATCGTCGTCAAGTGAACAAGTCCGGTCTAAGCGCTCGAAAAGCGCCATCCCCTACCATCTCCTCGCCAATATATGCCGAGAAGCGGTATCATATATGTTGTTCAGCGTGTCCATGTCATCTTACAGACCACGGTTGAACCAAACCTTGCCACTGTCGCCTCCCTTGCCATGGAACTCAGGCTCCAGGCTCTCGGCGCTGATTGCCTGCCTCTGAGGGAAGACTGCCAGTGCCAGAGGAAGTGCCACAAATCCAACCGCCGCGATCAGCCCCAAGTTGATACCAATGGGAATTGAGGAGGCAATTCGCGGTCGAGCCTTGATCCACTCCTTCTCCATCAAGTTCTTATACCAAGCCTGCTTGAACTGAATGTGGTAGAGAGTCATGGCCGGGATGATCATGATGGGGGTATTGTTGATAACGCGGCTGGCCGCAGTTTCGTACACTGCAATCTTGGCCGCCTTCTGACTCCTGCCCAGAGAGGGCACATCCGCCTCAGATTTTCCCTCCTCAGTCAGCTTCTTCTTCTCCTCGTCCGAGAGCACAGGGCGAACGTCAATGCCCGTGACAATCTCTCCTCGTCGCATGAGGTATGCGTTCAGGGCACCGGCGGTTGCGACAGCGGCGAAAGGCACGAGTCTGCTCAGAACGTTTCGTGTGCTGGGAGAGACCTTTAATCTTGGCACCAGGGCGTTGAGTCCGAGCGCCACCGAGCAAGAGGCCGTGACGGCGATACCGTAGGACTTGGCGAGATCCGCAGTGGTCATCGGCGAGGACTTGTTTGCGTTCGAACTGTTGATGGCAACGTTGAGGGACTGGTTGGCAACCTGCCATGCGACTGTGCCTGCTGTTCCCAGGCCAGGCTGCAGCATACCGGCCGTGACGATGAGGTTCGATAGGACGAAGCATGACATTCGGAAAGGCAGAAAGACTGGTTCTCCAGTGTCTGTCCGCAAAGGTCAGTATTCTTTTCTCTTCTAAGCATATTTCCAAGATCTGATCTGCTGTTCCATACCGGGATGGAGAGTCGAGTCTACAATCTTCTTCGCGTGCCATATTTCCGGTGTCATATGTTGCAGCTTTCCAGTCTTGTACTCTGTGACAAGTCTTTTGGCATTCTCGAGTCCTTGCGAACCAGCAAGCAGGGTGCTACAAAGCGACACGCAGGAGTCAGCAATTCTCCATCAACATTGTGCCGTAGAGACTCTTCTACAAGACTCACCTCGGATCCGTGATGCTCATCGTGTGCCTCACACGTCCGTAGTACGTCGACAAGTCATACTGGGACGAAGGCAGGTCCCGCGACCCGGGCAAAGAGGCGGACATGGCGTGCAGAAGTCGATTGACGGCGATGCGGTCCAATCCAGCTGTCTCTGCCTATGCCTTTTGGCTGTTGTCGCTGGGCTGGTGATTGATGCGAATTGTCAACGGCCAATCCTCCTGCGGGGTGCGCAGCGTCCAACTTTTTGGCCCAAAGCGTCCCAGCGAAACTTGTGCCGAATCTCGAGACGACGATAAGCGCAGCTCTTAGTTAGGTAGGTAGTACTAATGGTTTTTGTTACGCGACCCCGATCTCGGCTCTTACGTTGGCAGAGGATTTGTCTGGGCCATTCTTAGTGGTCCAGAAGGAGCCCCCACCGGCAGTAATACATGGCACGCCAACAAACAACCAGCCATATTGGCAGAGATGCCTTGTGAAGATGATATTTGCAAAGACGGCGCAGAGCAGATGCCGCCAGAAAGCGCACATGGATGAATTCTTAGCATGTCGCCTACTGTAGGGCGCGCTCTGTGTCAAGACATCCATGCAATGCGGAGTAAAACGAGCAGTCGATATTGCTCGAAACTCGACAGGCGCCAGTCTCACTGTAGTTAAGCAAATCCATGCTCTTCTCCACAGCCAAATTGCGACAGGGAAGAGGCAGATCTCGGCACGTGGCTTGAATCTGATTCGCATGCAACAAGCAGGAGGTACGAGGCGCACTTGCCAAAAATACACCGTCCCGATTCGCAACGAGCAAAAAGAAACACCCGCAAAAATGGTGTATACAGGCAAAAAGAGATGCTCCTGATGGAGCTTCGAAGCGACCACGCCAGGAGTCGAACCTGGAATCTCTAGAGATGATGAAGACCGAAATCTAGCGCCTTAGCCATTAGGCCACGCGGCCAATGATGTCATCGCTTTCGATGCATCTTTTGATGCTCATCGGCTTGCAATTTGGGTATACGGAGCTTTCGCCAAGTTGGTGGGCTATTGCGCACTGTACGTTGTCGCGCTGAACCGGTCACCATCTACCGTGTCTTACTGTTCTGAGTACTGTATTCTGGTGACTGCACAGGCAGCATCAGTGTTGAATTGTTGTAGAAGTTGAAGTGACAGATTGTCGAATTCCCAGAATGATTAGTCTTTATCTTTGTAAATTTAAGTTGACGATTACTTGGTATTTACTTTGATCTAGTATGCCTTGAGTCTTTTGCTCGGATGACTGACATTTCTTGTGTAAAAAAGACAAGCAGCTAGACTCGTAGCTTCTCATGGGAAAGATTGTCCAGCACCCCAGTTCTGTTGTCCAGCACTCTAGCTATAGCATTGGCTACTGCTGCTATTCCCAAGTCCATATGGCGATTAAATACCCCCTTTATATACTATGCAGGTATGCACTAGCTGCCTTGTTGAGCTACAACTGGGGTGTTGAATAATAAAGCTGGCATGCTGGATAAGTCTTCTCTTTCTCATTCGTTTCAGTGCTACTCCAGCAAAGCATAGATTCAGCGTTAGTCCAATGTCCAAAGGCAGTGTTATTCCAGCTAAAGAAGAATTTTGACGGCCTAGCAACCTGAAAGCATGATCTGTTCATCTTAGTAGTGCGCGCAATTTTATTCTATGGGTGCCAAAGCGAAGAAACTTGAAGAAAGCCTCATACACAGCCATAATATCATTCATCTTTATATACACAATTCATTTACCAGCCACTTGGCCAGATGTTCTCTGTTAGTAGATCAGAGGCGAGCTAAAGTGAAAAGTGCTACATACATCTCCTGCATCTGCGCTGTTGAGGGTCTTTTATTGCCCAGTAGAAGGATCTACTTTATTATTTGTTTATATGTTCAAGGCAAGATTATTACACTGTTCAGTATATCACCCAGGCTTTGCTGTAGAAACTGCAAGCACCTGCAAGCGTGATAGCACGTGAGCTGCCTGGCTCCTATAAAGCTGCTGCACCGTCACCTGGCAGTCACTCTTCTCTTACTTCCTCCTCACAGCTCTTTGCACCTACTCTGTCTTCTCTACTGCTTTCTGCGTAAAAAGAACTTTCCTTCCTCAAATTGCAATTCATTTGCTTTCCGCTTCAGCGCCGTGTTCTATTCCTCAACCTACGGGCAGCCTGAGGTAGCTATAAAACTGGATTCGCACATTCCGCACCACTGATCAGTTACTAATTGTTTCGACAGTCAAAAGGATGGATTTTACTCCAGACTCTGGAAAGTCCAGCAATGTACCGGCTAAGAATGGCGAAGTCATCAAGTCAATCTCCAACCTCAAGGCATGGCTGAGCAACGATCCCAAGACTCCCAAGACCCCCGCGACCCCCAAGACTCCATCTTTCTTGAAGAATCAAGTATTTCAAGAGAGCTTAGCCGTAGCGGCCGAGCAACCAAGTTCAGATGAGACAAAAGACTCCAGCGACGCCTCAGTTCGTATGACTGAAGATCCTACTCATCCAAGCGCTACTGGGGTGTCGGATACGAGTCTTCAGGAACAGAATGAAGTCAGTTACCGCTTCAAGCGACCGCCGTCTATTCTAGACACAATCAATCGACTTCTGAGCCCCGAAAAGCCCACTGAGCAAGAACCGGTCAAGCGAAGGGCTACGCCAACAGAGCAAGAGCCAGCCAAGCGCAAAGCTACGCCAACAGAACAAGAGCCAGCCAAGCGCAAAGCTACGCCAACAGAACAAGAACCAATCAAACGCAGAGCTACGCCGATCCATTCATCAAAGTTGACAGACGGCATGAGTGAATTCGATAAAAAGTCTCCGCAACAAAGAAAGGTGTCGTGGGTTATAAGCGAAGGTCTTTCGTGGGACATAAGCGAAGGCGCTTCGGACAATGGCTGTCAGAATCATCAGGCACGGTATACTACACCTAAGGAAGCCAATATTTCGCAAAATATGGGATGGCTCCTCCAAGTCTCTAACCCGCCTACGGTGGTGGATTTGTTAGCGTCTACCGCAATGGATCACCACAAAAAGGATATCGATCCCATAACGGGAAAATTCCTGCCAGAAGTTATCCACCCGGATACCTTCAAAACTCTCGGCGATGGCCCGGCCCGTGGCTATGCTGATATCGCCTGGCGACAGGCCAATATGACGGTCGAATTACAAATCGATCGAGAAATTCGAAGCCGAGAGGTTCTTGCAAACAAGGCTAGGTTGCAGGTGGAATCTGTTCAGCCTGAGTTGAAGCCGATACCTGTTGAGCCGCCGGCTTGGCCCGACGCTGAATGTATCGTACGGCCTGCAAGGCCTGAAGATTTCGAAGCCATTGCTACCATCATGAATTTGGAAAGTAAGGCAAAGGTTAACCCACAAGTGTTTGAATGGAAGGAAGTTGTGGCAGCAGACATTCGAAAGATATACAAGAGCTGCCAAGACAACTTGCGACCATTTGTTGTTGCTACTTCGGCAGGGGATCCCTTGCTCGACCGCTCCAACTGGCCCGAAAATTCCACAAAGGCTTACCAGAGCTATCTTGCATTTCGTGCATCCCAAGCCGAGGCTCCACAGGAACTATTTGGTTTTGCCTTTGTCACGGAAGCCAGGATCGGAATTCTTGGGACCGCGTGCCCTGGGTCAAGGCATGCTGGACAGATCAAAGTGATTGTCCATCCTGATCACCAAGGAAAGCTATATGGCTCTGCTCTACTCGACAGGATTTTGCTATGCACCGCGCCCTTCCATCGAAGCATGGTGGATTACGAGTGGCAGTGCCAAAACTCCGCAAAGGTTTATGAGAATATTTCGTACCAGAACCATCGGAAATATGCTTGGGTCTATATTGAAACTTTTTGCGCCGATAGAGCCGATCCAGCAACGCAACTGGTGAGCAACTTTCTGCAAAAGTTCGAATTCAAGGAGGTAGGCTGCCTGCCCAGCGCCATCAAGACAGACCGTTATTACGAGAGCCAATGGCTTGACTTGGTGCTGTGGGCACGCGAAACGCAACCTCGCTCTAATATCGTGGATACTGCGCCGGGCGCCCAGCCAGAGGCAGATAGGATGCATTTGTATCAGACTTTGGCGAGGCCAAAGAAGAAGTAATCTTACACGCCTTCTAGGCTCGTTTATACTGGACCATCAGTTGAAGAGTATCCTATGCTCATCAAGTTGAACAGACAGATTTTTCTATTTATTGGAATTTGAAAAATGGAGCTTTGCATTATTTGAATCGTGCGTGCATTGGAACGAAAATATGCGGTCGGTGTTGCTGAGGTTTAGAGTAAGGGAAAACTATGGGGAACGCGCTCTGCATCACGTGTGCGTATACTGCGCTTCTAGCAGCACATCATAGGTAGCCATCTATCATCAGGCAGACGAATAACCAGGAAACTTGAACCTTTTGAAAATTGGTGCCTAAACCAGTGATTGTATATTAAATACTCGATTCCTCATCGATACCCATCTCATTTCCATATCCTCTATTCGCAACTGGATCAACCTCTATCGACACACAAAAAGCCTTTCCTGGGTGAACCTTGGGCAGCACGATGTTGTCGATCTTACGCAAAGCACGATTAAAGGACAAGGAAATGCGAATTCTGATGCTGTGCGTATCCAATATTGTTATCAAACCAAATATTGAATCAATCTGATTTATTGAAAGAGGACTGGACAATGCGGGCAAGACAACAATTGTCAAGAAAATTATGGGTGAAGATGTGAACACGGTGAGCCCGACGCTCGGGTTCATCATCAAGACGATAGACTACCAAGGGTAACTACTTCTCGCTTGAACTGACTGTAAGATATACCTGAATCTAACAATTCTACATAGATATAAACTCAACATCTGTGCGGAGATGCCCGTAGATTCTCATACGCTACGGTCATTGCTAACGTCAATAGGGGATGTGGGTGGCCAGAAGACGCTGCGGTCATATTGGCGCAATTATTTCGAGAAAACAGATGCCCTGATATGGGTCGTTGACACAACAGATCGACTACGAATAGATGACTGTCGAGAGGAGCTCCATGGATTATTGGAAGAAGAGGTATGAGCCAGCCCCTTTTCTTGGGTCGATCGGTCTAACCTGTAGGGTAGCGTCTGGCGGGAGCTTGCTTGTTGATATTTGCAAACAAGACCGACGTGGATGGGTGCATGACCCAAGAGGAAATTGTTACTGTAAGTCTTGTTTTTTCATTGGATAGTTCGAAATCTTGACTTTGACTATTGAGGCTTACGAGGGGCTGGGTAGATGCTGCGATTGCCTGATATTCGGACACATCAGTGGCATGTGCTGCAGTGCAGTGCCATGACGGGCAAGAATCTAGAGGAGGGATTATCCTGGGTGGTGGAGGATGCCAAGAAGCGGCTTTTCTTGTATTAGAATCCTTCACGGAATCTTTTTCTTCATTATGAAAGTTTACATCGCATGTTATGTACGGAACGGAGCATCATCGTATGGGTCCCTTCTGCCGGCACCACCATCGTAATTAGCATCATTTCGGCCACCTATCGGCCATCGGTGATACGGAGCACAGAATGAGCGTCGCACAAAGCATTTGACAAGCCTCGTGTGGACGGACTGGGTTGTCAAGGGCGATGAAGAGTGGAATTGTGGATAGGCTGAGCGGACCATCTCGCCTGACCAGCGTCTTGCGAGCTTGATTGGCCCGCTGAGTGAAATGCCTCGATCAGATTCAAGCAAGACAGGAGACTAGAGACATACCAAGAGGTAGAGCCACGGAGACAGTCAATGCCTTGCAGCCTCTACAGCTCTCAAACGCATTGATGGTGGTGGGTTGACTCTGAGCTACTGAGTGCTAGTACAATCTCGTGTCTGTATGCGTGTGTTTACTGTTGTGGAATCTGTAAAGGTAAACAAACCCCCCGTTTCTAGAACCTTGCCGTAGCAAGATGGAACAGACCGTGCCTGAGCTTGACTGCCATGTTCAGGGGAGAGGGCTGAATGGGCGATTTCGTCTAAATAAGGAGATGCGTGCCCTGTGCTCCCCGTATTACTAGCTGTGCAATATAATGTCTGGCGTTGATTTGATTGACGTTGACCGCAAAAGCGCCCCTTGCATATTAGCACCAAGACGCACGAGCTGCTTGGACGCTGGTTACAGGGGCCGTCAATGCCTACGGGGCCCCCTCAGGCCAGCCCTGAGCAGCCCCGATTTGGCGGCGACGCGCTAAGAATTAAAAAGGCGCCCAGCGTAGCAGGTCCCGTTAGACTGTTTCTGCCCCCGATGATGCCGCCTGTTTGCCGGTAGCTCAGGTTTCTGTTACCGCAAGTGCGCGAGCCACGACCTGGCAGTGAGGCAACAGCTGGAACTGAACTTAAGCTGCAGCCACCCCACCGCTACAACGCCAACAGACACAAACCTCGACCTCGACCTCGACCTCGACCCTCGACAGCGCGGAATCCTTTGCTGTCCTTTGCACCTCCTTTTCCCCGCCGTGCCATGCCATTGTTCGCGACTGTGACGTACCGGTAGAGGCAGCCAGATCGTGAACCCAGAACCCGCCATGTCGGACGAAGTATCCCAGTTCCTCGAGCAGGTCGAGCGCCTGCGCGGGCAGCAGATTGAAGATGAGGAGATGCGAGCCCGAGAGCGGGAGGAGTTTCTTGCCGCGAAACGAGAGCGCCAGGCCAGGAGAGAGGGTGAGTCTTCCATCTTGTCTCGCGCCGTTCCTTTTCCTTATTCCCGACATGCTTCCACGTTCTTCTCGCAAATGTAACCGGGCGGTTTTCCCCGCTGATGGGCGGATTTGACTTTCGGCGGTGCCTTGTTGCTGTGGTGCTCGCCAGTTGGAGCTATCGGAGGTTTGGTTTGCCTCCAAGCCGTGGTTTATTTACTTTTTGCCTTTCTTATGGGCCCAACACGACTTGCTGCTATGGGGACCCTAAGCAGCGAACATTTATGAATTTTCGGGACCTGACCAACTGATGAAACAATGCTGACCCGCCTTATCCAAAAGAACGCGCCAGATCAATCTCTCCGCAGAAATCATCACCAGCCAACACGCCGTCTCCCCGCACACTTCGACGGACCGTCAACCTCTCCGAATCCCTCAGGCTCGACTCTCCTGCTGGCGAGGCTATAGAAAAGCTGCGCGAGAGGCCGGCCGAATCGGAAAAGCCCCTGGGAACGGACGTACCATCCGATGCAATGCTGTACTCCACCTCAGCGACGAAAGAGAACGAGGCCCCTGAGGATCTCGACGCGAGGCGGGGCGATGCCGCGACTGGCTCTCGAGCCTCAACACTCGCCTGGCAGCGGCGGACGAATCGATCCAACAGCCGCCCGCTGAGCGTTTATGCGGCCCAGAATGCTGCCCAGAGCTCGACGAGCAAGCCATTTGCTGACACTCAGGAGCCCCACGAGCCGCCTTCTCCCACGCAACCTCTTTCCAAGGATCAAATCGCCAAGAGCCTTGCGTCAAAGGATGCATCGTGGTTCCGCCAAACTGCTGATCGAGGCGCAGACTCCGCAGCGTATAGGAAGAACCAGGTTGAAGATGATGATCGACTCGAGATGTCAAGTCTCAGCTCACAGCTGCCTGGCATGGCCAGCGAAAATTCATCCGAACGCCCTGTTTCGCGGGGTAGTGAGAATGTCCTCAACAAGCTGTCAGCTCCCTTCACCCTAAACCCACTTGGCTTCGACAATCCGTCTGCCGAAAAACCTCAAGCGGAACCTGTTGCTTCAACGCCTACTGGCCGGTCTTCCCCAGTACGCACAACCTCTCCAACCAAGGGCATGGGAGGATTTGTGCAGAGCGCAATGATGAAGAGGAGCGATAGCGTAAAGCGATGGTCCGTTGCAAGCCCGCCTGCATTGACTCGCCCTGAAAACACGAGTACGCATCGCGGCTCCGTTGATAGGACCCTGGCCAGACCGCAGAGCATGTTTATTCGCGACCCGACAACGACAACGACGACGCCGGGCACAAGCAGATCAGCTTCTCGGCCGTCGTCTCGTCCAGCCTCTCGGCATGGGGGAGAAGAATCCGCATTTGAGAGACGCCCCAAGACACCGTCATCGACGAGCCCACCTCCGTTCCAAAAGACTGGGCTTCCTGATGATGCATCCCTCCCAGTCAGTCCCTCCAAGACAATGGAGCCTAGACGCTGGAGTCCCACGAAATCGAGTTGGCTTGAGAGCGCGCTCAACAAGCCGGATTCGCCAAAGTTACCTCCTAAGCCAGCCTCTTCACAACAGCCAGCATGGATGGTAGAGCTCAACAAGAACAAGACAGGACGTGGCAATCCCACTCCGGAACCAGCTCGGCCCTCTCACAAGCACCAAGTTAGTATCGATGGGCTTATGAGGTCCACGCCAATGGGGTCGAAGCTGAATCTCAACACGACTGGCCTGGGAGGCATCTACTCGCCCCCTGGCACGCAATCTGCGCATCCAAATCGTGCATCGATGCAGAGCTTTCCTCCAGTGGCGGAACGGCCGAGATCAAAGTCGAGAGGTGCTTTTGCTGACGCGAGGGATGAAATGGAAGCGGCAGCGGAACGGCCAAGATCTAAATCGAGGGGTGCTTTTGCCGATGTGAGGGATGAAGTGGCAGCAGAGCGGCCCAGATCAAAGTCGAGAGGAGTTTTCGCTGAAGCGAGAGAGGAAGTGTTGGAACGGCCAAGATCAAAGTCGAGAGGTGCTTTCGCCGACGTGAGAGACGACGTGAGAGAAAAACGATCAGAATCTCTCAGCTCAGTGGCCAACCCACTGCCCAACCCACTGCCCAACCGGGCCAAACCTGAAGCTCCACCGAAGAAGGACTTGGATTTCCGCTCCAATCTGAGGCCGCGAGCCGCCGAGGCCCCGGTGTCGAAGACGCATGAACCAGAGTTCAAGGCTGTCTTTGGCACTCTCCGTAGGACTAAAACGCAAAATTTCAAGGCGCCAGACGAGCTAAAGGACAACATTCTCCGGGGCAAGGCGGCTCTCAACGCGACTGACGGCCCACAGAAGTCTACGATTCGGGACGATTTCAAGGACGCTATACAGAAAAAGAGAGACGATTTTAAAAAGGCCCAATCCGAAGGAAAGGGGACCGCCACCAACACGATTACGAAGCCCAAGCCTCTTCTCCCCGAAGCGCTCGCCCTCAGGGCTGAGCTGGGTAAGCCGACAGGCGGGCTCCAGCAAAATGCCCCCTCGGAGACGCGAACTCCATCCGGTCAGTCGATGAAGCCCGATTCACCAAAACCAACTCCTCCACAGAGAAAGTCAAGTCAAGTGAACTTGGCTAGGCAGCCTAGCCCATCATTGACTCCCACGAAGGACCCCTTAACTGAGAGACCCAGGCTAGACGATGCGGAAACCGAGACGCCAACGAAGATCGAACCCTCACCTAACTCCCCCGGACTTTTGAAGAAGAAGAGCGCCCCATCCAAGCTTGGCGGCCTGGCCGGACGATTCAACCCTGCGCTTGCCGGCATGCTGGCAAGAGGACCGCCTCCCCCAGCTCTCAATGGCGGTAACCGAGCCGAACAGTCAGGATCAGCAGGCGGAGATGCCCAGCCTTCACAACCAGGTCCTCAGTTAACGCACATGACTAAGGGTCGCGCGCGTGGTCCCAAGAGAAAGGCCCCTTCTAATGTGAGCAACACTACTACCACCTCCACCAATGTCCAGACAGAATCGCCTTTTGCGAGCCGGCAACCCGCCACTGTTGGGAAGCAGAGCATTCCTACACCCTTTGAAGCGAAGAAGCCCATGCCACTGCCAGCCCAAGATCGAGTGGCTACAAAACCTGATGTACCAAGCAAGCCAAGACCAGTCGAGCCGAAGAAGATGGAAGTTGAGAGCCGACCTGCGGAACATGTGGCCCCCTTGAACTTCCGCAGACGTATGACGCAACCCGAGATCCCAGTCCAGGATATATCGACGCAGCCCGAGGCAGAGTCGCCCAAGAAGCTCGACATGAAGCGCGTGTCGCAATTCTTTGAGCAAGGCAACAATACGGCGGCACCTGAACCTCCCAAGCAGCCAAAGAAGCTTTCACCTCAGAAGACTGGCACATGGGAGCCGGCCAAGGCCGCTACCCCTGTGTCTGAGCCTGCCAAGGAGCCAATCAAGTTGACTCAACAGAAGACTGGCGGCGGATGGTCCCCAGCAAAGAAGACTGAGCGTTCGCTGCCCGATCCTCGGTCGTCTACACCAAACCTTTTTGGAGAGACAAAGCCCACGGTTGCCAAACCTCTTGCGCCAGAGCCAGTCTCTGCTGCTGTGAAGGCCCCATTACCAGGCCCCAAGCCATCGGCTTTCAACATGCCACCAAAGGAGATTGAGACTCGTCAGCTGCCTCAGCTACAAGCTGAACCGGTACCGCCGTCACCTGCACGACCGCAAACGGCCCACGGTAGCGATGTATCAGCCATACTCCATGACTTCTTTGCTCCTCCGTATAAGCGAATTCCGTGCGATATGGATCCCGCCGATGTTCTCACAAACTATCCAAAATTCGGTGCAAAGATCAAGACTTTGTCATTCCACATGTTCCAGATTGATGGCACCGGCAAACAGATCATTGTCCCCGCTCACCGTGAGCGAGTTCTGTTCGAACAAGAGATGTACGTTGCCGGACACAACTTTACCAATGAAGCGGGATGGAAAGTGCGTGAGGTCTACTTCTGGATCGGTGACGAAGTCGCGGATGCAGATGAGGATGCAGCAGAGGCCGTGGCACAACAAGAGGCAAGGCAATTGGGCGGTAAGCTCATCAAGATTAGACAAGGCAAGGAGACATCAGAGTTTTTGCAAGCTCTTGGCGGTGTGGCTACTATTCGAAGAGGTGGAAGCTCCAGATACGACTCACTCGCTCCGGCCATGCTCTGTGGTCGACGATACCAGGGTCAAGTGGCATTTGACGAGGTTGACATGACTACCGCCAGCCTCTGTGCCGGATTTGCCTATCTGATTGCTCACTCTGGCAATTGCTATCTGTGGAAAGGCAAGGGAAGCGATGTAGACGAGCTCGGCTGCGCACGTCTCATTGGTATGGACTTGACATTGACTGGGCAGCTGATTGAATATGACGAGGGTAGCGAGCCTGATTCTTTCTGGGACATGTTGGAGGGCCCATCCAAGCCTCACTCTGCGGATCACTGGAGACTGAAGCCTAGTTATGGGAAGTACAACAGCAGACTCTTTTGCTCCGACGCAGAGTCTAGACAACAGGTAAGCATAGGACTTATCCCTGGCTGCTAGCAATGTTTGAAGGTTACTAACATTTCTTCTTCCTCTTTAGATCTATGAGATCAGCCCATTTAACCAGGCCGACATGTCGACATTCAACATCTACGTCCTCGACGCCTTCTTTGAGATGTACATTATTGTTGGCTCACAAGCGCAGTCCGAGTATGCCTCCTTCCGCAATGCTCTCGACTTTGCTCAGGAATACGCTGTCTTGGCAGCAAGCATGGAGGATCGCCCCTTTATTCCCATCTCGACTGTCGTCCTTGAGGGCGTGCCCCGTGACTTGAAGCGGGTGTTCCGCAAGTGGACTGACGAGCGATGCCCGACGCTCTTGCAGGTTCCTTCTGGCGAATCAGGTCTGAAGAGAGGTCGCAGTCTCCGAGTTGTGCCTCTTACTCAGGCAATTTTGGCTTTGAAGGAGTAAAATATCTTTCTTCTTTTTCTTTGGGGGCTGTGGAAGTGGTGAGATTGTGTATGTTGTTGCGTGTATCTGGAAAGAAGAACAAGAAGAACACATATGGGAACCTTATGGTCTTATGGTAATGTGTAGAATTGAAATAAAAGGGGGGAGAGACGGCGGCAAATCGGGTTTGGCAGGATTGTTGATTCTTTTTAAGAGGCGTACGGGGAAAAGCGCATGTAGAGGTATTTAGATATTCATGCTTTGGCAAGTTGAACGTTGAATGTGGTAGATGAAGAGGCACAAACAAGAATATTGTACTCGACGATGTCATCCTTGGTAACGAGGATAGTTATAGTATATAAAGATTAAGATAAAAGCACTCATGATGTATACATTCAGTAGATACTGTGCAAACTCATCTTTGATAACGAGGATGTAATATATACAAAGAAGAAATAAAAAATATTCATGAAACATACAATAAATAATAACTGTGCTAGTATATAAGGGTTTTACATCTAATGGGTATCAATTCAAAATTGACATCACATGCCATAACCCAAACCACCCTTGTCCGTCCCGAAAATTCGCCATTTAAACCACACCTGCCTTTCCTTCCTACCCACCCGATTTATTCTAAACCCAAAGCCGTGCCCGTCTTCTATTCTTAAGCGAGTTCTCAGTTTCTGGTTTCTTCTAGTCCTTCTCTTCTTTGCGCCATCGCTAGAACGCTAGTCTCTCTCTGTCTCTTGCTTGATGTCTATGGTGATATGTTTTGCTGTGCGCTATAATCACATAGCGTTTTTTTTTTTTTTTTTTTTCGTTATTTAGTTGTCGATGGCGGTGCTCTTGCCTTTGGAAGAGCCGTTGGTGGCAGGGACGGCGATTGGCTGGCCGCGAGCCTTTTCTGTCAGGTTGATGAGCTCGCTGAGCATCAGTTCGCGGGTCTCACGGGTGAGTTCGTCGACATCGGCGGGGGTGAGGTTGGCGGTGGGGATGGGGGCCAAGACTATAGCGAGTTTAGCATATCTTCTTCCTATTCAAGCTATATAAACGAAGGGAGTATTGGTAACGCACCTTTGACGGGAATCTTGCCAGAGTTGAAAACTAGGCTCTTGACATAGAGGATGTGGCTGTAGTTTGCGACAACAATGGGCACAATGGGAACTCCAGACTGCACAGCGAGGTGGAAAGCACCCTTCTTGAAGGGCAACAGCATAGGCTCCTTTGCGTAACTGCGCGTGCCCTCGGGGAACATGTAGACGCTCTGGCGGCTCGTCTTGATCTCGTTGGCGGCGCCGTCCATGGCCGAGCGAGCGCCCTGGCTGTTCTTGCGATCGATGAAGATTGTGCCGCTGAGGCTCATGAACCAGCCCAGGAACGGCACGCGCTTCAGCTGGGCCTTTGCGGTGACGCTACAGTACTTGGGGAAGACGGCGCCCAGCATGAGCACGTCCAGCTCGGTCTGGTGGTTGCCGATGAAGACGGCGGGGCGGGTCGAGCCGAGGATGTTTTCCGGGTCGTCAACCACAAACTCGATGCCCGTGGTGTAGCGCATGGTGAAGTGAAAGGCGCGGGCAACGGCCCATTGCGCAATCTGGCGCTTGCCGACGAGGGTGAGCAGGATGGAGGCCAGCACGCCGTAGAGGGCGCAGGCGATGAGCGAGATGTAGGCGGCGAGCGAGCGGGCGACGAAGCCGGCCTTGGGGACGACGAGGGACGCCATGTAGAAGGAGAGGGTGAGGGCGGTGTAGCCGAGGAGGAATTTGACGAGGTAGTCGAGGAGGAGGGCCATTCTTTTTGTTATTTATTTATTTAGGAATCTGCGGTGTCGGATCGTGGATATATAAGAGAGGAGAGTCGTCGAGTAGCTGATGATGGCGGCGGGGAAGAGGTGGACGAGGTTCCAAGGGTTCGCTATAGTTCCATGCTCCTGTTTCAAAAGGCGAAGAAAATATCACTCTAGATTCGTTCGATTCTTCTGCTGATACACCAGATCCGGTAGTGTGCACGGTTGGAGGGTGTGACCAGGTCAGGTTCAAGCGGAGGAAGAAAAAGGGACGAATGGATGGGATGGGGAAATCACAAGCACAGCGAAAAAAGTTGGTGGCCACGGGAACTAGTGGTTTAGTTTTGTTGGAGAAACGCTGGTTTACAGGTGACGGCGCTCCGGTCGGCGGTTGTATCGGTGACCTGTAGCGGTGGTTATCTGTGGGTGCTGGCGATAGGTAGCGGGGACGAGGAGGGATTCAACGTGTTGGCTGGACCTCGGCGGGATGGAAAATGACGTTGGGACCTGGTGGGCGCCGGGAGGCTAGAGGCTGGCGGCATGGCGGCGCTGTAATTGGTTGAAAATTAGAGGTCTGGGTTACCCCTGCGCTTGGTGTCGATACTTTCAATATGTCCTCTTGCTCATACTGTGGTCAGTAAAACGGAGCGATCTCCCCGTTGACATGCATTTTCATCTCATAATCGCCCACAAGTTGTCCTTTATAACGAAGTGTCGATGAAGTGGAATGCTTGCCTGCCTTGGCAGAATCTACTTATACACTGTGAAAGTTGTAGGAGGGGTTGATGCTTAACTGCATGTACATGTACGTACACATGTAATCTGCCCCAGGATTTGAAGGTGATTGGGCGCCTTCCCTGCCAATATGAAGACGCAAGGCATCATTAATCCTGCCTGGCCCAACTTATGGTCTTCAACGCCATCATCCGCAATTCTGCCATTCCTGTTGTTTTGCTATACATCCCGAAGAGCCACCAAAAGGAAGACGGCGTAATGGACGATAATCGCACAATCTCTCAAAGTATCTTTGGACATGATGCTCGCATCATCCAAGGCGACGTGATCGGAGGCAGTGTCCTTGTGACCAATAACTACGGCACATCATCTCAAGGCACAGACAAGAGAGACGGAGAGGATGACATTCTGCGCCGCCTCTATACGTCGCCGTACGAAGACCGAAAAGACCGTAACCCGCCTCGGGTTCCAGGAACATGCGAATGGTTCACATCCCACGAGCTCTTTAAGGAATGGGAAAGAAGCGATTCATCAAGACTGCTTTGGGTATCTGCAGATCCTGGGTGTGGAAAATCAGTCCTAGTAAGACACTTGGTGGAATATGTCCTTCAAACTACAGAGTCTAGGACAGTGTGTTATTTCTTCTTCAAGGACGATTTTCCAGATCAGAAGACGGTTGTCAATGCTCTACGCTGCATATTACGCCAATTATTCATACAGAAGCCCCTTTTATTTTCCGACAAGGTTCTACGTCGGTTTGTTACAGGCGGGGAAACCTTCTTTCATTCGTTTACCGAACTTTGGAAACCCTTATCCAGATTTCTAAAGACCAGAATGCCGGTGAAATCATCTGTGTCTTGGATGCGATCGACGAATGTGAAGATCAAGGGTCTCAGCTTGCTCAAGAGCTATGCAAACTTTATGGTGCTGCGAATGACTTTCATTTAAAATTCCTCCTTACAAGTCGGCCTTATGGCAATATCCATCGTGGTTTTAGGCCTCTGGAGATCCCTGGGCTGCCAGTCATTCATTTGAGCGGAGAAAGTGAGGATGAAGTACGGAAAATTTCTCAAGAAATCGACATTTTCATTCGATTTAAAGTCAAGGATATTGCAAAACGGCTAAAGCTTCTAGAGGAAGAGCAGAACCTCCTACTTCAAGAGCTTATGAAAATCTCCCACAGGACGTATCTATGGGTATATCTTACACTCGATTTAATCGAGAGAGACATCGTTGTTGACAAAACCATATCTACTGCCGCTTCCTGTATCCCGGAAACAGTGGATGAGGCGTATGATAGGATTCTCTCAAAGAGTTGCGATTTCAAGCAGGCGAAGAAGATATTACATATTATCGTGGCAGCAGTACGGCCCCTGACCCTGAAAGAGATGAGCTTCGCCTTGCTTCTTCGGAAAAGTCACCATTCGTGGGAAGACATAGATCTTAAACCTGAAATTCGTTTCCGCCAAGAATTACGGGACGTCTGTGGCCTTTTTATAGTAGTCATCGACTCAAAGATATATTTACTTCACCAAACTGCAAAAGAATTTTTGCTTCGGAATAATACACAGCAACCTGTGGAAGCCCATGAACGTTTTACGTGGAAGCGCTCACTGAATTTGCTCGAATCTCACCATATTCTCTCGAATATCTGCATCTGGTATCTGCTTTTGTTAGAAGCTGATGCAAAGTTATTTAGAAGAGTTGGCATCTCATATCTTCGTGATAATGACAGGATATTTCTCGACTACTCTACGAAATACTGGGCCATCCACTTCCGCGAGCAGCGTATAGAAGCACAAGAAGAAAAGACTGAGCTAATATTGAAGATATGCGACATTGAATCAAGGCTCTGCCAAGTATGGTTCCAAGAATATTGGACCAGCACAAATACCAAGTTCCCAAAAGGGTTTACAACCCTTATGATGACGGCGTATTTTGGACTGCAGACTGCAGTGCAAAGCTTGCTCAAGATCGATGTTGACATAAATTGTCAAGATGACACTTACCAAAGATCAGCACTATCTTGGGCCGCAAGAAACGGCTTTCATAATATTGCTAAGTTACTGATCAGGGGTACTCGTTTTAGACTGGGGGCTATCAAGCTGCCATTTAGAAAAGTGGCTGAAATCGATCTGGTAGATATATACGGCCGAACACCATTATCATATGCCGTTTGGGATGGAAATATGACTATGGTTGGGTTGCTTCTTAACGCAGGTGCAGTAATACACGTGAAGGATGAAGTTGGTGGAACTCCAATGTCCTACGCCATTTGGAATCAGAATGAGCAGGTAATCGATATCCTGCTCCAAAAAGGCAAACAAGTTGACGATGATAATATCAACGATTTACTATTCTCAGCTGCGAAAAAGGGCCATGAGGAAGTAATTGAGCTGCTGCTTAAAACAGATAAGGTCAAGCTCGACGTGAAGGATCAAGAGGGCCAGACGCTTTTATTATGCGCCGTAAAAGAAGCCCACATGGCGGTGATCAAGGTGCTTCTTGAAAAAGGAGCAGACCCGAACTGCGAAAATGAGCTTAAGGAGACACCATTGCTATATGCTATAGACCATAGCAATATAGCGATAGTAAAGGCATTACTTGAAAAAGGAGCAGACCCAAACTACGAAAATGAGTATTGGGCGACACCATTGATGTGTGCCATAGCAAAGGGCCATGTGGAATTAATCAAAATTCTACTTGAGAAGGGAGCAAATCCGAATCAAGGTGATAAAACAATTAAAACACCCTTACTCTATGCTATAGGCTATGGCAATATAGCGATAGTAAAAGCATTACTTGAAAAAGGAGCAGACCTGAACGATGCAAATCGTCATCGTCAAACACCATTAGGGTGTGCTATAGAAAAGGGCCATGTGGAGATAGTAAAGGCTTTACTTGAAGGAGGAGCGGATCTGAGCTACGAAGATTCTCTCGGTCAACCACCATTGATGTGTGCCATAACATATGGCCATGTGGAGATAGTAAAGACGTTGCTTGAAGGAGGGGCGGATCCCAGTTGCGAAGTCAGGTACCGTCATCTACGACCTTGGCCCTCGCGCAGTCGAGTGCCACTTTCACGTGCTGCAGAGTATGGTCATGTGGCGATAGTTAGGATGCTGCTTGAAAGAGGAGCTGATCCGAACAAAGAAGACGAATTTGATCCAGCAGCACTTGTGTATGCTGTGGCACGTCGTCACCAAACGGTGATAAAGGAATTGCTTAAGGCAGGAGCAAATCCAGAAGCGCTTTTCTCACGTACAGCAGGAGAAAGCCGTAAATTAAAGGAAGCATTTTATGTATTTGGAGGCAAAGCAGACATTGAGAGCCGTCTACTCTGGAATATAGAGGAGGACTATAAAGTTGCAACAAAATTGTTACTTGAGGGACTTGACAAAGCAAACTTGATCTTACTCCTGGTCTGGGAGATGGAGCAGGGTCCTGAGGCTCTAGCAAAATTACTGTCTGAGAGAAGAGCGAAGATGGGTTACGAGTTATTTATTTAATTTTTATATCATAATTTTTATACTACCACTACTACGGCAGTTGTGGACTAGCTGCCCTTTCATAACCAAGAATACTAATGTAAATGCCCAGAATCGTTGAAGCCGTGGTATAAACTGATGACTAAACATAGATTTTTTTTTTCTCTTGAGAATTGTCCGAAGCTTCCGAAGGATCGGGAAAGAATTCGTTATTGTAATGTCAGCTACAATGAACATAATTCTGAGGATGAGAGACCCTCGTGTCTGTTTCAAGGCTGTTGTGCACTAATTCAGTTCAGAAAAAGACGTACAGATATTAGCCTACTTCCTAATCCCGAACTATGAGCGAATTAGGGGCGAAGAGGTAACTAAACCGTACAATTCTGTGCTGAAGAGGGAAGAAACGTCACTTGCAGCTCTATGACTTTGACCGTGAGATGTAAGTTGCTGTGTGTCTATAGTAGTGATTTATCTGCTAACATATTTACTCTGAGAAGTTACGATAGAGCCCGGGGTAAGTAGAACTATAGCACCGTCCAGGTCTCGAACTGGAGCGAAAGTTGACTGTCCGGCACCAGTGTTACTTGTGGTCATCCTAAGATACCGAAGTCGAGCAAGTGTTGCATTGACGTCTGCGGAGAAGGAGATAGGAAAGAGACCTGATTCGGGCTGATCGGCAGAGTCAGTGGGGCCAATGGGAATACCTCGCTCGAAAGCGATCAGCTCGACTACTCCAGCTGTCGTATTTGGGATCTGCGAGTTACCAAGGCTCACAGCTCGCAAAGAGTATGTTTTCTCTCCCAGGAGGGTTTCCTAGTCCATCTCAACTGTCACGTCGGATAGGAGGCCAAGGTCGATCCCGTACTGGTTCCATACTCGCTGATATGTTATGTGTAACAATATATATGTAACAATATATCTGTAACAATATATGTGTGACGAACTGCCAGATGAACTTGAGACGGGACGGCTGCTAGTGACATTATACTATTTGAAGAGAAGAACATGGATGGAATCACTATTTTGATAGGCATAGGAGTCAGGACGGCAAGATGCCTAACAAACTAATCAAGCAGAAATGAATACCTGTTATGAGTACCATGTCGCCAATGTGCATTTTCTTCGTAAAGAAAGGGTAGTATAGAAAATGTAGTAACGAGAGCTATATTGTCTTACTCAAATACAGCTTAAGAGTCTCAAAGGATTGTACCCCAATTATACGAGATCAATTGAGCTGCTCAATGAATGTATACGCCAACGCTGAATGCTTGTCCAAGACTGCCATAAAAGGCAAATAAAGTGATTTCCCCACAAATCGAAACATGTTGATCCATTTTTCAATAAAGATTGGCTGATTCCGCACTATCTCCGTACAATTGTGAGAGATGCTGACATAATTTCCAATAGTCTGTTTTCGATCTCATGTTATCTCCGCAAAGCCGGAGAGCATTACTCTCCAATGACAGCTATACATTTAGTATATGTAACTGGAACGTAAGTATATGATGAATTTCGTATGAGAACATAAAATAAAAAACCAATATAAACGGAGTTAGGCGGAGATAATATTCAATATTGAGGGCCCACGTCAAGATATGTGATCATTTGATGTAGTTTGAACTCTGCAAAAATTACGTGATTTAATAGGCAGAGAAGTATTGGTAGAAAAGGTCATGGATGTTCAATTATGAACAATTATATAAGAGGCCCCTACAAAGAGAGTCTTGGTCGTAGAAGCACCTCAGAATCTGATCTACCAGCTTCAAAGCAAACAATATCATCAGTTTGGCTTACATGATGGCGTCCTTCAAGTTACCTCTAGCCGGCAAGACAGCTCTTGTCACCGGTGGCATTAGGGGAATTGGCCGAGGCATTTCTCTAGAGCTCGCCCGTCGAGGTGCCAATGTTGCTATGGTCTATGCCAACCCCAGCCGTCAAGATACAGCAGTGGAAGTTGTCAAAGAGATCCAATCGCTTGATTCTGGCGCAAAGGCTATGAGCATTCAGGCGGACTTGAAGAAGTTTGACAATTACCAAAAGATTGTCGACGAGACGCTGCAGGAGTTCCATGTCAAGAACATAGATATCGTTGGTATGAACTATTTTCTCCCGATAGATGCGAAAGCCGTATTTGATTGGCTAATAACAACTCAAAATGACAGTTCACAATGCGGCCTTTGCTTCACCTGTGCCGACTGAGGATACAACGGAACAGGTTTTCGACGATACCATGGCTACCAACGTTCGAGCTCCCTTCTTTCTCACCCAGACGTTGCTCCCATACATCCCTCAGGGAGGACGCGTGATCCTTATTTCATCCATTGCGGCTAGGCGGTTCTCGTTTGGATTGCATCAAACGGCTTATGCCATTAGCAAGGCAGCTGTCGAGGGGCTCGCTAGGAACTGGGCTGTTGAGGTAAGTTTACACACTCCACTGACTCCGTGAATAAGTGGTGGAAGTCTGACGAGAGTATCAGTTTGGACAATCGCGTGGCATCACTGTAAACGGTAAGCCTTCCATGTATCATCAACTTTGTCTACGTCTTGATGCTAACTGGCCGAAGCTTTATCTGTTGGATTTGTCGAGACGGAATTGGTGCAGAGTCTCTCTCCTGAGCATCTTGAAGCATACCGCAAAGAAAATGCCCGAGTTACGGCAGCAGCCCCAAGGAGTGGAACGCCAGATGACATTGCTCAGATTGCAGCCTTTATTGCCGGCGAAGAGTCTCGCTGGATTACGGGCAGCACGATTTCGGCCAATGGCGGTAAATGGCCGATTTAAATTGGACAGCGCTCTCTTACACTTTGCCTTTCAACAAGGAATGCATACATGTATTACGAAGCCCATTTTCGATGGTTGCTTCTCAAATCATATAAGAGAGCGACAAATAGATCTGTATAGTCGAAATTATCAGATTGAAGCTTTACTTTTGGATGCAGCACGCAGCTTAGCGACGGTAGCATACGGAGCAAAGTATGAAACAAGCCTTACAATCTCCAATCTTGTTCGCGAAATCACAAACTACGCTCCTTCTTACATGCCTATATCTTACCTTTGCATCGTGAGTATCTTCATGGAACGCATCTATTCCACAGTAGAAAAGCCCCACTACATGTAACTGAACGGGATGTAACTTGGAAGATCTGGCTTTTTTCCTTTTTGAGGTCAAACGAATTCTTTCCTTGTTCATCGCCGATAAAGCCTCCACTTCGGCGGCGCGGATACTAGCCGGCAATTAATTGCCATCAGTAGTTGGTCATGTAAAGAGTATAGCACAGTTGTGAACCGGGGAGCTTGTCGTGAATATTTTACATTTATAGAACAACTCTTCGTTGGGCTGTATTTAGCCTATAAGCCAAGTATAAGAAAATGCCACCTACAATGTTGAGGTTGTATACAGATCGCACCCTCTTCGCCTCTATGTGACGCGGCGATTCTACGAGCATGCTAGCTAGCGTTTTGTATGTCAATTGTAATACTTGTCGGCCATGGCCTTACTCTAAGAATTGATGATGGCATTTTGACTGTAAATATTTGGTTGCTCTTCTTGTGGATATATTTCTATTTATGCTACAAAGGTATATAGCCGAAGTTAACACCTGGCGAATGCGTACGCATGGGTTCGGAAAAGCGGAGATTGTCTCTCTAATAATTGAACAAAAAAGTTGGAAACCCTTCGTCGGCTCCTCGGTCCAAAGGGTGCAATTTCAAGGCGTATTGCTGGGGAGTCTGTTTGGTTCGACAAGGGGGGGTCCATAATAAGGGCTGCATGCTGCATTCTCCTACACACTACACATTACATATGGGAATGTGAAGGTAAATGTGAAGTGAATTTGGATAGTAAACACAGTAGTCTCATCCGTAGAGGTTATTTGTTCAATTAGGATATATAGCTGTCATAAACGCTGATTTAGCCTAATTTTCTGGTGAGGATAAATAGCTGGGGAAAAGGAATACAACAGTAACTAGAACGAATTGAGATTTCAGTATAACATAAGCTGATGAAAAGAGAACAGCTTGGATAATATACAAACGGCTAATAGTTGATACTTGATGGTATATAACCTTCAACTCGCTCGAAACATCACTCATCTTGAAGACAATTAACATCTTATACCATCTGTTTCTCTAACTATCTCTCTCAATACAAGGGAAAAGATGCCTTCAATGAAGAGTTCCCTCGCCCTTTTGCTGGCCCAAGCTCTTTTGGCTACTAACCAAGCGAACGGTGCGATAGTGAAGCGACAGTGCCCGGGAATTCACGTCTTTGGAGCTCGTGAAACAACAGTATCGGCAGGATATGGCTCTTCCGCCACTGTTGTAAACTTGATCATTGCCGCCCACCCCGGAACTACCTCTGAAGCTTTGAACTACCCAGCTTGCGGTGGCCAGGCTTCTTGTGGCGGTGTCCAATACAATGCTTCTGTTGTGGCCGGCATCAATGCCGCGGTCACGGCCATTGACAACTTCCACACCTCTTGCCCAGATACTCAGCTAGTGTTGGTTGGATACTCGCAGGTTAGTCTCTCTCTCATTTTGAACATTCAGAGTATCAGTTCTAACACCTATTCTGAAAGGGTGGCCAAGTCTATGACGATGTGGTATGTGGAGGAGGTGACCCAGGCGAGGGATACAGCAACACTGCTGTTCCAATCTCCGCATCAGCAGCCGCTGCTATCAAGGCCGTGATCCTGATGGGAGATCCTCGTAACATTGCCGGACTGCCATACAACGTTGGAACCTGCAAGGCTGGAGGTGTAAGTATTCTCTGTGTTGTAAGAACCAACCACCTTTCTAATCTTGCTGTTTGTGATCAGTTCGATGCCCACAATGCTGGCTTTCAGTGCGCCGCCGCGTCCAAGGTCCAGTCATACTGTGATGCCGCAGACCCTTACTGCTGCAACGGAAACGACCCCAACACTCACCAAGGCTACGGCACAGAATACGGCTCGCAGGCTCTCGCTTTTGTCAACAGCAAGCTCTCCGGCGGCGGCGGCAGTGGCCCGACGTCGACGCCGCCCTCAGGCCCGACCAGCACTGGAAGCTCTCCCACCGCAACTCAGACTCACTACGGACAGTGCGGTGGAATCGGCTACTCTGGCCCTACTCAGTGTGGTGGCGGCTACACTTGCCAGGTCCTGAACTCTTACTACTCCCAGTGCTTGTAGAGAGCGTGAGAGCGGGTTGTGAGCAAAGGTGATGAGGTATCGTACCTTGGGCTGTATTTAGGATTCGTTCTTGGAAGAAACAGCACAGATAGAATGCACACAGATAGTTAAAAGCACATGAATTGATAGTTAAGAAAGAGTCTTTGCTTTCCCCCGCCTTGAAAGGTCCCCAGCTGCTTGATTTGCACGGCGAGCACTTACGATGTTGCAATCATCTCACCAGAGGAGCGTCTGCTGAGCCACAGCTCGGTAATTCCTTGCCAGTGTTAAATAAATCTTTGTCTATCAACCGCTTATAGACGGATGACCACTTTTTGGGCCAAAAGAATCGCCAAGCTATTTGGTTATATGTTCACTGTGGCGCATGGGGTCCTCTAGAACCTCTATAGCTTTGTTTCTCAGGTACTTCTTATACGATGCCAGATATACGCTGATTTGACGTCGATATCGCGTAGCAATTAGCTCCGCGAGGTTCGCGCGAGCGGGTTCAAAGACTTTGTTCATCTGCATTTGTCTATGCAACTCTCGTAGTTGTCTTTGTATCTTCTGAGCCAAGTCGATCTCATCGGTGGAGTCTGGCTCTGCTGCCTGAGCATCCCGATGTTGAAGAAGGGCGGACAACTCCATGGCCTCTTCTCTCTCTCTCTCTACCAACCGCCGTAAATGTTAATTGAGTTGTTCCATTCTTTTTCTTGCCCTATCGCCATTGGGCTCTTCATTACTTTCTTTGGCCGCCTTGTTCGGGCCATCTCGTCCTTCTTCGGCGGCTCGCTCAGAAGTCATCGCGGTCGTGGATAGTGGAGTGTAGTTAGTAGAGTGAGCGAGTGTGGTGTTTGTGGGAGAGTTGAGCAGGTTGAAACTGAGATATTAGTGTGCTTTATTAAGTAGGATAATAAGATAAGTGGCAAGAGGAGGCGCGATTAATGTGAGCCCCCGAAGCGGAAAATCTATGCAGAAAGTCTACAATACAAGGCAGCGAAGGTTTGAGTAGCGCTATACGGAAGCATCCATCAATTATTTACCTGTTAACAGAGGCTAACTACCTGGCCAAAGCAGAGGAAGGCAAAAGAGAGTTTGTGTCTACGTTGTGGATTTTCATTTCGAGCGTGAAGGGGATCAAGCCGAGATCCAAAGAGATGTAGCTGATCGTGTACCTTGCTTTCACAGCAACGATAGCAACAATAGCGGCAATAATAATGATAGCCGGTTCCCGAGGGATCTTGAGAAGCTTGAATATGCATCATTATTTTTAGAGCCCTTAATATTTGATACTCGTAAGGCAGAATAGAATTAAGCGTCAGTACCGAATCTGTAGGGACTTGGCGATATAGCCACTGGACATGAACTAGTTTATATCATAACGTTGCCTAGGTGTTTGTCTCCCATAAGTAGTCCAACTGCTGCAAGTGCATTACTGTCTCTTCAAGAACATGTAGTATCAGGCTCGTAGGCCACTACCCAGTCGCCACCACCGATTGTGTGTTCAACCAGCTTAATCTCCGGGTTTCGTTTATTAATTCCTTTGGCAAATAGCACCCCAGCATAAAGCGGATCGAATATAAATGTTGTTTCACCAGTCCCATGGTTTTTCTTCTCTGCTGTAGCTGTAAACTCGTTGATAGATATATACTCGTCTGGGCCTGATACATATGCATTTTCGAGTTGTTGTTTTATATGCCCTGCAGTTTCAGCACTAAGCCGGGTATCAATAAAATATAATACATTTGGGCCTGCTGCTGCTACATATGGAGTATCTGGCGCTATAATCTGGCGACCAAACTCTGTGTCAATGAAGCTTGGTGCATAACTGCTGTCTCGATATTCCTCTTGGTAGGTTGGCGGACCCTCATATGGTCGGAATGGGTTTGTAGCCAACCCGAATAATAGCGGGGAGGTTATTTTCATGATAGGACAAGTTGTTTATAAATTCTGTTTGTTTGCTGGCTCAATGTGCTCTTCTGAATATTCTTTGTTCATAATCTGCTGAGCACTTCGATAGGAGGTATGTACATATTTTATAAGCGACTACCATGACTTAAAATCTCTCATCTCATCTTAGTCTAAATGCAGTTATCTAGATGATAGGAGTCCCCGCACTAGTTGGGAGGAGGCAAACACGGCACGGCAGGCTGTGTTATGTCCTCTGATGGAGGAATGGGCTGCAACCATGTTGGAGCCGTCACTTGTACGGGATAAGTCACGAGAACGTAGCCAGCGAATTGCAGCAATTGGTCTTGATCCTAATGACGAAATAGGAAATGCTACGGTACTTTTGTCTTGAGGGGCTGTGCCCCTGATACGTTCACTCTGCTACCAACAGGCTTTGCTTCCAATAGCGAGGTGGACAACCATGCGAGCGATTGTCAACTTCCTATTGGAATGAAACATAGGTCCTGGGTTCGTATCTCTAGTTGATACTATAGCTATAGGGCAGATTCATTATATTCAGCAAGCATGCTGGGTTACCTTTCTCATGGTCTGAGTCCGAGGAGGTGTCTTACAGGTTTGCACAATATGGAGTCCATCATGCACCGTCTTTGGCAAGAGCATCAGCTACTAGTTCCTAAAAATTGCTCTCAAAGTTGGGAGTGCATGAGGAGTATTAAATCACTAACAAATATCTCAACATCTACTAGATTTGTGGTATAAATTGTAGTGTATGGCCAATTGCGAAAGCCTGCGTATGATAGGTGTTATGCAGTTTTATAATTGTATATTTAGAACTCGCTGCAAATTATATAATGCATAGTGCAGATTACTATGATGGTGCGTTTTGTCACGAGTTCTTTCTTTTCTTGACCAGGAGATATTGGGTACGTTATGTAAGTGCGATGATTGCTCTTCGGGCACCTAGTTATACGATTACAAGAAAGAATTACCGCATCTCAATTTATGGAATAAGATAGGCTTGAGTTGTCCAACGTGACAAAGCGACTACATTGAACCAATTATGTTAATTGACGACAGTGTAGATATCGTCAATTACGTCCCTCCAACCAGTTTTCTGCGATAAGATTGACGGTGGCGAAACACCCGAGTGACACGCACATGTAGATAGCCATCAAAAATATATGGCCAGCACGCGTGTCGGCAATTTATTGGCTCGCATTTCATGATTTCGGTCCCAGCCAATTTCCTAGACCCACGTTGTTGGTTGTACGAGGCCAAATGCATCTCGCAACCTGATGCCCAAGGACTCTGCTGAACGGAATCTGCCCGACACTTCTGGGAAACAATGGATGCTATTCTATCACCCACTGTATTCGGACTCATTCTATCTACAGCCTAGGGATGCCTGAACCAATAGACTTGATGATAACAGAGTCATAGGTCAAATTGCCAACGCTGATCAGTCGTTGTGGAAACTCGGGAATAGGAAAGGGTATCGTATGGGCATCTGAATCGCTCAACCAGGCCAGAGAAAGAATGAAATGAGAATCCTTAAGCTTTTTTTCTTCAGTTTCTACCGGGCATTCTATGTTAGGCCAAGGTAGATTGTGTTACAGCTGATGCCCGTGCTCTCACAAAATATGGATCACGAAGCGATGCACGCCTCCGCTCTAATGCACTTTTTTTTTTTCTAAATATAGACATACAGAGCTTTATAGTTGTATGATGGAGTACAAAGCTCGGAATAGGACTTTAAGCGCCGATATTCCCTTTAGTTCCTGGCTACGGTTACCGAAGCAAGGTCCTAGAAACGTTGTGCTACTTCAATTTGTCTGCTAGGGCCAATGAGCTTATGGCGGTTCATATGTACCTACCCGTGCAGAGAGAGGGAAGAGCGAATGCAGCTGCATTACACCAAGAATGTTGCACAAGGTTACATGTTTACAATTTGATATCACATGAACTATCCGGGGCATTATATATACATGTGGGTTGTCTGAACATGCCGGACCGCACATCCCTTTTCTATTTTCTCCAATAATCAACATCAAGATATGGCTGAGATGAATCAGCAAAGAAAAGGAAAAAGTCGGGAGAGAGCCCGTGACTTCTTGAAGCGACTGTCTCATGCGAGTCTACCTTCAATTGATTCGGATTCTCCAGATTTAGCTTCTCGAGCTTCAGTGTCACGTTCAAACTTGCAGTCTTCATCGTCTACTGCATTGGCCTCTTCACCATCGTTGGGCCCTAGCCCCTCTCAACTACCAGAATTTCCCGCCGGAGTCTCTCCGCTATTGTTGAGTTCTGATTCCCTTCAATCACCAGCATCTGCTCCTCTAGTTTTGGAAGTGCCGCCGCTACCTTTTTCGAGTAACAGTAGTCAACATTCCACTGAATCGTTGACTATTTGGGAAGAAGTCTTTTGCAAAGTCAATAAAGAAACCACAGAATGGATTCAGAAACAAGAGCTTAATTCTCTGGCGTCAGTAGAAAAGCCAGAAGATCAGATCCAACAGCTTACTGCTCTCATTAAGGAGAAAGAAAAGTCATTTGAGGCGAAAGATTCACCAATGAAGTTCAAGATTGGTAAACAAGAAATAGTTGTCCGTGCATATATTGCCGATGTCGTCGGTTTTCTTACGATGGCTGGAGACGTTGCCATGAACTTCGCGCCACCACAAGCAAGTGCTCCTTGGGCTGCCGTAAAGGCAGTTCTAAAAGTAAGTGCTGTCCACATGTGTGAAATAAATGAAGTCTATAATATTAATCATTTCCAGATCCCAATTAAACAAATTGAGCAAATGGCGGCCCTTGCCGGCATAATTCAGCTGTTCACTATACGACAACGCAATATCAACTAAAGATGGAACTATATCAAATTTGCGCAGCATCCTTGTTGACTTATACGTTTCAGCAATTGAGCTGTTGGCTCGATGCGATACTTTGATTGAGAGCGGAGTGGTCAGACAGACGTTGAATTCTATTCTCCGACCGGAGCAAGTCTCAAATCTCATCTCGGATCTCTCTAAGAAAGAGCAGATATTGTCGTACGAAATTCAAAGTTGTGAAGCTTTACGAAATGAAAAAGCTACAAAACAACTAGACGAAAAACTGGAAACATTATTGGCAAGGCTCGATGTCACTTCATCGCCATTAACTCGAATTGACAAAGAAGTCGATAAACTGCTTGAGAATGTTAATAATGATAAGCTAGAGGCGCTTATGGACTTTATCAGCTCTGAACAATTCGGAAAAGGCCACGCTACAATGAAGGATACAAGAATTCAAGGCACGGGCGATTGGCTTATAGACCACGAAAGCTTTCGAGAATGGCAAGCCATCGCCTCATCGTCAACGCTATTATGTCTTCAAGGAACAAGTAAGTTATTTTGAACTCTAGAATTTGGTTTAAGTAGACCTTTGAAGACTAATCCCTATCAGTTGGTACCGGCAAAACTTATCTCACATCCCGTGTGATCGATCATATTAAACAAACATTGGAAGCATCTCCTCATGACGAAGGATTTGCCTTTTTCTACTGCAATCGGTCTGGACCGTCCATGCAAGATCCACTTGTTGTCCTCCGAAGCTTTGTTCGTCAGCTGTCATACAAAGCCAACAACTATAGCTATATTCAAAACAACGTCATCCAAAAATGCGAAAAAGCAAAACAAGAAGGGAGAAGCCTAAGCTATACAGACTGTAAAGAACTCATCTTGGAGTCCATGAATCTCTATTCAAAGACAACCATTATCCTCGACGCTTTGGATGAATCCGACATCTCATATTACAATCTAGCAGAAATTTTCATTAATATGCTGGACAAGGCCAGAAACCCAGTCAAGATATTTATATCAAGCCGTCCAGACCGAGAATTTTTAAATGCATTCGAAGACAGGGCTACAATAATGGTTAATAGTAGCAACCAGCAAGGCGATATTGAGAAATATCTCGATGAAGCACTATATTCTACTAGATTCTTTAGGAAGAGACGACTGGAGATTCAAAACATGATAAAAGAAACATTCAGTACCCGAAATGGCGGAATGTGAGTTCAATCTGAGATACAGTCTACTATTTATATACTGATTAAAGGGTACCAGGTTTCGATGGGTCCACCTTCAGACCAAAAGCCTTCGGAAATGTGTCTCTGATGATGCAATAAGAATATGGGCCAAGACAATACCTCGTGATTTAATGGCGGCTTACGATCGACTCTGGGAAGATCTAACGAACCAGCACAATGAATGTGATATGGTACTCGCCGAGCGTGCCATTAAGTGGGTGCTATGTGCTTTCAGACCACTGAATTCAGAGGCTCTCCTGCAAGCAATTAGATTTGCTTACGAAGGAGATTGTTTAATACAGATTGAGCTGCAGACAGAGCAAGAAATCTTGTCACTGTGTCAAGACCTTTTAACAATTGATGCGGAGAAAAAAGTATGGATGCTGCCACATGCTTCTGTTGCCGAGTATTTCGAATCAAGGAAGTCAAAGGGCATGGGCTTGGGAGAATGCGACGCATTCGTTTCTAAAATTCAGCTCGATTTTCTTATGACTCCTAAGCTGGAGCTAATTCCTAATCCAGATGACGACGATCGTTGGAGACCGCTCGCTGCGGGCGAGTACGACGACTTAGACTTGTTCAAGCGCTATGTTCAGAACAACTGGTTCAAACATGTCCAGCGATACGACAAGTGGCTGGGCTCATTGGAAGGCAAATCTCATGAACCAGCACTCATCTCTACTCTCAAGCGCTTCCTTGGTTCACCTGGAGAGAGCAGTGTCTATTTCAGAAGGTGGATGAACAGCCAAGAGCCATACATGATAAAGCCAGCCAATATGGCCATTTTCATAATGTGCCAACACGGATTTTACTATACTTTGCGCGATTGGTGGGAGAAAGACAAAATCGACCAAAAATTGGCGCTTAAAACATGCGAGGGAAGTCTGAGACGCATCACTGATTCGGTGAGTTATACGTTAGAGCTTGCAGTCGAGGGAGGATGCCTGCCGATGTGCAGATATCTAGTGAGCGCTATTGGCGCTATTGGACGGCGTCAAGGAATATATCACCTTGCGGCTGCAGGAGCACTAAGCAACAAAGATATCCTCAGGTTTTTGGTGGAGGAAGCAAAAGTCGATTTAAACGTGCTAGTGGTGCTCCCGAACTACGCGTTGACTATAGTCCAAGACGCGATTATGCATGATCAGACTGGTAGTACGCTGCAGTATTTGGTGGATCAAGGCTGGGTGAGCGCGAACCGACAGGGCGGCTCGCTCTGGGGCAATGCCTTGATCGCGGCAGCAAACGGCGGAATTCCTCAATCAATTGAGATTCTGCTACGAGCTGGAGCTGATGCAAAGATTCCTGCGGAAAGTGGGATCTATGGGAGTGCTCTCATCGCAGCAGTGGCCTCTGCAATCCCTGAAGATATAGCACCTTACGAGACAAAGATCGTGACGCTCCTCAACAGCGGTGCAGACATCAACCAAGTCCCAAATCTTGGGATATTCGGCAGCGCTTTGGAAGCTTTTATCTGGCGCATCTTCGATCACTATGATACAATTAAGAACTTGCGGAGCTTGCGGTACATACAGACTTTGAAGCTTCTGCTGAAATCTGGAGCCGATCCTGCAATGACCTGCAATATCGGGCAATACGGCAGCGCACTTGCCGCTGCAGCATTCTATGGAATGAAAGACATGGTGGTGATGATGATCAACGTCACTGGGAAGAAGCGGGCAATCAAATGCCTTCAGCAGAGCAGGTACCCCTCGGAGGTTATGTTCACAGGAGAGGAAAGTGATTCAGAGACATGGAAGAAGAATGTGGAAGAAACTGCAACATATCTTATCGATGAAGTGGGTGTGGACAAGAAGACGCTACGCAGCATTGGCATGCAAGATATCAAATACAAGCACGGATCACTTGTGGTTTACATACAGGCAGTTGAGAGAAGCACTTCTAATATCGAGACCATATACGACAGCATACGCGCTAGAGGAAGACGAGGGTCCGGATAAAGTATACAACTACTCCTTTACGCTCACTACATTTACACTGCGCTTCTTCATTTATGAGAGTTAAGCCGTTGCAATCAATTTGATGATCCGGTGTGATCAACCAAGACAAGTCCCTGAGATTAATTTATACAATACCTATACTTGATACTACTGTATTACTGCCTCCATGAAGAGATTAGAGCTGCTAGGGGGCGTAGTTTCTCCTCATTTAATTTTATAGCTTTGCTGCTACAACAAAGGATAATTCATCGATGAATTTACATGTACTTTATCAGCTGAAGGTGCTGCAGCTGGCTGTCTGCCACGTGATCTCCATCAACTTCGCTCCAACCTCCAACTGACTGGCTCCACCGCCAAAAAGACACGCCATGCAAGCTGCATCATCCCTGTCGCCCAAGCCACAAGCTTTCAGCCATCTACGTTACTTACGCAGCGCCATGGAGAGGACCTGATTCAATTGTCTGCCTGATTTGAGGAGTGCTGAGAGCTGCGAGCCGTAGCGAGGATCTGCTCTTCACCTGCATTTTGCACTTATTGTATGTACATCCCATCAAGCCTTTGTCTTCTCTCTGTCAACGTGCAGTAAACCTTTTACTTCGGGCACTTATTGACCCTACAGTACCGAGGAGCAGCTGATAGTGCTCTAGATCCACTCTGTGTCGATACTACCCGCTCGCGAATACCATACGATTACGCTTCTCCATCCTACTGCATTGCATTAGCTATTGCTTGCGCGCCTGTCTGGCTTTATCGCTCTGCCATTGTTGCGGCTACAGCGACTCGCAATCCGTCAAATCCCGTATCATGCTCTGATCAGCTATAAACAAATCGAAAATCGCCATGGCTCCAGCTCGCCGCGGCCAGCCGTCTGCGCTCTCCGTCCCTCCTCCCGCCTCTTCCACCGCGCTCGTCGATCTGCCGCCCATTTCTGCGCTGTTCCTCATTGACTTTGATGTCAAGGCCGGCTACACAATTGCCTGGAAACAAGCCATTCCGGGGCTCGAACTCGAGGGTCTCGTCGAATACAAGTCGCTGCCGTCCGGCCTGCACACCGTCTCCGACGATCTCATCTACTTTGTTCACGATGGCGCACATGCTGGCCTGAGCGCATTTGTCAATGAGCCTTGCGAAGAAGAAGGGGCCCGTCATGCTCGTATGATTTCCGTAGGAATTCTTGTTCCTCTGAGCTATGGAAGGCTGGGGCGGGCATGGAGGCATGCCGACAACTTGAAGCAGATGGCGGCGTAAGTAGTAACCCGTTCGGCGCATTGTGTAACTGGAGCTGGAGCTAAGTAAGATGTTGCCAAATAGGAACCTCGTCAAGGATCGCAGTCAAACCGAAATACTAGAAAAATACTGGAATACCAACAAAGCCAAGGAGGGAGAGACTTTCTCAGCCATCGCCTCGCCCATCTCTCCAGTACTAGACCCGTTGCGCAAGGCTCACGAGCGAAATTCATCTCTCACCGATGGCGTTTCGCTATTCCAGCCTGAGCACAAGCTCTCTCCTTACCATCCTGCGTGGAGCCTCCCCGAGCTGCTGGACAGATTCGGACCCTTGATTTTTCCCATCCATCGAGCCGCCTTGCTTCGACAGCGCATCTTAATATCGTGCCATGCTCCGGTACATGAGATTTGCAACTTTGGTAGGCAGCCTCCACCTCTTCCATGAAAATTCAGAGACTGACAAGCTCCCAAGTATATAACATCTCCATCTTATCCAATATTCCGCTTTCCATCACAGACTCGCTACCTACACCTGCTCCACCTCAGCGTCTTCGCCCTTTATTCAGTATTGGCGTTCATGACATTTCATTTCTTATGGATGATCTCAAGGCATCAAAGCGTGACCGCAGCGATGAAAACGCCGTCGATGATGCGGATGAGTCAGGCTCCGGGTGGATTGCCTGCACCACTGATAGCATCCTCGCAACCAAGGACACTCTCTGGGATATGCTCATCACGATGCCCCCAGACTACTCTGCAAATGCCAAGGAGAAATCTTGGCCGATTGTAGAGTGTCCTCGCGGAAGACCAGTCAAGGCAACTCAGCGTGATCTGCGTCGCTTCAACGCCCTACGCACAGGTCTCGCACGATTGGCTGCAAACCCACCCACCCCGACTCCAGGTCAAGACCCTCGATCCCCCGACTCCGAGACTTCAGCAGTGAGGTTATCTACTAGCCACTCTGCTCGGCTGGTTAAAGATGAACCTTATGGAGCTACTGACAATCTCGTTGAGCCCCTCACCTGGGCAGCTTTTGCCTATAATGGCTTCATGTGGTGGGCCAGCGCGGGTGAGCAGATTCGCTCAGAAGAACAAGAAGAGTCAACTCGTGACTCGGCTCTCCTCGCCGATCTATTATCCCCAACCAGCCCCAGAGTTGGATCCATGCCAATACCCCCGCCTGCTCCATCGTCGTCACAATCAGAGCCGCTCAGTAATTCAATCGCTTCTCTTGCCGCCCGCCGCTCAAGCACCGACGGAGAAGCCAACATCGAGTTGGCCATCATCACCTATTTCCACCGTCTCACCACGCAGATGCTCTCTGTCCTGGTGGATATTGTCGACGCTGCTGATGAATCATATCGCGACAACGACGACAGCGGCGATGCCGATGGAGATGAGGATGAAACTGAGGGCTTAGTCCCCAACGAGAGCGATGACTCCGACCCTGCCATTACCATAGATAGCCGGTCCATTGAAAACATGGGCCTCGACGTATGGAGCGCCAGCGATACCTTTTTTGTGCAGGAGCTTGTTGCCGTGTATTTCGGCAGACAGGCTGTCATTGAAGGGAAAGGAGTGGAGGTATGCGGCGTACGAGTATGCTGAGCCAAACCACTCCCTTTCTATCCTGTTTCTTTCCTTCTTATCCTTTTTTTTATATCTTGCTTTGGCGAGAGGGCTTGAATGATTCATCTTATGATTACCTATGGGGAATGAAAATGAAGGCGAAGGAGTAATCTCTGGCGATAATATATATTTCCATGACGTATATAGATGTAGGAGTAGTAGCAGTTACAACAGGTGTTCACACACACATACTCACATGCAATGAAAGCACAAATTTCTGATTCAAGATTTTTTTTTCCTTCCTTTGTTTCCATTTTACATTGCATTGTTCCTCATAATGTGATTCTAGTATAAAAGCTAGGTAATACAAAGTAAACTAACAAGAACCGACATAAAATTAAATCCTTATGCCATTTGAAAAAGAACTCCACGCCGGCGACAAGATACACGGCTACCCGACCCAGTCAGTTTGTTTCCCTTGCCGCAACACACACACATGCAGCTAATGCAAAGTCAACCTCGAATGCTACTCTTTCAAAGTACCAAATGCTTCGAGGCAAGATTCTTCTTTTCCCTCACACTTTTTTTAGAATTTTTTTGTTCATTTTTCTTTTTAGTCTAATGAAACACTCTCCATGACAAGTATCTTGTCCAGGAGAAACAACTCAGCTCTCATCTTCCGTATCAGTATTCGTGTCACTTGCGTCATCCTCCTCTTCATCTGTGCCAGACTCTTCATCAGAGCTGTCCTGCTTCCGCTTAGGCTTGGGAGCCTCGCCGGTAGGTTGACCCTTGAGAGCCTGCATTTGCCCAGCAATAGAATCTGCATCAATCATATGTTAGTTAAAAATCCTTCGTATACTATTTTAAGGGTGTAAGAATGGCTTACCTTCTTCGGGTTCGCTGATTTCGTCTTCGGCCTCCATCTCAGCCGCCTTGCTCGCATCTTCCACAACAAGGGTGACTTCCATCTTGGTATCGAAACCGACGTAAGAATCGCAGATGACGTGCATGCAGAAAGTGTAGTGGCCAGGCTGAGGAGGAGCGGCGAACTGAGCCTTGAGAGCCACCATGTTAAAGGTAGGCTTGCCGTCTTCGGTAAAAATGGGCTGATCAAACTTGTCAAAGGTGAAAGGAGGAACGGCCATCTTGTCCTGCTTGGAGTCGCTGAGGAAAGCGTACCACTTGGGAGAGTGGTCACGGGCGTAGTGGGGGGCAAACGTCAGAGGTGGCAGGGCAGAGTTCTCCTCAACAGCGACGGGCTTGCCATCAGGGCCCTTGACAATCTTCTTCTTGCGGCCCAGAATAGCGTCCATATCATCTTCAGCGGCATCGATATCTTCCAAGGAAACCTCATCGATAGCTGGGACGTTCTCGGTACCGGGAGGGATGAAACGGCCCTTGATGACCAGAGTGACGAGAGATGAGGGAATGATGACCTTTTCGCCAGTAACCTTGAAGAACGCCTTGGCAACACGGAAGAAAGGCATCTGCTTTCCGACACTGATGGCTTCCTTGTACTGCTCTGCGGTAAGGAGATCCTTGCCAACTGCGAGCTGTCTTCGCTCGGCATCGGGGAGGTCCATGAATTGCTGAACAGTCAGATGGATTTTCGAATCGCCTTCAATGGCCGCGGCAACCTTGTCGTTGATGTGAGGGAGCTGGAGGAGAGGAGATGACTTGGGAGAAACTGCCTGGATGAGATGCTGGTTGGCCTTGAACGATCCTGCGATGGGGCCAATGTTGCCAAATGCCAATGCAATCGCAGCAAAAGACTGGTTCAGTGTACGGGCAATTGCGCCAACTTCGAACTTTGCCTTGGTCAGTGCAGGGTCGTCGAGCTCGACGCGACCCAGATAAGCCCACAGTAAAGCAAGCACCTTGCGTCGCACGCCGCTGTCGAGGTCTTCGAGCTTTTCCTTGTCCTTAGTAGAGAAACCGCACGCAAACAACGAGCTCTCACCCTCTGCTGAGATTCGGGATTCGATTTTGGAAAGGCCAGATTCGGCTTGGTCTCCCTTGAGGACGGTCTCGAACTCCTTGCCAGTGCTAAGAGCGGTGATAATACCACCCTCATCAATCTCCTCGTTGTAGTGTCTGAATAGGCGGTTGGCGCTTTCCATCAGGACGCCTTCTTTGGACATCCGCTTGGTACCATACCACCACGAGCCAACCAGATAGGGAAGTAGAATGCCCATAAGACCGGTATAGAGCAGAATCAGGTATTTGCCGTTGCCCTCGGCGATGATGAACTGAGGTAGCGCAATGCCGATGCTGAAGCTCTGCTTGCCATCGGGATGGCCGTACTGGATGTAGTTGTTTCGTACGTCCTCGTCCGTCAGGGCTTGGTAGGCTTTTGTGAGTTCAACGTATCGGTCGTTAAGCATCTCCAGAGTCTCGTTCTTGGAGGGGTCCGGCCTGACCTTGTCCGGGTGGAATTTGACGGAGAGTCTCTTGTAATGAGATTTGATTTGTTTTTCAGTAAAGGTCTGCGAGTCACAGTAATATTAGTCTTGGAAGCACATAGTAGTGAGGAATATGCCGCCCAGCTTATTGCTCCAAGCCCTGCCATCCGTCTGGTTGCTTACCTCTGAGATGCCCAGAATATCGTAGGGATTCCAAATCTTGGGAACGATTCTCTGTGTGACAATAATAAGGTAGACCATGCCCGCCATGAGCGCCCACCCCAAAACAACGAAAATCGCCCGCTTAATCTTCCTCTGCTTCCTCTTCTGCGCCTTGCGCAGCGACGCTACGACATCGCCATGCTTTGTTTTGTAATCGGACGAGATGCGCGGCGCAAGCGCATCGTCATCGGTGCTTCGACGGAAAAGACTGTATGTCAAAGGGAGGGTGACCAGGCCGGTGACGGTCAAGATGAAGAAAGGGAAGAACTGGCCCTAAACATTCGAGAAACATCGCGGTTAGCATCATCGTCCCATGGCCCAGACAGCTCCAGCCCACCCTGCCAAGGCGAATTGCAAGAAGTGGCCAAAAGACTCCGGCAGAGCAAAGAAGTCGGCAAAGGGCAAACGTACCTGTTCGTCGTACGAGTAGTCTGAGCTGCTCATTGTGACGGCCTCGAGGAGCTCAGCCGGCTCAAGGAAAATGCAAACACAAAAATTATGGCCAACGATGCCAACTGGAGCGATTGACTGCCCTTCTCAAAAGTGTCCTTTGAATGATGGTATAAGCGCAAGGCCAGCGGCGACGGGGCAGTGGATTATCCGGCTTCCCCACATTTCATGAGGCCAGATATAGAAAAAAATAGACAGGCGCCTTATCGCGCTAGTGTGGGCTAATCTGCGCTTTAGTGAGGTACCGAACAGCTGCCGCAGCCTTGAAGAGGTGCCCAAATTTGTCTGGGGTTATTGTCCGAATAGGCATGTCAATTGCTATTGTAAGACGCTAGAAATGGCATCTCGTAGAAGCACCGTGGAAACGCGTAGATGTAGTATACGTTGCAACAAATTCCATGCCCTTCTATGATGGTGCTAGTACCTATTGCCTTGGTGGCACTAATGCATTTTCAAGATATTCACATGTGATTATCATTTTGCGACACCATCTTGGTCAAACGTGTCCGTGGTCCAACTTCACAACACTCCCAAACAATACTCTGGTTATAAATCAAGAAACTCCATACAAATTTGTCTCCATCGCTGACACGAATTGCTACTCGCGTGATATGTTCTACTTATGTTACAGTTATGCGTAAGCCCGCCTTCTAAAATCTTAGTTGCTGACATCATCCTTCTCATCGCCGTCTTGCTGCAGTGGCGTAAGTTCAACATTGTTGGTAAACTCGCCATCCAGATCGGAATCGTCCTCTGTCGCTGTCGCCGAAGACACCATCGCCATTTCTCCCAGCAGAATGCTTCTCAGGTCATCATCGCTATAAATCGACTGCATGCTTCCCCTCCTCGCCCATGGTCTTGTTTCTCTTCTTGCCTGGTCTATCAGTCTCTCTATCTTGAGTCGGTTCGATATGAACTTGAGCTTGGGGAACGTGCTCTGCTGTCCCTCGTGTATCATTCGAGCTAGACGCTCTGCATCGGGATCTGTTAAAAGGTGCCAGTAGTCTGAAGGGATAGACTTGGGCCAGATGGTGATTGTTCCACCAAATTCCTGCAGCCAGAGCTGGCTCCAGTCTTGTCCCAGAGGGCGTGGTAGCAGCTCTGCGTGTCTGATAAATTTGAGCCACTTATTCATGTCGAGTTTGAGGTAATGCTCAATTGCCGACATGAGATATCCGCCACGCCAGCCACGGCCCTTGCGATGAGTGACGGGGTGACCAACGGCCCCTCGTGAAGAAAAGAAAAAGAGGTTAATATGTGGGTTGACTTGGCTCACAACGGTAAAGTTGACGTTGAAGTGCGTGTTCAGCGCTTTGATAGGGATATCCGTTCTTAAGCTGCCGTCTTTCCACTTGTGGCCGAATGAATACGGCGCCAGCGTCCCATCACGCATCTTCATCATGAGGACAACAGGATTGAGAATACCGGGGACTGCTGCAGATGCTAGTACGGCAGACCAAATAACGCAGTCGGGGCTGGTCAAGTAATTGCAGAGGATAGTTGGAGAGTGAGGGTCGGCCGGCACGCAACTGACGTTGAGAATGCGACCAGTGCGCTCGTACGCCTCCTTAAATGTCATAGAGCCCCTTGTAAACCACGAGCATCGCTCGGCCCAGTCAACCGAGTCAAAGCGAGCTCCAGTCCTCCACCATCGGGAAAACCACGTAGTTATCGATTCGCCGCAGGCCGTAATTCGGTGCGCCAGCGCTGGCACCAGAAGCTGCTTCAGCTCATCATTGGTGTGGGTGGCAACAAGGCCTGCTATAAGAGCACCGCCGCTGGTTCCAGTGATGACGTCTGGGAGTAGGTCTGCATCAAGCATCGCTTTTACTACTCCAACATGATAGTATGCGAAAGTAGCTCCTCCAGACAAGCAGAGTGCTGTTCGTCCATAGTTGGCGTGCATGTGCTTGAACAGTATTCGTTTCTCGTCTGCTTCGAGCTGATCCGTATTGAGCAAGAATCGGAGGCTCTTCTCGACTGAAAAAAAGTTAGCCTCTCATCAGGAATCATTTCATGGAAACAGCAAGTAGAGCTCACCATCGTCAACGAAATTTTGGACCAGATTCTTGGTTCCATAGTATGTTTGGCTGTAAAGTCTCGGATTTTCCACGCCAACAAAGTTATTCTTGACGCAAGCCTCCAATAGCGCCCTCAAATCATCAACAGATTTTCTCAATTCTTGTCGATTGCCGCTTCGCTCAAGTGCTTCTGCCTTGATCCTCGTCTTGCGTATCTGTCCCCATACTCGCTTCACTGTCTTCGAATCATAGTAGGCGAAATCGTCGACCTCTCTCCAGTTCTTTCGGCCCAGAAATTCATCAAGCTCTTTGGCTGCCTTGACCCAGCCCTCATAGCTGGATGTTCTGCGCATATTTTTGCGCAATATTTCACGGCGACCTCGCCATGTAAAGAAATGTTCGTAGAACCAGATGTACCACCTCGTGGAAAGGTACGCAACGCTCAGTCCAATAAGCCAGGAGAACACGAAGAAAAGAAGCGGCCACTTTGATAGCAAGTACAGGTATCCCTCTCGGGTCTCATCTTTTGTCCTGGTGCCCAAGAGTCCCTCTACCGCCGCAGCGCCTTTCCTCCTCTTCTTTGTCCCTCGTTTGCTTCGATAGAGACCAGGGTTTATTGGAGCCCAGTCGTTTTGCGCCGTGACGAACGTGCCCATGGTCGGAGTCGGTGGTACAGGCAGATCGCCTCCAGCAGCTCCGGCCGCTGCTGCGACAGCTGCGACATCATCTTCTAGGACACTGCCGGCCACCGAATCCCTCTTAGTTAGGTTGACGGAGCTGACGCTTCTGGGCGACTTCAAGCTGGAGGTGTCGTCGGTTGGGCTTTGCAGAGGGTCGGGCGCTTGTAGTGCCCTCTCGAAGGCGGCCAGATCTTCTGGGTCGAGATAATCGGTATCGATGTTGGGTAGCGCGGATGGATCGAAGGCATCGCGAGGAAACCCGTAGGAGTCGTCGTAGGGAGCGAGTTCAGGAAGAGGCTGCGCCATTGCGCCGACTGACAAGGTGATGCAGATGTATGTTCACGTCGTCTGGGAACTCATGCATTTCCAAGAAGGCGTAGAAATAGCCAAAGACGGCTCGCCGGCCACTTGTAGAGTGCGCTTCGTGTGACCTAGACAAGAAGTCGTAAGATTAAAGTGCTGTCAAGCGTGGTCCTTTGCGCCTCCAGATACGTATCGAGGCGGTCGGCGCATGACGTCTACGGTGGCTGATTACAGCGGATTTTGTTGGGATAAGTGGGGAGACTCCCTAATCTTTAGCGGAGGGGGCAATTAATCCAAGATGCGTCAATGATGGCAGGGGTCCACATGGAAACTGCCACAACGGTAGTGGCTGGATTAATAGCAGAACGAGTTGACAAGTTGAGGAGTTGCTTGTTTCGTACTTGATACATGGCTGGTTCTCTTGATCTATTCAAATAGAATGTGAACTACACACGTACGCTATTATCTCAATCTTATTGGAGATGTACAATTTGCTTCATCTTAATATCGTACAACTACTTGCAGCGCTTGAATGCGCTAGAGGCAATGTCAGGGATCTCATGCACGACTTGCAGCTGTCCGCAATGGGTCCCAGGCCCTGCGCTACGGTAGCTGTTCCTGCAGGCCGATGCTATTTCAGGTGATTGAGGCACTGTCGCGAAATGAGCGTCGGGGGTTCAACCACGTTGAATAAGGGTTACGTATACTCCTATTTCGAAAGTCAGGCTTACCTCAACGATGTAAACAATTTGTAAGTCGCGAAATGGTTGATATATAAGTTATACCAAGAATTTTATCCTTTTTTTTTTGGCCTCTACTAGGTACTAGTTATCGAGTGACTGGAGTGTTTGTGGCCGAAGCACTTACACCAGACGTCTCATTCATCCCACCCAGACTTTAACGTCAATCTCTTGCTCTAAAGTAAATTTGAAACTCGTAATAACACGAACATAATCTTGTGAATGCGCTCACATAGTAGAAGTGGTCTCGTTGATACAGAGCAGTACCGCACGTGAATTTCCCTTCAATCACAATTCACGTAATCATGGCTTTTCCCCTGATAAATAGTTTCCCTTGCTGTTTTCAAGATACGTTGCTATTCTTCTCCTTGCACCTCGCACTTGTATCGCCATGAAACCAATCAGTCACAAAGTAGATCCAAACGGAGATACACTACTCACCCTTCGCAATCCAAACGCTCCGTTTGGTGGAGATGCAACCGTTTGGTCCAATGCTCTGACAAAATATCGCCCAGAGAAATTAAGACGAAATGAGCGAGAATTGAGCCTACTCGCACAAGACAAGCAGTCGCCTCCTGGTAGCCCTCCAGAAATCCAGTTCCAACTCTCTTCAAAGCATCTGACGCGTACATCGGGATACTTTCAAGGCCTGATGGCCAACAACTGGAAAGAAGCAAGCTCAAGCCGCGACTTTGCTTACTCCGTAACTGCGGAAGATTGGGACGAGGCTGCGTTACTCATGGTCATGAAGATCATTCATTGCCAAACATCGGAAATACCCCAAGTAATCGACTCTGAAATGGTGGCCAAAATCGCTGTTATTGTCGATTATTACCAATGCCGTAAGGTAGTCGATACTTACGCAACGACATGGGTGCAAAACTTGAATGCTAAAGAACTTACTTTCTGTGGCTATGGAAGAACGCTTTTACTTAGGCTTTTCGTGTCCCATTACTTTTCGAGCGGTGTCGATTTCAACCGATGCACGCAGATTATAATACGCGAAAGCAGAGGACCAATTCATTCTCTCGGGTTACCATTTCCTCAAAATATCATTGGTGAGTTGTACCTTTCATGCACGAAGATGTCGCGACTAGTAGGTTGAGTATTTCTGTCGCTAGACGCTCTTGAAGATGAAAGGAAACGTTGTGTTTCTAAAATCGTCACCGGACTTCACAAGGCGATACAGGATTTTGGCAAGGGCTACCAAAAAAAACCACTGGTGAATGCTATGAAAGCAATGAAACTTTATAAGCCCAGACCAGCGCCGCCCTTTGCGGGCTATAGCGTTGTGGCGATTGAACGAGGTCTTCTTAAAACTTGGACGGATTATAAAATACATGTACAACATGAAAAAAAGGCAAAAAGGGCAAAAAGGGCCTATGGTTGGTACTGGCAGGGTGGACCAGAGCGCCGTAGAGACAATATTACGGGGGAAGTTCGATACCAATTTTGGGCGCATTCTGACAGCATACCTGGATTGAGATTGACAAACTTTGTCGATGTGAGCAAAAAGACATGAAATGTTGTCTTTTTTGGGGGGGATTTTAAGCTATTGTTTAGAGATGGTATTGCATTGGATATTCATGCGCTTGCTGCAAACCTCAGTCTAGGTAACTTACTTTCATATTTTATTTTAAGGTCTATTAGCAGATGAATTGATCAGGGAAATGATAAGCCATTATACACGTATAAGTTTCTTCGCATCTGACTGGCCCAGAGCCTTGCGTGTCGTTACAAAACACGATGCTGTGATTCGTCGCACAGGGATTGCGGCAGGATTTAGCACTGCGGTGGGGTGAGCCTTAAACCACATGCGTGAAGTCGGCTGTGCGCGGCATGCAACTGATGATCATGCGCTCAAAATATCCAAGAAGTGCCCTTTTCCTACTGTATCCTAGGCCTTACTAGGAATACTAGGGATAGAACCAGCTTGTTAGAGGGTCTTTGAATCCTGCGCACGGCGATATATTCAGCAGTGTTGGTTCGGCGTCCTGTCGTCTCCTGTGTCCCAGCTTTGTAAGTCGTACAAGCATTGTTTTGTTCCACGAGCATGGGCCGCTGCAGAAACACTTTGCAGGCCCCTTCGTTTCCCTCTTTTCTAAAAGAAACTACACGAGACACAATAGGGTGCACGCACCTCTTTATCTGAACCGTGCGCATGCAAGAGGGGGGGCTGAGAACCTTGATGAGCAGAGAGCTGAGATGCCATCGAGCAATGTGACACGCTGTGTGTACAGCCGCCGGAGAGTCGCGGGAGAACCTGGATGGCCAGCGAGGCCTGGGTTTGTCATCATGTCACAAGGGTCCGGAGAACAAGGCAATGCCGGCCAAGGAAGCGGTTCAACAGCAGGGAGCAGGATATTCAGGTGAGCAGAGCCGATGAACATTGGGGATTCCAGACGAAATTATCATTGCTGTTGAAGATACACGTACGGAGAGCATTGTTGCTGAACATCTGGCGTCCTCTGTCAAGTCATTTACAGGCCACTGACACTGGTATATAATCGCCTAGCGCCTCCAGCTGTCTGCAGGGTGCCATCGCCACCAGAATTCAGAAGGCCCCTCCTACGTCAGCGCCCCCGAAAGCAGAAACCGCGCCAGCTCTGACTTTAACAACAACTGCTCACACCACACCAGACTTCACCTAAACGGCCAGCCACAGAAGAGCGCAGACTTTGCAACTGCAAAAGACGACAGCGATCCTACACCCGCAATTCTCGATATCCGCCAGGACTCCACAGATCTGCCCGCAGCCGACCTACAGCACCGTTGCCGCCACAGCCGACCTCGACTCGACTCGACTTTGACACTACCGCGGAGAGAGAACAACACAAAGACTCGCCATGGGGTTGGAGGCGAGGGGTGTCGACAATGACACCCGCGGATGGATTCTAAGCTGCGTGAGCGGCGTAGGTATGTTATAATCGTTCATTGATGCCTCTGTCTAGCAATTTACTGACTTGGATGACCCTGAAGCCTGCGTCTTTGGCGCGTCCATCATCTGCGTTGATGCTTTGGTGCGCCTCATCCCGGGCAAGTCACACTTCCGTATCCAGGACAGCAACATCTTCCTTGCGTGCTCGCTGAGCTTGAGCTTCGGCGTCATGGTAAGTCCTCATTACTCTCATCTACTTCCTCTCCAACTATGCGCTACAGCCAACTGACCGGTGCCCCTGTCCTCTCGACTTCTAGCTCTTCTCCTCGTTGTTCAGCATGCTCCCCGAGTCCAAGGAATACTTTAAGCAAGAGGGTTGGACCGACCAGGCTGCTGGTCTTGTCATGATGGGCTTCTTTGCCATAGGCTTCGTTGGTATCCAAGTTGTCTCGCGACTCGTCCACCAATTCATGCCTTCCCACGTCGTCGACTGCGACCATAGCCACGACGATACTGCCTCTCACGATGGTCATTCTCACCACGCACACTCGGATCGAGCTCGCTCGCGATCTAATCGCGGTCGTCGCATGCTGTCTCGAGCCCCTGACAATAAAATTTCTGATATTGCCGAGACAAGTAGTGATGATCAGCACCTCACCAGCGAATCTACTCCTCTACTCAGCTCAGAGAGCCAGAATGCTCATACGACACTGACTCGTCAAGCTTCTGCGAGAGACGAAATGATCCAGCGGCCCAGCAGTTCCTTGATGCTGACCCGCAGCCGGACCACTACCACTGGTGGTTCTACAACCGCGAGCAGACGGCCCTCCATTTTGGAGGTCCAGAAGCGGGTCATGTCCTTTGTCAAGGACACAAAAGCCAACTGTGATGAATCTGGACCTTGTTACGGATACACTGATCCCTGTGGCCAAGAATGCTTCAAACATCTAAGCAGTCGTGCGGCTAGTAATGCACGCCCGCTGCCGGCTCTCCGCACAGCTACTGGGCATTTCCAACCTCACCACTCCTTTCATGCTACTCACGATCACGACCACGATCACACCCATACAGATACCAGCGACGCACCTATCAGTCCCAGCCGTGTGGTCTCTCGCGACTCCTTGACCCTGACGGATGAGGAGATCGATGAGAATGGCTTTCCCTGCGACCAGATGGATGAAGGCGACATGGAAGCCCAACACCATCACCACGTTCCTGCCAATGCCTTCCTCTCTATAGGACTGCAAACATCCATTGCCATTGCTCTGCATAAGTTCCCTGAAGGCTTCATCACTTACGCAACAAACCATGCCAACCCTACCTTGGGATTCAACGTCTTCATGGCTCTATTCGTCCACAACATCTCTGAAGGCTTTGCCATGGCCTTGCCTCTCTACATGGCTCTCAACTCCCGCTTGAAAGCCATGGTCTGGTCGGCTTTGTTGGGTGGCCTGTCCCAGCCCCTCGGAGCGGGCATTGCGGCCCTGTGGTTCAAACTTGCCAAGAAGACACACATGACGCCGAATGCTGTGGTGTATGGATGCCTTTTCGCCTTGACTTCTGGCATCATGGTTAGTGTTGGCCTGCAGCTCTTTGTGGAGAGCCTTAGCCTCAACCATGATCGCAACATGTGCATGTTCTTTGCTTTCCTTGGCATGTCTCTGTTGGGTTTGAGCAACGCCCTTTTCGCAGACCACTAGCAGTAATACGAGTGCACGTGTGTTTTCCGATAAATTGCATGATGCAGCTGAGTGCATGTATCAATCACAGGGCTGAAATGACTACATTTCTTCTATTGTTAATATCATACGGGCTGTTCGTTTTCTTTTGTTTTGTCCACAAGGCATTGGGTTTTTATTCTTGGCTGCACTAGACTATGGATCAGGGAGTCAATGGGGAAACGTTTATGCGATATTCTTATTTTTCTTACTCCTTTCTTCCTCTTTTCTGTCTTCATCTCTGTTTCTCAGCGCAACTCTCACAGCAGCGGCCGAACGGCATGGGGTATGGTGTGCCACCATATATAGCTGTTCCAGACAGCGCTAAATGAGGAAATGAGGAGCGACACAAAATTCATTGTTTTGCATTGACTGGTTACTGCTTGGGATATGGGACGGTTTTGGTAGATGAGTTAAAAATACCAGTTGGTAATAAAGTATCTTGTTTCTTTGTATCTTGTCATTGTTCATTACAGTCGTGATGTCTGGTTGGCAATATCTATCTATATCATGGCTTGTTCTTATCTAAGCGCCATAGAAATACACCCAGCTATTTGTATATACATGTTAATCTCCATTACCTTTTGTAATCTGACACCAGATTGTCTCGAGTCTAAAATCCATCCAGCGTCGGGTCGATATTGCCGCCTATGCCTGCTCCCCCGTGGGCCAGCATCATAAGATTTGCATCATCGCCGATCCAGCCGTCCTGAGAAACCCCGTACGTCATCTGCGAAGCAAAAATGTCTGCTTGGGGATAGCCTCCTGTCCAGGTCTGTTCAGTAGCATTTACTTCAGTGTCAAACATGGCAGGGTTAGTAAATGGCATTGAATCGACGGCAGCAGTGTCAACGGTATTAATGGGGTGTACGGCTGCGATGTGAGCATTGAGGTCGTAGTAGCGGATAAAGCCTTCGCTACACTGCGAGCATTTGAGGGTCTGCTTCTTGACGTTGGTGACTCCGGAGATTTCGTCAATGACGTCTGTCGGAGTTGATTTATCTGTTTTGGAAAGCTTCGGCCGTTCTTGGCCAAGGTGGATGAAGCGAATGTGGTCCTCCAATCGAACTTTTGTGCTGAATTTGTCGCCACATCCTTGGTCGTTGGTCCACGCTTCGAGCCCGGGACCGGTGAATTCGACTTCGCCGCAAATGAAGCGGAATCCTTCGTGAGCCACACGGAAATGGACGTTCAAGTTTGATTTCTTTGTGAATTTCTTGTCGCAGCCGGGATAGGTGCAAGCCACCGTCTTTCGATCTTGAACTGTCTTTCCAGAGTGGTGGATTTCGATATGCGTCTCCAGCTCCCATAACGAGCTTGATTTGTAGTCGCAAAACATGCAGTTTTGGTGTTCTTGCCGCATATGTGACTGCAGCTGTGTATCCGTCGTGAAGCCAACTCTGAATGTCGTGCCATCTTCCCGCAACTGTGGCGCACATTCCATGCACCAATACTTGAGCGGCCCATGTTCTCTCTCCCGATGTCGATTGAGTGCTCCCTTGGAATCGAACGCAGATACGCATCCCGGCTCCGGACACTGGTGCGCTGGCAGGCCTTGATGTTCTTTTCTCACATGCTTGTTGAGCGTTTCTTTCTTTCTAAAGCTTTGACCGCAATCCTGGCAGCGGAATCTGTCGGCGCCTTCGTGGACTAACTGATGACGTTTCAATCTTGTGCCTGTAACGAAGGTCTTTCCACAGCCATCCCTCTGGCAGACGTATTTGCGGTCATTGGTGTGTACGGCCTTGATGTGCTGTTTCAAGTGTTTGTCTTCGATGTAATCCTTGGTGCAGTCGTCATAGGGGCATTTGTGAGGCCGAGAGTTGGTGTGAGAGTTCATATGGTCTCTCAACCGCGCAGGACGATTAAAGCTTTTCGTACATCCTGGCCAGGAGCACGCCAGTGTCTTATAATCCGACGGAAACTTAGTGCGCGGTGTCGTAGCAGCTGTGACTGTAGATTCGACTTCCACACTTGATCCTGGACTTGAAGCCGGAGTATAATCATCGTCGCCATCGCCGTCGTCGTCGACATCTAATACTGCGTCAGTGACATTGAATTTTTTCTCAATGGAGCTTCTTCATAGAGTTAGTTGTGTTCGTACATGAAACTGCAGCACCGCCGGCATTCAACCTCTTGGGCCGAGGCGTACTCGGTACCTCTTCCGCAGCAGCTCGTTTTCTCATAGTCGCTTGTCAATTGCTATAAAATTGTGGTATGTCTAGTATGTCGTCGAGCTTGCTCGATGGCAGAAATTGGGAAACTTTTGAGTGGGTCACGGGGCGATAAGATAAACAAATTGCGCGACAGCCCCAGCAGAGAAATGCGCTAGCAGCGACCCGCCCAAAATTCTAGCAGCTGGAGCCGGGGAAGCTACGGAAAAACTAACCTCCCCTGCTGCAACAACTTTTTTTTGCGAGGCTGAGAAAGAAATCCGCCAGCAAATCGCAAGCCTCCTCCTACCAAGACACTCGACTTTTCACTCTATTCTTTTCAAGATGTCTGACTTTGGCGACGATGATGTTAGCGTTGGCGGGTTAGTATAGTCATACACTCAGAATATGGCGCAGAAGATACAGGAAAAGCCTCTGGATAGGCAGCTAACCCCTTATGCACAGCGACGAGCCCGTGTTGGACGACGAGGAGGTGACCGAATTCTACGACCCCGAAGTTGGCGAGGATGACGATAACGAGCACGCAAACGACCAAGACCACATTGTCATCTCTGGAGACCCATCTGCGGCTGCGAACGCTTCCAAGGACAAGTCAGTCAAAGACAAGAAGATTCCCGACGACCAGCGCACGACAACGCCGTACATGACGAAATACGAGAGGGCCCGTATTCTGGGCACGCGCGCCTTGCAGATCAGGTTGGTGTTGAAAGATTGGCAGCGCAGCACCGAGGGGATATGCTAATTGGGTGGCTATAGCATGAATGCGCCTGTGCTGGTAGATCTCGAGGGTGAGACGGATCCGTTACAAATTGCGATCAAGGAATTGCGCGAGAAGAAGATTCCTTTGATTGTACGGAGATATATGCCCGATGGATAGTAAGTCGAATGTTAGCGAGGCCAAAATCATCAAAGCAGTGCATGCGTCTAACATGATTCAAGCTACGAGGACTGGACATGCGAAGAGCTTCTTCAGTAAACGAAAAAGGGCTTAGCAAAGACGAAAGCGGCCAAGTCAGGTTGCTCGATTCAAGTCGACTCTACCAAGAAAGTCTAACGAGCACCAATGCCGCGACTCATCCACCTTTTCGTCTTCTCGAGGAAAGAAATTTGTTCATCAGCGTGGCGTTTCGAGATTCGACTAAATTCGTCGCATGTTTAAGATATAAAAAGATAGCAGGTTATCCGGCCAGGCATTGTATCATTCTGTCTATGAATGCAGCACCAGAAATGGTTTTGGTCATGGGTCAGACGCCTTTTGGTCACGCACTCTGGCGCATGCATCAACAAAAGAGGTCTCTGCAAAGCTGGAAGAATACACAAAAGAGCATGGCCAATGCGGGTGCAACACTCTGGATCTAGACTGCTTGGATAAGAGTCCTAGTTCTGGACTGTATGGATTGGTTAGAGACTGCTACGGTAGGGAAGCTATATTACATGGATTGCTGCAAAGTATAACGGTACAATAATAGATGTCAGCGAAGAAAAAAAGTAGATTCGAGTTTTTCTTTTACGTTGCAGAACAATCTGGCGATCATATGCAAGGAACTGTGGACGGCACTTGCGCTGTAACGTAGCAGCCGTAATCATGCGAGCATTGCCGGGTAATTCTAGGCGCAGCAATGGACCCGTGAGCAAACAAATCTATATTCCGAGTGGAGTATCAAATTTTTGTCATTGGTATAGCTGTGTTTGTTTCCGCTGGGCTAGTTTTATCTGTGAACCATCGAGTGCTTTTCAAGCTATCATGGTCATTGACAAGGCCCAGATGGTGATCGAACACAACTAGATGTGTCATGCAGTAAGATTTATTTGAGACGAAATACTACTGGAATCTATAGAGAATCTACATACAACGTCCTGCATAGAATGTCCTCTCCAAACTTCTTTTATAAAAGTTAGTGCAACACAATCAAACACGATGGGCCGTCGGCTGCTACCACGCTAAAGGTCCCGCTGTGGTTTTAGTCCACCCTAAAAATAGCGGGCAAATGCAAAAGCACATGGGAGCACGTTGAGTGACATCATCACGCCTCGGGCCAGATGAGATTGGCTCGCAAACACAAGATCTCTTTGTTTACCATTTGTCGTTGTTGCCGCTACCGTCGTTTAACAAAAGTGTAGATTAAATAGTAGTCTCTCTCGGAAATTTCCTTGGGCTGGTATTGGCTGTGCCTGCCACATGAAATTAAGATATTCATATATGCAGCGCCATGTACAAGTACGCTGCCCAATGACCTCATGCCTCTGCCGCCCCATCAGCCAGCGGCGGAGAATTAAGGGTCTAAAATGCGGTTCCTGCATGCATATACGAGTCTGCGTTGGCTGCGCCGAAAGATGAGCTATGGGCTCTTTAAGAGGCTGAATACGGCAGTTGTGGGATTGAATGAGGTGTTTGAGATGACATGCATCTCCAGCAGTATCCTTGCCACTCGCGAATGCTGCCTCTCTGCTGGATTACAGAGTAGATCCGAGGATGACGGGAAACGCCAAAGCCGGCCAATGGCCATCGCGCAACGCCAGCATTCCTCCCTCGTATTCCCTCCCTCGACTGCTGATTGCTGATATCCTCGCAGCGCGGCATCCGGCGATCGGCTCGTCCTTTGTCCGCCAAGCCAGGCGTATGACGTCGAGTCAAAGATCGACGGCCCTGACACGAACGAACCGCCTCGTAATGTCTCACGGAGCTGTTGCCAATCAGGCTCTATTTTCATAGGGATCGTGCAAAGGCCATGTATAGTACCTAGTAGGCCACGGACGCTATGGAATACCTGGCATCACATTAGAATTGGCCCTGTTGCCGTGTATCACACAGACTTGCCAAAACCTTCGGGTGGCTGCTTAGGGGCCCGTGCCCAAATACGGGGACAGACGTCGCTGCGGCTTGTCGGATCTGCCGCTGAGTGGACAGACGTCAGAATCTTTGCTACAAGGTTATTGCTGGCAAGTGGGAGAGGGAGAAAGGACGGGAGCACAAAGAAGAAAAGGTGGGCGCCGCATTACGTCGGTCTAGTCAGAGGCGAACGGATACACAGCGGGCTTGTGTATAAATTGATTCGGTTCCACGACGAAGAGGCTCACGAGATTGTCTGAGACAAACAACGACTGCTACTTATCCACACCGCCGTCCACCAGTTATAAGACATTGAATCTACCCTGAAGATCTTTTGTTTTATTCTTCATTTCTAGCAATACGCCAAAGCGTCATTAAGAGACTCAACTTTCAACTTACAGCCTTCACCATGAAGTTCTCAACCATCGTCGCTGCAGCTGTTTCCTCGGCCATTGCCGTCTCCGGCAACCCCATCGAGAAGCGTCAAATCGGCGGCGTATGTCCCTCTCTTTCACCATCTTCCTCATCATGATTGAGTCTAACTTGTATTCACAGGTCCTCTTATGCACCGGCGCCAACGCAACCGGCACCTGCTCCTACAGCGTCTACGAACTCAAGACTTGCCACCAGCTGCCCGCGCCTTTCCACCACAACACCAGCACGTTTGCGCCCGATGGCGAAGATTTCGAGTGCTTCCCGCGTATCGGTGATTGCGGCTCCATCTGCACCAGCCCGACGGGATGCACCTTTGGCGCCGTCGACTTCAGCTACAAGAACAAGTTTAACCTCGGTGCCATTAAATGGAATACGTTGATTTCTAGCTTTGACTGCTCGTTGAAGACGCCTCCGAGCACTCAATGAACAAAAAAAGGAAATTTAAAAAAAGAAAAAAGAAAAAAAAAAAAAATTAAAATGAATTTTCCTAATCCATATCTTTTTTTCACCTCTGCTTTAATGAAGCGAGCTAGAGCTATGCGAGGCAAGCAAACACGCCTCTCTTAATACCAAAGGAAACCCGACAGACATTCTGCCCCTCTTTATTCAACAAAGCAAAAACAAAGAGAGGGGTCCAGAAATGACATGCATAATGATACTTGTTAGTAATGAGTCAGGGACAGAGCTGTTGTTTTGTGTTTATTTTTTTCTGCTTTGGAAATGATCAGGCGTTTATACTATTACCCGATGCTGTTTTTTTGATACTCTTTTCGGACATTTTTCGGGGCGTCATGATGATGGAGATGATAGAGGTTTTGGAGGGGCAAAGCTATGGTGGGGTAATGAATAAGTAGCAGCCATCAAGCAATCAACTTGTCAATCGATTCAATCACTTGATCAAATAGTAGCATTTCATGAGTAACAGGCACTGAATAGCTCACTTGGCATCAAACAGCAACACCAACTCACTCTCAAGCGAAACACACAATCTATTGTCATCAGTACTCACCACAACCATCAACACCATGGCAGACATCACCACCAACGCCACCATCCACTCCTTTGGCGGCCGCTTCCTCAAGCTCACCCACCAGTCCAGCCTCACCGGCGGCCCCATGAACTTCACCCTCTTCCTGCCGGCCGGCATCTCCGCCTCCGACCCGGCCCCGCTGCTCATCTACCTCTCCGGCCTGACCTGCACCCCGGACAACGTCACCGAAAAGGGCTTCCTCCACGCCCACGCCGCGCCCCTCAAGCTGGCACTGCTCTACCCGGACACGTCGCCGCGCGGCTCCGACCACCCGGGCGAGCACGACGCCTGGGACTTTGGCAGCGGCGCGTCCTTTTACGTCGACGCCACGCAGCAGCCGTGGGCCAAGAACTACCAGATGGAGACGTACATCACCGACGAGCTGCCCGACGTCGTCTTCTCGCACTTCAAGGAGCTGGACCCCAAGCGCGTGTCCATTGCGGGCCACTCCATGGGCGGGCACGGCGCCCTGACGCTGTATCTCAAGAACCCGGGCAAGTACCAGAGCGTCAGCGCGTGGTCGCCCATTTCGAACCCGTCGGCGTGTCCCTGGGGAGAAAAGGCCTTTACGGGGTATCTCGGCAAGGACAGGGAGGAGTGGAAGAAGCACGATGCGACGGAGCTGGTGAAGCACTGGAAGGGGCCTCTGAATGCCCTGCTTGACGTGGTATGTTTTATATGAGAAGATGTCTGTTGTAGGCATGCTAATTAAGGGGGAAATTCTAGGGCACTGGCGATAATTTTTACAAGCAGAGACAGCTTCTGCCTGAGAACTTTGCCGAGGCTGTCAAAGCAACGAGCATCGAGGGCCTGCAACTGCGATACCAGGAGGTACGTTATGTTTTTGAGTTGAAAATCTGAGCGGACGCTAATCAATGTTTGCAGGGCTACGACCACTCATACTTCTTCATCTCTACTTTTGGCGAGGATCACATTAAGCATCATGCTAAGCATCTGGGTCTGTTGTAAGAAAAGCTATGAAAAGGCATGCATGATTTGTTGAGGAAAGTACCTATGTGTCATCGGAGAATCAGAGTTTATTGATACGAAGGAAAAGAGTTAGTCAGTAAAAAAAAAATTGTATGATATGATAGAATGACGAGTTGGTTCAAGTTCTGTTGTTATACATGAGCAACACATGCGACGTATAAGAGCACTCAAAATACATTCCCAGAACGGATGATTCTAGTACGCTATAAGAAGAATACGCCTGTAATTATCTCACAAATGTCTCTGAAAGAAGGTTTCTAAGACTCTTAGCAAAATCTTCATATATAGAAAGCCTCCATCTCTTTACAACCCCTGAAAGAAAGAAGTCATTAAATAAAGGGAACATATTCCATGATGTCGTACCCACGTCGATTCAGTTGCACCTTTCCGCAGTCTGCGCCCAAATCAATGAAAAATAAGCATAAGAACCATAAAAGTAGCAGACATAGTTAAGAATAGATAATCCTCCCATCATTGCTCGCTAACATATACTTTCTTGCATCAATGCACGCTGATATATAGGTATATGTGTGTTCCCAGATAAAATATGCCGCGATTAACCCTCTCTTTCACTCTCTCTCGCTCGCACAACGCAAAACTCCATTCAACGAGAACATTAGCTAATCATCTTCTCCATAACAGGACTCAAAACAAGCCCTTCCTTCTCCGTCTTAAACTTCATCTCCGTCTCAGCCTCGCGACGGATCCGCTTATACGCCAACTTCTCAAACTGGCTGAGGCTCTTCCACCAGTGCTGCCCAGCTTCATGGTCGGATATTCGCTCGAGCAAATCAGCCGTCCTGATGCGCACTTCGCGGTCCTTGTGGAACAGCCCCAGCGCAATGTAGAACAGCCCGGCGTGCGACTCAGGCGCTACGTCGAGAAGCAGGCATATCTCCTCATAGGAGTGGATATGTTTGGATAGCGTGAGGTAGATGTCTTTGCTCTGTGAAGGTGTTAGGCGCTGCATGCGAAGACGGTCATGCATGTGAGCCAAATCCAGCCCTTTTAACGGACGAACAGTGTATATCCGTGCGAGGTCCTGAAATCATGACTCGGTTAGTTATTATTCAAAACGGGCGTACGAGGGGTCGTGTTTGGAAGAGATGTTTACCTGAATATAGCTGTAGTAGCTGCGTGTGTTACGCCAGCCCTCAATTCTCGTCACATTGCCGGCCAGCTCCTTAAACTTTGCAGTATCGTCCGCCCACACGTATCCATGGCCACTGGCCCCCGGCAACGCCAGGTCCTGGTCTTGACCTCCGATATACAGAGCAGATGCGCTATACACACTCTCTTCAAACTGGGCCGCAATTCTCGTGAATCTGTTCACCCAATCTCGCCACTTCGCCCGGATGACCCGCTCACCGTGCCTTGCCGCAATACTCCTAAGAATGTCCGACATAAAGGCCGCGTCGCCCGTCAGGTCCTGCGCATTATTGGAGACTCCGCTGGCAGTGTTTGCGAGACTGGGATGCTGCTGCTGAAAGTAAATCAACCCTTCAGTAACTGGTGCCATCTCAATCTTGCTACTAATCTTGATGCGGCCGCTGGGCAAATCGCACAGGACGTCCCACCATTCTGGATGAAGCTCAAAGGTAGGATTGGTAACACCAGCAATAAACCCCGGCACGTTGAGCAGATCTTCGACTTTCGTCAAGTCAGTATAGGGGAAAGCATGCCGGGTGAATCCCCGGAGGATGCCACCAGACACAAGGGCACATGCTGCAAGGACCGCTTCAGCCACATCCCCAGAAGGCATATTGTGGCCCAGAAAAATGACTCTTTTCTGGGTGAGTAGCCCGTTGATCAACACAATGATGGGATGCGTATTGACTCCGTTCGTTGTCAGGTGGGGATGTAGTGGAAACGGCTGCGGAGACTTGGCATGAGCCTCTGAAAAGTTTTGTATCAACTTGATGAGCGAGAAGTCGCCCACAGTCTCCGGCATAACAGCGGTAGGTACTTTGATAGGGATAGGAATGCCCTTATACATGACCTTGCTCTCAAATTCATGGGTATCTCTGGCCACGGAATACGTTGACTGTCCGCCGCCCTCAACGTGAGCCTTGGTGCCGGCCCTCGAGATGCCGCCAGTGATTTCGCCAGATCCCTCAGTGGCGGTTTCAGCTCTCTCCTCAGCCATACGCATCTGGATTATACGCTCAAACTTTTCCACAAACAAGTCTTTATTGTCGCTTGCAAGCAACAGGTTTCTCTCAAGCAAGCTTAGCTTGGGCATAAGAGACAAGTCCATGTTATTGACCGCGTCATACAACATGGATAGAGTCTCAGGCACTGGTGATTTATAATACTCCTCTAATGCGAGGAGTAGAAGCGGCTGCACGAGAGCAGTTGAAGTTAGTTTGCAAATCCCAACATATAATCTCTAAACATCGAGCAGCATTGGCCACATACCTTGTATATATGCAAAAAGGGATGTCTCGTACAAATGGCCATCGCCTTGACAATGGCTCCTCGTTTCACTGTTTTATCGTGCTTGGTATTGACCAAGTTGAGCACATAGATGAGTGGGGGACCCTCTGCACCGTCTGGCTCGTCGTCTGAGGACTCGTCGTCGTCCTCATCCAAATCATCTTCGCTCCCCTCTGAATCTTCTTCAGACTCAGTCTCGCCCTCAGGGACCAGCCCCGCTTCTTTATCTCGGCGTCTCTGCCTTCGAGCTCTTCTCCTTGCTTTAGCCTTGCGTTCATCATCTTCGTCTTCTGGCGATGAATCTTTGTGGAGGAAGAACATGGTCCAATCCTGATTACGCGCGTGGGCCTGGTCTGGAAGCATCAGCTCAGCCAACATGTTTTCATCCCCAGTGATGGCGACCGGGTATTGATGCTCCATGACCGGACCACGGTCAATATCAAACGATGCCACCAAGATGTACTCGACATGGTTGGCGTCTGATCCACGAGGATATTGTGATCGAACTCGCTTCTGAGGGTACGACCCTTCGTTCGTTCGGCGTGCTGCCGAGAGAGACGAGTGCTGTGAAGATGGCCCGATGGAAGAAGCTTTGGACTTCATGCTCGGGTCCGAAGTCCGGTCGGTTTCGGCCATGGGGGGCTGCGGTGACCTTGATGGGCGCGAGTGAAAGGACATTTGCGATGGAGAGCGCGACGGGGGGAATGAGGAGAGCGAGGTACGGCGGTGATGAGGCAGCGAAACGTTTGAGCTGCTTGCACCGTTTGAACGAGAGGCGTAGGGAAGAGCCGCCGCCATGGTTCAAATGCCTCCGCCGGCCAGTGTGTCGTGGGATGCTGCGCCTGTATACCAGATCGCCCGTCTCGACTCGTGCTTCTCCAAGTATAGCTGGAGCTCGTCAATCGTATGGATGTAGCTTACAGGCTGTCGAGGCCGAGCCTTTGGATTCGTGCCGTCGGAATTCGTCGTCGTTTATTGCGCAGGGACAGCTATCTGGCTCGAGCGGTCTATGGCTGTGGTCGCGGCCAGGGTATGTTGGTGCGCAATACACTTTTTAGTGGTGCTGGTGGTGATGCTGTCACCCCGCATGTAGCAGCTGCGTCGCAATGGCACGCGCGCGCCGAGGGCCCAGCAGCAGCGGCAATCAGCAGATGGAGAGGCCAATGGACGGACGAGCGATCGCGAGAGCCCTGGAAGCATCGTCTGCAGCATTTGCGCCGAGTCGTCTTGGGAGAAAGTCGAGACAGGGGCTGCTGTATTTACGTTAGTGTCACCCAAAAGGGGAAATGTGGTGTAGGGGACTGAGGCGAGTGGAGCTGTGTGATTCAAGGCCCTGGAGCCTTGGAGGGCCGTTCCTGCTAGTGCCTGTTACAACGCCTGTTTCTCAGAGGGTTTAGCGCATCCCAGGCCCTCTTCCAGTGGGCGAGGCGCTGTGTTAGCGCCTGGGAAGAATAGAACAGAGAGGTGTCTAGAGGTGTCTAGCGGTGACGCTACTCGCGTGGCTGAGACGCTCCCGCCATGCCGTCTGAAGAGCCCAACACGTGCAAGCGCGCTGCTGCCGCCACACTCCACCAGCCACACCACACCACTACTGCTGCAAGTGACCCTGACAACGGAGCCAGCAGCTGGATTTGTTTACTTGGCTGCGTCTCGATGCAGATGCCGTTATGCATTAACCTCCCCTCTCACAGCATATCCAGGGCCAATCCACTGGTCCCATATCTCTGACGACATTTTCACGATCATCTGCATTCTGTGCCTCAGCCAAGTACCCAGAGCAGCTCCGCCTACCGTTTGCTGGCCAACCGATTGCGGGCACCGTCACAGCACAGATCCCTTTACCGATTACATTATGGTACGGCTGCTGCCCCGTTCCGTCTGGAATCTGCCGTTTCGCTTATCTGCTAATCCTTTCTTCTTTGCTATCCCCAGTCCATCTCGACAACGTTCAAGCCCTCTCCCCTGGGCCTCGGATCGCCTCCCAGCGTTCGAAACTCTCCATTCCGAAGGGGCGAATCTCCGGCTTCGCCTTCACCCCTCCGACACATAACACCCACGACTTCGCCTACCAAAGCCGCCGCCACAACACCCAACGGCACGTCGAGGTTTGCGAGGCCAACGACGCCAACCAGGGATCCATCTGAGGCCAAGGAAGAAGAGAAAACGCCAGCCATGACTACTCCTACAAGGGCATCGCCACCGTCGTGGAAGGCTGGGTCAAAGCTGGCGGTGGGCGGCTCCTTGGGCGGTAGCAATGCTCTCTCACAGCTTCAGCCGACTCAAGTTAGGACATTGAGGGATGGATTTCAGATCTTGGATCGGGACTGCGACGGAGTGGTCAATAGAGAAGACGTTGCCGACATGCTCGGTCAGCTTGGTGTGTTGTGTTCCACCCTGTCCACCCCCGGCGAATGATGCTCAATTCCGCCCGCGATCCCATCCCGTGGATTCTAACTGGCAGCAAAGGTCTCCCCTCAGGCTCCTCCGACATAGGACGCTTCTTTCCGCCGTCGAAACCGCAAACCATCACGCTAGCCGCTTTCCTCAACTCGCTGGCGGAGTCCTTGGCTCTGCTGTCACCAAACACCGAGCTCTTATCTGCGTTTTCGGCCTTTGACGAGGACGACAGCGGTCAGATCGACTGGGCGGAGCTGAGGGATGCTCTGCTCAACACACCGCCAGAAGCCGGGCAGTCAGCACTCAGCGCTGCAGAGGTGGACAAGGTGGTCGAGGGGTTCACGGGCCGGCGAGCCTTCAACCGCAACATGAATGCGCACTTATCGGCACGACGGGGTGAAGTGTTTAAATACCAGGAATTCGTCCACTCAATCATGGGCTCCAACGGCGGGGCCGAGGGAGGGGCACATGAAGGAGAGGAGCAGTGATGAGATTGATGATTGGCTTGCTGTCCTTTGTGTTTTCTCTCTTCGTATTACGCCAATTGGTGCTTTCCTGGGGTTTCGTTTTCCGGTTGACACGAGTGACACAACGCAATTTCGACTGTCAGGCACGGGATGTTGGGACCGGCCGGGCCTGTCATGGTAGAAAGGGTGAAGCAATCAGCCCTGTGCATAATATTTCCTTGTCTCACATTCTAGTTGCTTTGTTTTGTTTGTTTGATAGTCTGCGCAGCTGTACGAGATACTATAGTATATGGACATGGATACGGATACGGATCAGCTTGGCAAGTTACAATTAATACCTATTCACATCGCATAAAGGAACAAACAGCACATGGACTACATACCTGCCACCACGGCTCAGACCACATACACAACACTGCGGAGGAGACTCTGCTCTGCGTGATGGGCGCTCCAGGAGCCTTTGGAAAGGATCAGCCACGCCGCCATGACCTTTTGTGCTCCCCCAGCTCATCTACACACAATGCCTAGCGACGAGTAGGACTTGCTGGCCGATAAGCCAGCCACTGAGATGCGCAGCGAGTGACGAAATGAATGGGCCAGTGGCAGATTGCAGTCCCGGGATGGCCTGCGACCGGGCCAATGACGGCGTGCACAGTCGCTGGGGATCCTAGGCCGTGGGCGGCTGGAGCGTGCGGAGAAGGCACAGGCTTGACAAGTAAGACCTTTTTAGCGGCAGGCTCCGTATCCCGTGCCGCGAAGTTGTGAGACTCTGTCTGCCTGGCCTGCGCGTATATACGGCTGTTAAGTTCTACGCGAAGTGTGTGAAGAGCTATAATAAGCATACTCGTAGAATTAATGGTTGGGGAGTTCTAGATACGAGGTAGTAATACGGCGGCACTATCAATATCAATTGGTGGCGGCTGTGATGCATCACAGTCCCATCATACTCCTACAATCCTACATGCGGCTGGCATCAACAAGTCGACAGCCCAGAGGCGTGGGTGTAGACAGCTGCAGCTCAATTGGCCCTCTCAGGCACAGGCACAGCTACATACTTCGTGCCATGGGCCAATTATTGGTTCCTAGGCAGTCAAAGGCTCCTCAGCTGCATCTGTTCCACCGTCAGCTACCAGCGCAGACAGAGTGGCTCCCCGTGCCCAGAGCAAACACCAAGACAAGACAAGACAAGACAAGAGAGTGTGTCAGTCAGTCCGCCAAAGGATCCGGGAAGGCTGGCTGACGCTTTTTCTCCTCTTAGCTCTGCCCGTCAATTAACTCTGACTTATTAGCGACCGCCAGGGCGGGAATACGCCCCACTGAACCTTCTAGAACCGCTATGTAACCGTTGTCCTGCTAGCTGCAAGTCCTCGATAATCGACTACCAGACAAGTCCCGCCGCCACAGCAAGCCCCTTCCCCGGGGGTGAAAGTGTCAGACTCGTGGGCTTTTTGGGGCACTGTGTGCGTTCCTGGGAGAGCAGGAAGAGAGGGTAAAAAGAGTGGGCTGTATTACAGGTGCTGGGCTTGGATGGAGGGAAAAGGTGCTGGCGGCTGGGCTGGATACCGGGGGTTGCAGTGCTGGATTCCGCGGCCACATGTAAATAAACACGGCCGTCAACGTGGACTCGATTGGCTAGCAGGAAGGGCTTGCAGGGAGCTGCAGGGAGTTGAGGGCTCATCAACTTCACTACGCGCCCGGGTGCTGGGTGCCTCCTTGGCGGCCGGGTCTGTGGCTATATCTCGACGCTGTTCACAAGTAGGTACCACCCAAAACTCGATATCACAGGTGTCTTGGGCATGGAACGTATAGCATCATCCATCTGTGTTCAAAGATGGAAGAGACGGATGTGCTAATCCGGTAGAGAGATGGTGCCTGTAGACACATGCATCTCCCGTACAGCAGGTACCTGATCTAGCAGCCGTAATAGGGCCTCTCACTGCGACAGGACAGGTACCCAAAAGTCAAGGTGGAGTATAGCGAAGCGGCCCGCCGCGCCGTGCCAAAGACATTCACTGCCTGTTCATTCAGATTCCCACGCTTGTTGAAATTTCTGACGTGCCCCCCAGCCCAGCAGCGGCCTGTATTTATTTCGTCCCAGGAACCTGGCGAGCCTGGCTTGAAACTAGCTTCACAGGCAGCCCTCTGCAGCGCAGGCTGATAAATCGAGGCCCTTTCCTCCTGACGACGTCGCGCGCGTCCTTTGCAATTCCTTCACCTCTTGCCAGCCAGCCTCTACCTTTTTTCGCCCAAAAGTCGCTTGACCCTCTTTTCCCACAGTGCAACCGCAGCCTGTGGCGCCAAAAAAAGAAAAAAAAAAAAAGACTCCCCCCCTACCTAGAACCACCGGATTTTTAAATGCCCGCTTATTGCCTAGGCCTCTGTACACTTCTCTGCGGTTCCAAATATCCGGCATAACCTTGTGTCGGGACAGCCTTTTTCCTTCACCCCAAGATTCCAGCGCCGCGGCCCTCATGAAGTTCTTCAGCGCCAGCAAGGCTTCAAGGAAGAGCGCTTCTACTTCCAGTGTTGACGAGAGCGACGTTCCCCAGAGCCCCAACGCAGCTCCTTCGTCCTCGTCGCCCACCAAGAAGGCTGCACGGCCCGTCTCCCACCACCAAAAAGACACCACCAAGGCGTCGTCAACGTCCAAGTCCCGCCTCTCGCGACACTCGACGGACGCAGGCCACTCGCGCCGCAGCAAGTACGACCCGGACATCCATCCATTGAATCTGCCTCCTGAAGAGCGGGAGCGCAAGCGGCTGTCGGCCATGTCCAATTCTGCCATGAACTCCAACTCGATGGATGTCGACCCGCAGCCCGTGAACGGCGCGGCATCACCACCGCCGCCGCCCGCCAAGGGCTCGTCGAATGCCTCTGCCCAAAAGAACTTTGCCGTGCCCATCACCAATGGCAGCATGGCGCCAAACGGCAACGACGAGGCCCCCGCGCCGCCGCCGCACAAGTCCAACCCGTCCAGCCCCATCCCATCGCCTCTGGAGGATGCAGAGTCATACAAGACGGCTGGAAACCGGCTTTTCAAAGAGAAGAACTATGCCAAGGCCATTGAGCAGTATAGCAAAGGTATGCGCCAATACATGATGATGCTTTTTTTTTTTTACCCTGTGTTCATACACCTACGTCCCCTTACTTGTCTGCTACGTATTTTGCTTCTTCGCTTTTGCCATTGACCCAACAGAAAAGAAGAAAGAGTGAAAGAAACCTTGAAAGAAACTCTGGGCTAACCGTTTTTTTCCTACCTTCTTCCGTCGTGCAGCTGTGGATCTGTTTCCCAACTCGGCAACCTATCTGGGCAACCGGGCGGCTGCCTACATGTCAAATGGCCAGTTTGAGGCCGCTCTGGACGACTGCAGTCGTGCCACGGACCTCGATCCTAACAACGCCAAGGTCCTGTTGCGCCTGGCGCGAATCTACACCGGCCTGGGACGGCCGGAGGAGGCCATGACAACATACTCCCGTATTGTCCCACAGCCGTCCGCCAAGGACATGGCCCCCACCCGGGAGATGCTGCATCACATCAAGTCGGCCAAGGAGACGCTCCAGCGAGGCTCAGCCATGTCCATGGTGCTACATGCTCTGGACCAGGCCGAGCGCGGCCTTGGCTCCGGCGTTTCCAAGCCGCGCAAGTGGCAGCTAATGCGGGGAGAGGCCTACTTGAAAATGGGCCGCGAGAACTCATTGGGAGAAGCTCAGGGCGTCGCCATGTCGCTGCTGCGTCACAACAACCAGGACCCCGAGGCCCTGGTTCTGCGTGGTCGCGTCCTCTATGGCCAGGGCGAGAATGAAAAGGCCATCCAGTACTTCAGAATGGCCTGCAGCTGCGACCCTGACTACCGAGATGCAGTCAAGTGGCTGAGAATTGTCCAGAAGCTCGACCGCATGAAGGAGGAGGGCAACACTGAGTTCAAGGCGGGCCGATTCCAGCAAGCCATCCAGAAATACAGCGATGCTTTGGACATTGACCCGTCAAACAAGAGCATGAATGCCAAGCTGCTGCAGAATCGTGCCCAGTGCAAGATTAAGCTGCAAAAGTATGAGGATGCTATTGTCGACTCAGAACGCGCCGTCTCTCTTGACCCCAGCTACACCAAGGCCCGCAAGACAAAGGCCAATGCTCTCGGCAAGCTTGGAAACTGGGAAGAGTCCGTTCGTGAATGGAAGGCTATCCAGGATATTGATCCCGCGGATAACTCGATTCGCAATGAGATTCGCAAGGCAGAGTTGGAGCTGAAGAAGAGCCAGCGCAAGGATTACTACAAGATCATGGGCATTGAAAAGGATGCTGATGCTAACGACATCAAGCGAGCATACCGCAAGATGGCTGTCAAGCTACACCCTGACAAGAACCCTGGTGATGCCGAGGCAGAGGCCAAATTCAAAGATATGCAGGAAGCCTATGAGACGCTCAGCGATCCTCAGTAAGTTTAATCGACCCCCTGACCCTAATATCGGGTTCATTCGAAACGTGTACTAACACACGATGCAGAAAGAGAGCCCGCTACGATAATGGCGATGATCTCATGGACCCTGCTGACATGTTCGGCGGCGGTATGGGAGGGGGCATGGGTGGCATCGACCCTGAGATCCTGTTCAGTATGATGGGCAACCAGGGTGGCTTTGGAGGTGGTGGCTTCCAATCCAGAGGCTTCCCAGGAGGTGCTGGTGGCTTCCCCGGAGGTGCCAGCTTCAACTTTGGCGGTGCTGGTCCCGGTGGCCGACAACGAGGCGGCTTCCCAGGTGCTGGTGCCGGATTCCCCTATTCGTGACCAGCCGGCAGTGAAGAAACAGAAGCCGAGGATGATCATGATGACGATGATGATGATGGCGAGGACGATGATGAGACAGATGCCAACTCTCGGTATTCGTTCCACGATGCTTGGACAAATGAAGGACCGGAGAGCAAGCTGCAAGATGATTTGCATCGTCGCCGAGAGGCTCGCAATGACCTGGTTGAAAACTTGCGACGATATGGCATGTGGCTGCTTGGGGCAGTTGTCTTGCTCCCGCCGCAATTGGTAGCAATGGGTTTGGTGATTTCGGCATTTATATACTTGTGCACAAGACGAGACGGCCGACAGCGTCATCACAGCAGACGCAACACCGCAGGATAGACATTGGGATTTTATTTTTGTTCAAAGTCTTTTTTTCTTTTTTTCTTTTTTGGGTTTTATTTTTCTTTAATTCAGAAAAGAAAAGACGCGCATCCTCATTGCTATGGCGTTTTTGGGACACATTCTAGAAAGAGAACTGGGAAAAGACAAACACAGTCGATCTTTTTTGATTCATTTGCACAAACTAACTACTGTCTTCCGGGAGGAGCAAAAGAGATATCTTTTTTTGTGGGAACCGGATTGGGAAAAGGGAGAGAGAAGGAGGGAGAAGAAGACGACTGAGGGCGAGGATTATTCGTCCTCTTTTTTTTTGTGTTAGCTTCTTAGACTGACTAGACGATGAACGCTTGAAAGTTGGAAATATCAAGCGTCTCGTTCAGAAGGAGGTCAGGGGAGGCAGGACGGGGAAGTAGTTGCAAAGATTTATATAGATGAATGCGGGTGACCCGTCTTTTCCACAATCCACTCAGATACCCTTGTGTCTTTTTGATTCTCAACTTGGCCTCCTTCTGATCTCTTGTATTGTTCGCGTTGATACACTTTATTCGATTTGTGGTTGGCTGACGCTGGCTGCTGTGAATGGCAATACAGAAGACTTGGACAATGAATAGTGCAAGCTTGGAGCAAAATCTCCCATTATTATTTAAAGACCCTTGGGTATCATGACACGCCCTCTAAACGCCTAATTACAATGATTCTCAAAATCTAGAGATGTCGAACTCCGTGAAACCCCTTAGGGAAAAAATCCATTTGTTTCAATCCTCTTCCTTCACTGGCTACCAGTCTGTCCACCCTGCACAGCAGACGCAGGCCTCGCAGGAAGATTACTAGTCCCGCTGCTACCAGCCGCTGCACCAGCACCGCCAGTCGCAATCGCTGGATCGCCGCCCGTCGCCTCCAGCACCTTTGCCACATCCTCGCGCAGCTCCGGCATGGCAGAGGACATTTGCTCGGCGAGCACGTCGCGGAAGCTCGCAAAGGCGCTCTGCTTGCCGCGCATGAGCTGGTTCCCGCGGCGCACCAGCTCGACAAACTCGCGCGTGTAAATGTCTGGGTTGCGGCCGTTTTCGACGTACTCGAGCAGTTCGGGGGGCACGGAGGGGAGGAGGTGCGGAGGGGAGGCGGCGACGTGGACGTTTTGGAGGGAGGTGGAGAGAGATTTGCTGTGATTTTCCTCGGGTTAGCTTTTAATTGGATCGAGAGTGAAAGAGTGTGGTAATGTTTGTACATTTCTTTAGATAGGACTTCTTTGCTTGAGACGCCCATGGAGTCGTATGTTGAGACTTGGACCATGACGCGGTAGAAGTCTTGGATGACGTCCTTGAGCTGTTCTGCGGGGGGGTTAGCCATCCTTCTTATAGGCGGTGGATTAGTATAGTTCATACGCTCAATTCCATCGTGGTCTATTCTGTCGACGGGCGCCATGGTCGAGGGTGAAGCTGGCGAAGGAATTGGTGAAGTTGGGCTGTAGAGAGGAAGTTGAAGATGCTGTGGAGAGAGTATGGGGAGATGCTTTTTTTGGTGGGGCATGTGTTAGCGGAAACTACTGTATAATTGATCACTGAACAGGTGAGATGCAAAAGGCATCTGTTGCTTTTCTGTGGAACAATCTCATATTCTTTCCATAGCTTGGGAGTTTCAATTTTAGTTATTACTTGTTTAATTAATGGCAGTTTTTGATAGATATTGAACAAATTCATCCTCGTTCTACCAATGCTCCGAATTGAGATGCAGCACGTGAAAGCAGCCATCTGTGAGGAAGGAGCAGCATCATGTCTTACACCGCTTTCTATATTTATTTCATCGCAATAGCTAACCCAATATTGATGAAAATCTTACCAGACGCAATCCAGCGATGCTCACTTATCAACATCTTTTCAGCTTGTGCTCTAAGTCTTTCGCCCAGTAAGCTCAGCCAAAAGCAAGACATGAAAACCCCAGTAGATTCACAGCATTTTTAACTCTCCCCAAGGCATTGGCACAATATGCTTATGATATACTAAGTTCGCCTATCATTCGAAAGGCTGGCCTTTTCCGCCCTTGTGTGACTTATGATCACCTGGTGGATCCCTTCACAGCATTTTTAACTCTCCCCAAGGCTTTGGCGCAATACTCTACCTGTCTGTATGCTTATGATGTACTAAGCTCGCTTAGGTATTATTGGAGGTTTTTGCCTGTCCTTTCACAGCATTTTTAACTCTCCCCAAGGCCATGGCATGTCTGTGATTTGCTGTCTATTCATGGTACCCAATCTTAGTCTATCTTGTCGCGGAACCGGTCTACTAGCGAGTAATCCACCAACTCTACCTACCGTTATAGCAAAAGCCCGGCAAGGGCAATTATATACGCTCGAATGCCCCATTTACCAGAATGGGCTTCCGCAGTCATACTGTGTGTAGTCCCAGGCAGCGACTGGGCGCTGATTCTGGCCGGGGCTGAGTACCTGGACAGCTCTTCGACTGAAGGGCGGTGGATCCGTTCACACACACACGGCGTCAAAGGGAGGCATCCTAGCCTCGGCGTAATATTGATCAATCTAGCAGTGCGGCGTACAATCTCCATCAAAAGTCTCAGGCTCGATACAACATTAACGCATTAACGCTGATCCAACGTCACACGAGAATAAACCACTTGTTAGTAGCTACCGGACACCAAAGCTTCGCTCTGTGCCTCCTCGAGCATTCTCCGAGCAATGGGCTACAAGTACCATGACCAAGTCAGCTTCTGAAGACACGTCAGCCGTCGAGAGTTTGGCGTGGGATTTATCCTTGCGCTCCTCGTCTATATTTGACGGGATACGCCTACGGCGTGTCTGAGGTATAAAGCAGCGCAGGAATTAGCGCAAGGGGAGCCTGGCAATCGCTGTGACGTTTGCGCCGATATCCCCTGTTGGTGACAAGAGTAGCCTCAATTTGGGTAAGTCGCCAATATTGATTGCCATCCATGGTTTAAGAGGGACAGTTCAGCCGCTCCTACTACACGGGTCTCGGAGCAGGCTCTAGGAATCCAATACTTCTGCTTCTTGAGGGGATTGATCCAATAGACAGGCTTGATTCGTGCCTAGCAGCCCGAGCATCCTCCAACATACCTGACTTTCTCCAACGCCCAGAGACTTGGTGGCTCTTTCACATGCAGTCGACGGAATTATTCGAAACAGGGTCAAAGAAGACCACCAGTCCTTTGGATCAAACTTGAATGCTCAAATGCTGTGACAAGCCAGATGGCGCTGCCCACCAACATGAACCGAACTAGCAGGCCCCGATCCATGTTCCCCGGCCGTGCTAGGAACGACCCGCACACACCGCATCACCGGGCCTTGACTCTCGCCTACGTCTAGCTCTGGGTTTAATATCAAGATGCATTGTTGGCGTGGCTCCTGGGCCAATGGCCTTTGCCGTCAAGGATGCCCAGAACAGGGTGCGCGTGGGTGGTAGCTGAGCTGAAAGACGCCTGTATTACACGGTAATAACAGCCCACCCACCATGAGAACCTGGGACCGTATGATGCTCGCTGATTGTACGAGCCTGTGTCAATAGCCCGTCTCGGAGAAAAAAGCGACAAGCTGGTTGACTAGGCTGATGATATAGTACAAGTATGTATGGCATGGCCATTCTCTGCCAGCCCGACTTGTCAGACTCTTCCTCTTTCCTACCCTCGGCCGCGATCCTTTAGCCTATTGCGTGTACATCTCCGCGCGCGCATACCAACTACCACATCTCAAGGCCTCTGAACTCGGCTTCATCACTCTATACTCCATCACTGCATCGAATACCGCGCGCTAGACGGCGACCTAGCTCTTTATTCTCCGGCCGCGAGCTGATACTGCCTGATAGAGCGCCGTTAGCCGCGTTATATGCCGGTACTCTGCCCCCATGTCTTCGTTCAATGCAACACCACCGGCTCCCAAGCCCGCGACGTATGAATTCGTCGTTGGCCAGCGTCCGGACCAGCTAAATGCCGGATCCAACAAGAAGCTGCGGTCGCATCTGTCCAAGAGAGGATGGGAGGCCTACTTGGAGCAGAAGAAGCTCTCATCGCCAGTCTCAGTCCGAGTGGATGAAGCAGCTCAGCGCACCGATGATGGGGCTAGGCGAAAGAAGCGCAGGCGCCATCGGCAGGCCATTACCTGGGATGTCGTGGAACCAGACGATCCAAGGTTTCCAGGACCTGGAAATGTCAGAGAGGCCATGTTGGCCCTCATCAAGACCGGAAGGCACACGCCTTTGGAGAAGACGCTTTCAATCGACTACAGACTTGGAGGTGGACGCGTTGATCCTTTCAAATCGTATCCTACGCCATTTCGATCTTACATACCTCATTTGGTGGACCACTGTGAGCTCATTCATCTTCATCGTGTCAGTTCGTGACGGCAAAAAAAAACAGATATTAACATCCTCTACCAGACATTATCCACATGGCCGTCGACATCCCCGAACTTGACCAACCCGGAAACGCTGGTCTTCTTCGCAGTCGCTGGTTCCGCATGGCCACATCCGAAATGTCCACGTTCCAAGTCGTCCTGCTCCTCGCCGCAGGCAACTTTGTCAGCGTCAAAGGCGCCGTGCCCGCAGAGCAAGGGTTTGACATACATCAGCTCAAAGGCGATGCCATCCAATCTCTCAAATATGCCATGAATGACGAGGCCAAAGCCACAAGCGACTCCATCATCGGAGCGGTGGCCAAGCTGGCGAGCTTCGAGTCCATGCATGGGTCCGAGGCTGATTTCCGGCTGCATATGGAGCATACCATTAGGCTGGTGAATATGAGAGGAGGGCTGAACAATCTCGGTCTGGGAGGGCTCTTGCGACGGATGCTCATTTGGATTGATGTCAATGGCAACTTTTTGTATAAAAGGCCACGATATTGGCCTGGTGAGAACTTTGATGGGAGTAAGGACTCGATTTCGGAGCCTAACCCGGAGCGATTCATTGCCATCTAAGTGTGTATGGGTGCTCTAGGACTTGTTGTTTGGTCTTTCATATTCTTATTTGGGGATTCGGATTTCCCCCCCTTTTCTTTCTGGGAAGCAACTCTAGCTCAAGCTCAGACTAATGGTTTTTTAATAAGTGTGTTATTGGAAAGATGGGATCACAGCTACTTTTGTTTAGGAAATAATAATTTGTCATTTTTCTTGTATCAATCTTTCTTAGCAAGGGAAAATAAAACGCCACCTTCATATATATTTTATACAACTTGAGAGCAAATCAGAGTAGAAAAACGTGAGAAATTTGAAAAAATACGAAATAGGAAATTCTCATGCAAACAGGGAAACACTCCAAACGAAAAAAAAAGGTATATCGAATATAAATCAAAATGGTATCCATCAAAGAGAATCAAACGCTTGGCCGTTTTGTTTTTGCTTCATATCACGGAGAACAAAAACCCGCTTCTTCCCTCCTCGCGCTTGCTTGCTTGCTTAACCGCTTCACATCCCATCTCCTTCTTTATCAAATCGACCCCCTTCCAGTCAATCAATCATTCGCTAATTATTCCTCGAAAACGTTGCCGACGCATCAACCAGCAGCGTAGCAATGAGCAAAACACCATTAAACCCAGCCATCATGTAAAAGGGAGTGCCGCTAGATACTGTATCGAACAAGTAGCCACCCAGCTTGGTAAGAATCAGGATAGCTGCACCGCCGCAAAGCGAGTACACGCCCGCAATGGAGCCCTTGAGGCGCAGTCGCGATACAAACTCTTCCTCCGTGACAATGCGGATCAGGGGCTCCGTCTCGGTGGATTCGTCCGCATCGGGGGCAATGGCATGACGGCGAGCAGCGCGCGGAATTTCGACGGCGAGGACGCCCTTGCCGAGGGAGCCCAGACTGCAAACAATGGATCCGATTTGGCTGATGCCAATGAGGGTTACAATGACAAAGATGTAGGGGGTGCCACCTCGGCCATCAACGTCCTTGATCTCGGGGCTTGAAAGCTGCGGGAAGATGATGTAGCCCACAATGCCCATGACGGTGGCCACGACAACGGGGTAGTTGACTCTACCTGGGTGGCGAGACAGGTAGCCGAAAAGAGGAGCACAGATCAAGCCCATGAGCTGCGCCACGCCAGTCAAGATGGAGGAGAGGACATACGCCTGGCGGCATTCCTTCTTCAGCTCAGGTGAAGGATCGTTAGGTGAGCCCTGGCAGAATCCGTTGCCAATAAAGAAGGTGTTGATGTAGAGCGGGACAAAGAGCGAGATGGCAACAGTGGAAGCTCTGGCGACGAAGCCACCGAGGTAACCCAGCGCGATCCGGGAGTCGGTGAAGCCAAGGAGCACTGAGTCCTTCAAGAGGTGGAGGTACGGGATAACCTAGGAATCAATGTTGGTAAGAATTCCAAAACAAACATTGGTGAATAAATCTTACCTTGTTTTGAGATCTGCCAGGGTAGCCAGCCACAACAGATTCATCCTGGCTCTTGAGCCCGAGCAGTAGTCGCCAACCCTTGCCTTCCTCTCCTTGGAGATTGCGCAGCCCAAAGAAGACAAAGATGCCAACGAGCAGAGCAATAGCACCGACAACATAGAAGCTATAAGTCACTGCCTCTCCGGGAGTCACCTCGTCAATCTCTCCAAACCTGGCCGGCAGGGGCAAAAAGCACGACAGCGCCAGCAGCGCGCCGCAGCCCGTGAAAAGACCGACGTAGCCCGCCAGCACAGACGATTTTCCCGATCGGGCTTGCGCATCCGAGGACGGTGCCCCCTCGTCAGTGGGCAGCGATCGCGAATAGGCCTCTGGCGTAATGGTGACTTCAGAATCGACGGAAAAGGCGGCGCTCAGGCGCGCAAAGGAGCTTCGACTGCGACGGCGAGCGCGAGCGGCCTTGGCTCGCTCAAGGGCGGCGTTGCGAATGTCCTCGTCCTCGTTTGTCAGCGAAGGAAGGATGGCGGTGACCATGGTAGCCCTACAGATTTCAAACACGAAGTTAGCATACAAGCTCCAGACAAGCAATCGCATCCATCCATCCTCTTGTCACGTCCCATCCCACAGGACTCCAACAAGAGCACTCGCTGGATCAACCAAGCCAAAGGGAAACCACATACGTAGCCGATGCGCCCACCGCAAACAAGACCCGCGCCAGCAATAGCTGCGGATACACGTTCCTCGCCTGCACAAACACCGCCAGCGCCACGGCAACAATCGCATATCCAATCACGGCCACCCACCGCACGCCCAGACGGTCCGACACGAGGCCCCAGGCCGGACACGCCACCAAGGCGACGATCTCGTCGGCAAAGCCCAGCGTGCCGACGACGTCGCCCACGCCGTTCTTCTGGCCGATCAGGTCGGTGATGACGAAGGAGACGGAGCTGTTGAGGAAGACGAGGAACGAGATGGAGAAGAGCGAGATGCCCAGCAGGTACGTGGCGGCCTGCGTGGGAGTCGTCGAGGCCGCAAAGGGCAGGAAGCGCTGCATGGAGAGCGCCATTTGGAGGGTTTGGCTGCTGTTATGGCAGCGCGCGCGTCTGTCTTTCTCTCTCCTGTTTTTGTATCGACGTCGTTGTTATGTGTATGGAATGGGTAAGATAAAGATATAGCTTCTCGAGCTATAGTAGCTCTTTTTTTTCTCGCCGCCTCGGTTCTTAGTGTTGATATCGCAAACTAGCGGATCTTCAATCAAATGCGCTTTTTAAAATGTAGCCTTTCCGGTAATGCTAGGAAAGAAATATCCACATGATGGTTCGGAAAGCGCAAGACTGGAACCAAATTCAGTGGCAAAGAATAAAAGGCAGATGTTGAGACGATGGAAATGGAAATGACTGATGCTATGCAAAGTGTAAGAAATGACTGCTTCTTCGGGTCTTACGAGCGTGAGGAGCTTCTTCAGCGCTAGCATTTAGCATTTAGCGCCTGCGGAGATTCGGCTCCTTTAAGCTCTTTCGGGCCAATCAGCGGCGCGCACCAACGGCAGGCGCATTTGTTCGGCATTCATTCGCATCCCTTCAACTACTGACCGCATTAAGACGCGCCCTGGCAAAAATAAAGTTCAACAATCTGGATCAACTGGTCTTCTTTAGACTGTACCGTGTAACAGTTTCTCTTACTTGAATGCATGAGATGTTCTAAAAAGACAGCTAATATAAGCATTCATCGGAGCTATAACGCGTATGTGGAAGCAGTGACATCTCGACGTGACTTATATGGCATATTAGCTCCTCGCGAAAAGCTTTATCAACTTAGCTACGCCACGGATCTGCACAAATACATTCAACTCCGGCCTCCAATTCCATTAAATGATTCATTCCCGTTCTTTTCTCTACGATTGAAATCATGTAAATAGCAATCGAGGTACCTGCCTAATTACAAATGCCCCGTTTCTCTGATATCCATAACAAGCACCTAAATTAAAACAAAAAAAAAAAAAAAAGTTAAAACTCCAATGCTCCCTCATGATCCTGTAGCCCTCTCCCCTAACGTGTCCAGAACATACTCCGTACAGAGGGTATAAATGTGTATGTGTGTGTGATTTCGTCTCTCTACCAAGCCCAGAGCACCTTGTGGTGGAGCGTACGGGCGCCCAACCTCTCAAACTCAAACGGCGTGATCCAAGAGTCGTTGGTTGACAGCTTCGCAAAGACGCTGGCTCCCTTCCAAGTGACAACTTGCTCATCCATATCTCTCGCGCTTCGACTGACCAGGATCCTATCATTGAGGTCAGGCTTCAGCGCTTTCAGCCTCTCTTCCAAAACGACGGTGAGCTGCGGAACCTTGGCGCCACCGCCAATGACCATGATACTGCCCAGCAAATCGCGGACTTTCTTCTCGTCGCCCTTAGCAGCATTGTGAATGCTTGTGAGAATAGAAATGTCCAGCGGTGCCAAGGGCAGTACTTCATCTCTTTCGGTTGCCATGTCTTTGGCCCCGCGTGCTGCTGCGTCTACAAACATGCCTGGGGGCGGTTGCGTAGCTTGTGACTGTCCAGGAACCGGTGTGCCAGCCGCTCGAATGCTGCCCGGAGCAGGGCTATCGCCATTGACGCCATCCTTGTTGGCTCCAAAGACGAATGGAGGTGGTGCGGGAGTACCGCTGCCCTCGGGGGCTGGCGACCCGGCATGCGATGCAATTGGAGTGCCAGTTGCTGTCTCAGCTTTGGGAAGGAAGTTGAACTGTGACTTCTCTTTGTTTGGTGTTGACGCTTCAGGCTGTGACTGAGAGAAGCCGTTTGCGTTGGTCATGAGTGATGGCTTTACCAGCGCCAGAATTGCGAGCTGTGCGGCAGAGGACGGATCGTCGGGAATATCCACGTCATAAGCGTTGTAAGAACGCTCGACAAGCTTTCTCCTTCCCCTGAGCTTTGTGCTATTATCAAAAATGGCTGGCTCAAACACTCCCATCGCCGCAAGAATGACTTCGTCGTATGTCTTGAACGCATATTTCCGTGTGGGCTGGTTGGGTGCTCGAACGTGAAAGTTGTAGAGCTGTACCGAGATGTTGGCCTGAGACATGGTACAATGCTTCGCCTTTAGCTCTTCAGCTAGAAGGAAGTCATATCTTCTTCGTAGGTTAATTTCCTGGTAGGGAAAGTTATCGTAGAGCATCATTTTGATAAAAGTCTCCGTGATATCGTAACCCCCATACTTGAGGTTGATTCTCGAGTCTTCAATGCAAAGTCCGTCCTCGACACAGGTCACAGATGTCTTTTGCGCGCCGATATCCACGACGCAGGCTTGCGTATAACCGGCGCCGAAAGTCGCTGCCATGCTTTCCTGGATAAAGCATACTCTACTAAACTCAAACCAGGTCATACAGGATCGCAAGATCTGCTCCACATACTTCTTATCATAAAGATCAGGAATGACAAAAACGCAGCTATACTGTTGCCATTCGCTGTTTGTCTTCAGGCCCAGCTCTTGGCGCAGCGCTTTGTCCAGGAGCGTTTCAAAATCGTCAAAGAGATGCTCCTGGCTTGTGTATCCATCCTCGTTCCAGTATCCGTACTGGATAGGCCACCACAGCTTGAATTTAGGGTTTGAGTCGTCGGGAACACGCAATGCCTCACTCCCGATAAAACAGGACGCCAATGACTTTGGATCCTCCAGTTTTTCTATATCAGTCCACTCGACCTCTAGCACATCGTTATGTCTCTGAATGATCTCGGGCTCCGTGCGGCGATTGAATGTCTGGACAAGCTCTTTGGAGTTGGGAAGTACTTTTCGCTTGTTGGCGCGCATTTCCACCTTCAAATCGTTGCACATCTTTTGGTATTTCTTCGACCACTCTTCCCCGTATTGCTGGTCCGTAGTCTTTGCTTCAAACTGGCGTCGGGGTAAAGCCTCGTACATCTCCGATTCGGTCTGGGGGAATTTGGTCGCTAGGGTAGTCGGGATGGTCTTGGGAAGTGCATCGCTCGCGAATCCAATGCGCAGATTTTGGCTTCCGGGATGGATGACAATCACCCTGGATGGGTCCATCCCACCCGAGGGAGTTGCGGCTCCGTCATCCTCGCCGAGATCTGGCAGTGGCAGGGGCAGCTCGCCATTAGCAGGCTTTGAAAGAGCACGATCGCGGTCTCGGGCACTCTGTACTAGTCGATCACGAGTCGCATCGCTTTGGAGTCGAAGGGCTAGGACCTGATCATCCCTTTTCATGTAATCTCTGCCGCCAGGAGTTAGTGGGCTTGTCCAGTCCAGCCACTCAAGTCGTTGCGAATCCTCACGTATAGTAATTCTTCTGGTTGATCGGGCTAACATCAGGCCATGAGGTCAATTTCATGCCATTGTCGGTTCTCTCCAGCCCTGCGCGGATTTTTGATGTTAGCAATCGGCAGTTGACAGGAGGTCGAAGTTTCCCATGACACAAAGCTGAAGCTGTGCTAACGTACCCTCTCTAAGAAGCACTCTTTCTGAGACTTTACCAACCATCTTGATGGTATAGGCACCTTTGGTGCCAGAATTGGATAGCGGGTGGTGTTGTGCAGTGTTGTGATTGAGGAGGAATTTTATGGTGCACTCGTCATCTTGTCCTCGCCGTAGACGCGATTGACACGCCAATGCGATTAAACTTCCTGCGATCCTAGGACCGAGCCGATAAGATAGCTTGTACCTGAATGGCGGATTTTAGATAATCCGGGTGCGCTCCTGTCCCAGATGCTCTTGTGTAAGTGGTGTCGCGATAAAATACGTGCTGGGAAAATAACAACAAAAGAATATTGTCCAGAAACCAATTGACAATATTAATTCGAATAATTGAAGTTTGTTATTGTTTTATCTAAATTTTGATGCTGCTCGTAGTCGTAGTATAGGGGCAAGAAATAACAGTGATCTTTGGAGCACGGGCTACAGGTAGCTGCAGACTCTCATACCACTGTTATTAAGTAAGTTAGCGGTTCGTAGTTATTGGCAGCGCATAACAGTACGAGGCCCAACTAAACATTTACCAATTAAACACTACAGAAAAAGCAATGTCGCAGCGACACCAGGACGTTATTTTTAACAGACTGGCCAACTGACTTGCACCTAACAAGCCCGCTTACAGTTAGACACTACCCTGGAGTCCAGCAGAGTTACCATGACATTGGGAGCTCATACGTTTGAAGCATACAAGGAAGAATCGACTGAAAAGAACGAATATATACACGCTACTTATATAATGCTTCCCCTACTAACAGTACTAGGTACCTAGGTAGTTATAATACATAATAGGTGTCGACTGTTTGTAACTGTGGTAAATTACAAGCGGCTATATGCCTTACGTCACGTATAGGCAAAGACAGACTAAATAGTCATCCTACAGCAGCCTATCAGGACCTTGCACCTGCAGCATCTGAACTGAAAACGACAATTTAATTGCTCGAGTAATATCGCCGCTCTGTGCTCCGCAAGAATGAAAAACACGAGGTACCTGCGTACCCGCCAGTTGTCGGAGGCGACGCATGCAGCCCGAGTCACCTGACAGAAGTACGAGATGTCACTGAATGACGTAACCAGTCTCTATCCCAGGTAGCAGAGCAGCCGGCGCCAACTTTCAAGCAACAACTTCGCCTCAGCTACAACATCTCACTGCCGCATTGAAACACGAATAAAGATATTTCGTTTCTGAAAAATTTATGGTGATAGCTACACATAGCTGCGAAAAATACTAATTTAGTCATCAACATTCTAGCATCTCTTACTAGGCTGGTGGACTTCTTGTCCCGTCGACTCAACCAACATGCCCGTACAGGTGTTTACTTCGAGTCCCATCAATGCCACCAAGGCAACAGGAATCACCCCAAAGACACAAGAGCCAGAGGGAGAAGGACCACAGGCAAGGCCGCCTCCACCGACAACAACATTAGGAAGCCCAACAGCGTATCCTCCTGCACAACCAGGTGCTCGGCCATCACTACCTATCCAGACCGGAGCGCCACAGCCTACCAGCGCTTATATGCCATCGTCGACCCAAGAGGCCAGCTCAGACCCGCCTCCCCCACAGCCTGGCGCAGTACCTTCGCCTCCAGGAGGAAAAAGCCACCTTCCGCCTCCTCCAAAGGCTGGAGAGACCTTACAACAGGCCCAGACAGTGCCCATGCCGCCTCAAATGTCGTATCAGCTGCCGGCATCAGCCGCTCCAACTCAGAGTCGCTCATCAACCTCTACTTCCACAGCCTACTCGCCAAGTGTGCCACATCCAACACTTATACAGACCTCGGAACCAGACTTTTCGCACCCCCCAGGCTACCAACAGAACACCACTGCCGCAGACTTTAGCCGCGACCAACGAGAGGCTTACAACGCTTCTTTGAACCAAGAATCCTATCTGGCCCATGAAGCAGAGAGTGTCTGGAACACGGCAAAGAAATGGGCAACGGCTGCAGGAGATAGCATCGCCGCAGCAGAGAACGAAGTCTGGAAGAGAATTAATAAGGAATAGCACTGCCTCGTGGACAAACATTCATGGACCGGGAGATATAGCATATGGTAATGAAAACAATACAATTCGAGGCGTATTGAGTAGTATACTACAACAAACAAACATTGTAATGCGCTACAATAAATAGGTAATGAAACTACTAGGCTACACACACGAGCGAGCTTTAGATGCAAATGAGATCTCTTTTACCTTTAAATAAGAAATATTTTCGGAAAGTCAACATGTTCCTGTGCATAGACTGCGCTGAAGCTAGAGCGATGGATTCGTCAAAGCATCGGGTGGCAAATAGGCAAAGAACAATGTCGCGCGTCATGCACGAGCACCCGTTGAGGCGAATCAGTGATGCGCCAGAAAAGATCTCGAATCAAGATTCTGACGCAATATACCCGTATAGATCCGTGACAGGGTTGTTACGAGATCGACACTAGGCGTTTTAGTCGTGGCAGTTGCAATTTGCTGCCAGAGTTAATTATAGCTCTGAGCTGGGATCTGCCTTTCATTTCGCCTACACAGTCCATCAGCTGTTTCCGGAGTTGCCTTGAAAGAATGTTTCAACTCTGAGCTGACCTGGGCCCGGCTTGTCGAGTCTCGAGTCTCGCGTCGATAATTTTGATCGCGGGCCATGAAACTATCACTTTCTGGAGGTACGTAGCAATGACAGAAATACTTCAAACTCGTTTCTGCGTTTGGATGACCCTTCCATCTTGTGTAGGAAAAGTGGCATGAGAAATGGTGAATCAGGGCTAGCCGGGGATACCTCTGACGCATCTGAAACGCGTATAAGTGACGGGGGCTCCTGGGCTGAGCTACCAGGCGGTACCGCGAGTTTCGCTTGTGGCCGTAGCGTGTCGCGCGTACCTCGTGGTAAGCCCGTCGTAAGGCTGCGGACTCTGCAATTAAACTGAGACAGCGCCCCTGCATCCTGCCTCAGGAACCAGGCGAATCAGAGCCTTCGCAACGTCGCATCGCCCGCTTTAGACGTCTTCAAAACACAACTCCACCATATCCAACTTTCCCCGTCCACCCATATCCCATCTCGGGTCCGTCTCGAGCGCAGACAGCCCGGCTTGCTTCGCTGACCTGTCGTCTGGACAACTAATCACTGCTTCGGTCTTCGGCAGGGCAGAATAACAGATGATTGAGACGAGAGAAATTCGAGGCCAAAGCGGATGCGCAATTACAGTCGTGGAGGCTAATGCGGGCCTGTGGGCGCGCAAGAGAGCTCCGCTGCCACACCCGTGGATCGACTTCGACTGCATGTCAATGGGCTCTGCAGGATAGCGTTTCTTTCTCTGCGTATAGCTACCGACCGTTTGTCTCCTCCTTAATCTATTGCGGGGGTCCGGGTCTCTTTGGTTCGTAGCCAAGCGTTTTATCTGCTTCCACATATGGCTCTTGACACACGCTTGGCCAGGGCAGCGAGCTCGTGATCGGCTTCGAGTCCGACTCGGTCATCTCCTCTTGCAGCGGCGACACCGTTGTTCCGCAGGCGTGATCTTGCAGCTGGACATCTGGCATGCCAGGTACTACTCCGTATGTGCCAGTATGGCTGCTGCCTTGAGCCGCTGTCTCACGGCTGGTCGGAGAATAGCCGCTTGGTTGGGCCGCAGACATGGGCGGATGCTACCACACAATGGACGGCTTCGAGAACGTCCTACTGGTAAGTCTCTCTCTCGATTCCAGTCAGCAAGGGGGCCTCCAATGGATTGTGAAGCACCGGCTTCGTGATATATGCTGCAAGTGGTTTGGCTCACAGGCCCTCTCTCACACTGGCTCGCTGACCAAGACTGTCTCGATCTGATATCAAATCAGCCGCCTCCGGAACACAAAAGGACCAGGCTTCTGTTCAGCCTTTCTGCCTCACCCCCCCACATCGGGACTCGTTGCTGCCCCTCTTCATATCCAAGGCGGCCTTCCCGATGCCTGTGATGCATCTGCTCCGTTCTTGTGTGGATCTTGATTGTCTACTGGAGATTACCGTGTGATACCATCTCGCATCTCGTCGTCTTTCTTTCTTCTTTGGTGCGGATCTCCGTAGCCTGAATGTTCTCCCGTACTTCTAGCTTCGTTTTAGTTGCTGTGGCACACTCCATGGCTCCGTACTAGTTGCCCAAAGAGGACTATCTTTAGAACGCAGGGCTGCAAGTGTAGCCGTGGCGTCAATCCTTGACCTTGACATTGTGCCTTCACCATGTCTGTTGTTTACTATCGTGCTTTTGGCCACTAGGTGATGTCGAAGTGAGCTATCAGATATAATCGCAGATGGAAATCTGGAGATCCCTTGCGGATGAACACTCGAGTGGACGAGGCAGAGTCAACTCTGACCATGAGCTAGGCAAAGCTAAGCAAAGCAGACCAAGAGAGCCAGCGATTTGGATATGGGGCACTAGACAGGGCCCCGAGTGAGCTCCCAAGTCTCGGCTTTCTGGATGTCACGTTATTGTGACGCATACTACTCTCGCTGTTACTTGCGATATCTCCTAGTTTATTCCCAGACACCAATGGCACTGGGCCCTTGTGAACTGAGCTCTGCTCTGGCCGACACTTATTTTCCGAAAGTTTCTTTTTTTAGTCGACTTACCCACCTCACCCGTGCCGCGTCAATTATGACACAGCTCTAGCTGTTAATGTCCAAGGGCGTCCCATCGATTGTTTCTCCGTTGCAAGATCAGGTTATGCCTGGGAGATGAATCGTTTTTTTTTCGGTCTCAATTCGGCTGCCCTGACTAGCCGTTATTACGACTCTTTTACCCGGCTCTTCTGGTCCGTGCCCGAACATGGATTCCCTCTCCCCAATATCGAGCCAAGGCCAGAGCAAAGAAGAAAAGTAACAGAGATAAATTGCATCGCTTAGATGGCTGCTTAGTTTAAGTGGCGTCATTTTCGCACACGCCCTGGTCGAGCCTTTTGCAAAATGGCGTTTCTGATCTGAGCATGGATATTTGGGAATGCTGGCGCGGTCGCCGCGGCGCGGGAGCTCCTCTGGACTAGCAGCTGATCCCTCTCTCGT